CCAGGGTTTCGGGTCCAATGTCCCCACCGGCGGCCCATATTTCTATCGAGGACGCATAAATTGGTGCTCCCTGATACGTTTAAGCGGCCAATTAGCCCTTGTTTGTTTCGAGGTCCGTGGGCCTCATCCGGATCCTTCCCTACGATTTGTTGTGGCTCTCCTCCCTTCAAAAAGGGCCACCGACCAGGCCCCGGGGCGTTAGAGGGGGGGTTAGGTTCCCGGGGGGGGGGATGGCCGGATTCGATTGAGGGGTTTGGACGCCGCAGCGCTGAAGACACTGACGGGCCGGAGAGGAAGAGTATCTTATGGAGATGGTAGAGGGGGACGACTGAGCCGGTCCAAGGGATGAGTGCATGCAATGCAGGGCGCCCGTGGACGGGCGCGAAGGGGGAGGGGGCGGCAGGGCGGCCTGCGGCCGCCCGCCGCGCAGGGGAGCCCCGCAGGGCCGAAAATTTTTGTTTGAAGCCCACACACAAGGCTTAAGACGCGAAATCTTTAACGGAGGGTTTAACCAAAGTTAGTTAAAGAGACCATATGGCACCGCCCGGAAAGTCCCGTGGCACCGCCGGAAGTTAGTTGAAGGGACCATATGGCACCGCCCGGAAAGTCCCGTGGTACCGCCCGAAGTTAGTTAAAGGGACCATATGGCACCGCCCAAGTTAGTTAAAGGGACCATATGGCACCGCCGGAAGTTAGTTAAAGTGACCATATGGTACCGCCCGGGAAAGTCCGTGGTACCGCCGGAAGTTAGCTAAAGGGACCATATGGCACCGCCCAAGTTAGTTAAAGGGACCATATGGTACCGCCCGAGAGAGTCCGTGGTACCGCCCGAGACCCACGACCTAGAACCGACGGGCCATCCGGTGAGAACCTCTAGACCCGTGGTCCAAGGGGCACCGATCGAACCGTCTGTGTCTTCCGCGTCGAATGGTACCGGTCCCACAGCGGTCTGACGCCTCTAAGACCCCGTGGTCCGCACTTCTAAAAATGGTCCCATGGGGCCGTGGACCGCGGGCCGTGGACCACGGGACCGTCCAAAATGGTCCCCCCCAGATCGTGGTCCAAGGGGCATCAATCGAACCGTCTTAGTCTTCTGAGTCGATTGGTACCGCCAGGACCACGATCCGAGTCCTTTTGGGCCACATGGCCCGCACTTTTAAAAATGGTCCCATGGACCGCGGGCCGTGGTACCACGGGACCGTCCAAAATGGCCCCCCTCCGATCGTGGTCCAAGGGGCCTCAATCGAACCGTCTGTGTCCCCTGAGTCGAACGGTACCGCCGGGACCACGATCCGAGTCCTTTTGGAGCAAATGGCCCGCACTTTTAAAAATGGTCCCATGGGGCCGTGGACCGCGGGCCGTGGACCACGGGACCGTCCAAAATGGCCCCCCTCCGATCGTGGTCCAAGGGGCCTCATTCGAACCGGCTTCGTCTCCTGAGTCGAACGGTACCGCTGGGACCACGATCCGACGCCTTTTGGACCACATGGCCCGCACCTCTAAAAACGGTCCCGCGGGACCGTCCAAAATGGCCCCTCTCAGATCGTGGTCCAAGGGGTCTCATTCGAACCGGCTTCGTCTCCTGAGTCGATTGGGACCACTCCCGCGGCCGTACGACGCCTCTAAGGCCCCGAGGCCCGCATCTCTAAAAATGGCCCCCCCCGTCCGACCCCCTTCCGGGCCCCGGGCCCCCCCGCCGCCACCACCACTGGGTGCGCCAGGCCCAGAGCAGCCGATCGATACCATCCAGCCCGCCATCGGACACCGTTAGTGTCACCCTTTGTCCATTTCGAATATTTTTGTCTTTCGACTTTCTCAAAGTGAAATTATTTTCTTACAACACTTGTCCATTTTTTTCTGAAAGCATGCTCTCGTTCTTAAAATTCCATTTTCCCCCTCCAGAACCCCGCGGTCCGGCCCGCGGAAACTCCTGCCCGGTATTTCGGCCCGTACGCATCTCCTGGTGGCGGTGTCGCCGCCGCCCTGTACCCCTAAGGTGGTGCGGGAGCCCTTTTTAGAAAATGGTCTAGCTCATGTGATCTACTGGGTAGGTCGAATGCTTTAGCTCTCCTCTATTGCTAGCAAACCTATCTATATACTAACGGAGCGAAGGAAGCTCTATATATTCAAATTTAAGAATACTACCATTAAACAATTTATGTTAGACCTCTGGTGCGACAACGTATCAGAGGTTGGTTCTCCCTTGCTTGCTGGGAGAGACCGCAATAGTTCCTTGCTCGGATGGGGGGGTACTGTAGGGGTCCCGTTGTGTCAAGACTAACCGTTGGTTTCTCAAACCCTGGGTTCTGTTACGGACCACCTACGGCACAACTCAGGCAACCACATTCATTGGACCAACACAGAGCAGACAGGAAACTTGGGACGAGCAGATCACGTGATCATGCGGAATCCAAGTTGCCAAGGCGCTAGGGAATCCAACGATGGACTTGAGGTTCAAGACCAACGATGGATTCACGAGGAAACAGGTGATATGGATTTAGATTAACATGTATATAAAGACACTCGTTTCCCACCTTGATCAAGAGTTCTTTTGATACTCGCGATCAAAGTCAACTTCATAGCAAGTCATAGCTTTACAGCACTGATCAATATAAGCACACTTCCTTTGTCTATCTGATATCCCCTTGACAAGCCTTATACCTGATTGACCAGAGCACTACTTCAATTGCGACAAGGAACTCATACCCACGGGAGTGAGCCAGACTTGGAGCTATTACCTTGAAGTCGGATACTGGAGTGTCTCCGTTCAGACGTATCTCTGATAACACTTCGACCCAACCATCCACAAAGAGCCCTTGAGTGATTCTCACCCAAGCGTACTTCCAGTTGTACAGGCTGAAGAACCCCCTTTGTAGCACAGCGTTGTTTCAGCTGCAGGACACTTGTGGAACTAAAAACCGGTTGCTACCATATGAGGTAAGGGACCTCAATAAAACTAACCTATTACCGACGCTGACCACTTTACCGGAGTTGCATGTGTGGCTCTGAATTCTGCTATCTGTGTAACTTACGATGGAAAACGTGTTCGTGCGAGAGGTGGAGAGAACGGAACTTGGACATACGCAGAGGAAGTCGTGGACAGGTGTTAGGAACCGACCCTTGGTGAGGCCGACCCTTGATGGGACCGACCCTTGAAGGGTACCCGCCAAGGGTATAGGGCACACCAACCCTAAGTAACAACAAGGAACTATAGATACCCCAAGGGAACCTGCTACAAAGGGGGTTCTTCAGCCTGTACAACTGGAAGTACGCTTGGGTGAGAATCACTCAAGGGCTCTTTGTGGATGGTTGGGTCGAAGTGTTATCAGAGATACGTCTGAACGGAGACACTCCAGTATCCGACTTCAAGGTAATAGCTCCAAGTCTGGCTCACTCCCGTGGGTATGAGTTCCTTGTCGCAATTGAAGTAGTGCTCTGGTCAATCAGGTATAAGGCTTGTCAAGGGGATATCAGATAGACAAAGGAAGTGTGCTTATATTGATCAGTGCTGTAAAGCTATGACTTGCTATGAAGTTGACTTTGATCGCGAGTATCAAAAGAACTCTTGATCAAGGTGGGAAACGAGTGTCTTTATATACATGTTAATCTAAATCCATATCACCTGTTTCCTCGTGAATCCATCGTTGGTCTTGAACCTCAAGTCCATCGTTGGATTCCCTAGCGCCTTGGCAACTTGGATTCCGCATGATCACGTGATCTGCTCGTCCCAAGTTTCCTGTCTGCTCTGTGTTGGTCCAATGAATGTGGTTGCCTGAGTTGTGCCGTAGGTGGTCCGTAACACGCTGCCAGCCTTTGCTTGTCGCCAGGGCTAGAGCTGCTTGCAGAAGAGGGTCTGCGGCGCAGTCATCAGGATGGAACTGATTCTTGCACATAGAACAAGTTGCGGAACCGCAGCGATCGCACTCGGCCCTGCCAGCTTTGATTTGGTCAGGAGAGAGAAATTTCCCGCAGTCAACATTGCTACAGTAAGTCCTATCAATCGTAGAAAACTCGATCTCGGCGTCGTGAAATGCCTGTCTCCTCTGCTGACAACTCCGCTGAAATAAGAGGCAGAGGGATGCCTTGGCGACAACATCTTGGAGGAAATAGAGTCTGGTCTTTGGTAGCTCGCATGAACAAACTTTTTAAACACCCAATGCAGTAGGAATCCTTGCACTGTAACCGAACAATCTGACATGGCCGGAAATGGTCGAGACAGACACAACATTGCTCTGCCACTTGTGAAAGCCTCTCTAGCGCCTTCCCCTGGCGCGCGGCATAAGTGGGGTATGAGGTTGACGGACCAGCGCTGCATTCGTCGCTATCGCGGTCCAGATCACTACCTTCATCAGGGACACATGCAATTAATCGTGTGCACTCTTCCCGGACATACGGCGGAGGGGCTTCGTTTCCTGATATAGCACCAACCATTGTCATAGCTAGGCGTCTATCCTGCTGGGCCTGGGCTTCATCCCGTAAGACGTCAGTAATTGCCTGGCCATCTGTATCCACAGCATGAGCGATGCTATGAGCAATCTTCAAGTCACTTAGAGAGTCGATGCAGCCTTCAATTTCAGCTTGGAACGCTACATAGGCTAATTCACTGTCCGGAAGATTATTTGATGGGCATTTGCCCTTGCGCTCCCTGCCATAAGAATCGATTTCCTCGAGCTGTAGTTCAAGGGCCACAAGTTCATCATCCAATCTGCCCAAATTTTCGGCATGGACCGGCCACGTAAAAGACTTGTATACCATAGATTTGGGGTGATGAATGAGAGGTAGTAACATAGACGCTGAACAGAAGGTAATATCAGGGTCACGAATTATGTACTGTGCTTGTATATGGCCTCCGCTTTTACTTAAGTACTAGCGAGACCCCGCGTTCTATATCGATTTCCTCCCTAGTTATGAGCTCTGGCTTGGTTTCCAATCGAACCGAAAGCCCGAGTGCGTATGACAAAGAGTTTTGGTCCAGAGAACCCTGGCCTGAAATAACATAAGGGAACAACCTTAGATCGGCTCTTATCAACGGCTGAAGCTGGCTAACTAGTTAAGTGGTTACCTCCACTGGGATCTCTGAAACTGCCCTATTTCCTAAAGGACACCCCCAGTGCTATGAATGATGCTGCAGCCATACCCTTCACTGGCTTCTTTACAAAGACAGGACTCCTCATTATCGAAATCTGCGACATACTCGTGAGAGCTGCACCAGTTGAAATGACCGTTGATATAGCAGTTGCTATTTATGGGGGCGTTGCAAGATAGGCTTTTTAGAGTTAGCAAGCTTGCGGGACTGCCACCGACATCCTTACCACCGTATGTTGCGTTCGCAACCAGCCGTATTAATATTGTCTATATCCTCCATTTCGAGATCGCCTTGTAATAGGATGATATCGTCAGATTTGAGTATCGCGCCTCTTCGTACCGTAAACCTCCCCCGTAGGCTCCGTGGGTAGAGAGCTATAGAATTTTCCATATGTTCAGCTTTGATAGTCTATAGAAGGCGAAAAGAATTTGACTGACACCCGGGGCGGTGATTGAACTCGTCTTTGAGAAGGCCATATGCAAAACACTGGCGACAGGGTGCAATATATATTATTGAGACGTGAGAACTCCACTAGATTGACCAAATGGGATATGCATCTTATCACGGAGTTGTAGGCTCAACGGCTTCAAATCTGGATTGAACATTTCAGTTTCATCGAAGACTACATCTCGGGAGCGTATAACACGTCCTAAGTGTGGTATCCAGATTTTGAAGATGTTCGTTGAATCGTAACCGATAAGATATCCTATATAAGCTCGTGGATTCAGCTTTTGGCCTCTTTTAACCTTGGGATTTCGAACGAATGCTTTGCAGCCGATAAGCTTCAAATGTGCCAGTGACGTTGACATTTGCACGGTGGAGCTGGGCGTGCCTTTGTTCGCGATGTGTTCTTGTAAGCTGGCCAGTGGTGATTTCTAATTTAACGCCTGCGTTGGCAATCTGTTCAAAATGTACGCTGCAGTGTGGATGAGTTCGCTCCACATCTGAGCAGGCAGTTTGGCTTCGATCCGCAGCGTTCGTGCCAGGCAAGTCAACATTCTACCGGAACGTTCTGCAGCGCCGTTCTGTTCTGGCGTGTATTCAGCAGAGTGTTCGATCACGATGCCCTCTCTTCTCGCCCATTCCCTAAACGTGTTGTTCAAGGACTGTTCGACGTCAATTCGTATGACTAGGACTCTGTAACCGAACTGCCGTTCGATATGTGCTGTTTTATCTATTATCGCCTGTAAAATCATCGATTTGTGTATACCTGTTTCAACTTCGTGCCATTTTATTACTTCGCAGAAGAAATGAGCCACCCATTTATCCTTATTATAGCCTTCTGGTGTAACATGGATAAGATCAACGTGTAGGCGTTGAAATAGGAGTGTTGCTCTCGATTCGGGTGTTCTTCGCGATATTTGACGTTTGGCTTTGGAGCTACCGCAGGCCTCGCAGATAGGCTTCGGTTCGCCGTTCTCTGGAGCTTTTGTACGGATGATTTCAATATCGTTTAAAAGCTTTTCGATATGTCTAAGGATTTCGTTATTTGGATGGCCAAGTCGCTTGTGCCAAAGAGTCTCGTTCGCAGCGCTCTTTTTGGGCTTGTAGGATGAGAGGAAAGCAGTGTTCTCCGTTGGCGGAGGGTTGTATTCGATAACGCGCAGTCCGTATAATCGCTAGGTGACTGCAAGAACCTTCTCCTCGTCATCTTTTCTCCTTATATAGCCAGTCTTTCCATCAAAAAAGAGTCCGTGCTTGTCCATGAGATGGTCGGACACGATACTGGTGTGGAAGCCTAGAATATACCACGCGTTCTTCAACAGAGCCATTTTTCTTGCTCCGGAACGGTTGGTGAACCAGATTCGTGCTATTCCAACTCCTTGTATCTCCGTCTCAGTGGTGCCAGTTAGGACAGTTCCTTGATGTGGCTCGAGTATTTCAAATCGAGCACTGTCGTTGACTATATAGGTGGTTACTGCCGAGTCGTAGACTACGCTATTTTTCAGTGCGAAATTCGACGCCGTAGAGAATGCTGATGGCTCTGTGGACAGCTCAGTATTCAAGGTGACAAGAGCTGTTATCTGTAAGTCCGAGTCATCGTCCTCTTCACCATTTGTAATTGCGAGATTTGCAGAGTTAACTGCTTTGCCTTTCCATTTTTAGCTTCTTTTGTAGCCTTCAATTGCCTTCTGGAATCTGGCTTTTTTGATCTCGTTTTTCATAGCTTCGTTGAACCTCTGCCTTATCTTCGGATCTTCCACCCAGCCTTCGGGCCTGAGTGCTTCAATAAGGTAGGGGCATCCGCGATACCAGTGTTTGATGCCGCATTCGCAGGTTGGTGGGTTCCTCTTATTATATTGAGGCTGTCCTTGTAACGTTGGCCCAGTTGATAGCCCAGTAATGGCTTGCAAGGATGTAGGCGAGAAAAAGACTGCTTGGAACTTCGTTTTATACACTGTTGGCTTCTTTCGATACTGCCTTTGGAACTTATTCGTAACCTGGTAAAAGGAATCGTCTCCTTTATGATCCGCCCATATTGTTGCGTATATTGGGTCGATCCGTTCATTGGCTTCGATGAATTCCTCGATTGCAGCTTCTTCAGTGATCAATTTGAGCTTTTTCATGTCTTCATAAGCTCTTGTCCAGCTGTCTATCCAGATGTGAACATCTCTCGTCCGTGGGCTTGTCTTAAGAGCTTTCCAGCGGTCTCTGACTTCGCGCCGTCTGTCCTTTTCCGTTAGACAGAGCCGTTCCTTCAGCTTTCTCATAATCTCGTAAGAGGATGGTTCCACTGCCAGGGTTATAATCAGTGGATATTTAACACTCTTTACCAGTGCGAGTCGGAATGCGCGTAGGGCAGCTTGTTCCTTTTCATGCTGCTTGTATTCCCTATCGTATTCCTTCACTTTCGCGTTGTAAACGTTCCACTGTGTTTGACTATTTATATCCTCTGGCATATTAGGCATTTTTGGTTCTTTCCTTTCTTCTGGCTTCGTTGCCAGGTTTGGATCTACCAATTCCCAGATGTTGTTGGAGTGCGCGAGCCCGTACATGGCTCCGTACCATGAGTCCCAGTCCCGTTCGTCTTTTAAGACTGTGACTGTGACGGTGCTGGTGTTGATTTCATCCATGTCCGCAGTGATAGGATGAAAAGGGTGAGTTTGTTGATGCTGCTGTAGGGATCCTGCAGTTGGCGTTTCGAAGTTCGATATACGGACGTTTGTACGTTCTATCGAGTGTCAGCCGGGCTCATAACTGTCAAATCGGAGCAGCAAAAAGGGGGCATATGATTGGTTAAACGTGTTTTAAGGCGATATAACCGATGTAATTGAATGTATTAGAGAGCTTGCTCGTTGTATGTACATGCAGAGATTTCGAGCTCCAAATACGGATGGAAGCTGACTAAGCTACATAATTTGACAATATATCAATCGATATATCTAGTGGTGGGGAGGAGGCAACGATGCTCGGCTACGGCTCAGCATCCAATGAGAGCGATGCAAATACCTTGCAGGCGCCGAAGCAACGCTACGGCGGCCGTAGCGTACGGGCATGAGTGGAAGAAAAAAATGTGTATGTATGTATCTAGCTGCCTGCTCTACCTGTATACATGTGTAGTACTCAGCGAGGCGCCGGGTAAAAGTGGCGCCGAGCCGGTCCTAGGATAAAAGAAGATCCGGCCCGTCGCTGGAGCGAGGCCCCCATCACACTATCATTCTTTGTTCAAACTCCTCTGGGTCCAAATTCGAACGGCGCACCAGTGACTTCCGCAAAGCATGTACTTCCTCTTTTTCGGGAATGGATTTTCCACTTCGTATCTAAACCCGCGACTTTGTCGGGGACGTAACACGCTGGGTAGCTTGGTAGCAATGTTCATTGATCAGCTCACCTACACAACGGACCATGGCATCATCTAAAACAGTATGATGAGTACAACTAAGGCGATGTGTGTCCAGTTTCGAGCAACGTGCTGACCACCATTCTAGCGCTCCTGCGGCCATAGTCTCGGGTGTGACAAGGTAAAGACAGGCGCCTTGATATATGGGCGATCGGTTCACGTTGCACAGCAGCGGCGCGACCTTGTTAAAGTGATTCAAGACCAAGTCTTTCTGACTTTCTCCAAAGATTTGTAATGCATAGTTAACCTCGTCACTATTCGTGTTTGTAGATGGCTTAGTTGTCGTGTAAGTTCCAGCATCTATTAAAATGAGAGAGGTAGGATTGTTGCCATGCCGATTTCGCCAAAGTAAAGCCATCTCGAACGCGATCAATCCACCAAAGGAGTAGCCTCCGAGAACTAGTCCGTGGTGGGGAGGAATGAGCTTCTCAATATCGTTCAGGTAAATCTCCGCCCATTCAGTAATTGTTTCAGGATGATGTGGTTGGTCGAAGAAAGGATCATGAATAAGAAGAACATCAAATGCATCATCTAATGAAGGGACCAGGGAGGAGAATATGCTGCCTTGTCCCCAAAAGCCGTGAACCAACACAATTGTTAGTCGACTGTGAGGCCGGATATGCGGTTCTAGATATCTCGAGGTGCAATTTGGGTTTTCTGCAGTACTTTTTGTTCTGATAATGTGACTCAACATGGCTGGAGTCGGCGACTTCAGGACATCAAATATATAGATTTTGTGCCTCAAGCGACTGCTAATCCGGGTGGCAAGTCGTGCAGCCATGAGAGAATGGCCACCAAGATCGAAAAGGTTATCAGTAATGCCAACCTCTATCCCCAGAACACTTGCAAACTCTTCACAAAGAACACGCTCTACCTCATCCCGCGCAGGAACGCGGGCAGACAATGCTTTATTCGGAGTGGCAAGCTTAGCACTCTTCGCAAGCGCCCGGCGATCGACTTTCCCATTAGCATTGACTGGCATTTTTTCAAGTACCTGAATCACCGCAGGGACCATATAGGATGGCAGCATAGCCTCTAGTCTGCCACGTAACAAGCATTCCACGACGGGCCCCGACCCATTGGGTTCATTACGCTCTGGCTTCCGGACCGTGACGAAGCTAATAAGCTCCAGATCCTGGCCATCACGCTCTCGGGCCAAGACCACAGCATCACTCACGTCCTCAAAGGCAAGGAGGGCATGTTCAACTTCTGGTAGCTCAATGCGGTGGCCACGTATCTTGACCTGATAGTCCATGCGCCCGAAGAATTCAAGCTGGCCATCGACTGGGCGGCATCGGACGTAGTCCCCTGTACGATAGGCCTTCACTGACTGTCCGTCGATAATTACACAGACGAATCGACCGTGATCCCATTCCGGGTTGGTATATCCTCTCGCCACGCCGTCTCCAGTGACGACCAGTTCCCCTATCACACCAACCGGGACCAGACGCTGTTGTGGATCCATGACATAGGCTCCGGAGTTACTAACGGCGCGGCCAATAGGCACGCCATTGACACACCTCTCTTCGGGAAGCATGCGGTAGAGAGTACTAATTACAGTATTTTCACTTGGGCCGTAGGCATTGAAAACATGTCCCCTCACTGATCTTAGTGCTTTAAATGTGTCTTTCGGATCACAACGATCACCCATAACAAATAGTACGTCGAGTTCACCGATAGTAGATGGAGAATCAATAAGACACTGCTTTAAAACGGCTGGAGTGAAGGAAGCGACCCGAACACCCTCCATCTTGAAAACATTACCCAGCCCAGCACTATCCAATACGGCCATGGCATCAACGCAGATTACTGTCCCACCATATAAGATCGCCGTATAGATCTCTGACGTCGATGCGTCGAAAGTAGTGTTCGCCATGTGTGCTATTGGCACAGCTCCCCATATTCGCGACAGCTCGCTGGCCATGCGCACGACCCCGCGGTGCTCGACCATAACTCCCTTTGGCTTGCCTGTCGACCCTGATGTAAACATCACGTACGCCAAGCTCGTGGCTGATGGCGCTGTGGAGGCCACTAACGGTCTTTGGGGGAGTTGTTCGGCCTGAGCTGGCTCATGCAGGGTGGCTATAATGGGAACAAATTCAATATCTGCTCCCTGTATCGCAGGGGCCGCCACGTCGTTTCCAAGCAGGACAAGCTTGTGGCCTGCGACAGACGATATGATAGCCTCAATCCGGGCTCCTGGGGCATTAACATCCAATGGTAGGTACGCTAGGCCTGCCTTTAGAATCCCAAGAAACGCTATGATCGTCAGGCACGATCGTGGTGAAAGTACGCCAATTAGTGTTTCCGCGACTAATCCTCGCTGCATGAGCCATCTAGCGAGTTCATCCGACCTCTCATCTAGCTAGGTATACGTTAACTGGGTCGAGGAGTCCTTGACGGCCACAGTGTTAGGTGAATCTCCAACCTGGCGCTTAAATACGTCGACCACACTAGACTCGCGTGGATAGTTCGTCCGCTCAACCTTAGGAAGGCCCATGTCGCATAGACTTGGGTTACTGTCGGTCAACAGTAAGGAGGTGATCGGCGTCTGTGGCTCCTGGAGGCCGTGTTTCAGAACCTTATAGAAAACCGATATTATGCTATTGATTGTTCGTGGATCAAAGAGCTCTACTGCGTACAGAATACTCCCGCGAAGATGATCTTCTTCCTGGAAGAGGTAAAACTCGAGGTCGAATCTCGAAGTTGTTACAAAAGGCATCTGTTCCGCCTCAACGCCTTCCAAACTAAATTGGCCAAGGCTGCGTTGAGAGTGAACGGCAAATACGGTCTGGACCACCGGGTTACGAGACACGTCCCTAGTATTCAACCCTAGCTCCGCAACGATTCTCTCAAAGGGGACATCCTGATTGGCGTACGCGGCCGCTGTAGTAGATCGAATCTGCTGCACGAGTTCTCCAAATAATTCCTCTTGAACCTTAATACGGATACATTGTAGGTTAACAAAGAATCCAATAAGGTTCTCTAATTCCTGCCGGTTTCGATTTGCAATTAGAGAGCCAATTGTCGCATCCTCCGCGCCTGTGAGGCGGTAGTGTGTTGCCCTAAATGCGGCGAGAAGGACAACAAAGGGGGTCACTTTGTGTGTTTTGCAAAACTGCTGGAGAGTATTATACAATACACCACTAATTGTAACTGCCTGCTCATCTGCCTCTCCAGACAACACATTAGGCCGTGGCTTGTCACACAGAAATTCAGCCGGGTTGCTGCCATCTAAATGTTCGATCCAGTATTTGAGTTGCTGCTGGTGCTCATCTGCCTGCTTTACAGGCCCATCATTGAAGGGTGATGTGTAAGTGGGTAACGCCATTTGAGCTCTCGAACGCTGATTATTTTCTAGCGTAATACTATGGTTGATTCGCTTTAGTGTTATCCAAAGTTGAAACTTGTTCGCAAAATAATTTGAGATGGCTAAATAGCCTTTCGGTTCAATGTTATCTATATACTGGGTCACGATAATTCCGTAGTAGGTATTTTTCGTCTTATTTCACTGAGAAGCGGAATTTGTCATCATTGTATCTTGTCATTAGTTATCTCAATCATTTCGCGTTAATAAGATAAGCAAGATAAGCAAGATTGGCAAGGTAAGCAAAGTAAGCAGGGTAAGCAAGATAAGCAATGTATGCATATAAGCAAAGTTGCGAGGCAAGCCAACTAACACGATATGAATAGTAATTAGTTAGTCGAGGTAAAGAACTCTGCTTTGTTCCTCGTCATTGCGCACCTTGTTTACATACTTTGAGATAAAGACACCTATGCAGACTTTGTCAACCAGATCCCCTGGAATTCCTTCTTCTCAGTTTGACGTTGTCGAAGGCTATAGCTCCCTTTCTACTGGTACTTGGGGGCCTGGCTTTAGGCACAGCCTGTAACGGCTGTGAAATTGGTCAGGTTGCTTAAATGTAGCTATAAGCAGGATACAACAGCCTTTGTCTTCAATGTCTATAATGGTATTTGATGAGATTTGCCTGCCAAGTGGGGCTTGCCACTTAGTCTGTAAAGGGTAAAGAGCCTTGTCTTTGATCAATTGGTGTTACATAATAGTAGGCTGGAACAACCAATATTATAAACGAAAGGATGGGTGGCTTATTATGGCTCTCCGATCAGATGAAATAAATGAAACACACGCCCATTAATCCTGGTAGAGTTTGCTTGCCAAGAAAACTGAGGCAGAGCTTCATTATCACTAGAAAGGGTTAGCAGTCCAAGTTTGCGCTACTGAAGAACAGGTTATCTTTTTCTATAATGTAACTGTCTACCGTAGCCAGGTACATGTGCTTCAGTCGCCCAGCAAGTACTCGCCAAACCAACATTCGGTTTCCTAGGCATTTCATGGTGTCTCTAATTATATTTGATGTATTACATGTCAATTCTTGACGATAGTATATCTTCTAAAAGAATCTGCATGTCGTGCTTAGAGCTTTTGCAACAAAGTGGCCTAGGAAAGTGGTCCTCGTAGCCATGGACTCCATACCGCCCTAATCACACCGCAGCAACCCAGAGGATGGCGCCAGCCAACAGAGTTTCTATCCCAAGCACGACATACATCCAAGTCAATTTCGGATCCACCGTCAATGGCGAAACTGTTACCGCTATCAAGGCTCCTGCTGACACAGTTGATAGGTACACGGCCATTATCAGCGATTTCATCGACTGGGGTGCCTTTGTATATGCGTATTCTATACCTGCCACAGATGCAAGGACTTCTGAAATAGCAACCAATACATAAGAAGGAATCTGAAGGAATACAGAGACTCTATTAGGGGCTTTTCCACCCATACAGTCTACTGATCGTGGGCGATCATAGCAAGGCGGGGCCGCATAGATAGTTCGCTGAAGAAAGCTGGCATATAACATAGATATCCCGCAGAATAGGAACCCCAGCGCCATTCTATCAATATGGCGAACGGACGCTCCAAGGCTTCGAAGTAAAGGATATATAAAGCGATCGAGAATAGGTAATAGGATGAGGGCAACGACAGGGTCTATGCTTGTCATCACATCATTCGGAATGCCATGTGTCTCCATGGTGGCAGCTTGAGAAACGAAATTTGTTGAAAGCTGGGAGTAGGCAGCCCAGTAAAAGGGATATAACAGAAAAACTTTACACGCGGATAACGCGCATCTCAAATCGTCGATAAAAATGTCATCCCACGGAGGCGTTTCCGTTGAAACTTCCTCGGCTTGATAGGTCGGTCGTGCATGGTCAAGGCTGAATTTGTTCTTGACAGCAATCCAGGTCGCTTGACAGGCTTTGGTTATTATAGAATTGTCAGGCGCACGGCTGATATATTGATCTTTGCTTGCCAATAGAATTATGAGCCCGACAAGGAACACCGTTGTTGGCAGAGCAAATGCGGCAGAGAAACCGTACTTCTGTTCAATTATCGTAGAGACCAAGGCAGCAAGAGAACCCATATTGATATATAAGAAGAACATTGTAAATAATCTTGATGACTATCAGCCTTTGAGAAAGTAAGATGGAAGTTTTAGGAGACAAGCCTTTGAAGCGTCAGATCTCGATCGACAACGACTTTTTCCCCTGATTTAAGCACCATAATGGCTTCCTTAGGACCGATGTATTGCTCTGCAATCAAGGAGCTAACGTTCGTCTTAATGCCACCTGTGCCGATGCCTATCAAAAATAAAGACAAAGATAGCCCTAGGATTGACACACTATTATCCCGGGCAAAGGGTAATGAGGATAGAAATAGAGTTGCCAATCCGCAGCCATAAACCGTAGAAGAGTATACTATGGTTTTCACTCGTCCAATGTTCTGTTCTGCGACTATAGCGCCGATTATTGGAGTAATGAAACACCAAAGCATGAATATTTGATTTACCGTTGTAGCATAAGCCTGCCCGAGCCCTATTCATGTCAGAAAATTTCAAGCAGCTGACCAAAGTGTTGCGTACCAATTCCACCAGTGCGTGAAAAATTGTTTCCGGAATTTTGAATATAATTCTGCAACGGCCCAATAATTCCGAAGTAGGCAAATCTTTCGCATAGCTCAATAGTCGCAATAAGCCACACTGAGAGCGGAAAAGAATCTGCAACCCTCCTTAGGCCATCGTAAAGCTTCCTGTCAGCCTCTGCTTCATCAGACGTGGCTGACAAAAGTGGAGTACCGTCAGTTGCATCAAACGTTTCTATCCTTGGATCCGAGCTCGACATTTTATATGTTCAAACGACTGTTGGACGATTATCGATAGAATCTTTCTTTAATTTGAAGCACGCCCAATGGTATATTTCTTCACAGAATGCTAGTGGAGTTGTAATTCCAGAAAGAATTGTGTATTTAAGACCTTAAGAGGTTCACGGGATGCGTGCAATCTAGAACATCCATTGGGGTTACCGAAGTGGAGAGATGATAATTCGCTTGTTCAGCCGCTCAAAACAGCGATTTTGAGGTCAAAGCCAGAAGACGGCCTTCCGATATCCGTAGGGATCCGATTGGCGGGGATCTGTCACACGTGATTAGGTCTGCTGACCCATATTTTATGACTCATATTTGGTATATCTTCATACCCTGCAATGTATCTACACGGATAAATCGACGAGCCAATATTTCCTACGCCAGGCCCCTTCCGCATGGCCCAATAGCCACCTCTGGACAACCATGGGACGGCAACCGGCCCAACTCCGCAAACCGCGCGCAGAATATGCCAAGGCTGTCCCCGCCATCCTCCACTCAATACGATGTTTCGGAAAAGGGCTTGTTAGTCTTGAATTTTTTCGAAATTTGACTGCATGACATCACAATGTTCTACCGTATACGTTAATATACCATGAGCCAACATATATACCGAGTGTGATATGCAGAGTCACCATGCGGCATCAACAGGGTTTTACCATCGTAACCAGCTGTATAAACCCTTGTATTTTATGTATAGCGAGTGTTCTACCAACATGCATAGTCTCACCATGCATATTAGCAATACCACCTCCTGTGTTACTTATTTATTTAACTCCCTGTTCAGTACACCAGCCTGTAGTCCTAAGCCGCTCCGCCAGTAAGATTGTGCGTTCCAGGGGAAGAGGTTCCGTGACAGCTTAGAGCCGGCCTGCTTGGCCATGTACCCTACTCCATATTCACACGCAACCCACAAATTACGCCACAACCCACGAATTATGCCAGACTTCTTACCCCTGCAGTACACCTGGGGTGTAAGTAAGTCTCAAGGATATAATTGTTGGAGCGGTGGACGAATGACAAGTGAGAGCTTGAAGCGCGAGATCGAAAACAGGCTCAGAAGGTCTAGACCACTGTTATCCCACCTGCCATCTGTTCCTATATACAGCGCTTCACCCGCTCCGACATAGGATTTATTTCTTAAGGCGCTATCTTGGCGCTCTATCTGAAAAGGAGAGAGATAAGTATAGGAGGGCTAGTTGCAAGGATTACGTGTACATGCATTAACTCAAGTAACCCTGCACCAGGGGATCAGTAAAGACATGCATAAAGTGGTATTTTGAGTTTACCCCAGCAGCAAATAACAGGGTTGCCGGAATGGACGGGTTGCTGGAGCCAGCTGTATCAGAGATGTGAGAATGTAAACGCTGTATGGCCCTCTGCAGCTCACTGGTTAAGTACATACTGTACGGAGTATAAATATGCCATAGTGCTGTATCGCTCATGGGCTCGTAGGGCTTATCTCTAATATGTCGTGTCTATTCTAATACCTGTTCTACTACCTAGTAGAGGCGGAACTAGCCCTTATTAGAGGCCTAAAGTCTACTAGCAAAGCTATGAATACGCCACCTGTCCACGCAGGCGTCTGCTTTCGGTGATATTTGGAGAAGAATGCGCTAGGGAAAAGGTGTGGGTATTGGCGGGCGAACCGCTATGGTGGAACGGATGGTGGAGCGGGCAACTAAAAAAACAAGGGGAAGGGCCCAACGTGGTAAGTTAGTGGTCAAAGTATATTTGATAATCCTGGAGCTGCCAGTCCCCGATACACCAATAGGGTATTATTCACCTAGCTATCAACTGCATCACTGCCTACTATACCTGAGTCAGAGGTGTAAAATGCCAAGTACACCGCGTAACAAGCCAACCCCCTACCGCATAAACCAAATAATGGCAGCTCAAACGTGTATAATCATAGCTTCACCTGGAACCTCGGGCTCATGCGAATTCTCGCCCCAAATTTGACAAGGAAGATCGAAAAAGGCACAAATGCAATGGCAATGAATGCCAAAAGACTGTTACCCCAGCCTAACCCCAACTGCATATATAGAGCATTGCCAGCTAGGGGAATTACCGCTCCAAACAAAGATCGGACAACAGTATTAGCAGCAATCGCACTAGCAGCATAGATAGTAAAGGTATCAATCAAATATATCTGAATTGGAAGGAACATACACTCCATTCCCAGAGCAAGAAACGTTGTTCCAATAATAGGAACTATCCAATGTGACTGGGCATTAGCTGACCAACCGTACCAGAAGAGGCCGATTGGGACCAGGAAGGACCCTAGTATTAACGGAGGCAGACGATCTTCAGGCTGAGTTGATCCATGGAGTTCCCTTTGTCTTTTAATGTACCAGTCTGAGACAGGGCCGACAGAGAACTGGCCGATACAGAACCCTACGCCGAGTCCCAAGTAAACCAGCCCTGCTTCGCCCGAATTGAAACCATAGAGATCTTCGAATATTTTGGGGAAAGTCGTTAGCAATAGGTATAGATAGCTGTAAACAACAGCAAGGTATAAAGATAGAATGAGCACAATGGGAGATTGTATCAACATCTTGGATGGCCGCGCAATAGAAGTTGATATGAGCTGTCCTACTGTTAGACCTTTGTCAAACTTCGTCTTTAGATTGCGACCGCTCTCTTTTCGCAATTTGTCCGCCTTCTGTTGGAGAATAGTTGGCGAATAGGTCTCCTCCATGAAGAACCAGCACGCAATTGTGGCTATACCCGCCTAGTTCAATATCAGCACCCAAAAGGGAAATATATAAGTGTGGTTGATGTATACAAGAATTGCTACCAACCAAAATGTCCACCTCCATCCCGTCTGAAGCGTCATATACCCCCCAATGACAGGGCCTATAGGTATCTCGTAAGTATCTGTGTCTTGAGTGGGGAAAAAGTGTAAAGTTGGTCATCAGTACCTATCACAGGACCCTAAAGAAAGCAAAACGTTAAATGTGCCTTGATATAACATATGTGTTAAGCATACTAGACCATACCAGTAAAGGGCCAATGGCCCAAATTGTAAGCGATGTGCCCCGTTTCTCAACTGGCATCAAGTCTGCAATAATCCCTCCCCCTAGAGTCACTGGTACACAGCCAGAGAGTCCCATAAGCAGTCGGAATACGATCAACATCGTCATATTCACTGATACCGCACACAGAACTGTAGCAATCACGAAACAGATATTTGACGCGTGAGTAATTGGAAGCCGGCCGTAGATTTCACTGGTTGGTGAGAATACCAAGGGTCCAATAACAAATCCGACGATGTAAACCGACACCATGAAAGCTGAAAGTTCCGAGTTGGTGGAATGGAAATCACGCAATACTTGCGGAATTCCAGGAGCAAAGATGCTTGCTGCGATCGATCTGTTTCCAATCACAGGTTTGCTCAGTTATAAAGCCAATGATTTAGATGAGGTGTCGAGCTCTTCACATACACATTGAAGGTATTGACGGAGACTAGTGTTATGGTTACCCATTTCCGTGAAATTGGCCAGTTCAATGGGTTGGCAGGATCTCCTAATCCATTCCAATCAACCCAATCACCCGGTTCATTGTTTCCTAGTATTGTGTTAACTTTTATTACTCACTGAGGACACTGCGTTCTCACCATCCACATCGCGGTTACTTTGGCTAATTTCTTTATCCATCTCTTAAAGAATTTAAGGGAAATGATGCTAAAGGTAGATGTAACAGAATATAATGAAGCCTTGATGCAAGGTAGATGACACCAAAAACATGATATTTGGTGGGATGAGGCTCTATATACATCGGAGCTGGCGGAGTTCGGAACTCGGATTTCCTTGGCGGGGAAAGCGAAATTTCGAAGTAATGTTTGTCAAATTTCGCACATTGTCGTCCGCCAACACCACGTATTGGTGAGGCAAAATGACTGTGGTAAAACATGGTATTCAGCGCCGCTCTATCCTTTGAAATAGATGCACATCCATGTTTTGAGCCGTGAGAGACGCTAATATTGATTGGATACTTCATATTCTTACTGACTCAAGCAGAAACATGGTATCAATTAATTTTATTTACACTCCATGCCCGTTCAGTGATCTCCAACGCCTCGTAGTATTATGGAGTATTTTCAAGTTGGCTCTTGGACCGTTAATATTAATCCATTGAAACCAACACGTGGATGGTGGTATTGAAAGGCCCCATTTTCTTACTTTTACCCTGCATACCCTGCCTACCCTGCATACTCTGCTTATTTTGCATACTCTGCTTACTTTGCATACTCTGCTTACTTTGCATATTCTGCTTATGCTGCCATCAAGTTTAGCAGTTGCGAAAATCTTTCCCTGCGAGGGCCCATGTCTTTCGACCATGTTTTTTCAACATATTTTGTGCCTACTGACAATCCATTCCACTCTAGCGCTTCACCCGCCTAATCAACAGGCAACTGTGATTTTGGGGTAAAAATTTAGAGTAGTTAAGGGACTTGGGCCTTAGAGGGTGAACCGGCATCGTGCACATACTGAGCATCTCTTCGGTTTGCAATTCATTCGGAGTTCCCACGAAAATTCAGGAAGCATATAGAACCACAAGATATATACCCACTCGAAAGTTAGGTAGATATAGTTCTGAAATCACTGCCTCTGTACTGCGGCTTAATGAGGCCACAGGATTTTGCTCCCTTAACTTAAATTCTCGAGTAAGATTGAAACACTTCTACGGAACACGGCAGAACTGCTGGCAAATGCAAACTAGCTCTAAATGTTATCAAACAGGGAAATAATATCGATAAATGATGGTAATAACTTGATCAGAGAGTGCAACTACTTGGCCCACCAGAGAACCCATGGAGCAGGTTAGCACTAACGTGCTGTCTAGCTCCCAACTTAGCCCCACATCTCAGCTCCGAGCTCCGAGATCCGAGCGGGAGCGCTTAAATAAACCTGTGTCGCCAGCATATTCCTGAAAAGATACGGCAAACTCTTTTAGCGCTGAATATAAGGATCGAAAGACTATTTAGGTTGCTCTTATAATGATTATTAAAAAAGGAAGACCATTGTTATTGCAACTTGTCTTCTATCTAGATGTTGCTAGTGTTGTTATGACGTCTTTTTGAGGTTGAAATGCTAAACTCGACGATCTCTTGAAAAGAAGGGCGCACATCGCAGCTCGATTGAATCAAAGACAAGGCAGACAATTGAAAGAGTCAAGCAAATCTAGATAAAGGTTTCATTGCATAGCAACACAAACCTTTCTTACGAAATAACTGCATGATTCTCCAGAAAGCCCAGCCGCTGATTAAGGTAATAAGATCCTCGTTTATGCCAGCGCTAGCACTAGCAGCAATGAGGCTTATACCGTCTTTCAACGCTCTATCGAGGCTCGGACTGGTATTATGTGCTCCTGAGAACCGTTTTTCCCATTGTCACCTAACTACACAAGCCTAACCTATTGTAATGGCAGTATGCTGGCAGCGATGATACAACATATACCACTCGACCAAAAGATCATACACAGTGATGACGCTCGTCATCTCTGGTCGCTGCACTGCTTATATGCTTGGGTGCCACGTGATGTGGGCTTGGTGGGCGCATGCTGCGTGGCATGACACCTATCATATCCAGCTCGGATGGAACTAAATCAACGAATTGAATATGGTCATTAATTTATATCATAACGTTGGCTTTGTGACTAGCTAGGAGTTTAGCAACTATGCCAGCATTTACTCGCATGCCAACACAGCCACGAAAATCCATACTCTAAAATCTTATATCAAGACGTTTAAATAAGCTTAATTTGATCTAGATAGAGTTCAAAGTGTGATGGTGAACCACGGGAAAATGAAGTTGGTCCTAGGATACATAGAAAGAAAAAAAAGGAAGGTTAGTCGAGCATATGTAGTTTTCAAAAGAGATTAGTTAGTGTCAAGAAGGTGGACGATGATATTGAAGCTCTACTATCGAATGTGCGAGGTTTGAACCAAGCGAGATATAGCTGACTAATACAAAAACCGACAGTTAGTTAGGGTAACGCACGTACACTCTGTAATAGAGTCGCCCATTGCGCTAGAGAAGGGCTTCAAAGGTAATTACCGAAGCTGCTTCGCTTCAAATTCGTGTAATGTGAGACAAACACGTTTATTTTAAGCGTGAGCCGCAGACCCACGTACTTATTATATTCTAAGATTTACTGATAAGGTAGTGGTTAGTATTCCGCCGCTAGACAGGCTTAGGCGGCTGGGGTCATCTAAAAAACGGCACCGCAAATATCACATATTGGCACCATCCTACCTTTAATGAGCCCGGCGTAGGATCCAACACACTAGACTGGGTAATGAAAATAGCATCCCAGTCCAAGCATGCATCCCCGGAGAACTGTTTGCAGTTTGAATTATCGGGTGACAGGGGTGAAATACCCATATCCCTGTATTTTAAGGTTACATCCAACGAGGTCTGTCAAGATATCTGTTGGGTCGAATGAGCTTTTCATGTCAAGCATCTTCCTGTGATTGACCAGTATTCCCTGTTCACTGGGATATGTAATATAAAAGGAGTAAAATAGTATTAAGGTAAAGCTTCCCACATTTAGCTTGCCGTTGCTTTCCACATTTTAAGATGTGAATGCTAAATTCCTTTCTCGCTCGACTATATCGAACAACTGGATTTACTCATCGATATGGAAATATCATCTAATGTGGACATGCCAACTAGAAGAAGGTCTAAGGATGCCGCCAGAGAACCGAGAGTTGTGAATATGCGCAGGCGACTACAAAATCGTCTTGCTCAACGCAAATACAATAAGAAACCTTACAACCCCTTTTCAACTCTACTGTCGACAGGTCTAACTTTGTCAAGGGGATAAAGCAAAAGAACGTAAAGAGTGCAATCCCCAATCAGCTACAGACTCAACGAGCATGACGTTGGAAATTCCCAACGAGTTCTGGCCCTCGTTGCAGCAGGACCCCCAGTTTCCTCCACCAGAAGGCGATGGTTTTACTCTACCTACAAGCCAGAATCAAAATCCATCAGTCCAAGATCTGTGCCCTAAAAGCTCCTTAGAGACAAGAATTTTACCTTCCCTTACTACTCCCTTTTCGCAAGGTCAGCTACCAAGTCCTGCCAGCTCTGGTCCACCCCAGCTATACCAAGATAGTTCGCTGCTTCCTCCATCTCTCTTGTGGCCAGCCATTTTAGAGGTAGGTAGGCACCATGATTTCTGTGCGTGAGGTGGTTATTAAACATATTTAGAGCGATCAAGGCATTATATATGATCAAGAACGTATCTCAGAGCCGATACCTTGTGAGAATGGGGACAGAGGGAAGGAAACTATATTCACGTCTAGTAGCCAAGGCTCTGAGGACCTTCAGCGCTCCAAAGGCAAGGTTGAGACAGCCGACATCAATGTAAGATTGCTTCACTATTTAGCAGGCAGATTATGCTAACGCATCTTGCCAGACAATCAAGCAAAGTATGAAAGATAGCGCGCTGGAAATTATCCAGAAACAAAAAGCTTGTCTTTATAAAGAGGGTGAACAAATATTTGAACAGTTGATTGAATTACATCAACTTGCAGTCTACCTCGAAATAACCCCTCAAGACTCGTATTTATATCACCTTCTTCTGAACACCAAGAAAACATTCCTTTCTTCATTCCAAATTCCACGCTGGACCTTGTCAACCTTGGGCAAAGATAGAACCGACGACAGCCACGTAAACTATGACAGTTGCAGTGCCTGAAAGTATGGGTGAACTAGCGTCTAAACTGCAGTTCATTTCTTTTCGAAAAGGGATTGTTTCTTTTTCTTTGGATTTATTGAAAATGATTATTCTCGTGTCTACCTAGAAATAAGAACGGAGATTATTTGTCTACTTTGCCCCGGTATCTATGTAGCCCGTCAAGTCTGAAATGTTCAACTACAAGACGACCCGTCCACCTTTACCGTACGCATGTGTGACGGAGAAGACATTGCGACTGGTCTCTTGTCCCCGATATATACGCCTTAGACACTGCGATCGTGATGCAAGAGTGGTTCAACCAGCTGCTGGAAGAGGATGCCGCAAATGACAGCTACGTATGCGGGATTCCCTCCATTGCAGCTCATTGGGACTGACTTCTTTGCTAGATTCTTGCCCTTTCTATGTATCTGGAGCCCGACACGATACCATCGGAGAAGATGCTGTTTGGGAGCCATGAGCGCGCCACCGTATGCCAGGGCTCGGCAGATCTATCGGCGATTGCCCAGGAGGAGGTATCTGGCCGGCACATCCGGTGACTTCCTAACGCTGAAGACGAACGCTGGGACATGCTCATAATGGGTAGGAGGCCATGCCTACCACGTTCTTTGATAGCGTACTGATATTCTATAACTAGTTTCGGTCCTGGACAGATTACGTGATGAGCTAAGGAGCATCATCCATGGCCACTTGGATGAGAAAGTGAAGCTGTCGGAACTTGAGTTTCAACCGGGGTAGATTCGGTTTAAAACCAGCCACGCGGATTTTGCAATAAAATTATCACCGTGCTGCGATACGATGGGTTCTACACAGGAAATCAAATCTTCACGGGGCACTATGGCTCACGAACATGCCCGCAAGCTCATGGCATATATGTACCCCATGTGTATGTTGGTTTCTTCACCTACACGATACTCTTCTCGTGTGCTTGCTCCCCCAACTGCCCCCGCCTCTGCCTAAGCCTCCTCCGCTGTGGTTTGTTGTTCTCAGGCGTTATCCACACAGGGGCGGATAGCATTTCTTCTACTACTCTGTTAGTCCCGTTCATAGGTCAACTTCATCTAGTGCGTACCAGCTCATCCTCTTGTAGTGGGCTTTGAACGTGGCTTCCATGTACGAACTGCGCGATATAGGTCTTGCCTTCTTCGTGAATCGCCAGATGAACGTCCGCTCGACACACACGACGATAGTCTTCTAACATGTCTATTATTGTTCCCTTCCGCCGATAGCGCTCCTGCATGAAGCTTTTACGCTCAGTCCACGCCTTGACAGCTCGCTTCCGGTTCGGGTCTTTCATAATTATCTGGCTTGCGCATAGCCGAGGTCTGGAGGATAAAGGCGATGTGGCGGGTCTGTCTAATATATACATGTATAGTTAAACATGTAATCCTGCTAAGAGTGAATACTCCCGCGCGGTTAAAAAAACCCCTCTCAAGATTTATGGTAGTTGTCTTTTGATTGGCTCGGCGATGAGTCCGGTCGCCCAAGCTTTTGCCCAGAAGCTTGACACATTAGTTCTTTTAATCCGAAAAGGTACCGAGTTAAAAGTTATTGTTAGATACACATGTTCATTGTTACCAGAAGTCCGCTAATCGCTATAGAAAGACAGAGCAGTGGCCCTCCAAATACAAAACGTGGCGCTGCTAGACAATACAGAATGCTGTGTGGTTGGGTCTTCCGCCACAACCCACTCAATTCACAAACTCATTGCCCTGACTGGTCGCTGGGTGTATACCTATGGCCTCTGGCTGTACATAGAGGAGAAATTTGGAGATGCGCACAGCTTGCGGACAGGGTGAATAGCACAGCCATCTCGCCGAATGCAAAGTTTGGCACCCTTAGGGACCGCACCTTGAAGGGGTAACTTGGTGACCTCAGTGCAACCGGCCTTGCAGCAAATAGGAGTACGAAGTCGCGAGGCGCACCGGGAAGATGGGCCCGAAACTTAATTTCAACATCCAAGCGTCAACTATGTAGTTGGTTAACTACTAAGTTTGACACACGCCTCCGCCGATAAATGAACGCTACCCAGTCGCTCGGTGTACACCTGCGAAAGCGTCCGAAATGGCATGTGGGTTCGTTTAGCCTACAAACTCGATCAACCTCCTGCTTTCATGGACCGGATAACTGCTGCATTTAAGGGTGAAGTCGCGCGACTCAGTTGGATACACCTCCATTCTCCTTTGTTCTTTCCCAACAGCCAACCCTGGCTACTGTCGACTTCTGTGTAACTACGCGGATAGCTGCAACGATAGGCCTCCACCACCACCGCAGATCAGCCAGGTCCGTTCGCTGAGTATCACTTGCGCTCTCGCCTTCATATTTCGTCTTATAGCCACTCTGCGCCCGGTTGCATGTCTTCTGCAAAGAGAGGCCTGCTCACGCCCAACAGAGGCACACCGTTCAGTTGTTCGAATCTACAGTTCAACAGGAAGGCCATTTCGCCGAGCGATAAAGTGCGGGGTCTCTGGCATATGCTTCGCGAAAAAGCTAGCGCTGACAGGACGAGCGCACGTCCAGGAGCAGAGAGTGGCCCGGCAGAATGTGTGACTGTTGTGAGGCTTACGACCACAAGTGCTCTGAACTCTGGACAGTGCGGAGCCCATGCGAAGTCGACATGGACTCCCAGAAGTGCACAGGCGATTCAGTTGGTGGATTTTCTTTCTCAGGCCACGACAAGGGCCTCCTGCCACCTCCGGAGGCAGTAGGGCACACTCCGATCACAAGCATTCCTTCCTCGGCATTATTCGAAAATCTTAGGAATGTCAGCTGGTCCAACGTAAAACGCCACACCCCGGTCTTCGTCTGCCTTTAGCCCTGAAACGATCTTTCAGAACGGTATCTTTCACCAGCGTTTCCGACTGCCGATCTCCTCGATCTTTCGATAAACCGATCTATACGTTTGAGGAGCTTGTCGATATCCATACGCCATGTGTTCGATACGGATATTACTGGAAGGTGTTCATGACCCTCCTCGAGACGGATGAGGTGCTGCTCATTAACCCCTCACACTCTTTCGACGCTCATTCACTCGGCGCTGGCGTGTCCAGCGTCATGTTCGAGAGCGCCCAGCTGGTTTGGCTGTGCCCTGGAGTTGGTCTGAAACGACTTTGCCAAAGGCTCTCGGGCACCACGCGGATGATACTTGACCTGGCGGGAACGGATTCGCCCTCGGAGGAGCGAGAGTCCTCGCAGCCTCGATAGACCTCCGCGTCAGGCAGATTCTTGGCACTCCTATGCCTTCCGGGATGTCTGACAACGGTACCCTGGCGCCCGCATCCAGTATCAGACCCTTATTCTAGAATCCCAATGTTTGGTGAAAGTTTGCCCCGGGCGCGGTCCGACGTGCCAAAAATTGGGCGTTGGCCAAGGCGGGTCGAATCCAGCATATAGGACGCTTCAGCGGCAAGAAAGATCTTCGCTTTCTGCGGGAACGGCGGGTAAGCCATAGCTATTTGTCTAAGAGGTTCATGGAGACTGCTAATCGCTGTTGCAGTTGCCTCCCCCGATCACAATTCCCACTCGTATTGTAATGGAGGAATCCGGAGCTAACATGATTTAACAGGCTCGTATGCAGTAACAAGTTAGTCATCTGTCAAACTCTGCCATTCGGCCAAACAGGCGAGCCCGCTAATTGGTGGCAGAGCTAGTGGTTATTTATTTATCTTTGGCATCATCCCTTGGTAGGGAGAAGAAATCTGTCAAATCATGTAGCTTAGTCAGCTTCCATCCGTAACGTACTTCACCACTAGATGACCATCACTACTAGATGACCATCACTACTAGATGACCACCTAATCAAAAATTTTTAGAAAGTAAAAAGTAAAGTAAAATACTAGATATCTAATAATAAAAATATTATATAAATAGAGAAAAATTTATAGATTAAGAATATATATATATTATATATATATTATAATATTATAATATACTAGGTAAGTCGAAAGCTTTGGCTTCCTCCTATAGCTAGCAGAGCTATCTATATACTAACGGAGCGAAGGAATCTCACGAGAAATAATATATACTAAGACCTTAGAATATTACTAATCCACCTGCGACGTCCAATAACTCGCCCTGTAATAGATAGTATCAGCGTATCACCAAGCTTCCTTTACTCGGCCTTTTTCTTACAGGGCGGTGACGACTTACCAGCCGACGTGGGCGTTCGATACATATCGCCGAGACCACGCTTAAGTAAGCAGGGAGCTCCCTCTACGGACGACCTCTCTTCTCCTGTCCTTCTCTCCTTACAAGTTTTCTCCTTGTTATCGTATACTGCTTAGTTAGTTGCATAGACTTACATTTGGCTGTTAACAATATTCGACATGTATAACTGTAGTCACTGTAGAGAGTGTTGTATGCATGGCGTGTGTACCCAGAGTGTGTCTGGCAATGGCCTCCAGGATATCTAGATATGAACTTGGGTCACTGTAGTAAGCGTCCAGGCCGCAGGAAGGGAGATGACGGTAAACACCGCGCAATGCATCGAAATAAACATTCTGGTAATGGCCTCCAGGAACACCAATATCAGGACTTGCAAGGCCTCTTCAAACCTAAGAAAAACAACCTCTCTGCTCGCACAAATCAGACTGATATCACACCTGCAAGCGCTGCACATCCGCCATTCCTCGATATAACTTGAGTAAGTCTTCTCTATATGCATTTCCAACGTGATATTGGCCTGATAACGCGAAAAAAAACATAAAAACGGACTGCTAACGAGCGTTGTGGTGTTTTTTAGCCTGTTCTGCTGTTTTTGTTGTGAGCACACAGTGAGATATGGAGCAATCGGTGAGTGGAGGTCATCGCCAGACACCCCCTGATATATACAATGCACGGAGTATACGCAGAGACGTCTCTGCGTGGATGCCATCACCAGACACCCCCTGATATGTCCATTGTCCATTGTACAGGGCGAATATATCACTCGATATATTCTCGATGTGCACAATCATTCGGCAATGTTGTATATACTAACATGTTATAGTCAACATTCACACCAGTCAACCCATCCCATATAGACCCTGCTCTCTTCGCGGCTGATATGGACGCAGCCGATTATGACAGCGACGGGGAACTGACAGACCTCTCAGGGGTTGATGTGGATGATAATATTTTCGACAACGAAGGGGACGAAGACAATGAATCAGGTTAGTGATGCCATCACCAGACCTGTCGATATTTATATTAATACGGGGTATAGGCACCATCACCATACTTCCGAAACTACACCTAATGGCCGAATGTGGCATCGACACTCATGAATCATTGGTAAGCTTCTTGCGTGGACCGACGATCCTTCCGGCCTGGCGCGACCTATATCTCGAACACATTCTTCCCTTGCAAAAGGGGGCCAAGGCGACGGGCAGACCAAGGCCAAGAGGCCCTAGCCTGAAGGATGTTCAGACTGCCATCATCTTGGGGGAACGTGACGGCCAGATGAGATACTCGAACCCTGACAAGACCGGATGGACCGCTGTGGATCACATTGCCCTCTTCTTGCACCGCACACGTAACCTGACCGTCAACCATCGTGACGGAATCTTCTTTGGTAAGAGCCTGTCCGCGACTCAACTGGACAGATATCTTTGGTCGTTCTTTACACTGCTCTCAGGGGAGCATGTCCCCTCTCGCCTTCACAGAAAGAGAGGGGGTGGTATTGCCCTTGTCGGTGACCTGGCAGCAGAGGCGGCCACTGCGGTAGAGGAGAACTCGACCGCCGTCAGAGACAGCACTCCCACCACCTCTCTCCCGACCGCCTCCCTCCCAACCACCTCACTCCCGACGACACCACTCGCACCCCCCATGTCCCCATCCCCTCGACCACCCGTGATGAAGACGAAGAAGCGGAAGGCAACGCCAGTGCCATCAACTCCGTCCAAGAAACAAGTCACGGACATAGCAGCAACGCAGGATGTTGACATGACAGACACTCCGACAGCCACCCCAACCCCCTCCCAGCGATGGAGGGACGAAATTCTCACTCCCAGCCGCCGCAACGCCCTCCTTGCCTCTGAACGCAGGGATATGAACAATCCATACTGGAAGATGCGCCTTCTCAGGTCAGCACTCCATCTCGCCACCCCCATTGATCCCCGGCCATCGGATGAAGACGCCATGCAGGACGTCGACGTCGACTTCAACGATACGCCCACAGCCTCCCAGCAGCCATCTCAAGGCACGCAGGCCTTTGATAACACCCAATACTTGACAGCAGAGAGTATTGATTGGCAGCTTGAGATGGCTTCGGACAGCCAGACCCCCGTCACGATTATGCCAACAGACTATTCGATCAGGCAATTTGAGGTCCAACAACAGTGGCTGGACAATCTTAACTACCAGCGCGAGAACGTGAAAGAGGCCTGCGGCTTTCTCAATATCCCAGTTACAACAATCCCGCGAATGTGGGGCATGCGGTCCGGCTTCACATTTAAATTCTGGCAGCCGGTGGCCATATGGGCCCTGTGGCGCTTCCGAATGGAGAAGCATCTCAACGGCGCCATCCTGGCCGATCTTGTGGGCCTAGGCAAGACCTGGGTCGTGATCGGATATCTTCTGCATGTACGTACCACACAGGCCCAGTCTGTGGATGGCATCACCAGACCACCCCTTACCTTATATATGTACTGACTGGTATGCAGAGACTCTTCACCATTGTCAACACCCCTCGTCCACGCCCGCTGTGCAAGCCTGTCCTCATCATCGTACCCCCCACACTTGTCTCGCAATGGGAGGCCGAGATCCAGCGCATCACACCGAAATTCCGTGTCGTCGTGTACTATGGTGATTCCCGCGCAGAGAACCATGGCGTGAAGGGCCGCCTCGAGGCCGATATGCCGATGTTCGACGGCGGCGATAAATGCGCAGATATCATCGTTCTTAGCAGCTATCAGTCCTTCAACGCTCGTCATGGCTCAGCGGAGAAGGCGGACTGGCTAAGAGAGCACCCCAACGCCAGATTCACCGACCGACGTTCATGGCGATACGATCTCTCAGGCCTCTTTGGCGATGTCATCCTGGATGAGGCTCATACCATTAAGAATCTCACAGCCCAGACAACCCACACCATCCTCTCGCTAAAGGCAGATTTCTACCTATGCCTCACAGCAACACCCCTCTTTAACTCCTTGCTCGACTTCCAAGGGTTCCAACAGTTCATCTTCACTCAAGACGCCGACTCTTCCTGGGATGGTGTCCCGGAAGACACTAATCCGTTCGAACAGCACGACTATAAACATCTCATCATGACCCCCCGTGCTATGGATTCATTTGTTTGGCACAAGGACGTATCCAGCAGCACGGCAGGCGCACGACTGGCCAAGGTGTGGGAGAAGTGCCTTGTGCGCCGTACCCTTACCTCTCGAATCCCCTTCAACACCGGCGCCGTCATCGGTGAAGATATCCCCGCGACACAACATAAAGTCGTCACTGCTGCCTTCTCCGACGCCGAACAGACTCGTTATGATGCCATCACCAAGCCCCTTTATCGAAAGCTGATGCGCAAGCTGCCCAACGGTAAGCTCGTGTGGAACATGGCCAAGTACCGCCAGCTAGCCCTGCTTACTTCCTGGCTTGACTTCGAGTACGTGCACAACACCATAAAGAGCAACAATATGCCCGCCGCCGTCCGCTACGCCAACGCCAAAAGGCTCCTGCCAAAGTGGCTCACCCTGATCGCCACCAAGACCCAGGCAGAGTGCGACGTGGAGGGCATGTCCGAAGAGGAGCAGCTGGCGGCGATCCTAAGAACATCCCCCCGCCTCCGTGCCATGCTCCCTATTATCGCGGAAGAGATCCTCCTATACAACGAAAAAAGCATGGTGTGGACCCTCTTCCCGGCGCAGCAGGTGCTCATCACAGCCGCCCTCCGCCTTCTCAACATCGACAGCCGTGTATACCATGCCGCCCTGACGACGAAGGAGAGGGCCGAACTGGTCCGAGAATTCTGCACATCTTCTACATCTGCAATGGTTCTCGTCTGCTCTTACTCTGTCAACTCCGCCGGCATGAACCTCCAGGCTAAGTGTCGCAACATCCATCTTTTTGACGCGGCCATGTCTGAGGCCATCACCCGACAAGCTATTGGCCGTTGTGCCCGCCTCGGGCAAACTCGCATTGTGAAGGTGTACGAGTATCGTGTGCCACGCTCCTTTAACATCCGGCAGGTGACCAACAACGTCCAAAAGGCCATCCCCGGCATGATCGCGGAGCTGAACAGAGGTATCTTCACCGTCGAAGGGAATGATGACGGGGATGTCGATCTCGGGCAGTGGGCTATCAACAGAGAGAGCGGGGAGTTCGTTAAGGTAACCGAGGGTGATGAATTGGGCCCGGGCTTCTTTGTCATTCCTCCAAACAAGCTGGTTAGGTACATGATGTCGGCCATGAAGGGGGAGCTCGCAGACATCGATGTGGAGGAAGGGGAAGAGTCCCATTAGTTAGCTTTTGAACATTGAAATAGTCTAGCAATTGAATTCAGTGATGCAGTCTTACAGTACATTTCCCAATCAATATATTGCTAGGCCGTGGATGCCATCACCAGACAGCCTTAGACGTCTATGTAGCTAAGTAACTGGCGGCCACGTTCAACTTCGTCGGCTACACGCTTTATCCAGAAGGTCCCTCTACCGGAAGAGAATACGGACATATCGAATTCTGTATCGAACATAATACCCGACAGAGACTTTACACGGGAAATAGATACGTACTTCAGGCCTGGGGCATATTCCGGGTAGTTGACGTCTATGACAGCCTTGTTCAGTGTCATCCCCTGGCTCTTGTGGATAGTAATAGCATAGGCAGGAGTTATGGCAAACTGACACCTCGAACACTGCTCTGCCATATATTTGAATTCGACTGTTGTGCGGAATATGGGCACAACTGGTCGGCCGTCATGGGGGTCAACGAACACGCCTGGGCCATCATATGCGTCAAGCTTGACGAGCACAACATACGGCATATTGGTCCTGACATCCGTGTCAGACTCCCATTGAATGTCGTACACGGTACCCAGTGCACCATTGACAACACCCTTCTCCACCCATATATTTCTGGTTAACATGACTCGGCAACCCCGGGAGATCGTTATCCGCTGGGCGAGGTTCTCAGCATCCTCGGTGGACACGTTGCGTCCAATGGAGTGCCCAAGATTCCTAGCTTTGACGCATAGAACAGGGTGCGGGTGGTCTTGGAGGATACGGTGGTTATATCTCCCAACGGCCTTCTTGGTGGCATATAGCCGTATGGCGCCATCAAAAGTGGCTACCTCCTCAGCGGACAGCCTGTGCTTACAGCGTGTGGTAAGAAGTTCCCAGTCCGCCCTTTCTAGTGAGCCGACGCGTAGATTCGCCAAGGCTGTACGGAACCTTGTTGCGACGTCGTTAGTTCCTCTCTGCCGCATAGCCTGATCAAGCCGTGCCGTCTTGTCTATAGCTAGATATCCACTGCGCCCGAACAACTTATCCTCACTAAGACGGCCCCTGCCGGAAACATCTTGAAAAAGAGCAACGTCCTTGACAGGAGGAAGCTGGTAAAAGTCACCAAACAGTAATATACTCCTGCCGCCAAATCTCTGATCATGGCACTCGGGGAAAAGCTCTCTAAGTCTGCGCTTAATATTGGCCATCATTGTTAAGCCAACCATGGACTTCTCGTCAATCACGACGTAACGGACATGTCGCACGGCGTCCTGAAGTGTAGCCAAGCTCCCAGTTGGTAGAGGGTTATAGCTAGACTTCATTGGAAGACGAAGTAGACTATGTAAGGTACGGCCGCCTATATTAAACGCAGCAACCCCCGTGGGAGCAGTTAAGGCAATAGGGCAGCGATCAGGATTGGCGCCCGGCAAGGAGTTGAAGTAATCAACAATGCAGTTAATAAGATATGATTTGCCGGTCCCTCCAGACCCATCGATGTTAACGCAAAGAGGCGGTTCATTACCATTTCGAATACACCGGCGATAGTGCGTAATAACATGGTCATAGATAAGCCGCTGTCCAGGGTTTAGTGTGTCGGGAGATATAGGGGTAGATATATCGCTGTTGGAACCATAGGCGTTGATCTGATCGCGCCACCATGTCGGGGGAATCTCCATTGTATTCGCGATATGAGTTGACCAGTCATACTCTATATCCATAGGACGCAGGACGAACCGTGGCTCTTCGTCGTTATTATCCGAATCCGCGTCGTCGGGTTCTACCTCCGCGCGTATCTGCCTCAGGGCCTGCCACGCCTCCAGGGGTTCGTTATCCAAAGGTTCTTCTTCCTCAGGCGGGTCAAATTGATCTTCGTCGGGCTCCTCTGTCTGCTCTAGGGTATCGAATTCGTGCTCGCCATGCGTAGCTCGACAGCGGGAAAAAGCCACTACCCACGTCATCTCGCTGCCATCCTCCGTCACGAGCAGGTCTGCCTCGCGTCTGTATGGATGATGTAGCAGCATCTTTACCCGACAGTACTTGCTGTAGTCGTCGTGAAGCGGATCTGGGCTATATCGTGGATAAAAGTTGATACACCTCGCCTTCGCCCTGGGCCGACGCCTCCACTGCCCTATGTGGTTATAGTGCCTGAGATAATCGAGTAATGTGATGTCCTCGCCCTCCTGTGGCCTAGATTGGTATTTCTCCCATGGGGTTCGCGTACGTCTGATTTCCCGCTCCGGTGTAATCTGGGCGACATCTGACGCTGCCCTCTCGGGAGCACACTGCAGTTTGATAACTTCACGGCTTGTCTGGACCAAGCCGTCACATAGGAATAGGTGGCAGACCTCCTGAGCGGACCAGTCCCGTTCACCTACTAAACTATTCAACATCTTCACTACAACAGTCCTCATCGCCGGTCCACGGCGGGAGTTCTCTATACCGCCACAGACGCTGGATGCGATCTGTGCGTAGGACGTGGACTTGTGCTCCTCCTTCGTACAGTACTTGGCGGCGTACTTCAACACCTGGGAGAGGCTTGTGGAAGGAGATAGGTCGGTATTAGCGCTCCAACCCATAAGGACCAGACCATTAAACTGCTGTAGTAGCTCATCATTCCGTTCGGGTGAAAACTCCCAGCACATGGCGCCTCCATTATCACGGGGGGTAACCGCGGCAACCGTCCTCAAAGGCCTGGGGAAACGGAACCGACATCTTAACTCTTTTGTCCTCTTGTCCTTCCGCAGACAATACGCCGGGCTGTGACGTGTATGTCTATTGACGCGATTGAGTAAGGCCGTTGCACGGTCAATAGTATTTCCCTAGTCACCGTACATTAGTATATATACGATATGGCCGGTCTGGTGATGGCATCCACAGACTGAGTATATGTTATATCGCTTCCGTTGCGGTGACCGCGGAAGGCGTGATGCCATCGCCAGACTACTTATAAGAGGATATATATCCTTACCTGCTGATGGATGGGTATTGAGCAAGGATGGCGCGCATCAGGCCGCCTATGGACATCAGGGTTGACTGCAGTGAGGTGTTGGGACCAATATTCGGCGAATTCCTGCCTAAATTCAGGAGTTGACATATTAGGATGAGGTGTATCCTCACACCATAAGAAACTGTGGATATGACCGCTACCACGTGACTGCCACTTATACCTGAACCAGTGGTCGATCACCTTGAACTTCGGCTTGAGCACACATTTAAAGAATGTATTGAAACGCTTCTCAAGGTATGCGGAGGCAATATGAGGATTATCTTGGAGGTTCTTATTCGCGATTCTTGACCTCTCAAGATCACTCCCCGCTTCCCTCCATTCACGATATCGAGGCATGTGGCGTTGTAAATCTTCCCATTGGACGTCAGCCGCGCTAAAGGTGACAAATAGGCAGTTCACACCGAGCCATCTCGCAATGGTCTCGAGTTTGTACCGCTCCCCGTTCCAGAACGGGCGGGTGCCCTTGATAGGCTCGGCACGTCTCATAATATGCCGAAGTAGTGTGGAGTTTTCCGTCTGTAGAAGTTCCTGCCTTATCTTATCCATTGTGAGATCCGCAGTGTCCCGGTTTTGCTTAATATACCAGTTCGCGGAACTAAACGTCTGTTCCCTCAGCATCTGGTTAAACACGATATAGCGGAATTCTGGGTGGCGAGCGAAACGTCCGTCCTTATACCGCAGCATATGGATAACCTATTTATAGAGTGTTACCTTTACCGGACGTCCTATACCAAAGTCGGCTATACCGTTGGGGAAAAGTGTAGGGAAGATGAGAGAGTACAGGCGGCGGGTGCCTGAGAAGTTTGACACAGGAGTTGGCCGAACGGATGGCATGGGTATCGACGGTAAAGGGGATGCGTCACGCTGTGTAGACTCGTTAATATGTCCAGCAAGAAGATCTGCATGTTCTCTCTCCGTGGCTCTTAGGTTCGGTACCACGCCTGAGGCTCTGGGGCCGCTATCGGGTTCAGCATCCGGGTCATTTATCGGGAGACTATCCTCTGCAGCCGTATCGTCGTCGGCAGGTTCCTCGGTGGAAAAAAGCTCATCTAGGATATCTGCGTCCTCAGGCAAGGCCTGCGCGTTCTCCTGGCTGATCTCAATGTCGCTATACCCTGGGTGGTTCCGTTTTAGGTAGTGTAACCACGTTTCAACGTAACGACGACGCACCCGTAAATCGACGGCAAGAGCCCTTCTCACATTCGTCTCAATAGGGTGGCCGGGAGGCATATGTGGTTTAACGATAATAATATTGAGATCAGACGGAAGCCGCGGTAAACGCGTCGCAATAGTCTGCACATTCTGCATAAAACACACTATATGACCTGTATACCGATACTGCTGACCACGCACGCGTCTGACCTGTATATGAAGATTTATACGCGCAATTAGTATCTCTTCAATAGGGGTTAACTTGGGCAAATTAGGCATAGGGAGAGGATCCATGAGGTTGGCCGCGGATAATGGTGCAATCTCATTCTTTTGTAATGCTCGATCACAGCTTGTACAGTAGCCACGGCAACTTAGCTTAAGATCGAACCATTTTTCATTGCAAGACTGACACTCTTGAGGGATAATATTATCTAGCCCCTGGTAGAAGTCTTTTATCCAACCCCAGTCCTCGTCTGGAAGTATCCTCCCTGCCGAACTATTTGTTTGTTGTGATTCGCGTTCCATCGGAGTTGTTGCTTGAGCAAGCGGCGGAATAGGTGCTTTAGGAATAGTAGTATGACCCCCGATATTACCTCGACGAGGACGGCCTCTGCCACATCCCGAACCGCGTGGCCTACCTCTCCCTCTCCCTCTCCCTCTCCCAGTCGCGTGTGAAGTGGAGCCATTGTGATTATCTTGTTCTGTATCGGGGGAGGGTCTGTATAAGCTATCCGCAGATGAATCCGTAGTAGGCGTACTCCGCAAGCTCTGTATATTTGAGAGCTCGGCAAGGGGGGGTCTGGTGATGGCATCCACAGACTGGTCCTCATTAGATATATGATATATATAACTGGGGGGTACAGATTTCTCACTTACCTCTGGGCTAACTGTGGGAGAGCTCGGAATCGGGAGATATTGTGATGGGTGAATAGGCGTGGGAAGAAGAACGTAAGGTAGTAAGATAGGCTGTGGTAATTGTTGGGGCTGTGGTAAAAGGGAGGGAAGGATTTGATACTGGGATGGATGGAAAGGGGGTGACACGAAAATATCGAAATTTCGATTAGGACTGATGCGAGGGCGTTTCCGAGTCCTGGTTTGCTCTCGGCAATGCTGACATGTAGAATATATATCTGAAGAGAACGACTGTTGGTAACGGCTGCATACTGGCATACTGCATAAAAGAATTGGGAATTGGCCTGCATATATATGGTCCAAGGAACGATGAGGTGAGAACGCGGATAGGGGGAGACATATTGTATGTAAACAATGACTAAGCCGCCAAGGCACTACTTATGCAAGGTTGCAAGTATCCAATCAAATGCTCAGAATCCAACCAATCACGTAATTTACAGCAGACCCACAAATACGCACTTTCGACCCCTTCTTGAACCCACTTTTTGGAATACAATATACTTCGCTTCGCTCCGTAAATTAATATATATATTCTTTTAATACTAGGTCAAAAGCCTAAGCTTTCTCCTATAGCTAGCAGAGCTATCTATAAGTAATGGAGCGAATGTATTCAATATCGATGTTCAAAAAAGATCACGTGACCTGATGACTAAGATGATGACTAAGCACCCATCCAACATGTCGATGACTAAGCACCTATCCAACATGCCGATGATTCAACATGTCGATGACTCAGCATGATTCAACATGTCGATGACTAAGCACCCATCCAACATGTCGATGACTAAGCATCCATTCAACATGCCGATGACTCAGCATTCATTCAACATGTCGATGACTCAGCACCCATTCAACATGTTGCTGACTCAGCATTACTATTCAAATATTTTGATGGGGTAAGATGACTAAGCTGCCAAGCCACTACTTATGCAAGGTTACAAGTATCCAATCAAATGCTCAGAATTCAACCAATCACGTAATTTACAGCAGACCCACAAATACGCACATTTGACCCCTTCTATATATCCACTTTTTGGAATACAATATACTTCGCTTCGCTCCGTAAATTATATCTTTATTAAGGAATATTTTAGAATTAAAATTATATATTTTTTATATTTTTATCTTTTATCTAGTATATTTTAAGTTTATTTTATATTTTTTTGATTAAGTGGTCATCTAGTGGTAATGGTCATCTAGTGGTGGAGTACGTTATTTGGAGCTCGAAATCTCTGCATGTACATACAACGAGCAAGCTCTCTAATACATTCAATTACATCGGTTATATCGCCTTAAAACACGTTTAACCAATCATATGCCCCCTTTTTGCTGCTCCGATTTGACATATATTTACACCATTTGCACCACCTCAATAGACACCAGCAAATTTCTTTGTTTTTCAGTCTCGTTCAGCGACTACCAGCCTAGAAAATAGCAGTCTTCTTGGCAAACATTGAATATCCTGACGGGATATTATTCTAGCAGCAAAATGTATATTTCGATTTCCTAACTACAAGCTATACGCGGCTGTCTTCAAGGAGGCTAAATATTTCTACTGCCTGTTGCTTGTACGCAGTTGGAGGAGCCTTATATTTTGTGTTGCGATTTTTACTACACCAGGCACGTGGATAGTAAGAATTATAAATAAAACCTCAATGCTATTGAGGCAATGACTTACAAATTTTTGGTCGATAGAGCTCAGTTGAATGCTTTTCAATCATAAGTAGCAGGCAGAGAAGCCATTTGAAATCCCTTCATGATTGTAGGAATGCCACATCCCTCGGCTGCGTTCAGTGAACTTTAATTGGCTAGTTATGCTTAGCGCAGGCTAGTATCAAGTTCAATGAGCGGGGTAAAGCGAAGTACGTCATGTGCCTAGATAACTTAGCCGCCCTTTGCTTTCCTGTTTCTTCTTTCATCAATGTGAATTTATCGTTTATGATTCTCAAATTATGGCGACACCCAGGCGTAACGGGAAATTGTCGTCATGTGAACCATGTCGTATATCTAAACTCCGATGTGATCATTCTTCCCCGGTGTGTAGTCGATGCATTGCACGTTGTCAAGAAGACCAATGTATCTACCACCCTGCTCCTCTCACTAGAAGTCAAAAGCCAAGTGGACTGGCAAAAAGGGGTTTAAGAGTGGTCCCGGATAACCATACTAAGGCGACGGTGCCCCATCAGCTTTATGACTGGATATACTTAACGCCTTCCGTTCCTAGTCATGGATTTAGATCGAACCAAATCACGAATGAAGACAATGGACTTTTCGAGCATTCACTGGATCTTGGACTTCCGTCTAGCTCCTCATCTGCCTTGATCACTACGATATCTGATAAGAGACGGATAGAAATAGGGGCACAAATTCTGTCGTTGCTAGACAATCTTTCCTTTTATGGAGATGTGCTCGAGAGGCGTTTCACTCTCTTTGAGGGATGGCTATTTGGCCCGCAAATTACACGCGAGACTTTACAAAGGCTGAAATTTTCTTATAATGATGCTATCCGAGGTTCAAGGCCTGATAACACACATGCCCATCTATTGGAGTGGTCAAAAACCATATTTCGAAACACAGCTACACCCATAAAGACCTACCCAGAAATGGAATTTCCGGAGTATGTTTCGATCATAGCACCGAGATGGGAAACAATTGGACTCATCTTTGCCTTACTGGGCACTGCAACTTACCACATTCAACTCGATGACACAGTGCTCCAAGATGACGAATCGCTGGAGAAACGCAAACAAGATCTGCGGGCTACAGCGGTAGCAGTTAGTGATATGTGTCTACAGTTTTGTAACACTGTAGCTGCAATTAGTGATCCCCTCTGCTGGGCAACAATGCAGCATACTTCTTTTATGGTAGAGATGCATGGCTCCACCGGTGAGTGTCCCGTATAATCTTCTGCATAGCCTGCAACTCATAGCCTCGAAGACCACAGAACATGGCAACGATTAGGAGACGTGACGACGTTGGTATTTGCCCTTGGTCTTCACCGTCGTGAACTCGACGAGCAAGCCCCATTCTTCCTTACTGAAATCCGCAAGAGAGCAATGATTGCAGCATATTCCATGGATAAAATGCTAGCAACCTTTCTGAAGCGGCCGCCTCGGATTTGCCGGCAATATTGCCACTTCCATACACCCCTACACATTCACTGGCAGGATCTATTAGGTGATGCATCTATTCGGGATGCTGCAATCAAGCGGCTCGACACTAATGGCTGGGATAGTCGTGGAGACCTCGAAAGTGCAAAACCCCGAGTCTCTATGCTTGTAAGTATCATTCGAGAGATGATTCTAGAGATTTCTTTCAGCCATGAGGTGGATAATTTAGAGTATAAAGTCGAGTCAGTTTTCACTTTTTCACTTCGAGCTTTCCGTATAGTCTGACCTTCGTTGATCGTACAGAGAGATCCGTCACGAATCTAACCAAATGCGCCTCAGCCTGCCACCTTTCCTACAATGGTCGCCAGCCAATAAAAACCCATTAGCAACCTCTCTGCATCTCGAGTTTCTGTATCAGAATTTCCTTCTATATCAGACACTCACAAAACGCACGGGAAGCATATCCAACTCGCTAACAGATACTGCACATCAAATCCTGACTCTGGTCCTGGATACAGTCTCTAAGCAAACTCAGACAGGGACTGTTAATCATTTCACTATATATGATGTTAGTGGCTCTCACAAAAACTGAAAACACATTTCTGTAATTTTGCTTACCCCTGCTCCCCTAGCTATGCTACATCGGTTTGCCGGCCGCTGGAGTTTTGTCAAAAGAGCTACTCCGCTGCTCACAAGAACCCACACGCATATCGATGAGAGAAACATCCCTCCTCCGCTCAGAAATTATTCAGCGACTCAGCGTCTTCGCTGCGCAAATAGAAACCTTTTTTCCGAATAGAGAAGGTGACTATGATACGTGTATGAAAGGGCGTGTTTTCATTCGACAGGTTCTCGACGCTGTCCTCATACCTAGCACAGCAGCCACTTGTGCCCCTGAGCATGAAGTCACTAGAGAAGACGAAGATGCCTTAGCAGTGGGGCACAATGCTGGCGACATAGATTTTTTGGGTCTGATGGAGGATTTTGACTGGGAGCAAGAAATACACCCATTTCTTAGTTAAACTGGTTCAACGCACCTATGGTTAGCTAAAACATAGACCTACCGTTTTAATAATTGGAAATATCAAATTGAACAGTTCATCATTGCTGTTTGCACCTATAAAACTGCCTTTGTCCGCGATCAATAGCTCCCCAAGAAAGGCGACAGGAAGCTCAGTATGCCTACTTCGCCAAATCTCTTCCTACAGCCTGAGACCAGGAAGATCACAGAAGACCAGCTTATCGTTGAGGTATAGGGAATATATACTGGACTAGTTGTGAAGGAGAAGTGCATTGAAATCGAGATGAAGCAGCTTAATAACCGGTCAGTTCTGAGTAATGAACAGTGGGAAGTTCTAATTGCTATTCACAAGACCCTGCTCCGTCTGCATCATGATTCTGCTCCATAGAAGCTAAGAAATCTAGCTACAGCTTACGGTATGCCAGTGAGGATGTGAAAACATGGAGTCCATTCTTTCTTAAAACTGCTACAACATCGACTACTGGGCTCTCTAAAGCACATGGTCTCTTTAACCTACATCTCCTACTCAATAATGACATTGGCAAGACGAACAGGGGTATAAATGGAACCACTACACCGTTATTCACAAGTTAATCGCCCGTTCCCCACCACAACCAACTGCTCCGATAGCATGCTAGTTGACGTGCCGATCTTATGTATTGCCGATGGGGCAACAGGCTCCGATGATGATTCTTGGCGGGTTAATGGGCGAGATAGGAGTTAATTCGTTTCTTGTGACGCGATGATTTAATATGTAACGTGACTCACCACTAAATGCCCACCACCACTAAATGCCCGCCTAATCTCAACGCTCAACTCGTTCGATCAAGCTGTAAATATCGATATATCTCAACGCAACGTAAGTAACAAAGTAAATAAATTATTAAATAACGATAGTAGAGTTCTAAATTACATAGAAAATAGTATGGTTAAGAAAATAAACGAGTGTTGGGCTTGATATTTCGCCCCGCACGACTTGTGCTGGGTTGGGATACAAAAAAGGGTACATGAGGAACAGGATCAACAAAAGCAGCTTTCCGAGGTGATTTTGCCTTATTTCCTAATCGGGAAGGTGAAATAGGCCTTGAAGCGTTGATTTGGGCCTTTTCGGCCTTCTTAGCCAGTCGCTGGGCTTCCTGTTCACCGGCCTTACGCTGCCGTTCAATCGTAGCTTGTTCGCGCCGAGCAGCAGCCTCTATCTTTGCCTTCTCCCGGGCCTCTTTTTGCAATTGCTGCTTTGCAAGCCTTTGAGCCTTCTTCTCTGCAGCTTCCTGAGCTTTAATGTCCTTTTGAATCGTACGTTGAAGCTTTAATTCTTCTGCTTGAGCAATTTTGTCCTGTTTTTTGGCCTCTTCTTCCGCTATTCGATCTCTTGCTTGTTGTACCTTCGAAGGGGAAAAAAATTGAGCCTGGCCAGCATATTCCTTATCGAATAAGCCTATGCCTTTACCTCTCCTCTTTTGTGTTCGTTTAAGCCGTAGAGCATTCGTAAGAGCCTCATTTTCATGTAATAAGAGCTCCCTATCAATAACAAGCCTCTCACTGGCGCGAATAAGTTGAGATACTTCAGTATAATCGGATGACTGTGGCAGATTTATATTTCTAACAACGCGACGGAGGCTTTTGGCTGTAATAGGTGTAGAAGGAGTAGGCTGAGTAGGATAAGTATCTGGAGGAGTTTTTGGCCGGTTATTAGCGAATATCTTGAGCTGCTTCGAGGTAAGAGGATAAATGCCAGTTGCTTCAAACCCGGACTTGATAATCTTCTCTATAAGAGCCTTGCACCATGCCTTATAAAATAACTTCCAGAAGTTGCGTTTCTTCATTGAAGTATATCTATAGCCAGAACGGAGTAGGTGGTCAACTTCCTGCGTATATGCCTTAGAAAGTGGACCAAAGACTCCAATATCTAGTGGCTGTAACCGGTGAGTTGAATGAGGAGGCAAAACAACAAGCAGGATACGATTTCGATCTGCGTAGTCAACAAATCTCATATTAATATGAGATGAGTGCCCGTCCAGGATAAGAAGCCTTCTGCCTCTACCACTCTTCGTATGCCTATCAAATATCTTCTCAAGCCAGACTAAACCAAAGTCATCGTTGCTCCAGCCATTTGGTGACGTTGCAAAGTACGCAGTTTCTTCTTCCGGATTAAAATCATCGAGCCAGGTGTCTTGTAGATCTCCTTTACCCTTATAAATGAGTGTAGGAGGAATTCTTCTACTATCCGCAGAAATAGCAGCAAGTAGAGAGATAAATTCGCGAGATCTATCTTGAATAGCACCAATCCTTCGATTTTTAAGAGTCTGGAGAGGGATAATACGTTTAACAGCATGTCCAAGCCCAATAAGGAAGCCTTTCTCATCGAAGTTGTAAATATTGTCCGGGGTAATATTATATTTCTCGATTATATCTCTAAGCTATTAAAAGTAAATAAGAAGTTAGTATATATATATTTAGTAGTAAAACGTCTATTAAATAATACTTGCAGACTTGTAGAAGTGTTCAAAATGCGCAGAGTTATCAGCAATGTGCCTCTTTTGATCGATCGTACGAAGATAGAGACATTGTATTCGATCCTCATGTCTCTTGCAGAACCTGGCCACCCAATTCACTCCTACAGGCTCTTTTATAAGCTCGTATACGAGATTTCGAACAGTTTGGGGCGTAGGAGATAGGCCTCTTGCCGCTAATCGATTAATATGCTGTAGGAGGACTTCTTCTTGCTTATCTGTAAGAGTCTTGCGATATTTTGATGCTGCTTCGGAATGGGACACTGTTTGGCCTTGATAACGGCGCGCAAGGGTTCTTCGATCGATATTCCACTTTTTTGCAGTTTGTGAGTAATTAGGAACCTCTTGCGACTTTAATTCTTCAATCGCAGCAGCAATTGCTGCCTCATTGGCCATTTTATGGGCATTTCGAGTAAGTGGTAGAGGGGTGCAGAGATTTACAAAAGGCTGGGCATTTAGTGGTGGTGGGCATTTAGTGGTGAGTCACGTTATGTAATTAACTGTCAATTTTTGTATTAGTCAGCTACATTTCGCTTGGCTGAAGCCTCGCACATTCGATAGAGCTCAATATCATCATCCTCCTTTTGACAGTTATGACCCCGGTTTGCAAGCAGAGATTAAGCCTATTTCCACGTTATTTTGATCTCTGCTGACCTCTTCCGCTCGCAATAGAACTAGGAGTTGATCCGGTGCCAACGAAATAGGCAAGAACATCTGCTCAGCCAGGGCCTGAACCAACATCAAGGATGACAACAAGGATTGTGCTCAGGGATGTGTGGGATTGGGAGGTCTGGTATGGGATGATGATGGGCACAGCTCAAGCCCAGGGTATAAGGGAGTTTGTGGACTTACGGATGAGTGCCAAAACACCAGAGATGCCTAAGAGCCCTACACCAAAGGATGCTCTCAGGCCAGGGAGGGTGGTAACCAGGGTGGTACCCCTGCAGAACCAGTCCCTGCAGAGGATGTGACTGAGTTTGACCTGGATGAGAGGGAATACCAGAGGTGGACAAGGCTGTATAGTGACTACCTAAGGCAGTTCGCTATCTATCAGCAAGTAATGAAGGAACTCGGTTCTTTTCGACTCCAGATCCCTTCCTCTGTGGATAGAGGCCTTGTGGAAGATATTGCTTCCCATTCCACACCAATTAGCATGTTAAGGAAGCTCCAGGATCGACTTTGCCCTACTAAAGAGGACAGAGCTATCCAGGCAGTCAAAAGATACAGGAACTTGATGGAAGGTGGAAGGAACAGAGACCCTGTAGGATGGGTGGGTGACTGCATGAAGGTGTGCCAGGACCTAGAGAAGATGGAGGTAATACAGGCTTTCCTAATAAAGCAAGACTTCCTGGAAGCCAACATGAGGATGGATGAGGCCTTTACTGTGGCTGTAAAGCTACAGATCTCAGATACAACCACATTTAGAGACCTTGCCCTCCTATTTCAGAGGCATTACAGAGCTAAAGCTCCTTCTACAGACCAGGCATTAGCCTTTGCAACACCAACCCTGCAAGGGAGACCTCAAAAGACACCACCAACCTGCCTCTGTGGCCAGATCCACTGGTTCAAAGACTGCTGGTATCTTATACCATCCAGGAGACCTGCAAGCTGGCAAGAGAACCCAGACATAAGGAGCTGAAACCCAAGAAAGGACAGTCCAGCAGGTATAATCTTTGAATGAGGATCTACCTACTCTTGATGACAGTTATATTCTTAGCTACGGTCGGGGGATTTCGATCCAATTTCGGCGCTTAGACTAACTAAGCTTTCTAGATACCTACTGCCCTTTAACTACAATAAGCGGAATATATATATGTAAGGGGTTGGACCCCTATTCCTTTCTCGGGTCACTGCGCGCTCCGTAATCGACGAGGCAGCAAGGCCTGTCTGGAGATGCCATCACCAGACTCCCCCTTTTTTACTCTCGCGCACGTGACCCTCAACACGGTCACATGACCTCAACGCCTAGTGGTTATATGGGGGGGGGTCCGGGTGGTGTTATAACCCGGGTTACTACGTACGTTATGCCAAGCCGCAGTGTAACCGATTATGTAAGCAGTTATAGCTTTATTGCGTATTACCGCCACTCAGGCCTCTCAGCCCAGCTCTGCTCTGCTCTGCTCTGCTCTCTCTACTCCCCCCCCTGCACCCCTGTATATTTCGTACATACAATGGGCTAATGCGGCCAAATAAGTGAACAGATAGGTATTTACCTTACTATATACCGTACACCCTATTTCCGACCTTTATATTACCCCCTTTCCTCGTCCAGAATGGACCGTGCAGACGGCAGCATGAGTGCCCTGGACCGGCAGTCCAATATCAACGTTGCCCTGTTCGAGAACCAGGAGCGTACGCTCCTATATACCCAAAAGAACCGGCCTAAGAATACGCAGATCGCGTACAGTGCCCGGCAGGAGGAGTGGAGAGTACGTACTCCCCTTTCTTACTACTATCTCCCGTCTCTTATCCCCCCGGCCTGGCTCCCTATCAGGCTGATATATACATATCCTTATATCCCACTGCCGCATGTCTACAGGCTGACTGTACGGTATATCGATCGATTCCAATCCCAATAGGCATGGTGCCAAAGGGTTGGATTTGCGGACGGAGAGATTGTGTCCGAGCCGAAACTAAATATGTTCTTGCAGGAGGAGGTTATGTATAGAGAAATCAGGCCATCTCGATATAAGAAGAGCCGTACGAATATAGAGGGGGAGTCCGTTAAATAGACGCTATCAGAGGCATCGATCAAGGCGTACATTGCCGCTCTGGTGGACCTCTGGGGCGTACAGGTCAGCATGAGGACAAATACCCATGCATCCCCCAGGGGTGCACTGGTAAAGGGCCTGATTCGTACACGCAGGCAGCAGGAGTCAAAGAGGAAGAGGGAGCAGTACGAGGACCGTGGCCTCAACTCCCTTCAGGATGGATATACCTCTGCTGAATTCGTACGGCTCATCCGATTCTGCTGGTCCTCTGGGTACAACGTTTCTGGCCAGCTGGAGCCGTTCCTCCGTACGGCGGCCGACCTTCTCCTTGCTCATACCCTTCTCCTCCGTGGTGAGGTACGGCGTAAGGCTCAAATGGCCGACCTCTTTACCCTGACTCTGGATAATGAGGGCCCAACTCCCTGCCATGCCATGGTTGTACTTATAGATAATGGCAAGACGAACCAGGATGGCCGCCGCGAGTACGGCACTGCTATACGGCATAAGAACCCCCTTCTCTGTACGATGGCCAGTATTGGCTTCTACTTCTTTATGCGCTGGAATATTATGGGGGAGACACCACCCAACTTCCAGCGCCGGGAGCTCTGGTACGACCTTCTTGTCATCAAGGGCCAGAGTAATGTTAAGCCAATTGCGTACGAGACCCAGCTGCAGTGGTCGAACCGTGTGTACAAGGGGATCGGCCTTGGGATAAAGAAGAAGACCCATGCTGGACGGTCCCAGGGGGCCAAGTTTGCTGAGTTGGCAGGAGTAAATGAGGGCCAGATTCGAAGGGCTGGACGGTGGAATTCTGACTCTCTTACAACTTCCTATCTTACTAATATTCCCAGGAAGTTCGTACGTGCAATGGCAGGCTTCCAGCCGGTAGAAACAGGGGCGTACTATCTGCCGCGTACAAAGATTGAGCCGCCTGCATCCCTCAAGCAGGCACTCTGGCCTTGGGTCGATGAGTGGCTGCTCTGGCAGGCCTCGTACACCGGCTCTGGCTCTGAGGACGTACAGCTGCCTCCAGAGTCAGTGAGGTTCGATAGTGGGAAGGTGGACCACGGGGATCTTGCCTCGCAGGGGTTCCTCTATCTGCTTGACTATCTTCGTACAGTCATTCTGCAGGACTCTGTTCTATTTATGCAGGAGTTCCCCGGCCATCCAATATGGAGCCACTCCCTCTTTGCACGGGATGACTACCTCTGCTTCTCCCAGCTTGTACGAGACTCCCTGATAGATGTGGAGGAGCCGCAGGATGTCCAGCTTCGCCGTACGGTTCCTGCCATTGCCACGCGGCTGCAGACCATTGAGCAGTCCATTGTGCAGACTCTCAAGGTATCAGAGGAGCGGAATGTTGGATTCCTACAGACAATTGATAGGAATATCAAGGATATAGTGGACGGTACAGTGTCTTTCACCGTACGAGCCAATGCTCCAGGCTCGCCTCTGTCCGCTGCGGCCACTGCCACCGCCACTGCCGCCTCCACTCCATATGCTACTCCTAGGTGTATGCATGGAGCCATTCCCCATCCTTCCTTGTCCCCTTCCTGCTCCCCTCACCCCCCCTCTTCCTCTGCTGCAGCAGCCGCTCCCTATACTGGCCCCCCGCCCCTTTCTATGGGCTTCTCTCAATCCCGTACGATTGGAACCGTTATGGATCTCTGGCGAGAGTGGGCTGAGGGCCTTGGTGGCCGGCCGTCGGTACAGAGCATGGAGGAGGCATATGGGCCTAGATGGCGCCGCCACCGTCCTGGGGAGAGCATAATGTTCTCCCGCAGGAAGGTAGTAGTTGATGAGATCGTACGGAGGCAGCGCGTACAGAAGAAGAGCCTGTCCGTTGTTATTGAGGAGCTGGAGACGGTACGGGTAAAGCATGGCTTCTCATTAAATGCCTTGGTCAAGCACCTCAAGGAGATAAGGAAGCTGGCCTAAGGGAGTTAGTATAGGACATCTAATATAGAATATAGAATATGGATTGGTGTACGCTACTCTGTTCCTTACCGATATATATTTTTAAATAGGATTGGCCTCTGGCCTTGATAGATGTAGGTAGTAATAAAAAAATACTCTTTTCTTATACTTATACTCTATATATTAAGGTGTTGCTTGTACGTTGTCACTAGAAGAAAGGCTTCCTAATCGGGTTAGGCTGTACACGCTCTCGCTACACGTTGATATCAGCTTTGGCCTCACCTCCTCCCTCTTTTCTCCTTCTCTTCCTTCTCCTCCTCAGCCTATTCCACGTACACGTCCGGTAAGTCATCCCTTTTGGACACTATTCTATCCTCTCTGTACTCGTTTCATCGTCCAGAGCCGAGCTGCAGCCTATCCTGCCATCTGGGCCACGTCTGGGAGTCCTTGTACTGATATCCGGCCTGGGAATATGTGTACAGAATAGAATATCAGGTATGTTATGCCCTCCCCCTCCCCCCTCCCTCTTATCTGCCCTCTGCCCTCTGTACGATGCAGCAGGCATAGATATAGAGAGGGATAGGGGGGAATAAATACTATTTGTACAGCCATAGGCCATAGTATACTAACTAGGTGGGTATAGGATAGATTCCAATCAATTAGTACCCCTATACTCTTTCTCTCCTCTTCTTCTTCCTCTTTTGAGATGTAAGTACGGCCTATTATCTATAATATCCTATCTATCCGTCCATAATATAGCATATATTAGTAAGGATATACTAATAAAGGATGGGATAATAGGCCTTTTAACAACAACACTGCTGGGGACGGGATGTAAGTTATATATCTAGCACCCTCCCCCACCCTGCTCTGCCCCTATCCCTATCTAATACTGTACAATGCACGGCACGGGTATACTGACATGGATATAGGGCCCTTGTGCTGTACGACCGCCAGATCGCCCGGATGACGGACACGCCTGGTATCCTCAGGGTCGGTGGCCAGGAGCTTGCCCCGTACGTCCACAATGACTTGGGCCGTGCGGTATTGTCCCTCCCGGGACTCCATGTGCGCTATGTGCCGTACAGCATAGATGCACGGCAAATACTATCGCATCGGGCCTCGTACATTAACGGCCTGCTGGTCCAATCCAGAGGGAGGCCTGAGGTGCATGCCTGTACCGACTGTCGGGGACGTACAGGTCTCAGGCCTTTCACAGAGTGCGTCCGGTTCCCCGGCCACTTTGGCGGAGCATGTGGTAACTGCAAGTGGCGCGATCGTGCCTCCCACTGCTCCGTACGGGACGAGATACAGCAGGCACGTACGGAGGTCATAGTCCTGGACGATGACTCTGGGGATGGCCGCCAGGTCATTGACCTAACGGGCGATGGGCCGGTACGACGGCCAAGGGCCAGAATAACTGGAGGAGGAGATGGGTCTTCGGCCAGCAGGGCCATTGTGCTTCTTTAAATGGGTAAGGACATGATTTCATTGATATCTTTGGACTGAGTGACTGCGTTCCATTTGGATTTGGGGCTTTTGCCCTACTGCACCCATCCCAGCCGTACGGGCCCTGTGTACGGCACCCTGGGCATGGCCTGCACCTCTCCGTGGTGCCTGGGACGAGTAGTCGAGCTTCAATGTACGCCCTCAGCCTGCATCTTGCAGTGCAATGATGGATGGGCAGGGAGCATGTACAAGAAGAGCTCGATGAAACTAAGCAGGCCAGGCCTTATATAATGATTACATGTACGTTGATTGATTGGATGAGCTTGCTCGTACTAAAATTAACCTGAGGCATAACTTGCTGCTCGCCAAGCGGCCATATAACCCGGTTATATGGGGGGGCGCAGGCGTACGGCAGGCAGTTGTAACCGGGTTATATGGTGGGCAAGTTATAACCTGCGCTAACTTACACCTTCTATACCTAAATATACCAGGATAAAGTTGCCGGCTCTTTATTCTGTACGAGTGCTGAGAACAACTCTGATACAAAATACGAGCGATTATTTGTGGAAAAAAAAAAGATCGTGAAGCGAAAAGATGAATATATATACGAGCCGCAGTCCAGGAATCTATCTTCGCTTTTCTTCTCTTCAGTATTCTGTGTTTCTCCGTTGACCAGGCCAACGATGCGTCTCCTTAATACCAAAACCATTACTGTGGAAGAGTTTTTCGACGATACCGCGACCCCCAGCTATGCCATCCTTTCCCACTGATGGAGAGAAGAAGAGGTCTCCCTCCAGGACCTGAAAGCTGGCAACGGCCCCAAGATGCACGGCTACAAGAAACTTACGGCGAGCTGCGCGCAAGCTTTGCTGGATGGCTTCGATTACATTTGGGTTGATACATGTTGTATTGATAAGACAAGCAGCGCAGAGCTCTCTGAAGCTCTGAATTCAATGTACCAATGGTACCGCAGAGCTGAGGTGTGTTATGCCTACTTATTCGACGTGGAGGAAGACTCAGTGACAGACGGTTCGAGCTTTTATAACAGCGCCTGGTTTACGAGAGGGTGGACGCTGCAGGAGCTTATTGCGCCTGCTACTGTGGAATTCTTCAACGGCGCATGGGAGAGACTTGGGACAAAGGTCGACTTGAAAGAGGCCATCTACAACATCACGGGCATCCATCGTGATGTCCTCACGGGCATGTTGGATCTCCAGTCTTTTTCCATTGCTCAACGAATGTCTTGGGCTGCGCGCAGAACGACGGCCAAAGTAGAGGATATGGCCTACAGCTTGCTCGGTATATTTGACATCAACATGCCAATGCTATATGGCGAAGGGGAGAAAGCCTTCTTGCGGCTTCAGGAGGAAATTATGAAGCAGTCAGACGATCACACACTGTTTGCCTGGAAGAGCTCCGACCCAAATTACCGTGGCTTGTTTGCGAAATCCCCTGCTGCATTCATCGACAGTGGCCGTCTGATCCCGTCTGCCGTGAAGTGGAATGACAGTCCATACTCCCTTACAAACATGGGGCTTTCCATCGAGCTGCCGATGGTCGAATGGTCTCTAGGCGTGTACCTTGCTGCGCTCGACTGTGAAACGGAGGGAGTTGAAAATAGTCGTGTTGGTATATATCTTTCTGACCTCCCAGAAAAGAATCAATATGCAAGGGCCATGCTCGAAGGTGTCGACCTTCCTCGATTTTCCACCAGCCGCCAAAGCGAATACCGGAACATCTACGTGAGACAGAATATCCGCGGCTCGCTGCAGCCCACACAACGCGAGTATGGATTCTGGATTCGGCGCATGCCAAAACCAAGCTCTTCTCCGGATGCCACTTTCGATGTGACCGCGTGGAACAAGTGGAACAAGGAGGAACTCGTTTTCACAATTCCCAAGGGGGAGAGCGGAACGGCGGTAGTTATACGATATCAGCTTGAGGAGGGCCGTGTGACCAATCTGAAGTTGGGGTTCGACTCCATGTTCAATCCTGTATGTCAGTTTGGTGGGCAATATTACTCGCCAAAGACGTTCGGTTCGCCGCATCGAGACACTTTCAAGGGCATAATGGCAACTGACTGGATGAATGGTCGACTAGACGGTGTGTATGTTGGCAACAAGCAGACTGGACTGAATATTGACGACTTCCACCGCATCTTAATATTGAAGGAGATTGTGAAGGGTAAAGAAATATGGGTGGTGTATATCGCCGACTATGATGAGGAAGCAGTTTGGCATCGAGATCGCGTCTGTGACGGTTGCAGCCTTGTAAGTTATCTTCCACTGAAAAGAAAAATATTGCGAAAGACACAAATATTGACCTGATATTCTTTTAGACTATATTCGGGACACTATACCAGTGCCGTGAGTGCTCTGGGTTCGACTACTGTGAGGACTGTCATGCAACAGCAGACAAAACTCATCCCCAACACGGATTCAAGGCGGAGAAACCAGTTTACCACCCCCGTGTAAAGTGCGACAACTGCTCTCAGGTAAGTATGCCAGCTGCTCTCTCTGCCTCGTACCTGTTCTAATATACAGCGCAGAAGGTATATGGGATCCGCTACAAGTGCTCTACTTGCAATGACTTTGATCTCTGCCGCTACTGCTTTTCGGACTCTACCAGGATTCACCCAGGACACGAATTCAAGCAGATAGAAAAGCCGTAACTAAGCAATACCAATCCCCGCAGCATCTATCATCTATCATTTGAATATTATAAATTATTGGTCCTCCTCTTTCAAAATCATGCTGTTATATTGCGACCAGTTTCATGGCGTCCAACCACAGCCACCGGTTATGCTTGTTCTTCACTTTTTTCTGCGAGGAGGAATTTACAATGCTCAATAAACAACAGAGATATGTACAAGTGGTAAATAATAGGAGAACAGGAGATTGTTCTGCGATAGAATTAAACATGCTTCTCTCAGCTGTCGTAGGAAACACTCAATATCTTGAACCTGAACTGTGCCGAGGCTTTCCCGATGTTGATGGCTCCCTTACTGACAGAGACAAAACCATCATCTCCCCTGGCATACTTCATACTGTAGCCACGGACGCTACCCTGACATCCTGCATCAAAGTCAATATCCATTGGAGCAGCGCTGTCTCGCGATCCAACGAGCGTTCCGTTTGGCCCAAGCCAGCGTGCCTTGTCTGGAGTCGACACGAGGAACGGTCCATCTTGTTTTGTGAGTCGAGTCTCCAAGTCCGTGGCGCCGTTATTGTAGTAATGAATAACGAAGCGAGTGTCTAGCTGGGCGTAGCGATTCTCGTCATTGGTATTCTTTGAAACAACGCCAAGTTTCGATCCATCTTTATATGAGAGGAGATACTCGTTCTTATCCGATGTTTGTGAAGAAGAGAAGACGAGGTATCTTCCTTCGGTAAGATCCCCAACGACTTGTTTGTAGCCCTGCTCAATAAGCCCCTTGGGAGGGAAAGTCTTGGGCTGAGATGTCCACGGTGCATCAGGGTTACTGAAACGGGCTTTACATTTTGCCATTCCATCCCAAGCTCCTTGTGCGTTCTTACTTGGTACCTCAGCCTTGGGCACGCTGGGGACTGAAGTGTCCGCCTATCATTAGTTAGTGGTTAGTGGGACATTCTTCACGCCAGGGAGGATTATTTCCTCACATTGTCAAAGTCCAACATGTTGACGAGGTTAGACATGTGCTCTCGACGCCAGTGAACCATGCTATCCAGAGTAACATTGCTGTAGCCCCTGCTGGCGAGCCATTCCTCAACAAAGAGGATCTGAGAGGTATGATCTGCGTGCTCAGTGAAGACACGACCGCCACGGGTGAATGGGGAAATCACATAAAATGGCAATCTCCAGCCTATAAATTACGTTTAACATGCGTAGAAGAATCCTGAAGAAAGACAAAATTCATACCTGGGCCAACAAAGATATCACCCTGCACTCCTAGATAGTCCCTCATCCATTCTCCAGGGGTTCCCTTGGGGGAATGGTACGGAGTAACATGGTCACCAAAACCTCCGGACTCTGAGATACCAGTTAGCAAACTGGCCAAGAATAATGGTAGAAGATGCACAATAGGAACTTACCATCATAACTGATCAGTAGAACAGTCTTGCCATATTTTGGGCTTTGGGTTACAGCATCGATGACCTGTTGTTGCAGCCACGCTCCATCCTTTGGCAGCCAGGGTGGATGTTCAGATAGTTCCATGGGGCCAACAATGAAGCTAACCTCTGGGAGCGTACCGGCACGAGCATCCTTATAAAATTTCTCCAGCCCGGGATATGACATACCTTTCTTGGTGAGGGGAGAGTCCTCCGGGGCGTTACGGAAGTTCTTGAAGTGAGCAAGGGGGTTGTCACCAAAGTTATTCCTATCCTGATAAACTTGCCATGACACACCAGCGTCTTCGTACACCTCATAGCAGGTCTTCCAGTTGAGCGGGTAGCAGTTTATATGAGGCAGCGGGCAACCTAATACATGTTAATTATCAGGCCATAGATAGAATGGTAGTGTTATTTGCCTACCCGGTGTCTCCCAGTTATCAAGATAAGTTCCCCCGTCATCAGGCTTCTGTGGCCCTCCAGGGACGTTGAGGGACCCGCTCACCAGCATAACTCTGTTTGGATTTGTGGCGGTGATGGACGATTGCTATTTCATGTTAGAATGGTCAGGCTTCAGGGGGCTTTTGCTTTTGAATATATACCTGGTACATATCACCGACGGTCCATCCTTCTGCGACAGAGAAATGGACGGGGATATCATTTCTCTTTAAGAAACCCCAGTTGGCAGGTTCACCCAGATCCTGCCAGCGATCGTTTCTGCCATGGTTCAGGGAGGCCTGATTGTACGCATAACCATTGCTACCTCCAGTAGCACATTGAACGCCTTCAGACCACGATCCCCCAAGATGGCCCAGATACCATGGTGCCAAAGTATTGACACCTTTCCTTGGTGGCTTGGCTTTTCTGGATAGGTTCGAGATGTTAGCTCTGAAGTTATATGAGCTGTCATGGGCACATATACTGAATAAAAACCGATCTGCCATCATCGTTGATCTGGACATTTGGATCCCCAAAGTTTCTAGTTCCGGCCATGGTACCAAAGTACTTTTATATACATCCATCAGCGTCGAGGCCTAGAAGCAGAGGCTATCAATGAGAGCAGAGTAGTAACACATACATGGTTCCATGATCGATTTTCCTGCATGAAGATGACGACGTGCTCAATCTCCTTTAGGGAGCGAGCTGTCTCCCCAGCAGCACTGGGTGCGGCAAAGGCATGGTGACGGCGGTCGACAAGGACGGCCGACAGCGCGGCAAGCAGTAATGCTGCGGTCTGCATGGTGACTCTCAGCAAAACGATTCAGCTTTCCACTTGAAGAAGTGAAAGGACATTGTCGAGGTGGGAAGCTGCCTGGCATATATATAAGGCATATTTATTTTTCTCTCTCTGGGAAACATTTTGTTTTGAACCGTTGAGACAAGCTTGCCAGACCTTCCCTCGGCTCAAGGACACAGCTGGCCATTCTCTGGCCTCTGATAGCATGCACGGCGAGAGTGATATCTTCTGTCGCAGCGTTGCATCACCTCTTCCCCACCCCCCGACCAAGGGCATCTTTTCCATCTCAGAGGCAGGGTCTCGAGATCCGCAGTGCAGCAAACATGCGGATCAGCAGCCCACCCTGCCATGCCTGTAGCCGGTAGGCATTGGGGAAATGGTCATACACGATGACACGATTGGCCGGGCCTGGATAGTCAGTCAGTCAGATGCATTCAAGGGTGTATAAAGACGTTCTTTTAGCCTTTCTCCATATATGTACATAGTACTACATAGTATGTATGGTGGAGGGAGCTCGTACCGAGTAATCGTGGTGATACACAAGATTCGAGGGCTACCTGGCAGCACATAGCAGCCAGACATCCCATCCAGGTCGGGGAGAATGCAGCCCGCAAGCCTTGGATCAAGGACTGTAAAGGCTCTTCTGCCCGGCTATAGAGAGGCTTTGCTTGTGTTCCCTGCCCCCTTTTCCCGTCTGGTGGGCTCGACTCAACAAGGCCCCCTGTCCGCAATCAATGACAATATTCGCCCCGAACAGACTATGCCTGTCCGTCCAAACATCCTTTGTCCTCCAACGGCCCACTCGGACAAAGCTGAAGAGTCTTCTAGTCGAAAATGGTGAATATCGTTGACGGAGTATATGTACAAAAGGCGAAGGGCGGTTTTTCATGTCCCAAGCGGTCCAGTGGCTAGTTAACCAAGCGATACCTTTTGATGCCCCCTGGAAGCTCGACTTCACCGCATGCCAGACTCCACACACGTGTGTCCCCTCAGGCAGTTCATGGGATGAAGACCGTCTTCTGCAGAGCTGCGAAGACGTTCGACCCAGCGGGTGGGGGGAGAAGCAACCCGGTCAGTTACATCGCGCGTATGTTGGTGTCCAGTTAATAATATAAAAAATCAACCGCGGCTCAAGGCAGATTCAATATTCGATACAATGTATATTATTTATATTGTTTATACATGCTTCAAGGCTATATGCAGAGTCAAAATCACCAATCATGCATATGCTTGCTCCCGCAGCGCCTTGGTCATACCCTGTCATCCTACACACATAATACATATATATACCACGCATATATGCATATATATATACACGCTAAGAGCCTGCTGTGAAGCCCCCCGGGATATATCCATCCGATGGAGATGGAGAGACCAGCCAGCAGGCGGCGACACGACTCGCAGCGGCGGCTTCAACGGCCAGACGACGATGCTGCCACCCCTACCCAGCACGAGGATGGGGAAGACTCCAGCCCTTCAACTGGCCAGCCAAGGAGGCGAGAAGAGCGGACGAAGAAGAAAAGGCCCCAGATCGACAGTCGATTACTACCGGCAGGCGTATGGCCTTTCTTTGGCTTGATCTGCTGCGTCTCGACTGTGCTCGCATTCCTGAAGCTCGTCGAGCAGTGGCAGCAAGGAGTCGTTCCAAGCATCGTGGGCGTCGGCAGCATCCAGTTCAGCCCTTCGTCCCCCTCGACCTTGACTCCATGGAGCTCTCTTCTGCATCCAGAGGACCATGTGTTTCGTCCCCCGGCTACCGTCAAGCTTGAGTGGACTGTTACGACTGGCCACCGCCGCCTGGACGGGGTCAGGAAGCGCGTCTATCTCATCAATGGTGACTCTCTCCAAAGCAACCAGCAACGATCTCGACCTAACTAACCGGCCGGCGATGCACTTGCAGACATGTTTCCGGGGCCGACTATCGAAGTGCGGTCAGGAGACAGGTTGAACATCCAGGTCACCAACAGCCTCGCAGACGAGGGCGTCGTCCTTCACTGGCATGGCTTGCATATGAGAGGTACGATAACGCTTCAACCTCCCTTCCAGCTTCCGTTGACACTGACGCTGAATTCTAGGTGCAAATCACATGGATGGAGTGGCTGGAGTTACCCAGTGCCCGATAGTTCCTGGGGCCTCCATGTTATATAACTTCACCGTCTCCCACTCTCAGAGCGGGACGTTCTGGTAACTATGCATTACTCCCTCTCCGCGGCCAACGGCCAACCCCACGCGCTGAAACTTGCACCGCCCCAGGTACCACGCACACTCAGGCCTGCAGCGAGCCGAGGGCCTGTATGGAGGACTCGTCGTGCATAGACCATCGGCGCCCAGCATTCGAGCCGCGAGGAACCAAGCATCACAGACTGATGCCGTGAGATATCGGTACCAGAAGGAACACCTTCTCTTGATCGGAGATTGGTATCATCGCCCAGCAGAAGAGGTGTTGGCTTGGTTTCATTCCCTGGAGTCAAACGGAGCAGAGGTGCGTCTTTCCTCCTCCCTTTTCCATCCGATTGTCAGATCTTTGCGCAACCACTAGCTGACAGACCAAAGCCCGTTCCGGATTCCTTGTTGGTCAACGGGGCTGGAAGATTTAACTGCTCGATGGCGCTACCTACGCGGCCACTTGACTGTGCCGACAGCGGGTATCCTACTCCAGAGCTTCTCCTCGATGCTGGCCTATCTCACCGAATCAGGGTTGTAAACGTCGGGTATTCCACACACATACCCTTTGTTCCCTCCTTTGGTTTCTACTCCCTTGATTGCTAAGTACTTACTCTTGCAGGTCACTTGCTGGGGTAAGTCTCGGGTTTGAGCACGGCGTAGTGAATCCCATACAGGTTGACGGGGGAACAGAGGTCAGGCAGCCATTTCAGACGCCAAATTCCCGCTCTATAGGCGTCGTATATCCCGGACAGAGAATGGACTTTGTCCTGAGTAATCCCGTCGGACAGGGCAAACAGTCTTCCATGACGGTTGAACTTGACCCCGAGTAAGAGACCAACATCCAGGCCCTTCTGAGTTCTACTATGTAAACAGATCTAACGGTGGTGTGCAGATGCTTCAGTCTCCCAAATCCAGCTCTCACTAATATACAGACCTTCCCCATCATGGACGCCTCGAAGAAATCCTGGTCCGATCCACCTGCTAAACTGCTAGCTGACAATCCAGTCAGAGAGCCTGGAAAGCATGTTGACCTTGCAGGCCTAGCGTCCACGCCATCCGCAGTATCTCGTATACCCGCACATGCAGATCAAACGTTCGTCGTCTACACACTCTTGTCCAAATTGTCAGCGAATAACTACGCCCCTTTTGGATTCTTCAACCACACTTCCTGGCGCCCGCAGGCGGATCCACCACTACCTCTGGTTGCCCTGGAGCCCGGGGACTGGGATAAGAACCAGTTCGCAATCAGGACGAGCAGTGAGCCTGCATGGGTCGATTTGGTGGTCAATAACCTGGACGAAGGCCCTCATCCCTTTCATATTGTATGTTCTCGCCACCTCCTTGACCAAGAAAACCAACGCTAACATTTGCAGCACGGCCACGACTTTTACGTTTTGTCTGTATATGAAGCAGAGACAGGCTTTGGCTCATATAATCCGTGGGATCCAGAAAACAAGGCACCGCGATATGACCACTCGAAAGCCATTCTTCGAGACACAGTGCATATCCCTGCACGAGGACATGCAGTGCTAAGGTTCTGGGCTGATAACCCGGGAATATGGCTCTTCCACTGCCATATCCTGTGGCATCTTGCTAGTGGCATGGCAATGTTGGTTGATGTCATGAATAGCGGGTCAACGCCGTTGGATCTCCCAACTCATACTTGTAGCCATCTGGCTTAAGAAGAACAGATTATTCTTGCCCCATAGCAAAGACAGTTAGCGACGGCACTGTCGTCAGATTCTAGCCTCGTCGTCCCTATTTACGAGACTAGGCTCGAGAATACACTAATATATGATCTTGACAGAGGCTAAGGGAACACAATGGTTAAAACTGCATGTTTATAGGTTCACGGTAAAAACTCTTGAATGGAAATGTTAAGAAGGAATTGGTTCTGGTCCCCCCCCCCCTTATTTAGTCGTCATAGTCACCATCCCCGAATCCGCCATCGTCAGACGCTCCCTGACGCTCTTCACGTTCCTCTTCGCGTTCTTCTTCCTCGTGTTCGTCTACAGTGTCCCACAGTCAGTGATCCCAGTCGTAAAAGAGAGCAGTACCAAGGTATAGTCAGAGAGCAGCCTACCGATTTCGTGTGTAATAACAGCGGCACCGATAGCGCCTAGGGCAAGACCACCAGCACCAGCTGCCAGCATGGCTCCCGTGTTGGAACTCTTCTTCTGTTTCTCCTTCTCATATTTGGTGTTGTCGTACGGAGATGCACTGTACCCTCCAGCCCCAGGCGCCCCGGATGCCCCAGCAATTCCAGCTGCACTCGCTGCACCTCCAGCATAGTAAGAGCCACTGTCGCCACGAGTGTCAGACCCTCCGAAACCCGCGGTTGGGGCTTCCCACTGAGAACGTCCAGTGGCCTGCTCGACGTGGTATGCACGCTGGCGTGCCTGGTCCCAATGCTGAGCCCATCCGGTTGGGAGAGGAGGTGGAGGGCCTTGTGGTGGTGGTGGAGGACCGTACTGTGGCTGGCCATAGGGCTGCTGCTGGGCGGCATACGGTGGTTGCTGAGCATATGGTGGTTGCTGGCCATACTGAGGCTGCTGTCCATAAGGAGGCTGTCCATACGGAGGCTGCTGTCCATACGGCGACTGGCCGTACTGCTGCTGTTGTCCATACGGAGGTTGCTGGCCGTATGGAGGCTGGTCACCATAGCCACGCTCGCCTATACAACGGTTAGAACATGTTGAAACACGATGGGATGTAGCCGTGGACTAAAAAAATACCTCCTTGTTGCGGCTTTTCCGAGAAGCTGGCCTTGAGCTCTTCGAATTTCTTCAAGAAAGACATGGCTGTGGAGGATGTTCTGGCTCGCTCGGAAAGAAGTAGAGGTAGAAGATGGTTTGGGTCCACGACATATTTAACCAAGAGGATGGCACAACTACTTATATATCCCGATAACAATGTAATATGGTGTGAACCCTTTCTACTCGTTCACGATTATCTATGCAGTCACTCCCGGATTCATGAAGGACTTGGGCTGCTCTTCCATGGCTAACGAATTCAATACTAGCCACGTCAGCCACAGATGCAAGACAAGGCCTGGATGGCAGCCCACAGCAAAGGCAGCATACTCCGTACCATGTATGAGATAACGATATTGCAAGCTGTCTGGCTAGAACGAATAACATGGCTGGTTACTGCAAGTTTGTGTGGTGGGAGTAACACAGGATTGGACTCCGTACGCTTGAGAGCGTTTGGATGGCTGAGATGTGTAACCCTCCTTCACATACGGAACGCGAGTCGGGTCCCACGGATGCTAGCGAAGTGGAACTCTAGCTGTTGATCTGTTTCTCGGAGCTGAGCGACGTGAGAAGCAGTACGCATGCTTGCATGGATCATGTTACTATTAACAAGCTTTTGTTTCAATTCGATGGAGCTGTGGCTCAGGCGGAAATTTGATCGATGCGAAGGACTCTGATAACTAGGAAGCCCCTCGATACATTTCATATATTGTCACGGCGCAGCTATGTACGTTTCTTCTGGGCCCAGATGAAGTTTCCGGCCACACCGGTCTTGTACATGTCCATATCTCTCTCTAGCTCGCCTGCCAGGCCTGGTCGCCGGTCCTCACTCAGCCCAACGTCTTCCAGCCTATCAAAAAGGGTCAGCAGATGAAGTGACAACAAGGAGGCTGACGAAGGGGCCTTACTTGACCAGACTGCCAAACGAATGGAACAGGACACGGCTGACCCGCCGTCCTCTCATGCCCTGCTCTCGATCAGCATGTGCGTTGCCGGCGACCATCTCGAGACACTGGCTCTGGATATTCTCGCATCCGGCGTCCTTGAGCGCAGCCAGGATGTCGGACTTGACGTTGAGATTGCGCACTTTCTGCTCAGCGAACTTGTAGAAGAGCATGTATGTGGTGGCCTGTGGATCAGTTACCATGGTGTAATGGTCGTATTCGAAGAACTGGATCCATCCCCCCGGCTTGAGACAGGCGACGAGCCGCTTGACGATCTGGTTGATTTCCTGGCGCTGGAAGAAAGCAAACAGGAGACGTTGGTTGACAAGATCGAAGCTACCCTCCCATGCCGGCGGGAAAGACTCTGTGACGCTCTGCGGCACCAGTGAGACGGTGGGAGGTAGGGTCTCTGGCGGCGGGAACAGCTCCGTCCTGTAGTATGATATCATCGTGAGTCCACCCATATCAAGTCAAATCCGAGCTCAAAAGGGAAAAAGGGGGGAAGAATCAAGGCCATACGCAATGTCAAAGCCTACATATTCAGTCTCTTCCGGGAGGATGAGGCGAACGTCATGGATCCAGAAGCCTGTGTAAAGTCGGAAAGGTCAGGTATATATACACCGTTCCACTTCCCCATAGATAGTTTAAGGGGGCGTTAATGCCTACCATCTGCCGTAGCCGAGTCAAGCACCTTCATCCCTCTGGCGGTCAGGTCCAACGGTGCCTTTATGAGGCCACCAGCCGTGCCCTTGATCCATTCATGCTGCACACGCAGACGGTCTCGCTCAACGCTGCCGCCGGGAATAAGGTAGCGGGCTTTGGCCTCTTCGAACTGCTTATCCTGAGGGTCGCCCATGGTCTGTTTAGCGTATACAATATCAGGACGAAAACGGGATCAGAGAATCGATTGAGAGTCCACCCTGCAAAGAGAGTATATACACATATATATATCCCCCAGCCCGGCAGACCAAGCAGGATTCGATATATCGCCCTGCAGCGTCGACTAACCAACTCCCAACCCCAAAGAGATGCCGGCTTACCCAAAGTAGTATATCAAGAGGAGCCAGAGTGACTGGGCTCTGGTTGGAAGCCCGATGATCGCCGAACCATCCGGTCCATCTGGGAGCAGCAACAGCATGGCTGGTTCAAGATTCCTACTTCGATGTCCTCGAATGCTGATGCTGATCAGGTTCTACTGGTTAGTTATGGACAAGCACATGAGAGGTGGTGTAACATCCCACATTTCCAATCGGGCGGCAAAACAGGGACACGCATAGTCAACTATACTTCGTAGACGCCATGTTCCCTCCATCCATAGTCCTTATTCCATACCCTTATGAATCGGCTCGATATTCATCTTCATCTTCTTCTGATACTGTTTTCTGCTGACTAAGTCATGTTGCTGCTGACTAAGGTATGTTTGCTTTGTTTGTCCGAGCCTTGTTTCATCACGTGCCGACAGCGCTAACCGTATCGAGTGCGTGCAGCCGCTCTCGCTTTGTCATACATGGTGCGTGCTTTTCCAGCCAATAGGAAACGATTACGTCGGCGACGCGGTCTCCACTCTGCGGGCCGAAGTAGCCTAAAACGGCTAGTCAGGCACCCTGCCCCCACCGGCCTCTGTCTCGTCCACGCCGCTGATTGGCCTGTCTCGGCTCCACCCGCGACGTGCTGCGCCCGCCCTAGCCGCGGCCCTGGCTCATTTCCCGCCTCATCCTTTTTTCGTCGTCCATCTTCGTCTTCTTTCTCTTGTTCTTCTTCTTCTTCAAGTCTTACAACCGCAACGCTTTCTCCACCGTTCTCGTTCAAAGAGCCAACATCAACTTCATCGCCAGACGAGGCTCACTCTTCCCCACTGCCTCGCCGCAGCTACTGAAGAAGTGATGTCTGTCCGCGGTCAGTGATCCTGGCCGGCTTTCGCTCGTTTTAACAGCCAACAATTCCAACAACCGCAACGTTATCCTCGTCTCGATCAATCTACTCAGCCTCGCCCTAGACTTCCATCTATTCCCCCTGCTCCCCTTTTATTTTTTTCCTCTTCCCCACCGTCGCTCGTTTTTCTGCTGTTGAGCAGCATCCGTTCGCTTTTTATTTGTTTTTTTATTATTATTTTTTTTTGGGTGGCCTCTCCGGCTGTCGTTCTGTCCTTCGTTTGACCGTCATCATGAGCTCTGAATCTGGTACGTGTTGTTCTGCTGTACCCGATGTTTCCATCGTTTATCTTGCTAACTCGTTTGTTGCAGCCATCTACAGGCGTAGCCTAAGCACGCTCTTCCGTCGATGTGTCGTCAACTGCCCGACCGAGGCGCCGCCATGTCCGCCCTGCAAGGCCATGGAGATATGTACTCTCACTGCCAAATCGTGTGAGGCCTGCGCTGCCGCCGTCTGCGTCCCCGATCCCCTAGCCAGCCCGCCGCCAGAGGAGTCGGGTGCACCGGCTGGCGCCATCGCCGGTGGTGTCATCGGCGGGCTTGCACTCGTCCTCGCCATTGTGCTGGCCTGGTGGTTCTGCGTCCGGCGTCGACGCAAGAATACCGAGCTGTGGGACGAGAAGACAAACGCAAGCGGTGACTTTGACAGCGCCCGCCAGAAGAGACAGTCTGCCGTCGGCTCGATCGCCTCTACCGTCCTTACCCGCGCCTCCAACGTGATCCAGATTGCATACATCCCCGGTGTGACCAATAGATCCGCCCCAGGCTCGCCAGACCTCATGGTTCCGCCGGTTCCTCCGATCCCGTCCGCCGTCACCAACGGACAGGCCCAGCAGCAACACTTCTTCATGCCTGGCGACATTCGTGATTCGATGTGGTCTGGCATGACAGATGATGACGGCAAGAGCATCAGTCCCAGTCTCGCTCGAAGCAGCGTCGCCACGACCATATACCGCCACAACGCCATCGTCAGCCCCGTCCCTGCCCAGGAAGCCTACCGGGCCAGGGCAAACATTGTCAGCGTAAAGTCTGGCAGCAGCTCGCCGTCTTGCTCCTCCACACCGAATGTCCCAGCCATCACCAGCTCTCAGCTTAACAAGGCCAACGCAGTCGCAGCTAAGCTCGGTGTCAGTTCCATCGTCGCACGAAGCGCCGTCGCCCGTCCCATAAACGTCACCAAGGGCGGACGCTCCAAGACCACCACCACCACCACGCTTGCTGACGGGAACACGTCGCACAATATGCCCAAGGTGATCGTCGAATCGCCCGACAATTCTCCAAGAAGTGAAAACTCCATCAGTGACTCTCCTAGCACAAGCGCCGGTAGCACAACCACGGGCAAACAAGGCACCGTCAAGGGAAAGCCGCGCGAATCGGTTCTCTCTCTTGCCGTCACCGAAATCGACGACTCACCTGATCCAAAACAAAGCCCCTTTGCTGATCCGATCGCAGAAGAAACCTCACGGTCGTCTTCCTTCAGCGAATTGACCGGACAGACAAAACGAAGCGCTAGCCCTTTCGACGATAAGCACGAGGTCAAGAATAAGCCGTGATCCCTCTTCCTTGCTCCAATTGTTTTATTTTTATCCATTCACAGGATGGAATTATGAACCAACTCGCTAGTAACTCGTTTTATCCCTTTTTCATCTTTGTTTTTTTTTTGTTCCTGGGCTGTAGTTCAACCCCATGAAGGAACTTTTATGCGGCGTCTCTTAAAGGATTTGGTGGACTCTGGTTTCTATCTTCTCCGTTTGTCTAGTCCTTCGCGTATCTATTCCTGTCTCTTCTCCCCATGTCACCCTTTTATAATGCCTCTGTCTTCTCTGTTTATTCCCCCTTTTGTCTGTCTTTGTGCTCTTTATATCTCTAGTTGAGTCCCAGCTTTGCTTTCTCCATGTGGTAATGTTTTCTTCAATTTGTACTATGAACGAAGTTGATCTACGATTCTACTATTCTCTTCCCTTCGCTCTCATCGCGGCTTGCGAATACTAACCTCCTATAAGTTCTCCTTGCCTACGCTACCGCTCTCCTATCGCTGCCCTGGTCAAAGTCTCGGGCCAAAGGCATCCCCTTGGACTCCCACACCCCGATTGCGGGATTCTCTCTTTCCACATCCCCGTCTGGACCCAGGAAAAAGTCCGTCACAATCTGTCTGCGTAATGGTTTACCAGCGTAGGATCGAGGAATGTCTTCTCCCCGGGCTAAGATGCGAAACATCGTGGGTAGATAGCCTGCAGGCAAAGTAGAGACAGATAGCAAGTCCTCACGTAGCTTTTGAAGAGACAGAGCGGTTCCTTGGGCCCCCGACTTTAGACGCACAAGGACCGCAATGTGCTCACCTACCGTCGGATCCGGGACAGGTACGGCATAAATCTCATCAACGTAGGGTAATTTTAGGAGCTGCATCTCCAGTTCCGGGATAGGCACCTTGTATGCATGATGTTTGATAACTGTTGAATCCCCAGTAAAATGCAGGTTAGCGATTTCCCGTATTTATTCCCAATACTAGCAGTATAAACTCGGCAAGGGTATACTTGCAGTCATGTTTGAGGCGACCATCGATGATGTAAACGCCGTCCGAAATATGGGCACTATCCCCAGTCTTGTAGAAGCCATCCTGGTCAAAGGCGGCCTTTGTTGCTTTGGCATCATCAAGGTAGCTAAAGCTCGAATTATTTAACATGGACTTACACCACGGCATAACTGCAAAGAAATATGGACTCTGGGGAAACAGCTGTCTTACTGGGAAAACACCGTTGGGCCCTTAATAAGGATCTCCCCATAGTCGCCCTCAGATAGCTTTACCTCGAGCTGGCCATAAGGGGTTCCGACGGACCGCTATTAGCGCCTGTTAGTTATGGGCAGTGTATGAAAAGAAGTGGACTGATATAATCTAACCTCAACATCCCTTTCATCGTCTTGGGAAGTACGAAGCCCACAGCCTCCCATCTCGGCGGCGGAGTAGAGGTTCATGAGCGGCTGGCCAAGGAGCTTCCTCCAGAAGTTGAGTACCGGAGGGAATATAGGCACCGCACCAGACATGGCAGTCTTGATCTGTCCGACGCCATGGAGGTAGGCTTCGCGGTCGGGAGCCGGCAAGCAGCCCAGCTTATCATCATAGTACTTCATCAGATTCGTCCAAACAGTTGCATGGGCCATCATCAGCGTGACGCCGCCCTGTCGGAGCCGCTCCCATACTGCTTCGGACGTGTTAGGCCGGCAATCGAAGATTTCGATCCTAGTACCATTCAGCAACAGTTTTGTCGGGGGCCAGACACCACCGATCCAGTTCATGGCCGTGATCATGGTGATGAAGGCATGATCAGGGCCACCATCTTGCATAGGGATATTTAGGAAGTCCCGGGAGAGGACGACTCCCTTGGGTGGTCCCGTACTGCCAGACGTGGCTAGGACCAGGCCGGGGCGAGTAGGATCAAGAACAGGACCTTTATCAATCATCACAGTAACCCCAGGCAAGCTGGTAGAGTGGGAACGCCCATCATCATCATCAGCAGCAGCAGCAGCAAACGATATTGGAACCAGATCTAAGGCTGTCGACTGCTGGTCTGCCAGCCGGGCCTGGATCTCCGCTGCTCTGGGCTCTGTTTCCGCAGCAAAGACGAGAGAGGAGGCCCCTGACTTCTCCATGAACCGTGCAGCCTCGTCAACAGACACACTTAGTGCTGTCGATTTTTAATATAAGGAGTTTAAGTCAGCCGTAGTTTGTACACATCTACCCCAGACTCACTTGTTGACTCACACAGCGGCACCACAGCTCCTCCAAGCGCTAGGATGGCGAAGAAACCGACAAAGTAGTGATACCCGCAGGGCGCGAGGAGAAGAATGTATGGTTTCTGTTCATAAACCATCCCCCGCTGGTCAAGCAGCCCAGGGGGTGCCGTATTCCTGATGGCGTCTCGGGTAGCCAAAACATCGTTCAAGAGGCGGGAGTAGCTCGCCTTGGTAGCAGAGTAAGGGTCGTTGATGGCAATATGCCCGTCTCCCAGCTGCGTAAGGGCCAGCAGCCTGGTAAAAAATGGCTCATTTGGCAGAGTCCTGTCCCAGCATGGCGTGCTTGCTACAGAAACCATCATGGAGCTGGCGATGTTTTGTTTCGTATTAAGAGAGGACAGATCTGTTGATATACTACTGTGCAGATTTCTAGTGGAAATCTCGAGTGCAGCCCTCCATACTCTTTAACGATACCCCCTTGCTGTGCATCCATCCCTCGGTACAGCATTCGGCGAGGGGACGAGTCCATGTTGCGATCTGCTGTGTCCAGGGTGTCCCTCGTCATACCAGAGATAATGTAATCCGGTATACTCCATAAAAGCCAGTGCATTCCGGCGTTCTCTCGGCTGTATGTATGTATAGAGGTGTATATACATAGTATGTCCATACATATCATTGTGAACAATAGAGCAGCACTTCGTAGTGTTGGAAGAGGCGCGCAACCCTGCTCCCAAGGCTGAACGATGGAGCCAGGTGTATCGCGCATTCAATATATATAGGCGGGCGACAGGAGTATATTTCTCAGCATTCGCTTAAGAGAGGAACCAGGAACAAGCACCAATCGTGGCGAAACGTCTAACAAGTATCTCACCCAGCCACGAGCTTTCGCTAACGCTGAGCTCTTTTTCTGCGAGCTGCGGTTAGTTTGGTTATAAGTTCTATGTGCATAGTTGGCAGGCAGAGCAAGAAGCTCAGTTGGCAAAGTGGAACTGGCAGGTTTCATCACCGTCTAGACCCATCGACTACTCCATATCTTCTTCTTCTTCTTCTAATAATAATAATAATAATAATTCTCTAATGCCTCATTTTATTACCATCACTGATTTAATATATATGGTATGAAGTATGTATGTAACAGCCTTTCCAGGCGAAGAATGGCGTAAGATACCGTATTAATACCCCTAAGCGCTGGCCAATCAGAACAGGAGTAACTATTTTTAGCTAGGGGTTTTGTGATGCAACACCAGCAGGGGACGAAGCAGAACAGCTGGAATCAAGGAGAAATCAGAAGGGGAAGAGGCTGAGCATAGACTTGCATAGATCCAGCCAGGAACCAAAACCACTTGACGCTGTCGATTGGATTCTTCTTCTTTTTAGTGTTAGGAACTTAAGAAGGCTCCACGTGACATTGAAGTTATTATTAGATGTTTCAGAGTGCTTATATAAGAACAGGCGGGCGGGTTCTTCCGTGCCGACACCCAAAGTACCGGTACTTTTTTCTATATATAACTTTCGCCGTATAAAAAAGTACTGATACCTTTTGTCTCCCTTTCCATCCTCTGCTTCTTCCTTCATCAAATCTTCTTCTCAGGGGGCTGTGAAAAGGGAAGAAAAAAAAAAAGCAGAAGCGCTTCAACTTCTCTCTCGAAGGCGTGGCTTATTTCTTCTTCCTTTTTTTCTCTCTCTTTTTCTTATTCTCCTTCTTCTCTGCGTTTTTATCGACTTCAACTTCAGCTTCTTTTTTGTTTGCCAGCTCTTTCGTCCTCGTTCCCATCACTTGACACGTCGTGTCCTGGGAGGCTGAAAGTCCCGTTTTTTCTTCCTGTGTGACCGCTCTCTCTGCCATCACTTCATCTACCAACACCATCAACTCCTTCTGACCGATCCTCGACCGTCAAACAGCGTCTGCTCTGCCATTCGTTGACCCTGGTCTCCGACGCAAAAAAGGACGGGCAAAACAAAGAAAAAGAACTAGCTTCAGGAAGAGGGAAATAGCGGTCCTCCGCGCTCGTTGACCATGGCCTATCCAGGCCCCAGTTCGCCAGGAGGCTACAATGACGGCCACAGGCTACAGGACATCACTCCCTCTGCGAGCGTAAGTTATTCAATAATCCCCTAGCAAGAGGTCTAGGGCGGGAACAATGATCATTGATTACGCTCACCCACACTCCCCCCGAAAGTCCATCCCTGCCCAGTCACTTGTTTCATGTTTTGGCTATGGAAAATAAATGATGAAGAGAAGAATCCAAAATTTACCCTGTTCCTTGCTCATCTGTTGGGTTTTCTCCTTTAGCAATACCATCTGCCACAAGAGGACGAGTCTTCTCGCTCGCTTCTCAATCAGGGTCCCTACGGCGGGCCCTTCGACGACCCCCAGCAACGAGGACACTCGCCCGTCAGGCCCGCCTCCAAGTACAGTCTGACCGAGTCTTACTCGACGGACGCTCCCACCATGGCCCAGTACCCGCAGGACCAGATGCAGAACCCAGCTGCCGGCTTTGGCGTGCCCGGACGTGTGCCCTCGCCTTACACTCGCAGCGAGACCTCCTCCACCGAGGCCTGGCGCCAGAGACAGGCTCCCCAGCAAGGCAACCTGCGTCGTTATGCCACCAGGAAGGTCAAGCTTGTCCAGGGCTCCGTCCTCAGTATCGACTATCCCGTGCCCAGTGCTATTCAGAATGCCGTCCAGGCCAAGTATCGCAACGACCTCGAGGGCGGCAGCGAGGAGTTCACCCACATGAGATGTGAGTAGTCGAGGCTTTAAACCATATACCCACAAACACACAGAGAGAGACAGAGAGAGGGAGAGTATAGTACATAAATTGCTTACTATCCTGTCAGATACCGCGGCCACCTGCGATCCCAACGAGTTCACCCTGCACAACGGCTACAATCTGCGTCCAGCCATGTACAACCGTCACACCGAGCTACTCATCGCCATCACCTACTACAACGAAGACAAGGTGCTGACCGCCCGTACGCTCCACGGTGTCATGCAGAACATCAGAGACATCGTCAACCTGAAGAAGTCCGAGTTCTGGAATAAAGGCGGTCCCGCTTGGCAGAAAATCGTTGTCGCTCTCATCTTTGACGGCATCGATCCATGCGACAAGGACACGCTTGATCTCCTCGCCACCGTCGGCGTCTACCAGGACGGCGTCATGAAGAAGGATGTCGACGGAAAGGAGACCGTTGCTCACATTGTACGTAGGAGAAAATGACCAGAGATCTGAACCAGGATATGCTAACATCCCTGCAGTTCGAGTATACCACACAGCTCTCTGTGACTGCGAACCAGCAGCTCATCCGGCCGCACGATGACAGCCCCTCTACTCTTCCGCCCGTCCAGATGATGTTCTGTTTGAAGCAGAAGAACAGCAAGAAGATCAACTCCCATAGATGGCTCTTCAACGCCTTTGGTCGTATCCTCAATCCCGAAATATGTATCCTCCTTGATGCCGGTACTAAGCCAGGGCCAAAATCCCTGCTTGCCCTGTGGGAGGCCTTCTACAATGACAAGGACCTCGGTGGGTCGTGCGGTGAGATTCACGCCATGTTGGGTAAAGGATGGAAGAACCTCATCAACCCTCTCGTTGCCGCCCAGAACTTCGAGTACAAGATCAGTAATATTCTCGACAAGCCGCTGGAGAGTTCTTTTGGATATGTCAGTGTGTTGCCCGGTGCCTTCTCGGCCTACCGATTCCGCGCCATCATGGGAAGACCGCTGGAACAGTACTTCCATGGTGACCATACTCTCTCCAAGCAGCTTGGCCCCAAGGGTATCGAGGGCATGAACATCTTCAAGAAGAACATGTTCTTGGCCGAAGATCGTATTCTCTGCTTCGAGCTTGTGGCCAAAGCCGGCTCTAAGTGGCATCTTACCTACGTCAAGTCCTCCAAGGGTGAGACTGACGTCCCCGAAGGAGCTCCAGAGTTCATCGGTCAGCGACGACGATGGCTCAACGGTTCTTTCGCTGCCAGTATCTACGCTCTTATGCATTTCGGCAGAATGTACAAGAGTGGACACAATATTATTCGCATGTTCTTCTTCCACATTCAGATGCTTTACAACACTTTCACTGTCTTCATGACCTGGTTCGCCCTTGGTATGTGTTTTTTATCTCATTCTATTCTCCATTTCTCCGGTATTTAACTTGACCAAAATACCTAACACGGTTGCCCATAGCTTCGTACTGGCTTACTACCTCCGTCATCATGGATCTTGTCGGTAACCCCGGTCCGTCTAACGGTGAGAGAGCTTTCCCGTTCGGTAACAGGGTCACTCCCATCTTAAACACTCTGTTGAAATACGCATACCTTGGCTTTTTGCTCCTGCAGTTTATCCTCGCACTCGGTAACAGGCCCAAGGGGTAAGTTTCATTCCTCAGCCTACGTGCTCCTCCTCACCAGCTCTACTAATCTTGATGATTTCCAGTTCCAAGCACTCGTACATCACATCGTTCGTCCTTTTCGGCGTCATTCAGCTATACATCATCATTCTATCCATGTACCTTGTCGCCCGAGCCTTCAATGGTGGTACCTCCTTATCTTTTAACACTTCAAATGGCCCAGTCGAGTTTATAAAATCCTTCTTCGGCTCATCCGGCCCGGGTATTATCGTCATTGCTCTTGCGGCAACCTTTGGTCTCTACTTTATCGCCTCCTTCATGTACTGTGACCCATGGCACATGTTCACTTCTTTCCCGGCCTACCTCCTCATCATGTCCTCGTACATCAACATTCTTATGGTCTACGCTTTTAGCAACTGGCATGATGTTTCCTGGGGTACTAAGGGATCTGACAAAGCTGATGCCTTGCCATCCGTTCAAACAACAAAGGAGGATGGAAAGTCCGCCACAATTGAAGAAGTTGACAAGCCCCAGGCAGATATTGACAGTCAATTTGAAAGCACCGTCAAGCGCGCCCTGACTCCATATGTCGAACCCAAGGTCGATGAGAAGAAGACCCTCGAGGATTCGTATAAGAGTTTCCGTACCCGATTAGTCTCTTCTTGGCTCTTCTCGAACGCAATTCTGGCCGTCGCTATTACAAGTGATAGTGTAAAATCGCTCGGATTTACTGTATGTTATCCCTACTTTTTCTCTCTTGGATCTCCATGCTAGCTATTCGCCTTATAACTAACCTATCACTGCCAATAGTCACAAGCCACCGAGCGTACCAGTCGCTTCTTCCAGGCTCTTCTGTGGGCAACTGCTGCACTCTCTCTCATTCGATTCATTGGAGCATGCTGGTTCCTTGGTAAATCCGGCATTATGTGCTGTTTCGCTAGAAGATAGTAGTCCTTTTAATCCCCCTGATTCTGATTCACGGCTTTCCTTCTCCTATTCTATCAAATACAGGTTTTTTTTGTTCTTTTGTCTTCCTTCTCTTCTGTTCTTCTTTTTCCTATATTATTTCCTCTTCCTCAGTTTCTTGTCGTATCTCTTTTTCTTTTACCCAGCTTATGCCAACTCTGTTATAATGTCCATCCCCGAACTAGCTGGTACGTGTCTTGTATTTTAGATGAATACTCTCTGTTATTATGTACCTGGCGCTCTTCCCTACTATATCTCTATCCTACGTTGTCTATTTGGTTCTTCTCTTCCTCTTTGGCCCTTCTTCCCTTTGAAGGCTTTTCCAGATGCAGATTTCTGTTTAAACCGGGCTCTACGGAAATATGCCCAGCTGCGCTGGCCTCCCTACTAGTATCTAGCTGAACCTCCCACCACCATATATACCTCTGCTTATGCACTTTCACCCTTTTCTCAAACGTACATAGTAATATGGTCAGTTCTCATGCGCGCGGCAATATCTAGTCACGTGTTCTTATCGCGTGTTTGTCACCTTTTTTTTTTGCCCGCCAAAAAAAAAGCATACAACGACTTTCTTAACTACGTGAACCAGCATTTGGATTCGTCGTCACGAAATACTTTTATGACTTGAGCTTTTTCCCTTTGTGATTACGATAAATATACACGCATCAACAGCCTGGTCGTCTTTTTTCCCTTGTATTCCATTTTGTTCGCCATCTGCCGGAGTTCTGCAAGCTTTATCTCGCATCCAACCCACCATATTTATTCTCTTATCGGTAAATACTTGTACCTCTTCACTGCTACCCTAGGACACCATATGCTGCTGTAGGATATTCTGTCTTCTCATAACATGGCCGTGGAAGCAGTTTTACTACTGTACAAGTGGTTGTGTGCTCGGTTTACAAACTAATCATAGAGGACTGTAGAAAGTTATTGACTATACTCTGATACCCGACACCTACCCACGCCTCCAACACGACGAGTACTATACAGGGATAAAAAAAAGAAGAAGCCCGATATCCGGTGCTCTGGCCTCTAGAACAACGAAACTATCTACCTAGTGAATACCAGTAGACCTGTTCGTAGCGTCGTTCTCGCTTCAACTTGTTTCTGGCTACTCTGGCGTATAAAAGGAGGCGTTCCTGGGTTCCTATTCAGCAACCACCCGCTTGCATTTGTTCAAGATGTTGAAAATATGGTCTATGGTATGATGCTTTATGTTATTCGGTACCGGGACGCTTGCCAGCTATGCAAGACTGACTGGCCATAGAAACAGAAACAGCAACAAGCCGAGAACGCAGAAGGGGGAGGTGGCGTGGTAGAAATGAAAAAGAAAAAGAAGGTCACCGCTTCTCAGCTGCGGGTACAGCGTGGTATGTCTGCGATCCCGTATCTTCCTCCAGCTACCCTGCTGTAAACTGATTTCGATGATCATAGATCTCGCGGAGCTCTCTCTCGGCAGCACGATGAAGATGACCTTTCCCAACCCCGACGATATCCTAAACTTCGTTTTAACCATCGAGCCGGACGAAGGCATGTACCGTGGTGGCACATTCTCCTTCACTTTCACCATCAACCAGAACTTCCCTCATGATCCTCCAAAAGTTAAGGGTCAGCAGAGGATATACCATCCCAACATCGACCTGGAAGGGAATGTGTGTTTAAATATATTGAGAGAAGATTGGAAGCCAGTGTTAAATTTGAACGCAGTCATCGTTGGGCTACAGGTATATACCTCTCCCATGAGCTACCCCTAGTCTCTCGCACATTTGCTGCTTGTTGTTCACTAACTGTCCGAATAGTTCCTTTTCCTCGAGCCAAACGCGTCTGATCCACTGAACAAAGAAGCAGCTGAAGATTTACGGCTTAACCACGAGGGATTCAAGCGAAATGTTCGAACTGCCATGGCTGGTGGCACCGTCAAAAACATACAATACGATCGAGTAACACAATGAGCAAAAACTCCCATAAATTCTATTAGTCCATATAATCTCATCTCACGCCCTTCCTTTGCATTCCTATATAATTTTTACATAGACGCATTTTATCCAACATAACGTGATTAACGTATTTCCACATATATCACCCTTTATATGCACAGTCAGTTGCCAGGCGTCTTACCATTGTAATTCAACCAGTGGTGGAATAGCCAATGCAATCGTGAGGGCAAATCACGGAGTTCTTTCCCGGCTTCCTGCTAGTACTCATACAACTGAATAACTAACAACAATTTGTGTGTTGGCGAGGAGTGAATCTGACAAGAAGATGAATTCTTTCTGTTTTCTTAGCTTGTCTTATATACATTGTACAATACACAGTCCGAATGACCCTCGTTCAGCTCCGGTATCACGTTGACAGGTTGGCAATGCAAACGACTCGATCCAAATTGACGGTTCACGAGACAAGATGCATGGCTGATGGCGGAAGCAAGGGCATGGGGATATCGAAGAATATACGTATGGTCGGGGGTCTGGTTCGGAGGCGAGTACGCTTTAAGCAGAGAGCTCTTCGGCACGCTGGGCCTCGAGTTTGGTGTAATAGTTGTCACGAGCACGGACGCGTGGAAGGTGATAGCCTATATATCAAAGGGTATGTACGTCAGGAAACGGAGACCTGGGGGTTGCTTGGGACCAGAAGTGCACTACATACCGTACCACCAGAAGTAGCCACAGGAGACCCCAAGGCCTATGGTTGGATTAGGTTAGATAGATACTCGAATGGAGGTATTCAGCTGTATATATATACGATGCCAATGCGCTGGCAAATTATGCTGGAATGCGAGTCTGCATCCCAAGCTCTTTTCGTCATAAGGCGGCATCGGACTTACCCAAAGCGGTGCTGAGGTCTAGCACCAAGCCCCGGCGGAGCATCTAATGCACAGGCAAGGGCGTTAGTATGATGTGGATAGGCAATGGATGGTTGTAAAATCAGGTAGCCCTGGGAGCAAGCAGAGAGAGCTCAACGTTTCCGCTGGCCTCTCGCGCGGGTGGGGCGGCGACGGCAAGACTTACTCCAGTGATTGGCTTCATAGCCGCTACACCAGCCATTGTATAGCAGTGAGGATTGATATCGAGGCAGAGAAGGGAGTGAGATGCAACGTGTATCTTGTTTGCGTTGAAAAGGTGTTTTGAAGTGCGAAAAGTTCAAAAGTTGAAGTTGAAGTCGAGAGGAGTCACGTGGTTCTCATACCACCAACACAGGAAGACGGAGATGAACAGTGAAGAGGAAGAGTAATAAGGAGAGTAATAGGGAGAAGGATAAGAAGAAGAATAATAGAAGAAGAAGGAAATTTGTATTCTTCTCAGGTCTTCTGCCTTACTAGAGTCAATAGAGCTGAATATAAATATTGTATAGAATCTCTTTTGACGGCACACACGTGACTGTGTTCTTGAGGTCGAAACGTTTTGTGAGATTCAAAACTCCATCTCGTACAAAACGACGACGACGAAGAAGGAGAAGAAGAAGGCGTTGAAGACGAAGAGGATACCCTGCCTGTTCTGCTCCCTGGTATTTTCAGCGCGCGCACAAAACCCCTAGGCTATCCCCCAAGTTACGCGCCCGTCGTCCGGAACTGGCTCAGATGGCTCTCACCAACCCGACAGAGACGCCTCCGCCATCACAGTACTCTGCGAAACGCCTGTCAGTCGATGCAGATGATGCTTTCCCGGCAAAGAAACAGCGACGAACATATCACCGCTATCATTGTCTACAGCATCCCTTGGGCTTTGCTGCTCCTGGCGCAGAAATCTTGAACGATAGCACATCCATCGATGCACTACTGAATGCGTCGATAGCAAGGGTACTAGATGAAGTCGGTTTTGATAACATCGGGCCTGTTGTCTTGGACAGCTTTAGGAACAATGTTGAAGAACGTGTGTCTATCGCACTGTATTCTCGCTATGTGGTAGCCTGTTACTGATATACTGCCTTTATAGATATGCTTCACTTTCTATCCTATGTTCGCCAGTCGATGGCATCCAGCAGAAGAGTGCAGCCTATACCGCAAGATTTCGAGCATGCACTCCGCTACCACTCGATACGTGTGGACTCCCTTCATCCGCATCTGACTGCGTTCCAGCGTGCCGCCCAACCCTCTCCGCCAGCCCTTGCCACCAAATCAACCCTCCTTACTCCTCCACCAGAAGATAACGATGAAGAGCCCGTACCAGCACGCAATTTCGCATTCCTGGGACCTGAACTTAACGTCAAGTGCGGCGACCCGAAGACTCTGTATATACCCAAAAATTTCCCCAGCTTCCCAAGCAAACACACGTATCAAGAAACGCCAGTGTATGCTACAAAACGAGAGGCGAACCCCGAGAAGATTCGAGAACGCGCGACTGAAGAAGGGCGGCTAGGCGAAGAAGCCTTACGCAAGCTTACCCGAGCCGCGAGAGACGGTCACGCGAACACACGAGGACAGCGAGAGAAGGCGCTATGGGGACGCAAAAATGAGAGTATGGACAGCATGTTCGATAAGACGCTCAAGGCATTAATGAAGTCGACATCTGTCGCCAAACAGGCCGATGGATCCTCAGCGCCGGATCTAGGGCCAATTGTGAACAGTAACCGAGTGTACTGGCGGAAGACGGCAACGCCTGCTGTCCGCGCTGACCCCCAGCGACCAGCCATCGGGGTTATGGAAGTGGAATAGGCTGGTCCCTCATTAATATCTCGATTTTCCTCCCCCCCCATACTCTCTCCTGGCCGCCCGCCTGCTGGACTGAACGGGTTGAAGCTAGTGTGCCATGATATGATGTTTTGCTCTACACACCCGTAGTCGCCATTAATGTATTTTTCCAAGCATTCTATGTAGATAATAGTAATTTTTATAATCCATAATCCATATCTTCTATGGTCTTGTTGATGCCGATTCTCCAGTGGACAGCGAATTCTGCCCTTCCCACGCCGTAGTCTCAGCAGTAACTCCGTTGGCGCATCTATAATATCATCATCAGCCAACAGACTGGTGAACAAAAGAGTAGCAGATCAATAGAATACCTCCGGAAGAGTCTTGTAAAAGTAGTACACCTAACCACACCAGGCTCCGGTGGCCCTGCTTCGGGGGGATTGCACGAATATTGCGTTAGCTCGTAAAGCGGACACTGAGTGAGATCGAGACGGCCGCCTTTGCGAGCCTTGGGTTTGTATCCAACATGATGGATCTGAAGGCGTTGCGGGAGCTCCGTAGCAGGCCACGATTCAATCAGAGGAGCCATTGAGGGCGCAATAGCTAGTGTTAATTCTCAGTCTTGCAGCTAGTTGGACGCTGTAAGGATGAAGAAGTTTATGGTGGACGTTGAAATAAGAAAGAAACACTTAAGTTGAGCCAAGCGAGCCAACAACATTATTATAACTAACAGAGACCTGGAGATTGGTGGATAATAATACATATCTGTCTATCACAGCATTCACAAAAGGGACCCCTATCTATGCCCTCCGTGGCTATGAGATATTGTAAATGGCTACAAAAGCGTTAGGCAAACGGCTCTACGAAGAGACAAGAGGGGACAGCCTTGACAACGTGAGCAGAGAGATATCACTCCAAATCTACAAATGCAGCCTGACATCAGCTAACTATAGACATAGATTCTATATGATGTCAAGCGTAGATGCGCCTTAGACCCTCGGGGCCATATCCAGACATCTCCCGTTGGTGTCAAGGTGCTTGATGACATGCTGCGCATCTTCCATCGACCGCCGGCTCCTCGTCCTGGAGTCCCTGATCGCCACAAGGTGATTGAGATTACAGGCTCGAGATACGGTTCAGGCTGTGGGAAGACCTCACTGCTCTATTATATCACTGCTGTTGGCATACTGCCGACCTCGTTCAACGGCGTCCACCTCGGCGGTCAAGACGGGGCCGTCATATTTCTGGACTCTGACAACCGCTTTAACGCAGCACGGCTACGCGATATAGCCCTAAATTACGTCCGCGAGAAGATTCACAAGCATAACCAACACACTGCTGGGCTGTCTTCGCATAAGCGGCAGAGAGGGGATGATACTGGACTGCGACAGATGGTAGAAGGCTGCCTGCAACATGTCCATGTCTTCAAGCCTACCTCTTCAGAATCCGTACTGGCAACCCTGCGGTCACTAGAGTCATACCTCCTCGATGCAACGAAACATCGTTCTGCCCATAAGCGACTCCATTCTATAATGCTAGACAGCACCTCCTCCTTCTACCGCCAGGACAAACGTCAAGCCTTTATTGACAGCCTTCCGACAGAGGTGCCAAAGTTTCTATGGGCTGAACCGCCACCTCTTCGTCAGATAGTACACTCAGCTCGAGGCATTGTTAGGTGTCTGCGCCAGCTTCAGCATAGGTTTGCCTGCCCTGTCATCTACACTGTCACCGGCAGGCTCAGGGGTGACCTGTGGAAACCTCAGCCTGGCGGGTTTGGAGTTCCGATCGAGTTGCTATATGCACGTCCAAAGGTCATGTCCTTCATGCACCATTTACCACACCCATGGAGATCGTATTCTACGGTGCGTCTGGTTGTTCACCGCGACCGAGTGCGTCAGTTCTCGCGAGACTCGATTAGGGAAGCCATGCGTCAAGGACGCCAACGCCGATATGTGGTTGCGCAGGGGAGAATTTCGGCGTGGATTGATCCCTGGGGTAAAGAGGACTGGCCATCTTGGATCTCACCTTCGATACAGAAGTTAGAAGGGGGAGGGCGGTTTACGTATTTCGTTCATAGACGGGGTGTTACATTAAAACAGTGAATATGGTCTTTGTATGGTCTATATATATATATATGTGTGTGTGTGTGTGTGTGTGTGTGTGTAGATACCTATCAATCAAGATATAGTGAAAAGCTGAGACACGGCTTCTATGGTCGTGTTTCCTCCGGAGAAAATGACTCCAACATTCCAACCATCGTCGCCGCCTTCCCGCTCAACAATGCGTCTGAACTCTTCGTCAAAGAGGCAGACAGCTAGGGGAACAGCCGCACTGGGCTCGATGACTATCTTCATCCTCTCGACGACTAGCCTCATCGCGCTCTTGATCTGCTCTTCTGTCACGCTGAACACGCCACGGGACTTGGTGGGATCGGAGAGAATACCGAAAGCGATCTCACCAAGGGGAGTCCTCAGCCCGTCAGCGATAGTAAGTGACTTGACGATCGGGATTCTTTCACCAGCTTTGAGACCACGACGGGCATCATCTGCGCCCTGGAAAGACGGCTCAGCACCAAAGACGTGAATCTTCTTTCCACCCTCCCGTGGCTCAGAGAAAAATGAGGCAGTTCCAGAATTCAGTCCACCTCCTCCCAGAGGGGTGATGACTGCATCCAAACCGTATCCTTTCCCATCCCGGCTCTTACGTACACTAAGTCTAGGGTCTTCAGAGACTAGCTTGTTTACCTGGGCCTCTAGTTCGAGACCAGCGGTTCCCTGGCCGAGAATGGTATCAGGGTGATCATAGGGATGGATCAAGATAGCTCCAGTTTCCTCTTGGACCTTACGCATGACTTCTTCCCGCTCGTCGCTCGTGGAGCCGGAGAAAACAACTTTCCCACCATACCCCTTAGTGGCTTCAATTTTGGACGGGATAGATATAGACGGCATGATGATATAAGCGGGGATGGAGAGAGCCGATGCAGCGAGGGCAACAGCCTGTGCATGATTTCCTATAAGCAAACCGTTAGCCATATAGATACCCCAATCAGCGTGAGATAGAGCATATAGGAAGAGAGCGTGAAATGAGGAAAGGAGGACAAACCAGAGCTATGTGTGATGACACCACGCTTCCTCACCTCCTCCTCACCCTTGATCTGGATCACGCGTAGAATGGAATGAAATGCCCCACGCACCTTAAATGCACCGATACGCTGGAAGTTCTCGCATTTGAAGAAGAAGTTAATCTTTGGATGAGCAGCCTGTTGGCCCTCGAACGGAGTCCCTCTCAAGGCATCCGCCGTCTGCGGGGTCGAAGCGAGCGAGTTGAGGGTCTTGGAGGTGAGAACCGGGGTTTCGTAGATGTACGGCTTGACCAGAGAATGGGCCGTTTGGATGTTTTCCCGCGTAATCGGGAGCCAGTGCTGCTTGTCGGTCATGGTTGTAGATTTATGTCCTTTTGCTCTCTACTCACCGTTCGCACCTATCCTCGGCTTTGCACTTGTTTTTTATATTCTACTACGACGGATTATGTTTATAAATAGATTTCTGCAGAGCGGAGGCTCTTGTCACGTGATGTTACTGCAAAGTTAAGCCAAGAGCCGCATATATGGCTATACTACAAAGTATGTACTATGTACGGGGTGGAGAGTTGACTACAAAGTGAATATTTACCCTTGACTCTAGAAGACAAGATTGCATACTATTTTAGCATAGTGGGGTGACTCGTTTTCAAGAGTGAACACCGCCTTGCTTTGTCTCTCTTCTCTTTCCCTCTATTTCGAGACATCGATTGCCTACTCCATGCTTTTACATTGAGTTCCGCCGTGAGAGCGTTGCTTTTCCTAGGAAGGACAAGTTGTGATCAAAACCTGCGTGATTTGAAGAACGATGGCAATTAAATTACATTTCTCAAGAAGTCGCCAAGATAGCTGCAAGAACTCAAAACTATCGAGCCATTTTTTGTAGATAACAGAACACGATGGTACAAAATGGGGTAGGGCGGGTTGACATTTCAGGGTGAATGAGTTACATCAAAGAGAGAAGCGTCCTGGTATCCGAGCATTGATTACATTCCAATCGTTCATTTCTGGTTCTCGGGCCGGAGAGACCTAGTTAGGCAGTTAGCAGGCGGCGTAGGAAAATTATAATAAGAATAGAAGTGCTAAGTCGAAGTAGGCTTACCTGACGGCCTTTCCGGCTTTCCAGATCTCGAGGTCACGGATCTCCTGCATCTCCTTCTCGTACCTCTCACGGTAATCCTTCTGCGAGTTATATTCCAAGGAGCGCTTGGTCTCCTTGCCGTCCTTTACACTATCATACAGTTCGTTGAAGACAGGCTTGAGGGTGTCTTTGAATTTGCTGCTCCAGTCGATGGCGCCACGACGGGCGGTGGTGGAGCAGGCAGCGTACATCCAGTCCATTCCATTGGCACCGATGAGGGGGTACAGACTCTGGGTGGCCTCCTCGACGGTCTCGTTGAAGGCTTCGCTGGGGCTGTGGCCGCGCTCGCGGAGAACCTCGTACTGGGCGAGGAACATACCGTGAATGCCACCCATCAAGCAGCCACGCTCGCCGTAGAGGTCAGAGTAAACCTCCTTCTCAAAGGTGGTCTTGTAGAGATAGCCACTGCCGACAGCGACACCAAGAGCCACGGCCTTCTCCTCAGCCTTGCCAGTCACATCCTGAAAGACGGCGACGGAGGAGTTAATGCCTCGGCCCTCACGGAAGAGAGAGCGAACTGTTCGTCCAGAGCCCTTGGGTGCCACCAGGATGACATCGATGTCCTTGGGTACGTCGACCTTGGTCAGGTCCTTAAAGACGGGGGAAAAGCCGTGGGAGAAGTAGAGGGTCTAGCCAGTCAGTAAACCTCTCTTTCTATGACCAGACGCGCAGGAGAGAAAAGACATACCTTTCCCTTGGTCAGGAGAGGCTTGATGGTAGGCCAGGTCTCGCTCTGGGCTGCATCACTGAGCAGGTTCATGACAATGGTCCCTTTCTTGATGGCCTCGGTGACGTCAAACAGGTTCTTGCCGGGAATCCAGCCATCCTGAACGGCTTCCTTCCACGACGTACCGTCCTTTCGTACACCGACGATGACATTGAGGCCATTGTCACGCAGGTTAAGACCCTGGCCATGCCCCTGCGAGCCGTACCCGATGAGGGCCAGCGTATCGTCCTTGAAGTATTCCTACAGCCAAGTTTCAGTCAAACTCAATCGATCGATATGTCATCACATAGCGGCTTGTTGACTCACCAGGAGCTTCTCGCGTGGCCAGTCCTCGCGCTCTACCGCCTTCGTTAGCATATAATCCCCCACTCCATCCAAAAGAACCAGACAACAACCACTCACCGTAGACGGTCTCCTTGGTGCCAGCAAAGTCGATGGTCTTTACTCCTCGAGTCTGCTGCTGCACGACAGGGGACGCAATGGCAGCTCTGCTGGCGGCGACCAGGGTCGGTCGAGAGCTTACAGCCGTGATGAAGGACCTCCGAGAGACGGCAGAGGCCGACTGGGATACATGACGGGCGACAGCCCTGGCCAAAGGTCGTGCAGCCATTATATTTGCTTAGCTGTATAAAGAGAAAGAATGGAGATTGTTGTAGTAATGAAGTAACTTGGATGTTGGATGGAGACTTTGGAATTAAAAAAGATATAAAAACAACTAAAAAAAGGAAATGAGTCAAAAGAGGAAAGAGAAAACCTCGGCCTTTTTTTCCTCTCTTTCCTTCTGTGGCTTTTTTTTGGCCAGGGATGGAAGGAGCTTGGGCCATGACACTAAGCTCTTTTAAGTCTAACGTGTCCGATATCGGTGACAGGGATTAATAATTCTCCGAATGACCGTCTTGATTACCAATACTCCTTATTAGAGTTTTCGCTCCAAAGGAAGAAAAGGAAACATAGAAAGAGGGAAAAAAGCAACGAGACAGAACGAGGCAAAAGCAGAAGCAGAAGCAGACGCAGGTCAATACTTGCTACTAGCATGACCCTAATATGTGTATAGAGCCCTTCATATAGTACTAATGTTGATATGCAGGGTGCCCGTCTCCTTGTCCTGCTCGCTTCTCGCTGAGTAGCTAACTGACCAAGGCAAACAGCTGCAGAGAGGCCGAGAGCAGAGCGACTGCCATGGTGAAAGTGAGTGCACACAATTTTGGACAAGTATGCAAGCAAGCCCACTAACATTGCTATACGCAGTATAGACTAGGGAAGACATGTCGAGGACGCAGTAGGCCCATATGCCACATCACACAAGACTGCAAGTGTAGACAACTCCTCTACACCCCGTGTTTCGTACAGCCTACAGAACCAGATCCAGCATACCAGATATAGTAAGATATGTTATAGAGCCCTCCGTGGCCAGACTCTTTGGTGGCTGTCGCTGCAGAGAACATGCACAGGAAGCGCTCGAGTCGATGCAGATCCCGTGACCGCGGGAGGCTCCCGGACACACTAAACTCTAAATCTAACTCTAAAATCGCTGCAGCATAAGAGTTAGTTTCATACCCAACATAACCACAGAGTTGCCTCACCCAGTCAGAGAGAGGGAGGTAGAGGGGGAAAAAGAAACTCTTCATGCCCACCAACAAACAGCGGGAGGAGCCTTAGATATCTAGTGGGGTGAAGCCTCTCGAACTCTCTTGGTGTGGTGTATACGGCGAAACTATAAAAGATCAGCAAGCAGGCATATTTCATCATCATGGATACGGGCTGTGCCCTCTCCCCCACATCCTCAGCACCGGCTTTTCATCCCTGTCATATCCTCGCTCTTCGTCAAGCCAACACTGAACAGGGAGAGAGGGGCTGATAACACAAAAAAAAAAAAGGACACAAAGAGAATAATCAAGAGAGTGAGAGGAAGGAGAGAGTGATGCTGACTTCGAAACTACTCTCTTCCGCCCCCCACATCGCCACTCAGAGGGCTCTACTTGTCCTTGACCTGCAGAATGACTTTGTCAGACAGCATGGAAATCTGTTTGTCCCCAATACTGCGGATTTTCTATCGCTCATCCCCGACTTGGCTCGTCTTTTCCGCGGGTCGGGAGAGGTGATTTGGGTACAGAGCGTGTTTGAAGAGCGTCGCCCCGTAGTCAATGAAGCATTGGGCGGAGATGTCGTCGTGCTCGAAGACGGACCACCCGCGGGTAATAGTACCACCACCACGTCGGCTTCACGAAAATCGACCAAAAAACAACCAGCAGAGCCTCCGCAGCAGTCTTTACTCTCAAATGATCTGGAAGCCTTCCTCTCTGCCTCTGACAAAGTTTGTGCCGGCCGGCGATGCTGTCTACCCAACTCGTCTGGATTCCACTTCCCTGCGCCCATCCTCACCGCCATAGATCCAAATGAGGACACAGTGCTTGTCAAATCAGAATACTCTGCTTTTCAGGCCCATGGCCTGCTTCTCTCCCTTCGATCCAGGTTCATCACCGAAGTTTTCGTCTGCGGCTCCCTTTCCAACGTCTCCGTGTACGCTACCGTGTTCGATGCTGTCCGCCACGGCCTCGCTGTGACCCTGATCGAAGACTGCTTGGGATATCGAAGCTCACTGCGACATAGAGAGGCAATGCGACGCATGGCTGATATAATGGGTGCAAATGGCATAACGAGTCGCGAACTGATGGACGATCAAGACTTTGCCGCCGCTTCGCCGGTACAGACACAGCCAGCCCCCTCGTTAGTTACCGGGATCGAGAAGGAAATAGGTACGGTTGGCCTCTCCTTGCCAAAGCAAACGAATGCCGATGGCCAGCCCAAGGAAGGAGGTGCTGACCAGTCGCAAGATTTCCTTCGGACTAGCCAGCAACCCCTTGGCCGCCCCGAACAGAAAGATTATGTCGAACAGCAGCCGTCGTCTCGAAAACAAAAGTTGTCTCAACCCGTCGTTTGTGGCCCAGGAGACAACATTGCAAGCGGGGACTCGCAGATACTTTACGATCTCCCCGTTCCTGCTGACTCCTTCCAACGCCTACGTGATGAGGTCAACTGGCAGAAGATGTACCACATGTCGGGGCAAGTTCCGAGATTGGTGTCTGTCCAGGGAGCCGTGGCATCTGATGGGTCGATACCAATATATAGACACCCAGCAGACGAATCTCCACCGCTGTCTCCATTCAGCGCCACTGTCAATGAAATAAGGGCCGTTGTTGAGAAGCAGCTGGGCCACCCTTTAAATCATGTCCTTATACAACTATATCGGGACGGAGAAGATCGCATCTCTGAGCATTCTGACAAGACACTCGACATTGTCAGGGGATCTAGTATCTGTAATGTCAGCCTTGGAGCACTGAGGTCAATGACTTTACGGACCAAGGCGGACACAAAAGGGTCAACAGGCACACTAGGTGAGAACGCAAGACAAACGCAGCGTGTCCCCATGCCGCATAACTCGCTTTTTATTCTTGGGGAGAAATCGAACATGGAATGGCTTCATGGTATACGGCCAGACAAGAGGCAGGAAAAAGAAAAGACTAGAGACGAACGCGCTTTTAATGGGGAACGGATCTCTCTTACCTTCAGGCACATTGGAACTTTTATAAACCCCAAGACCGACACCATCTGGGGCCAGGGCGCACTGTCAAAGGAGAAACGGAATGCCGGGAAGATTGTGCATGGAGAGGCATCCGAAACCGAACGAATGATCCGTGCATTTGGCCAGGAGAACCATCAATCAGATTTTGATTGGGGCGAAAACTACGGGCGTGGGTTTGATGTCGTCAATTTCGTTACTACTTCCACCGCAAAACTGATACCCGGGGCTTCCGACCCAACAACAGATTTGGGGGTACGCTTAGCACTGACCGAGAATGGAATTCGATACGAGATAGGCAGTGTGCATGATCTCCCACCCAAACTTATATCTGACACTAAAGTCCGTCTAGCACGGAAAAGGCAGCCCCCTACTCTAGTAGACTCGGACGGCTCGACTATTGTCATGGGGGATGTAGAAATACTTCTGCACATTGCTGAAATTGCTCATAGTCGCCTCCCGGACACGGCTCCTGACCCCGAATCCAAAGTGGATGGCTTGAGCTTGCAAGAAAGGCTCGACGCAGCCGATGAACTCCACCGCACATGGGTTTCAGCCGCTGGCGACAATCTTGAGCAGGCCGTCGTGAAACTATCCCTCTTCAACTCCTTAATTCACGGGAAGTTTTATATAAATGGAAAACTCTTCGGGGTGGATGACTGCGCCTTTTGGCCTCTACTCAAGGACATTATAGAATCAAAAGATGGTAATAAAATGGTAGAGGATAAATTCCCACTCCTAACGGGGTACTATACAAGAGTCCGGAAACGGGTTTGCGTGAAGCAGGTCATGGATGAGATGGCAACGGCCGCCAGGTAGATCTTAGGTTACTTCACCAGTGTGTATTACTTATGTGTTATAGTGAGGCCTTTGTTGCGGCATTTAGATTGAACGCCGGGATATGCATAACTTATACGGCTTAATCCATTCTATTATATATATACAGATTAAAATGCCAGGGTGCGATTAGGCAGTAGTAACTGTTTACAATCATAGCTTCTCAAAGGTAGGGGTACGTTTCTCTAGGCCTGATAGAAGTGCCGCTGATATATCCCCTGTCTGGAGAGCAGCACTATTCCACACACCAGTGTATCTCAAACCTACGAGCGTAATTAGTTTACAGAATGGCATTGACTATAAAGAAAAGGATCATGAGAGTAACAACGTACCGTCCTGGATAGAATGGTCAATTGACCAGTTCAACAATTCCTTGGTGCCTTGCACCGCAACCGGACTCTTGGAGGCAATCAGCTTTGCAGCAGCCAACGCCTTCTCAATCATAATATCCTTGTTATCAAACACGGCACTGACATAGCCGACCTCCTTCGCCTCTTTGGCCCCAAAAATCCTGGCCGTCAGACAAACGTCCTTGACCCAGCTATAGCTTCCTACTGCCTTGGGCAGCCTCGAGAGCGTGCCAATATCTGCAGCGAGTCCGATATCGACCTCCTTGACGCAGAATTTCGTGTCAGCTGAGCAGTATCGAATATCAGTGGCAACCGAAAGGTCAATTCCAAGCCCGAAATTAATCCCGTGCATCGCGGCAATGACGGGTTTTTCACATTTTTCTACAGCTGTGATGCAGTCCTGGAAGGACGCGATGTGACGGCGGAAGACGGCAGCATGTCTAGCAGCGTCAGCATCTGGCTTTGGGCCGAGAAGACCCTTCGATGCAGCCTTGACGTCCAGCCCGGCAGTGAATGCGCGGGAACCAGCACCCGAGAGGATAACCGCGCGGACGTTGGGGTCGTGGGAGAGTTGGCTGAATATATCACGGAGCTCTAGCCACATCCTGTTCACCAGCAAGGGTTAGTTAGGCAAAAAATATGGCACCATCGTCAAGCACTCAGGGACAAACCACAGTCGTACGCTTCGAAAAACGAGTTGAGCTTGTCTGCTCGGTTGATTTCGACGTGGGCGACATATTCGGCTGGAAAGGTGACGAGGAAGTGTTTCGGGGAGTAACTGGACGCCATGTCGACACGGTCAGTTGTAGTTATAGCAAGGACTGGCCCTTCAACGGAATGTAGTAGGTTTAATTCTCTATAATAGACCCAGCTCCATATAAATATATATCATTTTCAACCCTTTGGCCATGTGAAGCGGCGCGAGATTGAAGCGTGTGGAGAGAAGCGCCTTTGGACCTCGGCTCAAAATTTGCTGGAGCATCAACATTTAATTAACTTAACCCGATAGGATGAAATATGGGAGTAAATACTGGATGCAGGAGTTGAGTAGTGAGTTACCTGGCTATTGATTTATCAGTTCATCGTTATCCCGTTACCTAGATGCAACAGCTTTTTCTCCCCCGCTGGCTGTGTGAATCGATGTCAAAAGAAATGCCTTGCATACAAACCACACAGACACTGTAGAATTCATGAGATAGAGATGTCGTGGGCATTTTTGTTCTGTTCGATGAGCTACCATATCCGTCGGTCAACGCTGAAGCCAGCCAGCAGACGGTTTCTAAGATAATAACTAGCCAACACAGGTCCAAGCAGAATCTTCAGGCTTATTGTTCGTCGGATCGCAGGACAACTACTCTGACTCGGATTCCTCAGGCTGCATGAGTTTCCCGTCAAGTTCCTACATCCATTGTTAGCCCCACGTCCTGTACGCCCGCAGCCGCTGTAGCAACGAAATGCATACCTTTGCCAGCCGAATCTTAAGGCTGGCAAGCTGGCTTTCCTTGATGACTAGGTATCGGTCATCGCCTTCCAAGTCCTCAACGATATACTCATTATTCTGGAGCTTGTCGTATTTAAGTATGATCGCCTTGACAGACGGGTCGCACTCAATCAACACGCCTGCAGAATATTAACTGTTAGCAACAGCCTCCTACTCCACTCTAGCCAGCATCCATCAACACACCTTTGACAGCCCGGGGCATTTTTGATTCTTCCTTACTTCTCCTTGCGCTCCCTTATATTCATTAGTACCAGAGAAAAAGTGTTCAGATAGTACTAGGCAGAAAATAATCTGGGAGAAGCGCGGCTACAGGGGAAACCGACTTAGTAAGCAACAAACGCGAGAGCCGCAGCGAGTTTAACGTCATCGACTTTTTGTTCGGTTTCTTATTCTTCAGTTGACGGTGAAGTTTGGTAAGATACAGCAGTTATACCGCAGTTCGATGTCTGTCACCATGGACACTACCATGGTCTTCTATTGTTGTGTCGAGCCAGAGCAACACAACTTTCTGGCAACACTCATATATAAAGAGCAAAGCTCTCCCACATTCGGATGTCAGCTTTTTTCTTTACAATCCTTTACTACTGACTAGCATTTAATACCTGCTGAGTAGATCTCAGATATTTTCCTCACCCTTAAACCTTCTTATATTCCACCGTGACGAGCTGTTGGCATATTTTTCGCATGTTCAAAAAGTACCAGTCGCTTACAGATACAACCTGACCTGTTCTAGGAATATGGTCGGCATAACGCGGAGACCTGACGGGTCAGAAGATTCAGGCTATGGAAGCGGTAAGTGACAGAGCACTGCACTGATATCTTCTATTTTGGATTAACAAGTATCCAGTGTCTTCAGCCAGTTCTCCCACCACGATAGAGCGTTGGATGGCTAGCAAGGACAAGTTTTGCATCGCTGCCAATGGACAAATTCCAATTACTTGGCTTTCAAGAGAGTTACAAGTTAGCCCCGAGTTAAAGGGCCCTTATGACAGACACATCTTACCGCATATTTCTGATATCTTTGCCGCCCATGGGATCTCGTTTGCCGGAGAGAGGCTAAGTCGCCTCCAGCCGAAGGAGGAGGCTTATGAAACTAAGGATGTTATATCGATCTCTACGTGGGACAGAAGACCGAGAAAAGCATGGTACGATGCTGCGAATGACGTGCTGGCCAAAGTCAAAGAGAACCTTCCCAACCGACTGTTATCGTCTATCCAAGTCCTAGTTTCTAACGTTGATGAGATGTATCAGGACATTTCGAGTGCTCTGCCCAATGATCCGTCTATCATCGAACCTCTTGAACAGGTCAAGGACCGGATCGTGGAAGAAGTCTCTACTTCAATGACCAATGTCTGGTCATCCATCTCCTTCCACATGCGGCGCTCCCGGCATGACTTCGGTGCACCGCGAAAACCCACGGTCATCGTCTTCTGCCACCCCCTCTCAGTGTACGATTTTGCAGCGGCCGAAGACCGGCTTCTTGAGATTCTAAATGCCGTGGAGATCCAGGTGTACCTGGAGTTTATTCCAGGAAGAGTCGTTCTTGCGAATCCAGGGTTCATACGGAGAGCTATGCGTCATGAACCAGAACTGCTTCCCGAAAACCCGGTGAATGGGAGTTCAATCGGTGTCAAGGGGCGGGCTACCGAGGCTGGAACCCTAGGGGGCTGGTTGACACTCAATCTTCCCCAGGAAAAACGACAAATAAAGTGCGCCCTTACCTGCTACCATGTTGTTAGGAGTGACGACCCTAGTGCCACAGTCCATACCGATTCACATGGGGTCCATTGGAGTGATCAACGTGGACGTCTAACTATTGAGTATCCAGCAGCCCTTGACGCAAAAGCTGCCATGGATCGGTTGGATGAACTATGCCAGCTTGAACCTGAAGCCCAAGATCTTCAGCACCAGCGAAATATGATATCGCGACTTATGTCAGGCCCAGGGATTGGAAAAGTTCTACTCGCATCAGGATATCAGGTTCGCAATAACCACAGGCTAGACTGGGCACTAGTGGAGAGCCCAGAAACATTTTCGTACAATAAACCTCCTTCCATCAACCAAGACAAGTCCTTTAAATTACCAATGACTGGCCCTAGATACAACTCACACCCTGATGCCAAAGTAAAGCAGCTTGATTTTGTGAAGGAAGGGGACTGGGTTGTCAAGTCTGGCCGAACTACATTAACCTCTGCAACCGTTAGTTCCATGAAGGCAGTGACATGGGCTTCTGGGTACACTACTGAAGAGATCGAGCTCATCTCTGAAGACGCTGATGTTGCAGCCGAAGGTGATAGTGGGTCTTTCGTCATCAATGTGCGCGGAGACTTAGTTGGGTTACTATTCGCGGTAAATAAGCAGTCAGGCCGGTTTGATACTGCGTACATGACCCCCTTCAGTCTAATTCAAGACCAAATCAAGGAGATGACGGATGGGGGTTTTTTAAGCTTGGACTAAAGGAAGACAAGGTGGCTGGCAGCGTGGATTTATAGTGGCTATCACGTTTGGCCAGATATTGCACTCATTCAGTATGTGACTATGCAGCTTATATCAAATAATAGAGAAGAAAAATAGAGAGTGTCTGAGCCAACGATAGTAGAAGAAGCAGGACATATGTATGCAGACGTGTACCTAGCATGCCTCTTTAATAGCCATACAAGAGTAAGTAATAGCTAGGTTTAATACGTGGTGTACCTGGCCTCTTGACGCCAGATAAGCCTGAGTGGGCTCCATTAAAGTGCCACTTAATCTTCGGCCTTGGGGCTGGCACCTACAACACCATTCGATGATGCTTAAAACTGCCGCGCCCAAGCTGCCGTTCTCAAGCCAAAGTACCAAGACGAAACTACCATAACTCCGTGCCATCACGAAAGTTCGATGACGAAAACAAAGAACCAGCCACTGCTTTGAGGCGGCCATATAGAGAGTCTCGTAGGCGAGCATCCTCTGGCTGGTATCACAGACATCGCCATGATCCTTCGTGAGCCAGACATGGCCTCCGGCGATTGGATAGGAGACTGGCTATGGCTGAAGGATCATCAGCCGTCTTGCAAAGGGATATAAAGCAGTGCTCCTCTCGCGCATCTGGACGATAGCAAGAATGTCATCTTTGAATATTCTTGCTTGAGCCAGCACCCATGGCTTCTTCTAGTCCTGCCGCCTTATCCCTTGGGCCGCTGAGGGACGAACTTAGACTCAGGCTGTCGAGCTCAGCTTCGATCACAGCTTCGACTGATGTAGACGAGAGGCTATATAATACGCGGTGGAGTGAGTACAACGCTCCCACGCCCGGGGTGGTTGTCACCCCGGACACTGAGGAGGATGTGGCCATCACCGTATGCCCGCTGCCCCTGCTTCTCTTCATTTTCCCCGGAGCTCATGCTGTATAAAAGGTTCAATATTGTATGTCCCATGGAATCCCTTTCCTAGCCCAGGCTGGAGGACACGGATGGTCGAGCACTTTTGACCTGCACCGCAATGGGGTCGTCATCAACCTCAGACGGCTGAACGCTGTCACCTTCAACGGCGACGGCACAGAGGCCACCATTGGCGGCGGTGCCGTCATCTCTGATGTGATGGAGGCCGCCTCGCAGAAGGGTTCTCTCGTGCTCACAGGCAACTGCAACAGTGTCGGCGCCCTGGGTGCTGTCCTGGGTGGCGGATATGGCTACCTGACGGGCCTTCAGGGAGTCGGCGTGGACAATATCGTATCCCTCACGGCCGTCTCTGGCAAAGGCACCCTGAAGACTGTCACTGCCGAGAGCGACCCTGATCTCTTCTGGGCTCTGCGTGGCGCAGCCCCCAATTTTGGTATCGTCACTTCGGCGGTGATGAAGGCGTACCCAGTAGCGGCCTCTGGCCAGTATGCCTGGCTGGGCTCCCTTGTCTATGCAGCAGACAAGGTCGAGGCGGTCGTCAGGGCAGTTAGCACGCTCCCCTTGACGCCGAGGATGAATGTCTTCTTCTACTTCTTGACCTCTGGCGCCCCGGACTACACGCCAATGGTGGCTGCCACCCCTTGGTACTACGGCACCGAAGCTGAAGGACGGGCTGCCTTTGCCTCTCTCATCGACATCGGCCCTCTAGCTGACACAACGAAGGTGATGCACTACCCTCGGTGGAACGACGGCGCTGAGCCTTTCTGTACCAACGGAGGCTACAAGCCGTCATACGGCGTCGGACTCTCTACGATTGTGCCCGAAACGTGGATGAAGGTCTGGGACGAGTATGTTTCTTGGGTCTCCATGAGTGGCACTGGAAGCAGTATTGTACTGCTGGAGGCATACTGTCTCGACAAGGCTCGGTCTCTCCCCAGCGATTCCTCTGCGTTTCCATGGCGAAACGAGATCTGCGTCAATGCCATTGTGATTCCTTGGTACTCCGACAAGGCCTTAGAGGCGGATGCCTTGTCGCTAGGCCAACGTCTCCGTCGTCTCCTGCAGTCCACCGATGGACTTGGATCTCGAGCTACGTATGTCATTCTCCCCTTTCTCTCCCTTTTTATCCTCAGCAGCACAGACTGGTAATACTCTAAAACATAGATATATAAACTTTGCTCATGGTGATGAGGACCCTGCAGAGGTATATGGCCCGCATCTTCCGCGTCTACGAGAGATCAAGGCCAGAGAAGATCCGGACAACTATTTCTGCCACTGGTTTGGCATTAGCCGGGTAGATTCTTAACGTTTTATGCATAGTGAGAATCATACTTGGTCCTATATAATAGAGACGAGGACATCGGTGAGGAGATGGAAGTGTCGGGGTATAAAGATTCAGTTTCTTTGTATTCTATAACTATCCTCTCTATGAAGCTCCTATCCCAGCTCCAATATTTCTATTCCCACCAAACTCCACCAAAATAAAAGAGTTAGATAATTCACTTACATTCTGTAGCAATATGCTGGCCAATACAAATTCTGCTACCACCACCAAAAGAGAATAGGGCCTTATGCTTGTCCCCTGTCGATTGGCTGCTTGTAAGCCGGCAGCAATAGGGATTCTAGGCGAGGGAATCGTCGTAAAGTTCGCTGCTGCGGTGTAGTAGATGGGTGTAGGTACTAACACGAATCCCAGTAGGTATGTTCTTGTATGGGCCGATATCTGATAGACACGCATGGTGTCACTCAAGGATCTATACTAGGAGGGCTATTGCGTAGCCTGAGACTCTCGCGGATAACTGCATTTAGAAATGGTAGACGCTGTAGATCTCCTGGAGGTGGCAGGCCAGAACTGTTTTGGTTCTGATCAAAGTAGAACGGGATGGATAACAAGTTCTCGATGAAGCTCATCCTGAGCAGCAGGGTGTCGAGATAAGTCGTAGAATAAGTAGTTAAGTATGATGCCTATAGTGTAGGGAATGAGTACTCATCAAGTCATAGGAGAAGAGTATGTTCTATAGCCATACCTACGGTGTCTCCCGCAGGGCCTATTCTCACATTATAACATACAATTAGTAAAAGACTTAAAGTTGTAAGGTGGTTGAATAGTTCGATATATGTATATGATATCTCATCTATGTGATCATGGTATTCGCTGGAAAGCTCTCTGAACTGTTCCTCATTAGGAGTGAAGGTCACTTTTTTGCAGTTGGTAGCAAGTTCAGTTGGCCCAAGGCGTACATACGGCCCATTTCTTTCAAAAGCGGCCGCAATAGTTTCGAAATCAGTGCCTCGTTATCTATGCCACTTGACCCAGACTCCTGTAAGGGGAGCAAAGGGGTGAGCAGGTGGAATCTTGGACAAAGGAGACAGGAATATTGGATAGATAATAAACCTGAAGGTGAGTGCCGGTATACGAAGAACAACTGCCCACCGTGGCCATTCTGTGTAGAGTGCCGCGACCGCCGACATGATGATTCCAGTGCTGCAGGGGGAAATCCAGAGTCATAAGCTTATGAGATGGACGTCAAGAGCACTCTGATAAGGTGGTGAAGTGTCCCGCCCGCAGAGTGACACTCGCTGCCATCCTGGTGAACCGGCGCAGATGGGGTAATCCTTTGTCCCATGGGTATCTTCATGGTATCACTGCTCGTATGCAGGATCCACGTCGTTTTGTGTAATGTAACCAAGGAAATAGAACGCGCTATTTGGTGATTGATGCGGCCATCAGCCAGGGGGGAGCCGCAGCGTTCTCGCATCGCACTGCATGTCTCAAGGCATATAGTTATGCCGCAAAGCAGGCTGAAGATTCTCAGAGAGCATTCGATCCTGAGTTGACCCAGGGGCTCTATTGCTAGAGTAATCGGTAGACGCCGTTTGCAAGGCACCACCGTTGAGACAGTTGCTAGACACGATAACTAGTTAACTATGTATCAACAAGGGTTCTCGATAAGTTGGCTCTGAAGGTGTACTTACTCCACGCCGTTGAATTAAGAAGTGGCTATCCAGGCTATGAAGTATAGAAGTTTTCCTGTATTGATATATGCTAGTCATTAAGGGATGTTATCAATCTTCCCACTTTATAACTACTTCGACCCTCGTATGTGGCGGCAAATATCAACATTACATTATCAAAGTAATAGCAGCGAAGCAGCAGACAGTGGATACTGATGGCAGGCTAGAAAATCCACCATCCGTCAACGATGAAAACGCCGGTGGGCCAAGCATCACAGAGATATTGTTACGCTCAATCGCTAACCTGACATTGCACTGTATGGTTATATCAATTCTTCGATACTAGTATAAGAACCAGCGGCCATGAGAACGCTCTCCGGGCTTGGGCGCCGCCCATCTCTCGGGTCAGATCCGTCCATGTCTGTTCCACCGGCTTCTCATCCATGTGTGCGAAAGGAAAGAGATGGCCTACAAACTTGCGGAGCTGGGATACGTCCCAGTCCTTCCGCCAGAGATTTCTATCCTCGATCTCAAAGACCTTGTCCTTCGCCCCAACGCTGCTCGTCGGTTCCAGCTTGAAGTCGCATGCGGCCTGGGTGAAGAAGCCCATCTCCGTCCAGCTCTTGTTCCACTTCCACCGCTCGACGGAGTGCCAGTTTTCTTCCACGAACGGGACATTGTCCAGCCAGCTCGCTATCCCGTCTGCCACGGGCTTCCACTTGGCGGAGTGCTGCGGCCCGCTGCCCTGGATCTCTCCTGCATAGTGGTGGTTGATGATCCGGTCCAGCAACGGCTGGCAGGCCCGCGCATACTCTGGCTCCGCGAAATGGGCACGGCTGTAGAACCAGATGGCGAGAGTCCCGTTTGGTTTGAGCAGGGCTTGAAAGCTCTCCAGGCCGGCCTTGGTGTCCATCAGCGGGAACATCAGCGGACAGACGATAAGATCGGCGGACGAAGGCGGGAACTTGGAGCTGAGCTCTTCGCCCGTCGATACGCAGTACGCGAATCGCGATGCTGGGATGCCGTCCATGGAGGAAAGGGAGTGGCGGGCATAGTCGAGATGGTTCTCGCTGGTATCGCTCACGACGACATGGGAGAACCGGCGGGCCAGCTGGGCGGAAACCTGGCCTGGCCCGGCGCCTACGTCGTGCACAACTGAGAACGAGGACGAAGACGGCCCAGCGTGCGAGGCATGGTACCGGTAGATGCGCTCGTAGAAGTCCTCGCTGTAGGTTGGGCGGGTGGACAGGTAGCCCTCCCAGTAGTCCCGGTCGTTGTGTTTCAGCTCCCACACGTTGTCACCATCCCTGGCTGCTCTCTGCTGCCGTGCAGCGGCCGAGGTGAAGCTCTTTCGCAGCTGCGTACACTGCCGTGGACGGAAGAAGCTGGAGAAGGGATACGAGCAGCGAAACCCGACAGGCTTGCCTCCTAGTATCGACATCTTATTACTCTCTCGTTTGCGGGCCTGAAAAGGGGCGGAGCGAGAGATAGACTGCAGCTACAGAGTACAGCTCCATGGAAGATCTTGAGTGGACAGCTGCGTACTTATAGTACGCTCCTATGCGCCATCAGCCAGGTTGTGAATATCTGCATGATTGGTTCAAGACATTCTTGTTGCGGCCGTCTGGCAGGAGAGTCAATGGCCGTGGCGTAACCATGCAAGCGGTCAACTGATAGCCATGGGAGCATCCATGGAGGACTCCGCATAGAAGACTCTGGGGTAGAAGAAAGCCAATAGGAAGAGAAGAAAGACAAGCTTATCGTATAAGGAGTGAAGCCACATCAAAGATCATATCATCCGTATCCTGGTCGACAAACCAGGCCTTGTATGTTACCAATGCAGGGGTCAAAGCAACCAGGGCAATGTTTAACAGTTAGTTCCTTGCGTAGATGCTTGTGAAGGTAGACATAATTGCTTAGCTGTAACTACTTAGATCGCATATAATAGTCAAATAGATCAAAGTCGCAGGGACCTAAGCTATACATTAATGATTTAAGGCTGTTCCCAATAGCTATACTCAAGTTATGAGAATCGATGGCAAAGATTTGCTGGGTTAAGCTTGAATCCCCAAAGATACCGGTATGGCTTCGAATCCAGCTACGACTGGCCGCCCTTTTTGATCAAAATGGAGGAGAAACATCGTCACCGAGAGTCAACCGTCTCCCATTTAATCGAATCATCAAATTCGCCTGCTATCCGGCTGAGCTTGAAGCCATGCAATTTGTTCAGAAATATACTACTATCCCAGCCCCTCGCGTTACCAAAGTGTATATGTGTGGAAAGAAGCAGCACCTGGTTATGGATGCGGTTGATGGCCAGACGTTGGACTCTGCCTGGCCAGACCTAACTGAGGAGCAGAGATTAAATATCGTCCAGGAGTTCACGGCATTTATACAACAGCTACGAGGCCTTATTCCGCCTAAAGAAGGGACTATTGGCTCAACGAGTCTAGGGCCTGGCTATGATCATCGACTCGGAGACCGTCACTTTGGTCCCTTTAATAATATTGCAGACTTCCACTTTTATGTTCGTCGCGGTGTTTCGCTTGAGTTCTGGGACGAGCCTGTTAAACAGGTCCATGACCCTTCCAGGTCATACGCTATCAAGTATAGCCATGCAGACATATGTCCTAATAATGTGCTAGTCAAGAATGGAAAAATTGTCGCGATAATCGACTGGGAATTCGCAGGGTGGTACCCCGAGTACTGGGAATATACTAAGATACATTACGGGTGGCGACCGTATCGCAAGGAGTTTTACGATGCCCTTGGGCAGACGATGACTACATACCCAGAGGAGCTCAAAGCAGAGTCTGCTATCTGGTGCCGTTATAGTACCTTTCACTATGACGACCCTATCCCTGAGAACCATTCGACGTAGGAGGAGACAGGCTCGAAGTAAAACACTGGCGATACCTGGAGTCAAAGGCCCAATGCTGTCCCAAGCATGGAGGAGGCAACCTTCAGCTTTAGCTCCACGAAGGATGGTAGCTGCATCTTGATAAAGCAGCCATACTCTCACACTAGAGCTGGCGTGGAATCCAGACACCCATCCAACTATATGTGGAAGCAATGGGTTCTTAAGTGGTGATTTGAAGAGAGAAGCTCTGGATAAAGTTAGAGAAGCTGTAATATTTTTCAGGCTGAATTGGTAGAGATTATTCTTACACCCAGACAAAAAGATCTTTGGAGCCTCCATTATTAACGGGAACGCGGGCAAGGAATATAGCTACCATGGCCGAGTCTAATCTTACATGTATCAAAACGAATAGCTTCATAAACAAAGTAATAATACATCCTCTCTATTTTGCAAGAAAGGCTTGGAATGCTTTATGGTCGATAACTACATTACCAACGGCCTTCAGACGTTTCCTCCCTTCTTTCTGTTTCTCCAGCAGCTTCTTCCGTCGGGTAATATCGCTGGCATGAAGCTTTGCCAGCACGTCTTTCCGATACGGCTTGATGGTCTCTCTGGCCAGGACATTCCTCCCAACAGCAGCCTGGATGATGACTTCGAACATCTGCCGTTCGACATGCTCCTTGAATTTGGTCACCCACTGACGGCCCAGCCTGTTGGCCTGACTCGAGTGAACTATACGGGAGACTGCGTCGACTGGAGTCTTGTTAACGAGCAGCTGGAGCTTGACAACGTTGCTTTTTCTCCACTCGGATTCTTCGTAGTCTATGCTGGCATAGCCCTTGGTCGAGCCCTTGAGCTTTCCAAAAAAGTCATCGACTAACTGCGCGAGCGGCAACTGATACTTGAGTATGACCTGAGTGGCAGTGAAGAACTCCATGCTGACCTGCTCGCCGCGATTAGCCTCGCAGAGCTCCATTACACGACCTAGATATTCTTCCGGAAAGGTTATTGTGGCTAGAACGTATGGTTCTTGTAGCTCGGCGACCTTGACACGAAGGGTGTCCTCATCGGGGAACCGGCTGGGATTAGTGAAGATGGTTTCCTTGCCGTCCTTCCAAATCACCTTGCACGGTACTGTTGGCGGCGTGAGTATGATGCTTGCACCGTGCTCCTGGCGAAGACGGTCTTCAAAGACAGAGCAGTGCAGTGTCCCGAGGAATCCCAGGCGGAAGCCTGCACCAAGAGCTTCGGATGATTCTTTTTGCATGGTGACACTCCTGTCATTAAGCAACAGCTGGTTGATGCTTTCTTCGAGATGATGAAAGTCGTTTGAATCCACTGGATAAGCGGCAACAAATACCATAGACTTGGGCTCTTCAAATCCTGGGAGAGGTTCGACCAGACTCTCGCAGCCGACTTTTGTGAACGTGTCGCCAATCTTGGCCTCCTGGCTTCGTTTCATGCCAGGATTGAAGTAGATATAGCCTACTTGACCGGCCCTTAGGACAGACTGTGGTGTTTGACTCGGGTACATGATTCCGACCTCGCCCACCGTGTACTTGAGGCCGGTTGCAAAAGAGACGAGCTGGTCGCCTGCCTTGACTTCTCCGTCAAAGACACGGGTCAGAATGATTACTCCTTTGTAGGTGGAATACCAGGAATCAACTAGGAGCAGCCTGGGGGGTTTTGTGATGTCGCCAATAGGCCTACCAAATGTTCTTGTTAGTCCACAATATCTTGCAAGGAGGTACGTTTTGATAGTACAAATGGCACGTACGCAGGAATGCTCTCAATAATGGCTGGCAACAGCTCCTGAACATTCAGCCCCGTCTTTGCAGAAACTCTGACGGCCTTGTCGACGTCCAATTCGAATGTGGTCTTCATCTGTTCCAGTGCTCGTTCGGGGTCGGCTGAGGGAAGATCCACCTTGTTGATGACGGGCACCAACGTTAAGCCCTGGGCAAAGGCTAAATAAAAGTTGGCAACTGTCTGCGCCTGGACTCCCTGGCTCGCATCAACGAGTAGCAATGCTCCGCCGCAGCTGGCATAGCTACGAGATACCTCTGTCCGAAAATCGACGTGCCCGGGCGTGTCGATGAGGTGGAGCAAGTAGTCTTTCCCCCGGTGATTATAGAGCATTGTACATGTCTGAGCTTTGACGGTGATCCCCCTCTCCCGCTCGACGTCTAGCTTGTCGAGTACCTGTTTATTCTCTCCCGGTTTGATGGTGCCTGTCAGCTCAAGAAGTCTGTCTGATAGTGTGCTTTTGCCGTGGTCTACATGAGCCACGATGCAGAAATTGCGGTACCGTTCGATTGGAATGGCATCGATCCGCTCTTCCACCAGCGAAAGAGGCTTGCTCGGCTGTCGAGCCTGGAGTACTGGCGCATGGTGGAAAGGTCGCGGAAACGGGTTATAGCGGGTTGGGAGCTGTCGAGGGCAGGAGAGCAGTGGTCGTCGCAGGGTGGCTGTGGTCAGCCATCTGGCCGGTTGCAGACATCCTCGCATCGGAATCCTATCCGCATTGAAAGGATATCGCTGCGTTCCGGTGATTCTCTTTGGTCGTCTGATGTTCAAATTCTTGCTTCCTAGTTTGCAATATTTATATACAGATTTTTGACACTGGAGGTTAGATTTTCCGCTACCGATGAACGATCCCAAGCACACGGGCATGTATATGACCATGATGAGCCAACATGATACCGTGGTAAAGGAGTAAATCAGGGCGCAGATGCGAGTCTGTCGACGGGGTTGGATGTCTTTGGACTGCTTCCATGGGGAGTCAGAGAATCATGGCCGCAACAAATCACCGGAAAATCCTCGATATATAGTTGAGATGCTAGTAGTAGCCAGCACTAAGTCATGACGAAGCAACGCTCTATGTCCTTCTTCGCCATATTTGATCGTTGAAGGTCTTGGGGTTGTTGTAGTTAATCTTCTTGTAAAATGACGATGTTGACTTTGTTACCCTTTTCAGAATAACTTAACATCCTCATTTTCACAACAGGAAGAAAACAACAAGACGAAAACCGTCTCGCATTCAAGATGGCGCCGGAGAAAGAAAAGTCGAAAGTGCACAAGCTGTCGTTGAAAGGTAATGATAACTCGTGGATGGCTTGCAGCTGAAGCTCTAACGGTTCTCACCAGGCTCTGCGAAGCTGGTCTCTGAATTTGTAGGTGAAACTCGACTCCTTCTGCTGCCTGCTCGCTGACGATGATATCTTTACTGTCCTTAGTTTGAATACTCTATTCACTCTATCCTGTGTGTTGATCCTCCAGAGAGAGACGTTCTTATTCTCTTCCCGCTGACCTTGGCTCGTCTCCAAAAGATTCCAACGCGGCGTATACCCAGCAGACGATTTCACGGCGTGAGCGACCCTCAGACAATGACCCTCTGTGTATAAATATATAATACTGACTACAAAATCCTAGGGTAAAGAAATATGGCCTCAACATGCTCGGTTCGCCTGCCCTATTACGCTGTGCCTCATACCCGCTAAAGCGTTCTTATATCACCAGTCTCCGCCGACGACCAGGTCAAGGCATATATCAAGAAGATAATGTCGCAGCTGAACAAGTGGATGCTGGGAGGGAAGATATCCAAGCTTGTCATCGTTATCACGGATAAGGACACCGGAGAACACGTCGAGAGATGGCAGTTCGATGTGAGCTGAACAAACCGCTTCCCAGACCTGCCTCCACACAGTTCTAATTAACCGTCTTCCCGTAAAGGTCGAAATATTTAAAATCTCCAAGAGCAAGTCTACTCGAAAGACCCCCGACGAGAATGCAAATCCTGGGTGTGCTCACCTTCGTCAATGGCGGCTACGCCCTTGGAAAACGGCACTGCTAATCTCTTACTCACCAGGTCTCAACCCAGCAGCTCTTCTGCACCGCCCGAGAAATCTGAAAAGGAGATACAAGACGAGATACAGGCCATATTCCGCCAGATTACAGCCTCGGTCACCTTCTTGCCAATGCTAGATGGGAATTGCACGTTCAATGTCCTGGTTTACGCCGATGCCGATTCAGAAGTGCCATTAGAATGGGGGGACAGCGATGCCAAAGAAATTGAAAACGGGGAGAAAGTCCAATTGCGTAGTTTCAGCACAAGCAGTCACCGTGTCGACACAATGGTCAGCTATAGGTACGTTTTTTTACCCTCCATAGCATCTATCCGTCTTGCTGCACCGAGGTCTAATTTTGTAAGTCAGGCTGGCAGAATAGTTTTATGTAAACTTTGCCCTGGGAGATGTTTATGTTAATATCGAAGATATACAAATACATAAATCTACTTTTCTCCCTTGAATAACGGACAGGTGGTTTCCCCCACTGGTGAGGCCCAGGGATTCTATATTAAGTCATTGATGTCCTCCTCGACACCAAAAAGATGACATTGACATAACGTAGAGCAAAAGTCGTTGTCATATAATACAGTATCAGCCATATAAAAAAGAAAAAAGAAATGCCCACACACGGATTCGAACCGTGGATCTCGTCATAGCTGGAGAAATACTAGTGACGCGCTTTACCAACTAAGCCATATGGGCTTTGGATGTCGAAAGTTCGACGCAGCTCACCTCAAGGCATTGAGGGCTGGCAGGAGATATAAAACTCCAAAGGGTCGACGTGGAGATGGTTTTGTTCCGATAGATTATAACTAGACAATAGTGTGGGTAGGGTATGATTTCGTAAGGGTTTGAGTTGCTCCAAACTGGATGACAAGATGATCGGTCATCCCATAATATTAGCGTCTATAATGATAATAGTAATAATACTGTACACGCCGTTCAGAACACCAGATATTCTAATGGGATCAGCGCCTCCGCTCCACTGCCTTGACGCCATGGACTGAGAATGCAAGGAGAGAAAGACATTAAACATGTGTATGTGGAGTTTAAACAGGGGTATTGGTGAATTCAAATGGGAAAATAAATGAGACGACAGTATACAAGGTAGAAGAACAGCAACGCTTTGCAAAGCTGATAAAACCGAAGGGAACGCAATCGCTGGTTTGAAAAAGAAAAAGGAAAAATTCCAAACTCCACAGTGCAAAATAAGTAGAGAACGGCCTGCACTCGTAGAGTGTCGACAGGAAGAGGGTAAATAGTTTACTAAATCAGGCGGTGGGGGAGAAATTTCACTCGAGAGGATCATGTCGAAAGGTGCATTCGTCTCCTTTTATACACTTTCCCTCTTTCCAGTACCTACAGGGGACCAAACCTGCTTTGGGCTGTGCGGCAGTAGCAACTCAGTTAGCTAGGGCTATGTATGACGAAAGCGAACTATCTATGAAGAAGGCTTACATGTTTTTTGACCTTGGCACGCTTGCTGTAGTCGTACGAATCGTCGCCCTCGTAGCTGCGCTTGTTCTCTCCATCTTCGTAATATGACTGGCTGTATGATTGGGAGTCCTGGCCCTGGTTCTGCTGCTGTAGTGGCACGGTGGGATTTGAAAGCTGGGAAAGAATAGCTGCCAGGTTGGGAGCCTGGGGCGCAGCTACCTGAGGAAAAGCAGTGGCCTGCTGCATTTGTTTCTGGGCATTCATCACGGCTAATAGCTTCTGGAAATCCAGACCTTGTGAGCCGGGGGCCTGCCCTGGCTGAGGAGTCTGTTGCAATTGAGGTGCCTGAGAATTGGCTGTAAACTGTGCAAGGGTTTGTTGCAAGTCGGGTACATTAGGGGGTATAGATGGCTGTTGGGCTTGCAGTGGCTGTGGTTGCTGGTTTTGCTGGAGTATCTTTAATAATGAGGACAGTTCAACGGGAGGTTGGCTAGTTGGCTGTGCTGCTGAATTAGGCTGGGGTGTGGCCGGGACAGGAGGCGAACGGGAATCAAAGTATCGCTGCGACCGCGCCTTGACAAAGTGGTCCGGCTCTCCAAATGGCACAAGAGGGCTATAGGGCTCATCGTCATTGTCTGGTGGCGGAGGTTCCTTCGGGGTGGTTGGAATATCAGATGGAGAAGTGTAGAAAACACTAAGGGTCGTGGCCTCACGCTGCTCTTGAGCCGCTCTTTCAGGGCTATCTGCAGCCTGGGAGCCGCCGGTTTTAGTGAAATTTCTGTTGCGGTCTTCTTCCGAGAGATCACTGAAGTCAATAGCTGAAATCGATGTGTATGGAGTAAAACACTCTTCGTTCCAGCCTTCATCCTCGTCTTCCAAGTCATCCAAACCGTGGTGAAGCTTAAGAGTCCTTCCCTCTCCAGCGACATCCCCGACGTCACGCATCATGCTGTCGTCATAGCCAATCTCTTCTTCGGGGTCATGGGTGAACAAACGCACTTCAGTAAGGCTACTATCCGGTTTCCAGGTGACTCGAAGTTTCCTTCGTGCCTCTTTTCGAAGTCGCTTTTTGCGTTCTTCATCTGTTTCAGGTGGGCCGTCTTCTTCCAGTTTTGATGGACTGCGTTCTCGAGGCTTGTTTAAGTTGGCCATAGTCTCTGAGAACGAGAAAGCAGGTTTTGCTACGGGAGGAGGTGCCGGTTGAGGGGTACTTTTGACCTCAGCAACAGCGCTAGTTAAAAGTTAGCAAGTTGGGTTCATATAGGGATGTAGTTTTAAGGGGACAACATACGTTGGCTTCTCTTTTGCAGCCGCAGCAGCCGCCGCACGAGCAGCATTGGATGTTCCGGGTTTCTTCGACGCCGACATCAAACTGCTGAAAAGACTTGGTGTGGGTTTAGGTATGACAATATTAGCTTTGGGTTTCGCTGGCTGGGAAGCTCCATTGGAGGCTGATTTGACGTCCTTTGCCGCGGCAGGGGCCTTCCTCGCTACAGTGGAAGCGGTGCCGGGAGCAATTCGAGTAGCGGCTTTCGCAAATGAAGGAGAAACAACACGCTTTGTCATTGTGGTGCCATTGTCATCTTCCCTCACACGTTTGATGCCGGCAACTGGTTGGGAGGAGCTATTACTTGCCTCTCGCAGCTTGGAAGGTTGAGATCCAGAGGAGCCTGCATTATTGCCATCCTTAACCGAAGATTTTGCAGCTTCAGCTTTCTTCTTGCTGGCAGATGCAGCATTATCCATGATAAGCTGTGCCAGCTCCTTGATTGTACTCCCGCCCTTTTTGACGAACCGTGTGAGAATCTTATCATTTTTAGTCTTTTCAAGCATAGTAAGGTCCATGGTGGTAAATTTCCCCATTAACTATTTTACCAGTTAGCTATTAGTGCTTTTCATTCCGTAAGAGTCGATATAGAAACCTTTAATATGTTGACCGTCAGGGGACCATCACTATCTGCCGCTGTGTGACGATCCAGTAGGAAAGAGTAGAATGCCGCAACAATACTAGGATGTTCGCCGAATCTATATATTATAAATAAGTATTCGAACATGCTATATTAAGTGGTGATTAAAAATCCCTCGAAATAAAAGAAGAGCCGACAGGTGCTGCCTGTGATGGGATGAGAAGAGGGGAGTGAATTAATTAGACGATAGAATTTCCAGTAGCAGATGTAGTTTCTCCCTTAGGAGGCACACACTGAAGCTTTGGGAGAACTATGTCTATTTCAAATTGCTAGGGCAGTGTGTGCAGTTGCCACCAAGCATTCACCATGCGCCGCAAGCGGTCTCCTCCTTCAATTATCCGAGGAGTGGGACATGTATGTTGTAGCAAATATCGCCTTAATATGGCTACATAAAAATGTTCTCCATTGATTCGAGCTTCTACAGGGGGTAATAGTGAGAGCTAAATGGTAAAGAAAGGTGGCGACGTACCTTTTGACGTATGACGGATGTCCGAATTCCAGGGTATTGTTAATAATCAGATCTAGCAGTCGTCTCTGGAGAATCACCTCCTTCTTGAGCGCTGGGATTTTGTCTTCAAGGTTCTGGTTCTCTGCAGCTTTTAGGGCCTCGCTACGAGCCTTCCACGTATCACGAACTCCCTTAACAAGGTCCGAAAATAGAATCATCGAATTCCTTACGTCGGCCGCTTTTGCATGGCGATTCCGCGGAGCCCAAACCACCTTAATTGTATCATACCTCATCTTACCTTCGGGATCGTCTGGCCGCACAGCGGGTACAGGGGAAGGTTCTGCGGGCGGTTCTTCTATTTCGAGATCGTCATCCGATTCTTCACTGCTGTAATCACTTGAGGATTCACTGATAAGTTGACTGCTCTGCTGGGCAGCAGGTTTGGTAATAAACTTGTTTAGGAGAGTTTGCGTTTTCTGCTCGACGCCTTTCTTTTTGCGAGGTTTGGTGACCGTGGAAGGCTTAGGAAGGATGGCTTGGAGACCTAGATAGGGGAATTAGCGAAAATACATAACACGAGCCTAATATCTGAGAAGAAAAAAAAAATACCGTTGGGATAGACAGTGGGAACATGGCCAAGCGATCCGGAGAGAGGTTGCGGCGCTACAGGTTGCAGGCTATTTGTCATTTGTAAATTGGTATTCCTAGAGGTAGAGATCAGTATAGTTCCCCTGCTACGATATAACCAGGCACTGACTTTAGGGTTTGGGGTCGTTCTAGTTCTGCAGGATTGATAGCATATAGATGTTGCTGCTGTTGTTGCTGCTGCTGTTGTTCCGGTGCGGAAAGGAAGTGTGGGTCAATGGTATTGTGATAAGGAGAGTGGGAATGCCGAACGGTAAAGTCGCTTGAGAAATTGGCTGGGCCTCCATGCTGTGAAAGGTACAAGTTAGATCCTGGACATCGGAAAGAGGCGACTTGGGGCAAATACCTGAATTCCCATCTGCAAATTGCTTGGGACTAAGTACGAGGATTGAGGCTGTCGGTCAAGCGTGTTTGTTGGAGCAGAAGAGGGCTGGGCCACTCGTTGAGTTTGCACGCCTGCGGAATGCTGATCGAATGTGCTGTGTTGCTGGATCTGCGGTTGGGTCGTATAGAAGGTCTGAGGGTCATAGGCGTAAGTATGGTATGTAGAGGCTGCCTGCGCAGCGTCAAAGGCGGAGGGTTGCTGTGTATGGTAGGGCGACACTCGGTATGGACTTGAGATAGAAAACTGCTGCTGTGATTCGAGAGCTAGAGGCTGCTGCTGGATCGAGGTTTGCTGCTGCCATGCATGCTGCTGTGGAGGTTGCTGTTGCTGCTGCTGCTGTTGTTGCTGCTGTTGCTGTTGTTGTTGCTGCTGCTGCTGCTGCTGATGCGGCTGTTGAGGAAGTGAATAGAGACTCTGGTTCGTCTGAGGAGAAGGTGAATGTGGACTTGGGCGGAAGACAGGGTGATCCCACCCTATGCCAAAGGGCTGGTCGACCGCTTGACCGGGGCCGTACAGCGGGTTCATTCCATTCCAGAACTCGCCGTGGAAATGGCTTACACCCGGATCCGCCGGCGGAGGTGGATTGGGATCCGTGGTTGAGTCCATCGTCGTTGAAAAGAAGAAGAAAAAGGCCGGGGAAGTTCGATATAAAATCGAAACTATGACGAAAGTAAATAAGAAAAAGTTGGCGCTTTCGAAGTACAGGTCACGTGGTTTGATCTGGCCGTATAAAGTTGTGGCTGCTTTAAGGCTGACAAAGCTAAGACTAGCCTGATATGGCTAGTATGAGTGGCGTCACGCCAGAATCACGTAAGCTTTCTGATGCCGCTTTTGCTTGTCTCCTTTTGCGCCCTCGCAGTACTGGGGAGCGGCTCTTTCTAACGCAGGCGGATGTAGAGGGCCGAGGAGAGGTTGTGTGCTCTGGAACCATTTGCCAGGAGAAAAAAAAGAGAAGATGATGGCAATGGAGCCGGGTTAGGTTGGGCCGCCGTATCCCTTTTCTTTTCTTTTCTTTTCTTTTTTTTTTTTGCTGCCGAGTTGGCGACGCTTGGGGAAGAGTTGTCTGTCTTATAGAGAGATAAGAGGCTGCTCTTTAACCCTCGAAAAACCGCAGAGTTCCCTCCTTTTCCACTTCTGCGCAATTTTTAATATACCAACTCCCCAAGAGAAGAAAACGAGAAAAGCAAAAGAGACAGTAAAAAAAGATAAAAAAAAAGAGTACAAGATCTTAGGTGGCTGGGAGTAAGTGCAGCATATCCCGTTTCTCCAAATCCACAAGCTGCTCTCTCTCTCCCTGTTAAGTTTTAGCGCCAGTCCAGTTGTACGGAGTATCCTTCATACACGACTATTATCAACAGCTTTTAAAACTGATCGTCGGCGCCGGCGCGTATCCCCTTTAAGCAAACAAGAAAAAGGGGGGAGGGCGGAAGGAGGGAAGAGGAGGACGTATTATTACTCTGAGGCTGGTGGCATAGCGAGCTCTTTACGATAAAATGCGGTATGTGGTGACAGGGAGGGCCGAGACAAGAGATGCACGAGAAAGAGAAGACCCAAGCCTGCATCCACAGTGCTTTGAGAAGAAGACGGGCAAGGCGTCACCGTGCAAAGTCTGGGGGAGGAAGAAGAGTTGACGTTGAGGTTGGAGGTTGAAAGGGAGAAAAAAAAGGCGACGTTCAAGGATTTTTTTTACCTTTTTGTTAGGCGTTTCTAAGCCTCACGTGATGATATCATGTGGTCTCGGCCCTTTTATGATCCGATATCACGTGCAGATGCCTTATGTCAGCCATCGCAGAGCTTCCACCTTGTCCAGATCTGTTGGTCGTTTGCATATGATAAAAGAGTAAATGCAGTTTGGAGACGGACATATGCTCTCGCAAAGCTGATATGCCGTGTACGCGCCGTTAGATTGTACTGTGTTGGATGGACATACATTGCGAGAAGCGCAGCTAGCTAACCCTGTTGCTTCTGGATTACGCACCGCATCAAGACAGGCACAAGAGAGCATCGGTAACTAGATGCTACCATGGCATCTAGCCCTCTCTCCCTCCGGCAGCGCCAGATTGGTACGCTTTCCCGCCCATTCTGCTATGCAGATGATATTGCTGACACTAACGCCCTTCGACAGCCGCAATTGAGAATATATTAAACCTGAACCAGGAAATTCCGCATCAGAATGGGCTCCAGGGAGATGCCGCCATCGGGAAGGATGGCCTCATACCTCGTGCCGCCCCCCTACTAAACGAGGACGGTGACCCGGTGTGGAAGATCCTTGTTTTTGATAATCTCGGGCGTGATGTCATTAGCAGTGTCCTCCGTGTAAATGACCTTCGAAGCTGGGGAGTCACAATCCACCTGTTCGTTCGCACCAACTCCCCCCCAACAAAACCCTTCATGTACGGCTGACCGCAGGATAGTAATTTGAATTCTCGTCGCTACCCCATTCCAGACGTCCCTGTTATATATTTGGTTGAACCAACCGCTGAAAATATTAAGATGATTACTTCCGATCTGTCAAAAGGCCTCTACTCCCCCGCATATGTTAACTTTCTCTCCTCCGTTCCCCGGCCTACCCTTGAAGACTTTGCTGCGGAGATCGCCTCTAGCGGAACAGCAGACAAGGTTGCGCAGATCTACGACCAATATCTAAATTTTACTGTTGCAGAGCCGGAGCTATTCAGTTTAGGAATGGGGAAGGATACATACTGGAAAATCAATAGTGCAACTACCAAAGATGAAGAGCTGGATGCTGTTGTGGATAGAATCGTCAGCGGTTTGTTTAGTGTCAGTGTTACAATGGGTAAGCTTATATGCATGTGTACAACGCAGTAAAGAGGCTATTGCTAAAAAATCTCCCGCTTAGGATCGATACCCATCATCAGATGCCCCAAAGGCGGTGCAGCCGAACTGATAGCCGCGAAACTCGATCGAAAACTTCGCGATCATATCTTAAATTCCAAGGATAACCTCTTTTCCGGTAATAATCAGCGACAGGGAGGCGCCCTGCCCTCAAGCAGACCTGTTCTCATAATCATCGATCGAAACGTTGACCTTGTTCCCATGCTTTCCCACTCATGGACCTACCAGTCGCTTATTCATGATGTCTTGAAAATGCATCTGAACCGCATTACGGTAGAGTCACCCGTCGACGAGTCGAATTTAGCCAAGGGGACCACAACCAGATCTTACGACTTGAACGTTAATGACTTCTTTTGGAATCGAAACGCAGGAGTCCCGTTCCCCCAGGTTGCTGAAGATATTGATGCCGAATTAACTCGGTATAAAGACGATGCAAACGAGATCACCAAGAAGACGGGGGCGTCTTCAATCGAAGATCTCAACATTGATGCTAGTGCATCTGCTCAGCATCTGAAAACCGCCATCACACTCCTTCCGGAGCTACGTGAACGGAAAGCTCTTCTGGATATGCACATGAACATCGCTACCGCCTTACTCAAGGGGATCAAAGACCGCCAGCTTGACAACTTCTTCCAACTTGAAGAAAATATCAACAAACAAAACAAAGCGCAGATGCTTGAGATTATATCAGACACCGAACGTGGGAACAACCCCGTCGATAAACTGAGATTATTCATAATTTGGTTCTTAAGCACAGAATCGGATTTATCTCGTGCAGAACTGAATAGCTTTGAGGAAGCACTGAAACAAGCTGGCTGTACTGATATCAGCCCCTTAGCTTACGTGAAGCGCGTACGAGAAGTTACCCGAATGACAATGATGTCGACATCAACATCAACAGCGCCCCAGCAGCCGTCATCCGATCTTTTCCGGGGCTTTTCCTCCCTCTCCAACCGCCTCACAGACCGTATCACGGCAGGCGCCCTTGGCGCAAACTTCGATTCGCTTATCTCGGGCGTCAAAAACTTCCTCCCTGCCAACAAAGACCTCACCATCACGAAGATTACGGAATCAATCATGGACCCATCGGCAGCGTCCAGTTCGACTATAGCGCTCACAGAGAATTACCTCTACTTTGACCCACGGAGTGCAAACGCTCGCGGTGCCATGCCACCTTCGGTTGCATCCACACGCAACGCCCAGTCTAGTGGGACGACAACGATTGGAACAAGTGCAACATTTGGCCAGAGACGCCAGGCATTCAATGAAGGTATTGTCTTCACTGTCGGTGGCGGCAGCATGGACGAATACGGCAATTTGCAGGATTGGGTGCATCGTACTGGGGGCGGACAGGCTGGAGCAGGCATCTCTGGAGGAAATGGAGCAAACGCCGGTGCCAGTGGTACATCTAATTCCTCTGGTCTTAATCCCGGGAGAAGGGTTGTATATGGTAGTACCGAACTCTTAAATGCTGACGACTTCCTGACGGAGGCTCTTGGGAAACTTGGACAAGAGAGCTGATAGGTGATGCCTCGCTAGAAACCCAAGTATATCCCTTTGTCAAAACACTAATGGCATGGTGAATATTATGATTTACTCATGAGCCTACGCTGGCAATCCTATCTAAGTTGAATAGATTCCACAACCCCCAAATCACATCAGTAACTGCTGTCATACCTACTACTACTATTTACCTATTTTCATAGTAAAAGAATGTATAAAAAAAAAAAAAGAAGCACCCCCGCCCGGACTCGAACCGGGATAGTCAGATATCAGAGAACGTAATCTAGGATCACGTGGCTTAGAAGTCTGAAACGTTAACCATTACGCCACGAGGGCCGTTTTACTTACTGTCGGACCGCCGAGAAACAACAAGAGAGGCATATTCTGCCCGTGAATGTATAAAATATCCCAACACAGCTGCCAGATGAGAGAAATATACATTGGGACTGCGGTCAAATATTGAAGCTCTGAATTGAAAAAACAGATGTCTAGGGACGCTTCACACGGGTAAAAGCAAGGACATGGTACCCGGCATATCAACCGCTGAACCTGCGCTCAGGGTGTGCCAATCCCAAATCCACAGCCACCGCTCCCACTATTTCCCGCTCTACCCTCCCCACGTCTTCGGTGATTATTCCGGGGAGAGGCTAAGTTGTTAAGGCCTGGAGAGTGGTCAAGGGAAGATGATTGCGAGGGTTTGATGGTAGGCGCGCTAGCTGTCGATGGGCAATTCGTAAACTGTCGAATACTTGCTCCCGCGGATACAAGTGCATGCTGGCAATGTCCGCATACGTATATATTAAATCCATCGCCTTGGCAGTCCTCGCACTCATATCCCCTAAACACGGTTACCGCAGATTTAGCCCCGGATCTGTTTTCTGGAGAAGTTGGCCTGACTCGTACAGGCCAATGTTCTTCCATACTCAATCAACGTGCTTACCTCGGTGGATTGCCCGCACAGGACCTGCACGTAAGAAATGTTCTCCCGTTATTGCAGGACAAGTGTTGGGGATCTAGATAGATTGATGTGTCCTGGGCTTGTTGCGCCATATCAATTGCCTTGGAAGCACTAGTAAGCAGTGGCCGGCTATAGGAATTCCTTTCTTGCAAACGTCAAGATTAACCAAAAAAAAAAAATGCAGGATATTGTAGCCTATCCCAACAGTGTATCCCGCAAATGCTTGATGTTACCAGCAGTATTTTGGGGTAGTTTGTATAGAAGAAAGTGAGGGAGAATCGCAAAATGATACTGACCATAACAATGGCCAAAGAGCGGGTGACTAGGCGGCTATTTATATAAAAAAGAGTTGATATCCAGCCTAACGGGTATTGAATCCTCCTCCTAATAGCCCTTGAACACTTGGCCGGCGTAACATACCGTACAAGGCTCTGTGCAGGCGCGGCAACTGAAAACCACAGGGTAGTAGACTGTCAATTGCCGTATTCCTTGCCTTCATTAGGCTAAAGGGAAACCGTGAGCTGGCATAGTTCGGCTTCGGTGGACTTCGGTTACTGTAAGTTGGTAGCCATGCACATACATCAGCCGCTATGCTTAGCTTCGTGATTGTTGCTGGTCCGGTAAACCTGCGGTAACACCAAAGTCGGGCTTCATTGAACACAGCCCCCCATTGACATGCACTGCCTGGGGTTACTTGCTGTGGGGAGAGTATCAGCTAACCCGGTAATGAAAAAGCTAACGAGAAGTTGCTTGAATTTAGCGTAGGATGGGCCTTTCTGCAACGGGAAAATCCGTTGTGCAGATATAAGTTTCGATAAGAAACTCTGAACTAAGGAATAAAATCAGCATTCTTAGATTTTTTAAGGACCTGCATAACTTGGTAGCTATTGCGTATAGAACCGCAACGTGGACTGTTAGGCTGCCTCCGTTTCATCCTGTGAGGAAAATCTAGAGCTGACTTGCGCCTACTTCACGAGGCACCAAAGAAGAAGGATAGCCGCACAGAGAGGAAATGACTAAAGGATAAGCCTATTGATCTGCACTGGGCACTCAAAGGGGCCATGCCAGTGACGTGAGTACGAGCCGAGAAATGGGGTCAAGAGTCAACTGACCAGGACACCAGCAGGCTGGCGAGCCACTGCTGGGGGCCTGTCAACGGTCATGTAGTACAATGACCTTTGATGGGCCACCTCCTTACACACCGCTAACTGTCACAAGTAGAGTCAAGAATTAGTATTCTGTTCTCACGGCTGGTCCATTCAATGTTGCTCGTTTCGCGAAGATTTATGACAGGAATACCGTATGCCACAGAGCCACACGGAGTACTCCGTAAGTGGGAACGAGTTTCATTTGTGCAATCTGCTGGTTCGGAGTCTTGATGCAACCTTGAGACCCAGAGACAAGGTGAAATGCTCATGTCGGAGATGCTGTGTAATGGAGATGCCTTAAGGGTTAGCGGGTTGATAGGGTAACTAGACGCCAGATAGAAGGGCGCTGGGATAATGTGGTGGTGGAACAGAGGTAATAATAGACGAGAGATTTTTGAAGCTGATGCGGACATGGTGTCGGTTAGGCCTTGTCATGCATCACAGGCCATGAAAAGACGAGATATGGAGACCATGGAGAGTATAATCATTCGGTTGCAACGCCCATCAACACTTATTTCATGCTAGGACATGAAATGTGGGGATGCTATAAGTGCCCAGTAGACTAGGGGCCATACAAAAACAGATTCAGACTCCAGTAGCTTGAGTTGTAAGGAGTCAGTCATGGTAACCAGGATCTTCAGTATCTAGCAGGAAAAGAAAAGAAAAGGAGTACAGCCTCCAAACAGATATATGGTCCGTAGATATAGTCCGTATATTATTCTTCTCATGGGCGAATGAGAGCTGGAATAATCAAGAGGAAGCGATTGTTGCACAGGGTATCGGCTACCCAAAATGGATTGCCGCATATATGAAGCATCATTAGCAATCGAATTATTCAGCCAGGGAAAAGAAAGGTGTCTGCAAGAAGCCTACTTTATAGTTGTCTATTCTCGGCTCTTGTGCATTATTTGATGCTTGCGGCGAAAATTGGGGTCACATCGCCTCAAAGGGGCGGCACCGCGTGCACCTATGTTATGTGTTTTTCGTGCGCCACGCGAAGTCCAAGTGTCGACTCGTACTTAAGAGGTCTGGCCGGCGCGCCCATGTAACATGTAGGTGGTTTCGAATAAAGCAATTTGATATGATTCTTAATTGTGGAATCATACTCATCTCAAAGAGCATGTATACACGAGGAAAAGAAAGGAAAGGGGTAATCAAGACACAAATGTGCAGCTGAGCGGCCATCGTCCAAGAACAAATGGTATTATTTATTGAACTAGATCGAATTTCCGGATGAGAGTCACTTGAACAGCCAAGGGGTTTGCGCACAGTAATTCTTACTATGTAAGATGAAATGACCCCGAGTCAACAGGCAAGGCCATCTCCCGTACGGAGTACTCCGTACTTGGTGCCTCAATCAAAGACCAGCTGGAAATAGAATGTTAGTTATACCATGCACGTCAGATAGGGGTCGGGCTAGGATCGAGGTTGTGATTCGACCCATCTGAGCAATATATGCAGCTATCCGCAGCCTGTGTTACCGCATGAGTAAATAATTCGACATCAGCCAGTGAAAATTTAGGCCTTTCATCTTCTCAATAATTGGCCACACATCCCTCAAAGTGGCTTTACTCCGCAGCGTTGCCAACTACAAGAGCGGAATACTCAAAAGTCGAAGCCCCTTGGATGATATTGCTTGCGACGTCGTAAGTTAACTTAGTCTTTAGCCAAGCCTTTTCTAGCGCAGCATAACTAACTTCTTCATTGACCTTGCATAAAACATTATTTATACATCATCTACCGCTTTGGCCTTCACCTCGCTCAAACAAGAGGCGCCCTGCTCTTCTCTTTCAAAAACAGCACATCTTACTCTGCGTATCTCCCCTATTCTTCATTTATTTCCTCTAGGCTAGGTGTGGGACCTTTTTAAGCCTAAATATTTATTCTATCCACGCAAAAAGCGGATGCGCTATCGTTATGAGGATTGTGAACCATAAAAGCAAAGATGAGGATGTTTGATTTGGTTAATACCCAAGTTATGAGTTAGGCTGAGATATATTGTCGGTTAGGAGAGACTCTTCGGTGGTTATGAAGAATACCAATCCGGCTGTTCCAGGTGGATGGATTCCTCTGGCCACATAAATAGCGTATACTGCTTTAAATCCATAGAGGATGGAAATAAGAAAGACACAAACGGGATTAAACGAGAGAACTGTCGAAATTGAGCAGAGAGAAGCTACGGTGCAGACAGTGTAAATACTATCAAGGGATAGAATAGACAGATCGTTCCATATCGTAAACCCGAAGCCAACAAGGTAAAAAAAAACCCCCCATTTGACCCAGTTCCATATTCGCCAGCATAGTTAAGCAGAAGCCACGTGAAAAGGGAACCCTCCAAGATGGATAAAAGAAGAAACAGTAGACACCCATCCATACTCCATTTCCGTTGCTAACTCCATAATCCCACGCCAGTGCATAGTTCAGCCGTTTGTCATCAAGCCGAGATCGATGGAGATATCAAATATTTCCTGAGTTTGACATATAAATGGAGAAGATGTGGAGGTAGAAATTAGTTTGTAAGAGAACGGCCATTATTTTCTTAATCAAAGAAGTTCGGCGGAAGAGAAGCAAGTGCGATAACTGCTCCTATTCCACCAACAACTGCTCCAGTAATAGCGGTGGCAGCATATCGAGCAAAAACTGCGGCAGGGGAAGACTGATGAGCCTCTATGATTTTAACACGCTTCCGTGGGCGCTCGTCTTCACAATCCTTGATTGATTCGGCCATTGTAAACGTCTCTCGAGGTTGAGCATCCGGAAGATCTTGACTCTCTTCATGCTCGGCGAAGCAGGAGTCACTAAACTTACGTTTAGTAGAGCAAGTACTAAGGTTAGCTGCATATGAGTGGGCCTGCGCGTCCCGTGGCTTGACAACTTTCCCCATGGGCGTAAAATGTTGTGGGACGCCTCTCTGTTTAAGATAATCAGCCTTAACCAGGAGTGGATAAGGGTCCGAGGATGAATATTCCGTGAAGTCTTCGTTGATATTTTCTGAGGTAGTCCAAGGCCGGGCTGTCAAAGATGATCCAAAGTGGGAATCTTCCAGGGCCAGGGTCTGGTTCTTTTCGGTAGACATCTGGGCTGGGGGATTTGAAAAGTCAAAGGCAGTAACTAATCCATGGCCATTCATAGGCGGGGCGTTGCAGTTCAAATTGCCTTCAACTATTGGAAAACAGAAAGGTTCCCTTGCCGGAATAGAAGCAGCTAATTCTGGGTTCTCCGTTAAGGTGATATTTTGATAATTAGATGGAAGTTTGTCATCATCAGCGTCTTTGCTAGCCTGGGATGAGGTAATTTCTGTCTCGAAACCTGCAGGCTCGGGAGATGACCTAATTGATATGATACCAGCATCTGAATTTGACGATATGTCTTGCCACGGAATGAAAGCGTCATTTTCGATACTGGCATTACCATCACACTTATTTTCGACATCACTATCCTCTCCATCTTCTGGAACAGCGAATGTATTAGTGGCTGGTGCGTCGCAAGAGGGTGTAACTGGAGAATTGTTTTCCCAAGTAACTCCAATACGAATTTTAACTGGCTTGAATGACTCTATTTTGCGAGACAGGTTAGATTCTGCACATAAAGAATTACAAGGGTCATTTTTACCTTGTCCGCGATTAACGGTATCCCCCAAGGTAACAATATCATCATTCGAGATTAACACAGGTTTTGATGTCAATTTGGTATCATTCGCCGAGGTCCCATGCATGGAGCAAGTGTCTGTAAGATAAATTTGCTATAAAGTTACATGGTTAGAACCCGCACCTTGCCTGAAAGTGTTATTGATATATTCACCTTCTCCTTTAGGTCGGCATAAAACTCAGCATGGTTTCGAGAGACAACACGGTTGTCAAATCGTAAGTTATCTTCGGCAGCGGTTAACTTATTAGCCCCGGACTTTGAAGAACGACCGACGATGCAACGGTATATCGGGTATGTCAAGTTGATCGTCCGTGCCCCTATGGAGTCATTTTCTTCGATGGGAACGACATGTAAAGTTACTATGGTGAGAGAGAGATTCAAAAATTAACATCTCAGCTTCAGACAAGGCGTTTCTCCCACCTTCCAATACGTCGTGGGATGGAAGCATTGCGAACAAAACGTACCTGACGCCATGGCGACGAGAACTCGGAAAATAAAATCTCAAGTGGTAGTTAGTTACGGAAGGGTAGTGTGGTTGAATGTAGACGGTCTTCTTCTCCACCTTTGCCTTGCTTCACAGGTATAGTAAGAATGTCTATGTGTCGTGGCCGTTGCGGGGTGACAGCTCGTTCATCCAACCAGTGACGTAACAGGCCGTTACCAATGTGTATGTACCTAGAGGGTTAGCTCTTGATCGATAGTTATCCCGTAACTACTGAAGTAAAGTAAGAACAGAATCTAGAGCGTATAGTCTTAGACTGGGATGAGAGTACGTAGCAGAGCAAGAAGAAGGACAGAGAGAAGAGGACAAGAAGGAGAGAAAAGGAAGATGGGGGAGGAACAAGCGGCAAGCGGCAGAAGCGAGTCACGGCGCCTGCCGGCTAAGGGTGGGGACAAGCAAGAAGTACCTCCCCACACAAAATACGAGAGGAGGTACTTCGGCTGAACTCTAATTGGACAGACTGACTTAGTAAGCGGCGGCTTTTTTTAACCGGTGGTTCGAAGTAATATAAAAGGAGGTAAGCCTGGAGGAAGTGAGATAATCTGGAAGCCATGATAGTATACATTTACACGCAGGGAGAGGACATTAGACGGCAAAAGACTTCCCTTCATCAACTGCAACCGCATGGGGCGAAAAAAAAGGGAAAAAGCAAGGTGACCACTATTTATTTACAGTACAGGATGAAGACATAGGGAAAACAAAGGGAGGTTATAATAATAAAACAGGAGTTGGTTAGAAAAAGCGTACACGGTTCAATAAGATCGGTCGGGTGAGCATCATCTTCGTCTTCTTTTTTTTTTTGAGAAGAAAAATCTTTTGAGTATCAAGTACTAATTCGTGTGTTCAACCTTAGAAAGCACCGGGAGCGCCGAGTCCAGCTGCACCGCCCATCTGTGCTAGCCTGGCGGCAAGCTTGGGATACTTCTCCTGTACCTCAAGCTGGGCGCGAGTAGCTTCGGCGTACGAGACGGCGTTGATCACCTCGGCTTCTGTTCGGGCTAATTCTGCAGCTCGTTCAAAGTACTTTAGCGCTTGCGAGACTTTTCCTTGTTGGAGCAGGAGCTGCGCAAGGGTGGCGATGGCAATATCACAGTCGGGATCAACTGTGCAAAAGAGTTAGCGGGATCGGGGATCAAAACAGACGGTGGAGTAGTGGTATGGTTGGGGGAACGAACTGATGAGAGCCTTTTGGCAGAGGTTCTCGGCCTCTTGGAAGTCCTGCTTCCATTGAAAGATAGCAAGGGCTTTGTTGATGAGGGGGAGAACGTTGATGCTCCAGGGTTTGTTAGATTTCTCTAACTCAACAGCTCTGTCAAATTTCTCAATGGCCTCGGAAAACTTCTGCATGTCGAGCAGAAGCTCACCGTAGTAGTTGTACACCTCGGCTACGTTCTCAAAGTTCTTAAGAGTCCGTTTGAATGTAGCCATAGCCGATGCAACAGAGCCCAACTTGTATTGCGTTACGCCGAGTTGGATGTGGGAGTAGATAAAGTCTCGGTCAAGATCGATGGATTTCTGGTAATCTTTAGCAGCTTCTCCAAGCTCGCCGAGGATAAAATGCAGTTGTGCGCGGTGGTAGTAAATATCCGGGTCATCCTTGTTCTGGGTCACAGCTAGGTCAAAGTCGTCCTGTGCTGATTCCCGGTTACCTGTAACAAACAACAACAGTCAGTACTCTGTATAACATGTCATAAGGGGTGGTCACACATACCCATCTCCAAGTATAAACTGGCACGCTTGATGTAGCTCTGGACGAGTGATGGATCAAGCTCGATACTCTTGTTTAGGTCAGCCAGTGCTGCAGCTGCTTCACCAGCTAGGTAGGTGAAGGTGGCACGCATATTCAGCGCCAGAGCCTCGAATTTGCCAAGGTCTCCTAGCTCCAACGCCTTTTCGAACGATCTGGCAGACTCATCGTATCCATCTCCGGTTGACTTGGCAACTGCTAGCAATCCCTTTCGGAGCTGCCCCAGGCCGCTATCTTCCTTCAGTTCAACCGACTCATCGAGCTCCTCCGGGATTGGTTTCGGTCGGAAGCTCTGGAGATAGTTTGAGACGAAAGTGGCGCTGGGCAATTTCTTACCTTTGCCCTCCAGGATAGCCCGGCCTTTCTCCTCTGCTACTTGCTTGAGCAACCTTTCTACAGCAGCCTTGCCAGTGTCGCTGGCGAATCCATCGAGGATGCAGCTAGCAGTGTAATCGAGCAAGGCCTCGCTATACTTTCCAAGTTTATCGTATGCGTTTGCTCGTCTGTTCATTGCCTTGATGTATTCATCATCCATGGCCAAAGCTGCTGTCGTGTCCTCTACCACCTTCTCCCATTCGCCGAGGGCATTGTAACAGGCGGCACGGTTAGAATAATAGACAGGGTCAGGCTTGCAGAGGATAGCCTTGCCATATAGCTCGATTGCCCTGTTGTAGTCCTTTGATCCGAACGCTTTGTTTCCCGCGGCTTTGAGGATTCCAGCGTAGCGTTCTCTAGTCTGCGTATAGGGAGACAAATCAGTAAGCACCAAGTCTTTTCAGCGTACTCTTAAATGTAAACATACCTGGGCAGGTAGGCTGTCGACGTTCGATTCATCGACCTCTGGAAGCTCTTCTGGGGCCTGCTCTGTCGTCGCCTTCGTGTCTATATCTTGCATTAGCAGCTATGAAATGGTGTCTGATGCAGGTAAGTCTGCCATACCAGACTTGTCCGACGCAGCAGCCTTTTTCTCCTGTTCAGCCTTTTTCTCCTTTCGTCGCTCCTTTTTACTCTTGCGCTTCTCTCCCGATTGGCCGGAAACCTGGGTTGGTCGGCCAGAGTCAGAGAGATAGTACACTACACCAGCACTGGTCACCACGACTGCCACACCAGCAATTGTATAAACTAGGGCCTTGTTTTCTGATGCCCATGTCGAGATACGATCCCAAACAGAGGGTGATGATGAAGCTGCCGTATTCTCGATATGCTGCTGAAGAGTGGACGGTGGAAGAGATGGGACTGGCTCGACGGGCGACATGGTGTGTTGCGTTCAAATATGTAGAGCACTAGATTGACAGTTTCTAGTACCGCCAGCCAAATCTATAAGCAGTCGCTATCCTTTTGCTTAATTCGTCTCGACAGATGGTTAACAAACAGGTTGGCCGCGAGAGCGAGTTGGCAGTTGTTTTGTGTAGAGTAGAATAAAGTTGCGGACCTGGAAGGTGTTTATTCTTCGAGCCCGGGACAAAAACAGATGAGATTAAAAAAGAATTAAAGCAACCTCCGACAGGGAAAGAAACGAATTAAGAATACGGAGACCAGACGACCGTGAGATCTAAGCGGGCGAAGAAGTTGAGAAACAGAACGATAAAAAAAAGTGCACAAGAGGAAGAAAAGGAAAACATCGTGAAGGAAAAAAATTCTGGGTTGCTTATGTCAGCCGCGTCTAAAAAAATGCTTGAAACGTCAAAAACCACGAGAAGAACGACAACATCCACGAACACGATCATCAACCACGGCTAGTAAAGAGGCCTAGGGACAGGAAGACGGTAGATGCCGTGGCCGTGGCCTGTGTCGATGACCACCAACCTGTACATGGGTATCTGCGGGCGGTCTCAAGAGTCATCGGGCACATCATGGCCGATAGTTACCCTGGTTTCAAACTTATATCAACCCTCCGGTATGATCCAGAGCTCATGAAAGGGAGACTGATATCTCCGCCATATTCTGGGCCAGGATGCTCGCCCTACTATCTCCTCGAATACCACCGCGGACGGCTCCTTGACGCTGCAAGGGGCTTCCGGTGGGCAGAGGCGATTTCACAGGTGCATTCCCTCGCACCTTCAGCCGAGAAATTTGCAGAGACTCTTGATGCACAGGTGCCAGATAAATCGCAGCCGTGGCGTTTGCGCATAATGCTGGACCATGGGGGCAGGCTGACCGTTGAGGCCTCGCCGGCACCCTCGCCATTTTACTCTCATATTTTCTTTTTTCCTCCCCAGCCTTCATTCTCATCTTTGTATATACATAATAAAGATGTTATCCGCTGGAAAGTGCGACTGGATACGCAGCCGACACAACCGTCTCTGTTCACCAAGCATAAAACCACCGCCAGAGATATATACAATGCGGCACGGACACGAGCCAATCTAACATCTGCGGCCGATCCAATTGAGGTTCTAATGTACAATCTTAAGGGTGAAGTTATGGAGGGTAGTATTACCACTGTTTACTTGAAAAAAAGAGTAGGTGATGAAGTACCGCGGGGGATGGTTGGGGACGACGAGTGGGTTACACCACCACTGATGTGTGGCGGAAATTCAGCAACTACACGGCGATATGCTCTCGATACCGGTATCTGCTCAGAAGATATTATTCATATCGATACACTTGCCGCTGGAGAGGAGCTATGGTTGAGTAATGGGGCAAGGGGCTTTATGCCAGCTGTGCTAGAGCTGTAGCACCACCGACTCTTGGCATTTGGCTACCTTTTTTTTATTAATTCTTGGGACAAGATCAATGGAAACGCCATGATCTTTATCCTTTCCCTAAGCCTACTCTCATACATATTGGTGGTGCCTTTACCCCCCTCTCCACCATTAATAGAATAAATGAATAAAGGGGTCCTCAAGCTCCCTGCCCAAGGAGGACAAGGTTGGCAATATTCATCACGGTAATAAAAAGCCACACTAGCACAGCGATGATGGCTATGTACCATGAGTTAGCCATCTTAATACTGCTTTCACTCTCACTTGCCACCCTAATGACTGGTCGATTGTGCCAGAATCCGCTTTCGTTGGGCGCAAGGCAACGCGCACCTCCAGGCTGGACGGTCATATACTTGCTGAGACAAGTAAAGTAAATCAGGGGCGCTGCAACGAATGGTAAGACCACGCTCAGGACGACCTGTGATGCATTTAATGTTGCATTAAGACCTTGACGCCCGACCGCGCCGGCGATGATGATGCTTGGAATGATGCTGATACTCCGGGTTACCAGGCGCCGTAACCAAGGGCGAATCTTCCAGTTCAGGGCACCCTCGCTCACCATTTGTCCCGCAATTGTACAAACAACTCCCGCTGAAATCCCGGAGAGCAACAACGCTAGTGCAAATATAGTACCCACCGCAGGGGAAATAGACTTGGAAAGGAGAGCATGAATCCCGAAAATGTCTGCCTCGAGTGCATCTTTGTTTTGATATAAGGATGCACCTGCAATGATAAGAATGGCTGAATTGACAAAGAGTGCAAATGAAAACAAGGAGACGGTGAGTTCTGTGATGGACACTTTCAGTGAGTGCCGAATAGCGCGGATGGATGGGATGTAATGCAGCTTATCCTTATCAACTCCTTCGGTGATAGAAGAAGATGCCGACATCAGTTCGCGTGGTAAAAGTTTGCTTTTTGCATCATACTCTCGCAGACGCGGCTGAACTATCCCTGACCCCAGGTACAGGCTGTGGGGCATGACTGTTGCTCCTAGAATTCCACAAGCTTGGTAGATGCTACTTTGGTTAGCTCAGGTATTCAGTTGAAACCAAGAAAGGATCTTACGCTTGGCTTTCAACTAGCTCCCCAGAGGGCAGGTATCCCCGAAAAACTTGTCCCACGCTAGCATTTTTGATGAGTGAAAGTTGAATGCAAAAGCAAATCACCACACCAAACACCAAGCAGATGATAACGGCCTCAAAAGCTCGAAGGGCTTTCATAGAGCCGTCCGGACGATAAAAGAAGAGGATAATCATGACGTCGAAGATCGAGATTGCACACCCAGCAACCAATGGCACCTTGGGAATTAGGAGATTTAAACCAATGGCAAACCCAATTACCTATCCTAAGTCAATTGGAGGATCGCAAGCGAAACGACTAGCTCAGCTTACATACCTCTGCAATATCTGTGGCAATGATGGCCACCTCAGCAAGAACATATAACAGGATATTGAGCCACCGTGGGAGAAAGGCTCGACATGCCTCTGCCAGGTTAAGGCCACTCACAGTTCCAAGTTTAACTGCAAGTGACTGAAGCAAGATGGCGAATAGATTCGCCATGAGAATAACAAATAGAAGCCTGAAGCGGTAGGATGCTCCAGCTGCAATTCCGGTTGCATAATTTCCAGGGTCAACTGAAAGTAACGACAACGTTAGCTCTGAGAAATATCTAATCTGAGAGTGGAAAGATTCCATACTGTACGCAACAGATACCATGAATCCCGGTCCAATGAATGAGCAGAACTTGAGCAATCCATTCTTGAAGCGCTCGATCAGACTTTGGGGACCGTTCCCCTGGTCACAGGAGCCAGTTGATCCATCACCAGGTGTGATGGTGGCTGTATCAGAGAGGGGAGATTTATCACCTCCCCTCGAGAGCTGGCCAATCCAACGTTTGGCCAGCAAGTTAAAGGCGTCGCCACGCCTCATTTCAGGGGCAATACTGGAAGTTTTGTCGCGGTCAGCTTGCTGCGTTATCCCGTGCAAAGACTGCGGCTCCTCCCTCTTCAACTCTCTTGAGTTGACAATGCCGTTGAGGCCTTCGTTGGTGATCAAGTCGTTTGAAAGAGGATTCGGGTTTTGGTTGTAGCCCTCCCCTTCGAAGGGCTCATCTGTGCGGGAAGTCTTGTTCATCTTTTAATGCTTTGGTAGTTATGATAGTTAACCAACAAAAGCGCACCCAGTCGTTAATAGAAAACGGACTACGTAGTAAGTGAAAGCGAAATAGATGTTGATATGGACTTGTTAATATACTCCTCTGCGCTTTGTTGGGAGAAAACAGCTGCAGCTGATGTTTATACATTATAATAAATGTGGATTCTCTTCTCCTGTTTGATCTTCATATTACGTAATCCCGTCCCTTCTCGCGTCCTTCCTAATTCATCCGATGTTGCACGTGTCTCAGGTTATATGTTACAGCCACGTGGCAAAATATGTTATTTATAAATTCTTAGTCAACAAAGCAGCTTAACTTTAAAATAGTTTAATTGCTTCCCACGATAACGACCACCATGTTACTTTATGCATATTCAATGCAATGAGTGGATGAACATTGGTTTTCAATAAGAGGGCTTTCATTGGCTCTAATGTTGCGAGAGCGAGTAGTTAATGAAAGTAATCTCGTTACAATTGACTTTCCAAGAAATAAAAGAAAACTATGTGCATGTTATGATATGTACATTAATCAACATTTCAGCCACGGCGAGCTTATGTTGATCATAAAAAGGGTAAGAATACTCCTTTCAATCAGCATCAAGCTGGACAGGTAGGGATATTGGAGACTTGGTTCTCTATCTTCCACTTCCGTTGTAGAGGAGCTTGTTGGTGGTGCCAGTTCCTGGGTTCTTGATAACGGCATTAGCGATCTGCTTGATGCGGTCGCAGGCTTGAGCAACGCTGACGCCCTGCGCCAACATGGCAGCGCCGACACCGCAAACGTGGGGAGAGGCCATGGAGGTTCCGGACAACGTGCGGGTACCGCCACCAGGGGCAGCAGAGAGGATGTTGGAGCCGGGGGCGTAGATGTCAACTACAAGGCATTAGTCACAGGACAATGCAGGCAAATAGATACAAAACCTGGGGGTAGAAAAATTGAACTTACCGATGGTACCCCAGTTGGAGAAAGAGGACTTCTGGTCATCGATGGTGGAGGAAGCAGCAGTGCAGACGGCTGGGGCGGAGGCTGGGGAGGAGTTCTTGGCATCCTTCTATACCGCCAAAGTCATGGTTAGCATCTAGCATATGGTGTGCAAAAATGAAGTTTTGGAGGCCTTACGTTGTCATTTCCGGCGGCAACAGCAACGAAGATACCAGCATTCTGGGCGCGGGTGACGGCGTCGTTGTTTGCCTGGCTGAAGGCACCACCCAAGCTAAGGTTGAGAGCGGCCTTTCCGAGGGCACCCTTGGCTTTGGCATCGGTGACACACCAGTCGATACCCTTGATCACACCAGCGGTAGAGCCGGAGCCACCAGCGGAGAGGACCTTGACGGCGACAATGTTGGCCTTCTTAGCAACTCCGTAGGTGGTGCCAGCGAAGGTTCCAGCGGTGTGGGTGCCATGGCCGTTGCCATCGGTGTTGTCGTTGTCAACGGTGTTGGTACCCCAGCGGATACGTCCCCTGAACTCGGGGTGGTTGATATCAATACCAGTGTCAACGCCGTAGATGGTGACACCTTGGCCAGCGGAGCTGTCATAGACGAAGTCCTTGTTGCCAGGGGCTTTGTGGGAGACTCTGCCCAATCCCCAGGTTGGAGCGTTTGGCTGAGTGGTGAGAGCAGCCAGCTTGACAACACGGTCATGCTCAACATAGTCGACCTAGACCAACTGTTAGAGTAACTCAATATAGAGGAAAAGAAAGGTAAGTAAATCGCTTAATAACTAACCTTGTCGTCGTTGAGGATAGACTCAATGGTGGCTTCGTCAAAGTGGCCGTTGTAGGCTCTCCATCCGTTGATGTTGAAGGAGTCCTTGTGTCCGACAGTCTCGGAGCCACGCTTGGCCTTGTTGATGCTGTGGGTAGTAGCAACAGAGGAGATGTGGGAGTCGAAGTCCTCGGCGGTAACGCCATCCTTCATGACAACGATGTAGGAGTTGGGGATGACATCGTTGCCGCCACGGTTGTGAAAGAAAGCGCGAGCATCGACGGCAGCGACGGCCGCGAGGAAGACGGAGATAACCTTGATGCAGCCCATTTTGAGGAGTTGCTGTTGTATGATAATAGTGATGAAGATTAATTGCTGTCTGGAAAATGTTGAACGACCGGATCAATGTCCAGCTTTTATATCCACCTTCCCTCCCATCCCGTCACCCTACCCCGGGTACTCTAGGGAGGCCTGGTCATCACCCCCAGACTTGATTCAAGGAAAGGAGTGCGGGACAATCCTCCGCACCCCTCAGGCTATCAAAGTATGCTTTTGTCCCCCTAAAATATGTAACCTTGCAATGTCGCCAGCGAGTGGGATAGTATGGCTCTATCTCCAGCGAATGATAATAAAAATGCCGGCGGTAAGATGCGGAGAGGCCAAGTCAGCCCCAGGAACGAGAGTGTTTATTACTATTCCGGGGAAGATATATGGTGTAGGAAGCATATATCGGATAGTGGCCGGCAGAGTCTCTGATGTCCCCAAGGTTGAGATCGTCATCATGCAAGCCTGATTCTGACGGGTGGCCGCGGTAACACTGCCGGCCCCAGGGGGAAGCGTGAACCCATCTTGTGATGGCTCTACCCCTGTAGAAATATAGAGTGGTAGAGCCCGACATTCGCGAATATTCCACGGCTCAGGTTTAAATGGCGGCCAAAAAGCTCTGACCAGTGTGTCCAGTACGGTGGTCATTTGGCGATCTTTGGTGTTGATCATATCATGACACATGGCGACAGCTTCTTAGAGTGAGCGGCTGATCTTCACAGCTAGACGGTGTTTGTATAAGGAGCAGCACGGCCCCTGCTTTCCCATATGGCCCCATGTTTTGCCGCGGCACTGAAGTCATCGAAGTTTGGAGTACAGAGTCGAAAGGCAAATAACCATGGCGCCAAAAAAAAAAAGGCGTGCTCTCCACTCCCGCCATCGATACGAACCAGCTGTCCGTGATAGATTAGTTACCTCACAGCAGCCAAGAGGGTGGGTATTCAGCCGAGATATCAAATAGCGTTAGATATTGGCGATCAAATCGCGGGGTGAGTGTGGAAAGGCGCAGCATAGGGCCTCTGTAACCTTTCAAACAGGGCAGGAATCCCATATATAGAAACGACACATGCTGGTTTCCCTTCTTTAGCCAGGGTGGAGGGAGGGAAGGCTAAGCATATTGCTCCCTACTATGTAAAATGATATTATCCGACCCCTGGGCTTGGACTGTGTGATATCATATCCATCTTTATCATTGCGATTGACGATCTCCCCAGATCTGCACGCCAATCCCCCATCACCAGCAAGTTTTAGCTTAGTAAACGGTGGTAGCAGTCCTGGCCTTCCCTCAGTAATCGTCGTTGCGATCCGCCCCTTCGATCCAGGAAACAGGTCGACACGCACGGTCCGATGATGATCAGCTTTCTGCTGATCAAGGCTTAGCCTAACGCCAGATACCAAACGAGAGGGAAAAAAAAAGGAACGCCGGTTCTTCAACGCTGGCAGATGGCTGATGCGAAGACATATGGCGGACCGTTTCGGCTGCATAGTGTCCAGTGCCCGTTCACCCCTTTTGCCACTCCTGGTAACTGTCCAAGCCTTGACAAGGCTCTTCTTCCTACTCGAGCCAGGATGGCAGTGGTTAGAAAGGGCGGAGATAGGGGGAAGAGCCCGAAGTCAATAATGCAACCTGACCAGGGGAAAGGCTGGGTTCATTCTGCTATCATTTGTGATTTCGGCTTCGAGGTTGGATGATTTTGCAGAGAGCCACCCATCATCCGGCCAACCAGCCAGTTAGATGGCGTTGTGGTGGCCTTGGGCTGCTTTAGTTCCTCCCAACCCTGGACTCCATGCCAGCATTAAGATACCTCTTGGGCGGAGTATACGGGGTAACTAGTTAGTTACATATCTTTTTTTTTTTTTTTCAAGAGTCATGGCTCCGTCGGTGCAGCCGATTTGTGTCACAATATCTCGGCTGACACTTGTCACTTGGTTAGCAAAAAGGGCGTTAACAGAGAGTTGCTGGAGATCTTCCCCTGCAACACAGGAGTAGCCCGGACGCAAGAGAACGAAAATGCCGGATGGAGTAGTTATACTCCGTGGCTAAGGAACCAGATAGCCTGACAGAAAGCGCAGGGATGAGCGTGGTTGCTGAAATATCCGCCTGCTACATCGCTAGTTAATGTGTTGCGCTGCCAACCTTCGCTATAATTAACCCCTAGTGATATCCCACCCAGCAACAGCTTCCTATTCCCATCCTCGTGCCCGCGACCTTGTGCGATTGAGTTGACTTGCCTGAGGCCAACGATGAGGGACCCAGCTGCTTGCTACGGCTAGCTGAAGCAAAAGCTTTGGAAATATCTCTGGTTTCAGCGGTGCCCCAAGGGCAGGACGCGGGAGCGTCATGCGGTCCGCACAAGTTCTCGTAACTAGAATAGTTGACTCCAGTGTAATCTGCTCTCAGCATCGCCGACGAATCAAGCCATCTTCCGTGTGCTGTAACTATATGTACTATAGGCCGAGGATATGTTGTTATATAGCAAGCCGGGGTGTCGAGAAAAGGATGGTCGATACGCCATCGTGCTTGTATCCCCATCGTATATAACAGTTCATACTCTGCAGTTCTTGTATGTCCTTGCGGTTAGAGTGAAAGTGCTTCGATAGCATATATATATCTTTCCCCGGCTTGGTAAGGTGAAGACTCCCTCTTGTTGGCCGTTTGTTAGCATGAACCACAGAACTCGCTGTCAACTCTTAGCTGGCTGAGAAAAACTTAGCTTCTGAGAGCCTCATGCACTATGCAAGCCACTGAGTTGATGTCATCTGCACAGGCTGTCGTAGTGGATCAAAAGATGTACTCTGTACACCTTTCTGAAAGATGCTCAATTTCCGATATGTTGGCATCCCTGGGTATAGTCTTTGTTTAGCGATCCAATAAATTGAAATACAACGTCAATACCAGGCCTATAATTGCCAGCTTGCTCTATAACGACAGCGTTACATTAGTATACATCAACCAGTCTTCAGATCCACCCTTGCGAGGGAGCCGTATCATCCATTTATCTAACATATTTGACGTGATGGTGGCCAGACACAGCCTTCATTCGAGAAGCGCAACGACAGCAGATACATTAATTCGCATGTAAAGTTTTCTTCATTATATGGATATCAATGACCGGAGCGTCATATTCTCTCGCCATGACCCCCGTAGTTGTTTTCTAAATGTAGGTGAAAAAGGAAGACGTTGAAGCGGTAATACTTGACGAAGCTGGTTTTTTATGCGCTTACTTCTCTACCGCCGTCTTTTTACCAACAACTATCGGCTGACACGTAGAACAAGTTGAACTAGCCAACAGAGAGAACGGGTATGTTAATCGTAAAAGGCCAGTATATTAAAATCATGTTTGTTACCGAAAGCAAGGAGGAAATATTCTAAATAGATAAAAGCGCGCTGGTAAAAGCTCAGATGGATATAAAACAGACGGTCAAAGACCTACTTGCTACTGCTCGTAACTCGTTCATCATGGGCTACCTCATGGTGGATTTCCTTCTCAATGTCGTCTTTCGTGTAGTTCTCTGCGTGCCCAGCGCCGGCCGTCAATGCAGCGCCTTTTCGCCCAATGACGTACCACGGCAGGTTGAACATCTCGTCCATGGCTTCGAGGGATTTGCCCGCAGTCTCCGGGAGGAAGAACCACATCCACATCAAACCGAGCAAGGTGACAGCAGCGAAGAAGAAGAATGTGCCCTGGGGCTTCATGGCGGTATCAAGTAGCATAGATGGAACAGCTTTCGAGTTACCACTATCATGATATGTTAGTTACCCTGCAGAAAGGTAGCATTCGATGGCACTTACTATTGATTGGCAAAGTGGAAACACATCACCATAGAGGACCCGAGGGCTCTGACTCGGAGAGGGAAAATCTCGGCGTTGATGAGATACTGGATGCTATTCCAGCCAAGTGCCCATCCGACTCCAGAGATGTAAATGGCCACGATAGCCCCTGTTCCGGCTCTTTTGGCATTTCCTTGTGGCTTGAAGTGCTCCGTTATTTCTGGAACGACTGTCAGATAAATAGCCACATACAGCATACTCAAGAACTGAAGGATGATGCCATAAGTAAGGGCGCGTTTCCTTCCTAGCATATCAACTAGGAACAGCGCGCATACGACCGAAGCGACCAGCTTCACAACACCGAAGATAGCGGTTGCAAACAGCTTTTCAGACTGGCCGGTTGTTCCCAACATAGCGAAGAAAGTAGGCGCATAGATGGTGATACTGTTTGCGCCAGACCACTGAGCCAGGAGCTGAGACATCAGTCCAAGCATAATGCGGTATCGGTTCGAAGGAGTCATGAAGAGTTCCTTTAGAGGCCCAATCCAGCCAAGTCCCATAGTGGCCTCCTTCTCACGCTCAACTTGCTCAAAAATATCCATCATCTCGGTTTGAACATATGGGTGATCCTCCGGCAGGTTGCGAATTTTTGCCATGGTGGAAGTTGCCAATTCTTTCTCACCCTTACTAGCGAGATACCTAGGAGATTCGTGTACACCAATTGACAAAAGAAGAATAATTCCAGCAAACATAAGGTGAAGACTGGTTGGGACAATCTACTCGTACGGGAAGTTAGTAGATATAAAAGCCTAGAGGCAAACGTGAGAGAAAGGATGCTACATACCCATTGGTTCTGGGACTTGCTGCTGATATGAAGGGCAGCACCCCAGCTAGAGAAGTAACTCAACATGATACCAAGATACACTGAACCGGAAAACGAGCAGATGCAAAGACCACGGATAGCGCGGGGAGATATTTCAGCCAGGTATGTGGGAGCAACCACTGCTGTCTGTCCGATTCCGAGGCCGGCAATGAATCGCCCAGCATATACCTGACCGATGTGACCATTGGCTGTAATGAAGATGACGATACCAACTATCCAGATGACACAAAGCTGCCGAGTTGCCCAGAGACGACCAATCTTGTCTGTGATGAGGAAAGCCCTATTATCATTTTTGGTCGTCAGTGCTGTACAAGGATTTTAATAGGAGGACTAGAGCTAGTGCGTTGGGAAGAAAACGTACAGCAATGCCCCGCCAATACTTCCAATTTGCACCATTGCCGTGATATTACCGAGGAGGTTAGCCTTCTCTGACTCGCTCAAAAGAGGGTCATTAAGACGATATTTTGAAATGAAAGCCTTTTGTTGGACAGTTCCAGATATAAGACCCTCGTCAATACCTATAACAGAGATTGTACTGTTAGTAAAATAGCTAGATAGTTACTAGAGGGAACTCACCTCGACTAGCACCCATCAGACCAAAACACAGGATGGCATATCCCAGCCTCCAGTTCAAGGCCTGGCGAGGGGTCTCGCCCAAGTTTTGGGTAAATATATTTGGCATGACGACGTTGTCCTGCGGCCGTGCGAGTAGCCCACAGCTACGAAGAGGTTTCGGTGGATGTCGAAGATGTCGACAGTGGGAGATCTCGCGAGCAGGAATTGCGGAGGAGCGTTTTCCGGTTCTTTGGGGAGGAGGCGGCCATTTAAATATTTACTGGTTGTTTTTTGTGCGGCGCTCCGTTGATCCATACCCCTTGGTAGTGTGCTTCCCTCTCTCCGACCGCCAGTCTATAGGGTTCCATGTCAGCTCTGTCTGTCCCCATGATCCAACCCAGGGTTGACCGGGATTGACAGCATGGTGGAATCCCCCACCAGTGGGGGAAGGCCGGCATACGAGGATGGCCATTCGCTGCCGAAGCCATCTCCGGCCATTAGCGTCAACATCTGATTAAGAACTGAGCATGGGGTACGGACAAGCTGTGGACCTGAGGTTTGGCTATTTCAAGCTTCTCTTGAGGTAAAGCTTAGCTTCCTTAGCAGCGGTGAAAGTGCGAAAATCGGCGTCTCCTCTTCCATACTTCCGTCGCAGGGTTGAACAGGTCGCGGGTCGCGGTTCAACATGCAACCGCTTAACGTGAGGTAACCATTGTAGGGAGCCCAAAGCGTGAAATAGAGTCAGGACGGAGTATAAAACTGTCAGCCCCGTCCCATAAGTACTTATATTGACATTGGAAGTTACGGTTAACTCCACTTGGAGAATAAAAGCATAAGCATATGTCTCCTTTCAAGAACTCTGTAGATGTTATATTACTCCATTCGGAAGACGCATGCTTTCGGTAATCGAAAGTAAAATTCCACAACTGATGCTACTGCTTGGCCCTCTTTTTAGATACCTGGGGGATGGTATTTGGCGAGTGACATGCATCGGCTGGGGGAAGGCGAGGAAAATTGCTTTTGGAGGACTCTGGTAGGTTTGAAGTCGACCAACTAACGCGCTCAAGCCTGAACTGAAATAACTAATCGGAGATGCCCCGGTGTGATTTTCAGCCACTATTTTCTTGCACCAAGGGGGCCTTGGAGAAGGCTAGCCAGATGCTGGGTGTTCAATCTAGACATTCCCATAATGATGCTTGGGCTTGATAACGGAGGCAAACGTAGTTAACTAGTTATATCCTCGTCGAGATGGCAGGGTGGACAGCCTAAGCACAAGTTAGCCCCAATCGGCCATTTTGGTAGAAAGGACGATAGCAAAAATGGAAATTGAATATCTAGATTTCACCCCCGTTTTGTTTCTCTTTGCCCCTTTTCAGAAGTAAAGCCCGGCTTCAGAGAAAGGATACCCCGACATGGCATGAGTCGAACATGGCTGGAAAGGGGGCTTAAGCGCAAAACGGGCTCATATCCTCCGCTAGTTCCCTATATTTGAAGCTGCTGCTCTATGTTTGGAATTATCATGCAGAACGGCGCGGGAATGGATACCGGCCTCCACCACTGTATCAGCATTGGCAGACTAACCGTGTATAAAGCTGAGGGCGACCCTTGATGCGTGATTGACTCTTTCGACCTCTTTCTTCAGGAGCTATATCGGGCGTGCATAAATAGAACGATCTCTGTCAAAGCAGCCAGCGTTGCAATTTATTGACTATAGCCAGTGGATAGGTCATCAAGATTGGTATTTATGTCCTTCACAGAAAAGTATGGGTAAGAGAGTGATCAGGGCTGTGGTGGTCCAATTCTAGACTAGCCTTCTCTGTCGATTGGGAAGACTTCACTTCCCTCTTCGTTCATATTAAATAAATATATTTGTTATTTGTCATTGCAGTCATCAAAAATCTTCTAACGCCATACCAAATAGCCTCCAAATACGCTTTAAGTATTATCATAAACAATGGGACACCAATATCCCGATCAAAGTCCAACCTTCAACTGAAAGACGGGCAGGATGATCGTACGAACACCAGGTTCGTGCAAATAAACCCATGTTCCATCATAATGAACATAAAACCGAATAATGCACCACCTTCCCTCCCGAAAATCCAATACTCAGGGCAGAAATATAACCGTAACCTAAATTTATCATGAATCACGTATGCGCGTTTGGCGCTTTGCCGTGCCTACATGTGTATTTTGGACCTTTGCGGCAAACTTCAGGCTGGTCAGGGTCTCATTGAGATGATCCTGCTGGGGGCTAACCATCACAAACATGAGTGTTTTAGAATTTCCCCCCAAAGAGAATTGAAGAAGGTAGGTGAGCTACGCGGCAGGTCAGCATCAGGCTGTTGTGTATGGGTTCGGAGTAATTTTGCATACCTTGCTGTTTCTATATGGAATATGTGCGCCCTCCTTACCCTGTCCTAGAGCGCCTATAACGTCCCCCAGACAGCTGAGACTCTTGTTAATATTCTGGGTCTCTTTGAGCCGGTCTCCGGTACTGCCACTGTGGCTAAGACGCTCGCTTCCTGCAAGGTCTACCAAATTCAAAGTGCCTTCACTGTGTTCACCCGTAGTCGAGTTCTCACCCACAAGCCGGAGGATAAAGACCGAGTGAGAGCGAGAGGAGCGCTCGTTGGCTTTAGTAGCAGCAACAGATCGGTTTGTCCAGGCTCGACGAAGGATGGTTTCAACCTTTTCGGGGGAGTCAAGCCTGACTGTTGTGACATTGGTAACGGTAGTCTGGCATTTTTGGAGGTCATGCCTGATTTCGTGCTTCTTCTTGTCAAACTCCTCAGCCCTCCCTAGAAGATCGTTGATGTTCTCGTTGTACACCTCCACGAAACTTCCCTCCATCGTATACTCCCAACCTTTCTCCTTAAGACCGCTGGCAGTGTCGTATATCTGGCGAACAGCACGGGGTATCATGCCATCTTCAGAGGACATTGTATGCGTCTTACCGCTGCCCGTCTGGCCATAACAGAATATACACACGTTATAGCCGTCCAAAGCGCTCTGCACCAGCTGACTGATTTCCTCAAACACCTCTGCGTTCTGCGACCTAGGCCCAAAGACATGGTCGTACGAAAAAGAATGGTTCTTCGCACTAACGACTCCTAGGCTTGATCTCTCTTCTGGTCCCCGAACCACGATTTCTCTGCACTCCATATCTTCATCTGGGAAGGAAATATTCGCAATGTTTTCACCTGTATCAGTGGCTAGTACTGGCCGGACGCGACAAAACACTCTAATGTTTCCTTTTAGCTCTTGAATTTGATTATGCAGTCTCCTTCGAAGTGTTTCTTCTTTCCGTAGTTGTGCCTTGGTGGCATTGGTCTCGTCAAGCGCCTCCCGGAGTTCTTTATCAAGTTTTGCAAATGCATCTGATTGCTCTTTACTGCCTGATTCTAGGAACTCGATTCTTGCTTTTAATGCACGTATTGACGATTCTAGAGTAACAGTGTTGTTAGCATTTACAATAGAACTTTGTTGTAGTTCTTTGTTTAGAGCATGTTCTCGTTCAAGGTCGCCCTGTAACCTCTCCTTCTGTATGAGCAAGTCCTGTATCTCTCGATCCTTGTTACTTAGATCTAGCTGGCCACGTTGCTTTTCCAGGGATGACTGTGCAGCCATTTGCTCGAGCTCCTGTGCTCGTAACTGCCGCTCGACGGCCAATTCAGTTTCGAATCTTCGCCTAGTCTCAGCGAGCTCCGCTCTGTGTTGTATCCTCAGTGCTTCGATTTCCGCTTTAGCATCCTGCCGTATTTTTTCCGACTGGTTTCGGTGCTGGGTCGCCAGCTCATTGAGGGTAATTTCTTGTTCACGAGATACGTCTTTCAGCTTTGCCTCCGCATTCGATAGTGAATTCTTCGTAGCCTCTAGTTCAACCCGTAGGTCCGCATTTTGATTGAGGAGTTTTGTTTGGTTTTCCTCAAGCATTTGGGCTATTTAATCAGCATTAATGAAGTTAATCGCAGATCGTATAAAAGTCATGCAAGATGTTAAACCTACTACGTGATTTATATAACTCAGTGGTTTCTGTCATGGCAGCCGTTTGCTTGGCCATCTCCTCAACAATCTGGTGGACATGGATCATGCTATCCGACATCCTTTGCTCCTTTTCGTCCTGGTCCCAAGCTTGGACTTCAGTGTCTATAGTTAGAAAACATTTCAACTTTTTAGGGGAGCGTTGTTTGCGAAACTTTTTAGGGATTGTGGGAGAAGAAGGAGATGGAGAGGGTTTATTGGATAGAAGTAGCGGAAGAACTGGGATGGGTAACTTGGACGGGGAAGTACGTTGTGGCTTTTTATTGTGTCTTTCAATATTTAAGGGGGGCGTGTGGTTAAGGGAGAGTGATTGCATAGCAGTGCATAATGATGAGTTGCGGAAGGAAAAGGTAGGGTGATCCAGCGATAAGCTCAACCCATTGGATGAAGCATCAACCTGGCCATCACAACTCCCAGTAGGGAACAAATTATCAGGAGATCTGGGCTTAGATGAGGGAGAAAGAGAGGGAGGCGGAGGGGATACAAGGGATGAGGGCTGACGCGCACCATTTCGGCTTGAGCCAACATCACGGCCATCTAAGGAGGTCACGGGTCGCGAGATCACCCCTTTCTCGACATTGGGATGGCCCATTGACGTCTGCGGGCGGGGAATATTCCGTGTGCCTGGCGGAGGCCTAAGCCTTGACCCATTTGTAGGTACCCGGGAGGCACCTGTCTTCGATACGCCCAAGCCTCTGGGCTGTCCGGTTTTAGCAGATCCTGCAAAAGGCTTCGAGCTCAGGTTCTCCTTCTTTCTCGGTTCTCCGGCTCGTTCGCTCAAGGTCTTCCTTTCTGATTCCATAGCGCAGAAATATTAGCAGCGTCATTCAACCAAGAGGGAAAAGGACGCGGCGGTTTTCAATTCGTCGGGAAGGGGGGGAAATTAGATATGTAGATTGAGTACTTTTATCGCCCGCGGTGGCTGGAACAGCCATTGCCCCGGCTGGCGCATTATTCGCAGCATTCGTAATATCTCTCAGGCTCTCAGGTTGTGTGTAGGAGAACTTTGGCCGTGGGATGTTCGATACGCTCGTGGCAAGCTGGATCCTATGGTTAGCAACAGACAGATGTGAAGGTGATGGTATTTCCAGCGTACTCGAGTCTGCGCGTCGCTTTCCTCCATCTCTTTCTCCTGACAGGAATTTCTCTCTATCCGTCTCTCTCTGTCTCCCTCTATGCTGTGGCTTGTTATATGTGTATCTCTCTCGTTGACTTGACATCACAAATTACCCAAAACGGGTTGAAAGTAAACAAAAATGCCCAGCTTATGTCATAGTTTGATTATGTCAGATATCACGTGATAATTTGCTAACGTAATGTGGCGAGACCGCAAAAGACGAAAAGCAACGAACGACAACAAATCGCAGCGGTAATTAATATATAACCATTAAAGATCGGGTATGAGAGAGAGAGAATATAGTGAAGATCAAACTTGAGTAGGAGACAGTGTTCGACCACGTCTGATAACTGGGGTGGGAGAAATAAAACTCAAAGTCCTGGCTCGTTTATAAACAAATACAACACCTCGTCATAAATACGCAAGCTAATCTCCGCGCCGTTGAAAAAGGCCAAACGTCTCAGCCTGCAGAACTTCGACCTTCCTCCTTCTGCGACAGCAGTATTGCTTGCATAAGGAGTAGACAACTTGAACCATTGGATCCAGAGAATAATTCCCACCGCCATGGCTGGCCGTTTTGTTCGTTCGTCGAAGTATCGTGAGTCCCCCTCGTTGGTATCGTGTGCTTCACCTAAACCTCCGCATTCTGACCCATTTGCAACTTAGGACACATCTTCGGGCGTTCCACACGAAAGGTACTTCCGCAGGCGTCCAAAAGACTACCCGATAATCTGACTTCCCGAGTTTCGTTCGCCCTATACTCATTCCAGCTGGGCGTATTAGGACCAATGCTACGATAGCCTCCGGGTCTCTACCAATGCATGGGATACCAACCTGTTGAAGGTCAGTGGAAATATCGTGTATAACTGTGCTGTGGGTTCTTGAACAGAATGGCAGCTAATGTTGGCATAGGTCAACCCCGAATACATCTCTGTTAACTGGGAGACCACAGGTGGTGGAGCTTTTGCCGTTTTACCTCTTAATGAGAAGGGTAGACTCCCAGAACGGATCCCGCTCTTTCGTGGACACACCGCAGTCGTGCTAGACACGGACTGGTTAGTGATGCTGGTACTGGAAGCAGGAAGCACAATAATGAGCTGGCTAACCTCAACCACAGGAATCCGTTCAACGACTCCCTGATTGCTTCTGGAGCTGATGACGGAAAGGCAAGTGAACAAGCGCTGTATTGACGTTTATTTCTGCAACTGTAACTTATGCATGGTACCGCAGATTTTTCTTTGGAGAGTACCTGAAGGATTCACTCTTCACAGCGATGCAGACGAAATCCAGGACATCGCGCCAATCGGCAGACTTCCAGGCCATCCAAAGTAAATAACCCCCCCCCCTCACCTTTTTTTATTTGGGTCCGCTTGGTATGTTTGCACAATGTGTTAACTGTGATGCTGTAGGAAAGTTGGTCACGTTCTGTTTAACCCTGCCGCCGATAACGTCCTTGCCTCTTCCTCTGGAGACTTTACCGTTAAGATATGGGATATCGAAGCGGGCGCATCTAAACTTACTCTAAACGTTAATGAAGTGATACAGTCCATGTCTTGGAGCGCAAATGGCTCCCTGATGGTCACAACCTCCCGTGACAAGAAGCTGCGCATCTGGGACGTTCGACAAGAGAAGCCGGTGCATGAAGGTGCCGGCCATGCTGGTGCGAAGAACAGCAGAGCTGTTTGGATGGGAGAGCACGATCGTATTGCAACAACCGGCTTTTCCAAGATGAGTGATAGACAAATGGCTCTATGGGACGTTCGTGCTGCTAGGGAACCTATCAATGGCTTCAAGGTTCTGGATTCTATCTCTGGCGTGTGTATGCCCTTCTGGGATGAAGGAACACAGTGTCTCTATCTTGCTGGAAAAGGGTATGCCAAACTACCTGTGCCTTTTGCTCTTTATTTTTTAAGTTGCGCTGCTAACCAAAACCTGCTAGAGATGGGAACATCCGGTACTTCGAGTACCAAAACGACAAGTTTGAGTTCTTGTCTGAGTACAAGTCCGGTGATCCACAGCGTGGCGTCGCATTTATGCCAAAGCGAGGTATTAACATGCATGAGAACGAGGTCGTCAGAGCCTACAAGACTGTCAATGATTCATACATTGAACCTGTTTCATTCATCGTTCCTCGCCGTGCGGAGGTATTCCAGGATGATATCTACCCACCCACCACTGGCATTAGCCCTGCCATGTCATGTAATGAATGGTTTGAAGGCAAGAACGCACTTCCTCCTAAGATTGACATGGAGAGCCTCTACGAAGGAGGTGTTATGAAAGAACTCTCCGCCGATGCCATCACCACTACCAAGGAGCCGGAAGTCAAGGCACCAGAGCCGGCCAAAAGCCAACCAGCACCAAAACCCACACCAGATCCCCAGGCTGCACCGCCTGCAGCTGCGATTGCCCCGCGTGCAGGCATGAAAGAGCAAGGTGCATCCATGGCTGCGGCGGCATCAAAATATATCGACAAGGATGAAGATGAGGAAGAAGTCGGTGGCAGCTCGGGCTTTGATGCGCCAAAACCGCAACCTCAAAAGGTACCCTCGATCTCCGTCTCTCCAGCACAAGCTGATGCGTCCCTGCCAACCAAGCAAGAACCAAAGGTATAGCTAATTTATGTCATATCCTTCTCTACCTCTACATGGTATACGGTAACAGCTAACAAGCCACTTAGGAATCGAAACCTGTTCCATCAATGACAGCAACAACCACCCCCGCTACAGCTAACAAGGGCGCTGCCGACTCTCCAGTTTCAGAGACATCTCTAATGAAGGAGATTGAATCCATCAAAGAGTTGATAGCTGAGCAAGCTCGCACCATTGCCTCTCAAGCTGAGGAGCTTAGCGCTCTCAAGTCTGAAATTACTAGTCTCAAATTGAAACTCGGGTAGCATAGTATCTCATGTCTTCCCCTAATAGCCTATTCGTTCATGTATTGGATATAAAAATCTTCATTCTTCCTCCCTTTGTGATTTAACTCGCCAACTTATTCATAACCTAGCACTCTCCCATCTTTTCCTCCTCCCATCCGAGTAGCTATGAATTGTAGACGAGTGTATTCACACGAACCCTTGCGTACTACAATAGTTCTTTGTAACCGTCCGCAAATTGCTGGTTTCATCTGAAATATCGGGCGGTAGCACCCCAGAATACATGCCCTCGAGCTACAGCAACACACAGCAATGAGAATATATATGTAGAACGGAGCCGCGGCTCAAGAATCAGTTGCTGGTAATGAAGGGAAGTAGAGAAATGTAGTTATAGCGTTTATAACCTCAAAAGATTTCAGATATCAAACTGACGTCGAATTAAGGAGTGAATTTTCTCTACCAAGTCTCATTCACTACAAGGCTAGATACAGACAAGATCTAAGTCCTATTGGCTCTAGAACGCCTTTACCATTTATAGCTTACAGGCAGTAGACTAGAACACGGCAGCAGGTAGGCAACTGTGGCCGTCAGTATGGATTATTCCACTTCAGGTCCACCGAACCGACTCCCGCTCCCGCTCATGGTCACCAAGTTCATCTTCATACTTGTAGCTCAGTTTTCTCCCCAGTAGATTGCGGTCAAGCTTAGCATCACGACGACGGCCGCTTCCCTTGCCATCACGGTCGGCGTTGACGGCCTCTCGCCGCTGCTGTTCCTTGAGGAGCCGTTCTCTGTTTCGAGCCTCTCGTTCAAGGGTATGGGGATCCTTTTCGGCTCCCGTTCCTTTCTTCGACGAGCTGCCTGATCTAGACTGCTCGGTTGCCGCGGCTCCCTTGTCTTTACCTGCTTGTTCACCGTCATCTTCATGCCGGGGGCGACGGGAGCGACGATCGTTGTATTCATCGTCATCTCGAGACTCGGAGTAATCACGGCGAGACCTTTTACGGTCACGGCGGTCTCTGTCTCTGTCTCTGTCTCTGTCTCTATCTCGGTCCCTGTCTCGGTCCCTGTCTCGATCCCTGTCTCTGTCCCTTTCTCTGTCCCGATCACGGTCTCTGTCCCGCTCACGCTCACGATGACGGTCACGGCCTTTATCTCTCTGCCTGTGACGGTCGTCCCCGGTATCGTCGGCATCTTCACGAGGCCTATGTTTCTCCCGTCGATGTGACGAAGTGCCTTTTATAGAGAGCCCAGGGTCACTTTTATCAGAAATATCAATGACTCTGCTATCCCGTCTGCTTGGGCTACGACTGCGACGGCGACGAGAGCGTTTTGAAGAGCTGTCGTCACGCTCTCGGTCCCGTCTGCTGCGATATGATGAGGATTTGGGATCCGCGGACGGGGAAAGCGAACGAATTCGAGAAGTAGCCCGCCTACCGTCATTGGTATCAGGCTCCCTATCATTATCATCACGACGAGCGCGTTTATTGCGCCGTTCCCGTCTTCTCTCGTCTTCACTTTGCGTAGGACCAGCTGAAGGGCTACGGTAGCGATGGTGTCGAGACCTATAGCGCGAAGGTGACTTGGATCTTGACCTCGACCCAGACCTTGGCTGGGACTTCGACCTAGACCTAGATCTTGGGACCGGTGCATCCTGTTCTGCATCACGCTTGGTCGGTGATGAACTGTAGCCGTAAAATTTGAATGGATTAGCACGGGATAATCTATATAAGATGGCTCAGGAGAAATAAATGTCCGTACCTCTGTGATTCCTTGATGGATGGCTGGCTGATAGATACCGTCCGACTGTGAGTGAAAGCCCTGATGTTACGAGTGCTTGTATTCGGCAGGCCTTCTCTCATGGCTCGAGGCGCAGCTGGAGCCCCCGCGACCCCCGGACCCGGCCCCAGTCCCGGTGCCCGTAGGCCATTCATGGCCATGGGGTTACTTGGAGGCAGCTGGCTATTAGATATGCCGTTGGGAATTCCGTTAGATATTCCATTCACATATGGTGCCGACTGTATACCGACTGCGTTTCCATGATATCTGCCGCCTCCGCCAAAGGCTGGGGTGCTAGAATAACTAGGGATGGGGTTAGTATGTCCGGTGGCAGCAGACGAGGGAGCAGCATCGCCAGTCCCATTGGCTGTAGTAGCCGTTGTAGTAGTCGTCGTGTTTTCTGCCTGTGTATTTGCAGGTTGGTCTGCGGTTGGCACGACCGTAGCTTCATTCGCTGCCTCGCCGTCAGTCTGAGGTTTTTGTGCAGTAGACTCGGTCTCTTCCCCCTTTGGCTGATTCTCTCTCATCTCCTCCTCGCCGCCGGGGCAGAGGCTATCATTCACCTGAGCCTGCGGCTGGTCTGGAACACCATTGAAAAACTGCTGCTGCTGCTGCTGCTGCTGGAACTGAGGCTGGTTAAGGCGCTGAAAGCCGCCCATGTTAGGGGACAAATGGTTACCTTGATAGCTGTTGGCAGCATGATAGCCGCGGCCACGGCCAGCAGGGCCAAATCCTCGCCCTCCTCGCCCGGCAACAGGGCCAGCACCGCGACCGTAGAGACCATATGAGTTTTGAAAATCATTGCTAGGAAACTTCTGTTGCTGATGCAGGTGAGGAAATTTTTGGTGAGGTTGTGACTGTGACTGTAACATATTATATCCACCAACTCCAGGAGTAGGGCCAAAGTCGGCACCCATGCGATTAGGGAATGCAATTCCATTGAAGTTATCTGGGCCACCATTCCACATGTTGTTCTGACCATCCCATGATCCATACATTCCTTGCCCAGCACCGGAATTCATCATCATGCCCATGTTATTATTCATCCCATTCATATTCATCCCGTAGCCAGTAAACATTCCCTGAGCCGCGGTCATCGGATCCATGCCCATGCCAAACATACCGGGGACTCCTGCATGCCGTTAGTAAATCTTGCCTTGATGGATGAGAAATGTACAAGGGAATGAAAGGCAAGCCTACCCATCGGGTTTTGGGGCATGACCATCCCATTTGCCATGAAGGGCATTCCTTGGTTGAGGTCCCCGACTCCGTTCCAGCCCATCTGCCCGAATCCATTGGTATACCCTCCTTCCTGCAGGTTGGCATCCGACGTTGCGGCAGCGCCGTCCTCCACGCCAGCCGTCGAGGCGGGAGGAGGAGCTTCAGGTTCGGCCGTGGCAGGTTCAGTGCTCTGCGATTCACTGGCCTTGTTCGAGTTCGTCTCCTTCGTATTTATTGTTAATACTATTAAAGCAGCGTCAGACATGATTAGTCTCACCTTGTCGTCTTTGATGTCATTCCCAACCCGTGACTCTGGATTTTCTCCACTGGCGGGTTGTTGGCTGCCATTCACGTCATTCTGGCCATCAGCTGCAGCGGTGACATGGCTGGCTGGTGCAGGGTCGGCCACATCGGCGGTGGCGGCACCAGCTGTGGCCTGCGTCTGTTCTGGCTCAGCAGGAGTGTCTGTCTTCTCGGCAGGGGTAGAAGCCGGAGGAGTAGAGTCCTGTGTAGGTCTGCTCTTCTCGCGTTTCTTCTCCTCAGTCCGCAGAAATGCCTTTAAGGTAGTGCGGAGAGCCTTGTTCGGCTTGCAGAGTTCAGCGTCAAGAGGGCTGTGATCGCACACGGGGCAGCTGGAGGGGAGAGACGTTTGGCCTGGCCATATCCAACCCAGTCAGCCTGTATACACACAAAAGGGAGGACGATATAACAACAGAGTAAGGCACGTACAGCCTTCGCATATCGCTTGGTCACAGCAGGGCAGCCTGAAGGCGTTCCAGGCGAGCTTGCTGCAGATGGCGCACCGCAGCTTGAAGGGAATCTCGTCTTGAGAGAGCGAGCTAGGCACAGCGGTCAATATCATAGTATATCATAGAATATACTGAGAGAGAATCTCATACCTAGCAATGTGATCGAGGCCCGCCATATTCTGGGTGGTTTGCTTTTGTTGTCTTGGTGGTTGACGGTTATGGGTGGAGATTTTGTAGTGTATATATTCACGACTCAGGCGGAGGAACTGACATGACGCGAGTCCATGTCTTCTCTCCGGCTCTTGAGGCCTGTCTTGTTTGTAGTGAATTACTTGATATTTATTCTTCTTTTTATTCTTCGTCTTTTATTCAAGTTTCTTCGTCTTTTTCGTTGTCGTCGGAAAAACTTTAAGCCCTAAAGGATAAATGCTATTCCGTAAACCACGTGATGTGTCCTTTTCTACATATAACTGTTAAATATTACGGATGGCATTAACAAGATAGTTGAACCTACTACGTAAAAGGGGGAGGAAAAGAATGAAGTTGAATGAAGGAATATAATTAGTGGTCCATATAAAAATGGGAGCCTACCCGGTAGGAGACCAGCCACGGACACTGTCAACTGAGACGGGCTTCGCCTCGCTCTCTAGGTGGTGACTTAGGCGGCATCGCTTGTTTGTGCCTTTCGTTTGCGGTCTCGAGCAACCGGTTCCTCTGTTCTTTGGCCCAGTCCCTTGCGTTTCGATAGGCAGTTGCCCCCTGTCGAAAGCTGTCTGCGTTGCCAGACATACTCCAGGCATTCAGCTGGGTCGTGATGTATTCTGGACAGCCATCACTCTGCCAACCACGCGTTCGAGGAGGGGCCGGGTGGGTTGCGTAGAGCTTCAGCTGACCGCCGTGGTAAGTTGCCGTTATAGTATAGGCTCTGTTGTCGTATAGCGGCTGCTCATTCTGCTTGTAGCACTGGAGTTTATGCATTGCTCGAGCCCCCAGTGCACCGTAGTAGCAGACCTGGCGTGTAGCAGCACCAAGGGACCTATCGGGCCACTTGGCCTCTAGAAAGAAATTGGGGGCCATTAGCAGGCTGTCCTCCTCCGACGGGATGATGTATTCGCTGAGCTCGTCGCGAATCTGGCGGTCAAGCTGCTCCATGCGTGCGGCATAGTAGTGATCTGGTTTCGCAGTCACCAGTATACGGTCCGCCAGGGGAGCAAGGTCCTCAAAGGGGCAGCCACCCCCTACAGTGCTGGAGTCATGCCTGCCACCTTCGAGAGACCGGATGATAAGGACGATTATTGGTCGTCCGCTGGAAGCGGCGGCATCTGTCCGTTTGAACTCTTCAAACTCGCTGTCTGGACACCTTGACGGCGAAAGAGACGGACGTCGCTGGGCCAGTCTCTTGTTTATTTCGTCCAGGTTGTCTGGCCTGGCTGGCACCTGGCCATCAGGATATTCGTATCCGGCTGGGTAGACACCACTACCTATAAGGACTTGCTCAAAGTTCCCATCATAAATGGTCGTAGTTGTTTTTGTAGCGCTGCTGCTGCTGCTGCTATTGGAGGGAGCCCGTCGCTTTCGGGCTTCAGCAGGGTCTGGGAACTGGACAGAGCCCTGTCAGCAACTATCGACTTGACACGGTGGCTAGCTACATACATTTCTCAGATCAGATAGGTCAGGTCCGCCCTGCTTCGAGAGCTCCCGGATCTGATGAAGGGTTCTGAGCGAGCAGTCCTCTGCAGGGTTAAAGTCAGCCTGGGATGGTTGAGTGTGTGGCTCTGGCATTCCTTGACCGCTGCGTGAGAGAGCTCTGTTCCGCCGGTCTAGCTCCTCGAGGGCATCACTAGTCAGCCAGATCTTCGACAGGTTGTCCCAGAACGCTGGAGGGGGACGGCCAGTCTTTTGCTTCAGTTTCTTGCGAGGAGGCATTTATCTTATACAACCGTTTACCTGATGTAGTCATAAGAGTAGCAGGGGAGGCGAGTAGACAAGAAGATGAAAACCTCAGCATGGCTGTGACGCTTTTATAGGCTTAGACACTTGTTTATTATGTATGTATCTTAGGCAATAAACAAATATCTATATATACTTGAAACGATCGGATAAAGAACATATGCCTTCGAAAGTGGCTCTATATCGCAGTTGATCCAGTCAACAACGATAGATAAAAATATGGTATTCAGGGGAAGGTCAGTCAGATTAGATCAAGTAAAAAGCCCGTCTTGAGGGCGTCAGCGACGCGAGCTGCTTGCCTTCTGGTGCCTGGCGATGCCTCCAACGGCTTCATCCTGGGCCCAGAGGCGCGCGTCTCGAGCTCAGAGCTATCATCATCGACCGTGTAGAGGAGTAGTCATGTCATATCGGTGTATATTATCTTGTATAATATATATCTTCATTCGCCACCTTCATCTGTATATATAAATATACGGAGTATATGTTTATATATTTTATATATATTTTTTGTTTTGACGTTAAGATTTTTTTATTCTTTTTTTGCCTTTGTCGTTTTTGTTACCAAAAAGGGAAAGAAAAAGAAAGACTTCGAGTATCACGTGATGAGGGGCTCTTCCCCTTAGAGTGCATAAAAGGGAAGGAACGACCCCGCCGGAAAGTTCAAGAAAGGGAGGAAAAAGAGGAAAGAGCAAGGCTTAAATACACGCACTTATTACTAATACAGTTAAAGTCACGCACCTGTCTTTTATTGATACTCACTTACGCTAAGCCCGTTTGAGTTTAATGTGGGAGCTTGGGCCACCGCGGTGAAGAAGAAGAAAAAAAAACATCTTAAAAAAGATATCAAAAGACAGGATAAGAGAAGCGCGGACAGGAAGGGAAGAAAACAAGAAGACAAAACCGAGAAGTTAAGGAGGAAGACGTGAAAGACCAAGGTACGACATAAAAAAAGCACGCTAGTTGTCTCGGACTCGATAGCTTTCTCAGGTATGGCATCGCGACATATATACATACGTGTGTATATATACTCCCTATACTAAATATAATATATACATAATGTTTGCTAACCAGTCATAGAATGACAGACCAAGACAACTCATACAGACCGCGCTCACCCGACTTCTCGGGTTTCCCCGGCAGCGTTCCCCCCTTCCACGACTACAGCCAGCACTCCTACGCTGCAGCCTTCGCGACCCCCATCTCCCCTCAGGCCTCCTACGACGCCTCCCCTTTCTTCAGCCCACAAACTCACCATCAGCAGCAGTACCCATATCACCAGCAGCAGCAGCAGCACAACCATCAACAGTACCATCAACAGCCCTACATACCTCAGCTCTACTCCCCAACGGACGAGATGGCCCCCCACACCCGGTCCCGGACCCAGGCAATGCAGCAGCCTCAGCACATGCTCGACCACCAGCAGCAACAATACCAGCAGCAGCAGCAGCAACAACAACAACAACAGCTACAACAACTACAACAGCAGCATCAGCAGCATCAGCAGAAAGGGGGCGGTGGAGAGACAATGGAACAGCCAGCGCCAGCGCAGCCGGAGGAGAAGAGCCTGGGACCCTCCGGCGGTATAGAGGTCAAGACCAAGTTCCCCGTCGCCCGGATAAAGCGCATTATGCAGGCGGACGAGGACGTCGGCAAAGTCGCCCAGGTCACTCCGATCGCCGTCTGTAAGTTCTCTTCCCTTTCATATAGGTGTAGAAGTTTGTATACTAACACGCAACAGCCAAAGCACTGGAGCTATTCATGATATCGCTCGTCACCAAAGGCGCCCAGGTTGCCAGGGACCGCTCATCCAAGCGCATAACGGCAAATCACCTCAAGGAGGCCATTGGCAAGGACGAAGTGCTCGACTTCCTGGCTGACATCATCTCCAAGGTGCCTGACGCACCAGCGGGCAAGAAACACGACGAAGACGGCAGCGACCAGAATGAGAAACCCAAGAAGAAGGGCAGTCGGCGGAAGAAAGAAGATATGGACGAGGACTAATCCTGCTCCGTTTCTCTCTTCTCCTTTTCTCCTTTGTTCTCAAGCTTGGATCCATCATCATTTACTCGGTTGGGAGCGCAGACTGTGGCTGGCGTTGGCGGTAATCTCGAGCATGCATCTTCTTCTATCTTCTCTCCGTTACTCACCCACTTGTCTCTTATATTTCTTGTCTTATGCCACGGTTTCACCCGGATGACCTTATGCGTACGGCGGCAACTTGGAGAACAAGTTTATCCTTTATACATGGTTCTACGGTAGATTATTCCAAGCATAATACTATATACTATATATCCCCTCCATATACACGCTCAAGGCATAAGTAAATTTTATGCGGCCTCGTGTTGGTTATCAAAGTCATGCCCTTTTTTCTTCGCAGTGGTAGTATCTAATACAATCATGGGTATAGTCGGCTGCGTATAAGAGGATAAACTGTGCATTGAAAGAAGAGAACGCCGAGCTGCGTCAAGGGCGATGGGCAGTCCAGAATACAGAAACATGGCTGATTAGATAGGAAGAGTTATCAGGTCAAGTCCCGCCAAGTTAACTCCAAAACTTCTAAATAATTTCTCGAACGATGAGTTTCCACATCGGTCACCATGGTTACGGTATCTATCTTTGCAATACCAATCTGGTGATCTAAACGAGTTAACTGCGTTCCTAAGCGACTGGACACTCAACCCCAGGAAGGGAGCCTTGGGCTGTGGTGAAAGCAAGTTATGTGAGTGCATATTCTTGATAAGAGCCCCAAGCATCATTGAACGGCATTCAAAATTGCAACCTCGGCTGTTATTGGTCAGGTCCTGCTGCCACTGGTTGAGCATAGAGATTGTGCTTTCGATAGCCTGCGTTCTACGTTTGTCCAACGTATCTTGATCCCGTCAGCATGCTGGCCTGTTGAAAATATACGGTGTCATACTTATAACTATAGCTGGGATCGGCAGCTCCAAACTCGGAATTGGAGAGATAGCATGTTCCATAGCGATCAACGTAGCCTCTCGAAACTGACTCCGAAGCTGAAAATACCAGCAAACCCACATCCACAGGATCAGGTCTCGTGAATATTTCGTAGGTATGCTGGTCTCCAAAGAGCTAATCCAGGTTTCGGAGAAGAAGCCTAGAACGGACTTGCACTCATAGTAGTCCGATATGACCGCAATTTTCGCAAGCACCTCCAGGCTCAGCTGCCGGGGAACGTCGTGGTGCTGGCAGTGGATGATTTTGAGCCAGGTCAGGAACACCTGAGGGTCCCAGCCATCGGCAGTGACCTCGACGGAGCCCTGTTCTGAAAGGGTGGCTCCCTCTTTCCAGCCATCAGCTAACATCCTCTTGAAGACAGGCGATGCAAGCACTAAATGCTTTGCGGATGCTTGAATGCATATGTGTCTCTTTGTCTGATCTTCGTCTAGCGACTGGCCCACTGAGTCCTCCCCTGCAGCTCCTTGGTTTATCATCTGCCCGCTTCCCGCAGCCTTCATCGTAGAGGTAGTTTCGGAGCCATCTGGACGGGTGTTTTGGGGAGACAGTGATTCGTCCCACACTGCAAAAGGGGTATTGGCGTTGCTCAGTATTATCTTCACCTCCCCACTCGGGTCGATGACTTCGTCCATACTGGCACTTTTGTGCCGTCTCTCGCAAGTTGTAAGAGAATCTCAGCATCAAGACGACATCGCAGGCCTAAAGTGTACTCTTCATATGATTGGTCGCGCTCGTTGAAGCGATTACATAAGAAATACTTTACGATGAAGTTTTGCGCTGAGAGAGTCAAACCGCCTGGAAGATATCAGGAATAGTCGTTTATACTTGTTACAAGAGTGACCAAGTGATTTGCTGGTTTCCTCCGTTATAATTATGCTATCGGTAGAGCCACTGACATGATACGTATGGCGCTACATCTAAATACCCCCGAGCGGCCTTGTTCATCGTTCTGTGAGGGCTGTCCAAAGCGATCAACACACGGCATGTCACATTGGAATTCCACCTGGAGCTGAAGGCGCAGTCGGAGTTGACGGATCAAGACACAACACAAAGCGGACTTCCTCTAAGGGATCAAACCACAGCTAGAGGCAGTTTACGCAGCCTCTAACCCTGGGGCCTTCGCATCACCGCAGCTTCGAGCACCGGGTTATCAGAAAGAGAATGTTGGAGCTCAGATCGATGCTGTCGTGGCGGAGGGCTTCGACTTTGATACTCTCGAAGGGAACTCCGGGGTAGATATCTCTGGGGGATGCTTCTTCATGTTGCTGTATCTATCCATAGATGGCAGATAATTCCGGAGTAACCTGGCCTGAATCTACATTAGCATCACCCTTATTCGACGAACATGGCCGTAGACCGCTTCCCTATGCTATACTACAAGAGATCAGTAAGAGTCTCGCGGTTAGAAGCGAGCGTGTAAACTTCTTATCGATAAGCAACATCAACGTCCAAAAAAAAAGAACATCGCGAAATGTCTCAACCAACAACCAAGTCGGTCGATGGAGCAGAGACAGCTCGGCCGCGCCCTGTGAAGAAGCGGATACGAAGACGATGAGGAGCTGCCATGGACTTTGTATTTGCAGTCCCATCCCGTCTGGCAGTTAAAAGTGCGTCAAACTGACGGGTGTTCATAGTGGTCTCGACTGATAGGCGGCGCCGCCCCGGGCTCGTCCAAGGCCCTGCGCAAGAACCCGACTGGAAAACGGCTTGCTGCCTTCAAACACACATGTAACACCCTCTACGTATGTCCTTCTATGCTGGCGGGCAGAGGTTCAGGCCATGGGCTAACGGTACTGGAAGCAAATATGGCGGAACTCGCCCTCGCTGTCCCCTGAATCTCCGTCGATCCCCTTGATCAGGAGCTCCCTGAACCGTCTCAATTCCATCCTGCGAGACGAATCCCGCGGCCCGTCGCCTCACCCGTGCCATGCGGACGCCGCTACATCGCAGGTCTACCGGACCGTCACCAAGCTGGCGCTGGCAACGCACGATCCGGGCGTCGTCTCGGCCGCGGCCGTCCTGCTCAACACCTTGATCGAGTCCGAGGTCGACGGGATAGTGGACAGTAGCGTCTTCTCCCGCGCCCTCATCGACCTGGTCTCCCGCGCCAACCCGGTCAGCTGTCTCGACCAGCGTGACCACGAGGACGGCGAGTCGAAGCTGGTCGAGCTCGTCTTTGGGGTGGCCAACGTCATCCGTCTGCGGCCAGAGATACTGCCGGCCTGGTTCTCGCCCGAGGAGAAGAAAGACGGCGGAGAGCCGCGGCGGATAGATCCGTCGTTGAGGTCGGGCAAGGAGTTTGCGGGTGTCACCAGGAGAGACGACTTTCCGCTCTTCTACCTGCTGGTCGACTACGTGCATTACGAGGGGAGGACGGGCGACTTTGCCCGGACAGGGCTGCTCTATATCATCGAGACTGCTTCAAAGGTTAAGGAGCTGGAGAGATGGCTGATCGAGAGTGACATGGCTACCCTGATGGCTATCGGACTCGGTGCTTCATACAGCCAGCTGAGCCGGTGAATATATCTTCTATAGATGGTGTTTAAGACCAAGCTGACATGATATATGAATGTATGTACAGCCTTCTGATATCGACAGACGGCAACGAGGACGTGCCTGCTATCATTGCCCTGTCAGACCATACGGATCTCGACAATACCGTACATCACTCTCACCAGGGCCAGCTAGACGCCTTTCTCTCCTACCTCTTGTTCTGGCAGGACGCCATCGACCACTGCAAGTCGCCTGAAGTAAACGACACGCTGCTGGACCACTTCCAGGTCCTCTTCCTCGAGCAATTGCTGTAAGTGACAGAATTCCCCCGCGTGCCCAGGGGGAGCTTCAGCTTACCTGGAGTAGATATCCATCGCTGCTGGAGTCGTCAGACGTAGCGGGCGGGTCTACGTCTTCGGTGATCACCTACCTCAGCCGCATACTCGAGTCGATCTACCAGCCGGTCCTGGTGCACCGGATACTGAGCTTCCTGCTCGCCTCGCCGGCCAGCGAGCAGACACAGATCGCGCTCACTCCCACCAAGAAAGCACGCATGTCGCTGAGCCGGCGGAAGTCACTCGACATCCTGGCCTCGTTCGCGGAGGCGGCGGCCAAGCCGTCCCCTACGCTCTTCAACCTGGTCGACCTCATCCTGATGGGCATCAGGTCGCACAACCGGCAGACGGTCGTGGCGACGCTGCGGCTGATAACGGTCGTCATCCAGCACCACCACGAGTTTGCCAACCTGCTAATCAAGTCGGCGAGAGACCAGAGCTCCAGCCCGGCAGAGTTGCGTACGGTATCTGCCCTGAACTCGGAGGTGCAGCGGCTGTTTGGCTACGCGACCGAGCTGCTGGACGACCCGGGCATCGAGGCCTCGTACGAGAACTACATCTGCAGCGCACTCTCCGTGCTGTACCAGCGGATGCACAGCCAGAGCCCCGTGCTGCCGTGGATAGTGGACGTCAGGGGGGGCGTCTTCTCGGGGATGCTGGACCTGCTGCGGCGGTTCTTCACCAACAGCGTGGTGACCAACCTGGCGCTGACCAACTCCTTTTCCGCGCTCGCCTCGTCCGACCTGATATCTCTGGACGGCTGGCTGCTCTCCTACCCGGACGAGTCTGCTGCTGGCGGGGAGGAAGACCCAGCCGTCGAGCCGGCGGGAGGTGGCAAGGCGGAGAGCAAGGGCGAGACTGAGCCGGTGCTGTCTCTGATCGTGAGCCAGCTGGTCCGGCAGGTCGAGAGGTGGCGGACAGAGATCCCGGACTTTGATCCCCTGCTCTCTGCCCGCCGGGAGCTGCTGCACCGCGAGGACCGGCCTGACAGCGCCGGCACGCCGCCCGCTACCACCGAGGAGGCGGCAGAGGCAGCAGGGACAGAGGCAGCGACCGAGCCGCCCGTCGAACCGCCTGCTGAGCCGTCACCAGAGGCAGCTCCGTCGCGGCTGTCCGCCATGGTCAACGTCCAGGCGCCGACAGAGGCCTCCTCCCTGCCGGCCCTCCTGCGGCCCCATCCCCGTCCTCCTCTCCGGGCGGCATCCTCGTCCTCTCTGCAGGTCGTCCACGAGACGCCAGGCTCCAGCAGCGCCCCCTCTGAAGCCGGCGAGCCAGACGAGCCCGCAGAGCGAGAGGACGAGGCCTCGCTCAACCACGTCCTGACCAACGTTGTCATCCTGTACGAGTTCGTCCTCGAGATCACAGCCCTGGTGCAGGCTCGCGCGAGCGTCCTCCAGGACGTCCGTTTCTAGTCCATATAAGTGCAAGGCATACCATCCTACATCTTCTATCTATCTATAATCTATCATCTATAATCTATCATCTATAATCTATCATCTATAATCTATAATCTATCATCTATAATCTATCATCTATAAACTACATCTACAACTACAACTACATCTACAACTATATCTACATCCCTGCGGACAGGGAAGATATTAATAGAGAACCGGCGTACATCTTCATCTCTCTTCATCTTCTCTTCATCTTCTCTTCATCTTCTCTTCATCGTCTCCGTCTTCTCTTCTCTCTTTGTACGCCTCGTCGTATTCATCCTTCAGCCGCTTCCTCGCCAACTTCACCAACCCGCCTTCGCCTCCTCGACTTCACCATCTTATGTCCCAGCCTCGCCCGCCCGCTGTCCGTCTGCTGGATGGACTGCCCTCTCGCTCCTCGTCCTCGCCGTCGCCTCCACGATGCTCTCTCGCAAGCCGCGGGCGCCCTCAGTCAAGTCGCTGCCCATCAGCCCTCCGCTGCCCTTCCCGCCCTCCTACTACCGCCAGCACCACCCGGCCAGCGGACAGGCAGACGCAGAAGAAGATATCTATACCCAGCCAGCGCCGCGCGAGTATCCAGACTATGCCATCATGCCAGACCCTGCGCCGGGCGTGAACCTCGCCCTCGAGCAGTCCTACTTTGACCTGCGCCAGCATCATCAACAGCAGCATCTCCATCACCAGCATCACCATCAGCATCACCATCAAGATCAACATCAGCATCAACAGGAATATCCGTTCAGTCCTAATGACTACAGCTACGAGTTCAGTGGCTACGCCGCCCGTCTGCCTCCGTCGCCGCCGACCTCCCCCCCCTACGCGGCCGCAGCCCCGGAGGACGACCGCTACCCGGCCTCGCTGGCCTCGCTGCCTCTCTCGATGAAGAGCGCAGGCCACAGACGAGGCGCCCGCTCCATGGGCAGCGCGACCGCCGTCTCCCAGCCGTCGCGGCTCAGTCGAGGCAGCGCGGCCACAGACGTCGGCAGGGCGTCGGACGTCTCCATCGACCTGGCGGACATGCTCTCCGACAAGCTCGACGAGGTCATCAACCACATGGACATGCAGGTCTTCAGCGGCCGCGAGAGGGATCTCTGTAGGTACACATCCATACCGCCATCGCGTACGTGCTGACCGGTGCAGACCTCGATGTCGACGCTGGCCCCGAGGCGGCCTCCAAGACGAGCTCTGGACGCAGCTTTCTGCGCTCTGCCTCCTCGTCCGCCTCCCGCAAGACCAACTACTTTGCAAAGGTCTACCACTACCGCAACGCCAGGCTGCCCCGTAGCCTGGCCCCCCTCAACCTGTGCGTTTGGTTCTGTATCGTCCGTTGTTTCTGCGAATGCTAACGGAGACAGGTTCATCTCGACGTGGCCGCTGCTCTGCCTGGCCGCGCAGTCCTCCCAGAGCGCCTACAACCGTCCCTCGCCCGTGGAGAGGGAGACGCACGTCGAGGGGGACCCCTACCTGGGCACCAAGGCGATGGTCATCAAGTCCGTCGCGCTCGACCACATGAACCTCATCGTCTTCGCCGTCCGCGGCACCACCCGCTCCTCCTTCGCCGACTGGGCCACCAACATGAACGCCGAGCCCGCCACGCCCACCGGCTTCCTCGACGACCCGGGCAACCTCTGCCACGCGGGCTTCCTGTCCGTGGCCCGCAGGATGGTGCGGCCCGTGGCCCTGCGGCTCGAGCAGCTGCTCGCGGAGAACCCTGCGCGCGCAAAGTTCTCGCTCGTCATCACAGGCCACTCGGCCGGCGGCGCGGTCGCCAGCCTGCTGTACGCCCACATGCTGTCCTCGACCCTGCGCTCAGAGCTGATATACCTCCGTGACCGCTTCAAGCGCATCCACTGCTTCACCTTTGGCTCCCCGCCGGTCTCCCTCCTGCCCATCAACAAGCCGGCAGACCCCAAGTACGCCAAGTGGCTCTTCTACACCTTCATCAACGAAGGCGACCCCGTCTGCCGCGCAGACAAGCCCTACGTCCGCTCTCTCGTCAGCCTCTACAAGTCTCCCGCTCCCCTTCCTCCGCCCACGACCAGGTCCCGCTCCTCCACCACCACTACCAACGGCAGCGGCAGCAGCAGCAGCAGGCCCAGCAAGCTCAGCTTCCTCAAGGACCGTCGAGAGAGCAGCGACAGATCAGACCTTGAGCGGGAGGTGTTCTGGCCTGTGCCTTCGCCCACCCTGACCCTACCGGGCTGTCTCATCGTCCTGCGCGGCAACAGAGACAACCCCAGAGACAAGGACGTTGTCGAGGCCTACCTCACCCACAACGAGCAGCTGGCCGGCGTCGTCTTCGGAGACGTGATGATGCATATGATGACCCTCTACGAACGGCGCATCCAGCTCCTAGCCACCGACGCCGTCACCGCCAGAGCTGCTCGATGATCCTTCTCTTTCGTTTTCTATATACCCGGTAATCATTCTCAGGATATTATTTCTCTTTCTCCTTGATACCCTCATTATGACTCTCTTCTACTGCTTTAAAACCCAACCCTTCCCCTGCCTGGTGCAAGCGCGGTCTTACTCATACTTGGATGGAGTTAATGGAAGACACAGGTAACGACCAGAAAACGAACTGGAAGGTCAGTCCCGGGATATTTCACGGTGCATCATGCGGTACTCTTGGGATTATGTATATAGTCATACACATGCATACAAATATTGACATACAAATATTGACATACAAATATTGACATACAAACATCTTTGACATGCATACGAATATAGCGTTACTGTACATTTTACTACCAATTTCTTCAAAAAGCATCTGTTATGCAGCCCTGGCTGGCATCCTTGACGGATCTGGCATACTTGCCCAGCGTCCCTCGCATGGTCAGTCCCGTCGGCCGCCCGTGGCCAGCCTGCTCGCGAGCCAGCCACTTCTCGCGGCGCCGGGCCAGCACGTCCTCCGCCACGTCGAGGTCGAGCAGCCTCTTCTCCGCGTCGATGGTGATCCGGTCGCCGTCCTCGACGAGGCCGATGGGGCCGCCCACCGCAGCCTCGGGGACGATATGGCCGATCAGGAAGCCGTGGGAGCCGCCGCTGAACCGGCCGTCGGTGATGAGGGCGACGGACTGGCCCAGCCCTGCGCCCATCAGCGCAGACGACGGCTTCAGCATTTCTACAGACGTTAGCATAGAGTAGATCGTATAGAATCGTGTAGGGTGGAATCGTATAGGGGGAAGTTGATCGTATAGGGGAAAGTACCTGGCATTCCTGGCCCGCCCTTGGGGCCGGTGTATCGGATAACGACGACGGTCTTGTCCTCCTTCTTGATCTCCTTGTTCTCCAGCGCGGCGATGAAATCGTCCTCGTGGTCGAACACTCGAGCCCGGCCGACGAAGCGGGTGCCCTCCTTGCCGGTGATCTTGCCGACGCTTCCGCCGGGCGCCAGGCTGCCGCGCAGGATCTGGAGATGGCCGGTTGGCTTGATGGGGTCGGAGAGCGGGCGGATGATCTTCTGGTCTGACGGGAAGTCCGGGAACGTCTCGACGTTTTTGGCCAGCGTCTGGCCGGTGACGGTCATGCCCGAGCCGTCGATGAGGCCCTCCCGCAGCAGGAACTTGATCAGGGACGGGGTGCCGCCGATGCTGTGCAGGTCGGCCATGACGTACTTGCCGGACGGCTTGAGGTCGGCGAGGAACGGCACGCGGTCGCTGACGGCCTGGAAGTCGTCTATCGTCAGCCTGATGCCGACCGAGTCTGCGATCGCGATCAGGTGCAGGACGGCGTTGGTCGAGCCGCCGGTGACGGTGACCAGGACCATGGCGTTCTCGAAGGCCTGCCGGGTGAGGATGTCCGACGGCCGGATGTCCTCGACCAGCAGACGCCTGATGGCAGCACCGGCGGCCTCGCACTCGAGGTGCTTGGCCTTGGACTCGGCCGGGTTGGAGGAGGAGCCGGGCAGGGTCATGCCCATGACCTCGATGGCGGAGGCCATGGTGTTGGCGGTGTACATGCCGCCACAGGCACCGCCGCCGGGGCAGGCGTGCCGGATGATGTCGAAGCGCTGCTCCTCGGTGATCTCGCCGGTGAGGAACTGGCCGTACGCCTGGAAGGCGGAGACGATGTCGATGTCTGCGTTGCCCTGGGTGGCCGCGCAGCCGGGGCGGATGGTGCCCCCGTAGACCATCAGGCTGGGCCGGTTGACCCTGCCCATGGCCATGACGACGCCGGGCATGTTCTTGTCGCAGCCGGGGATGCTGATGTTGGCGTCGTACCACTGGCCGCCCATCACCGTCTCGATCGAGTCCGCGATCAGGTCGCGGCTCTGCAGGCTGTAGCGCATCCCCCTGGTGCCCATGCTGATGCCGTCGCTGACCCCGATCGTGTTGAACTGGAACCCGATCAGGCCGCTCTTCTGCACGCCCGCGCGCACTCTGTCGCTGAGGTCGAGCAGGTGCATGTTGCACGGGTTGCCGTTGTACCAGACGCTGGAGATGCCGACCTGCGCCTTGGACATGTCCTCCGTCGACAGGCCGGTGGCATACAGCATCGCCTGCGAGGCGCCCTGCGAGATGGGCTGGGTGACATGTCTCGACACGCTGTTTATCTCTCTGGCCGGCTTCGAGGACGAGGATGAAGATGAGGACGAGGCGCTGCGCCGTGTCGTCTGCCTGTGAGGTGGTTAGCAGGGGTAGCTCTCGCAGCTATACAGGGTGTCATACGGGAGCAGCGCGAGCAGAGTCCTCGAGGGCAGAGCCCCTGCACGGCGTACACGAAGCATCTCGAGGTTCTTCTCTTCTTCTCTTCTTCTTCTTCTCTTCTTCTCTTCTTCTTCTCTTCTTCTCTTCTTCTTCTTCTCTTCTTCTCTTCTTCTTCTCTTCTTCTTCTTCTCTTCTTCTCTTCTTCTTCTCTTCTCTTCTTCTTCTTCGTCTTCGTCTTCGTCTTTGACTTGTGTTTTTAGGTGGTGAGATTATTTTTGTGGACGCTGATAGGCTGTGGCTCGGATAAAGTGTAGATAAACGCCTTATTCCTCATCAACAAATCGATTCGATTAACAAAGTATTGAATTAGCAGTTAAACAGGTGTAAAAAGCAGTCCTATCTATATAAAAAGAGTCACCTAGATTCCTTCCTGCTCCTATGTCTTATCAAGATATGTATCCTCGGGTAACCTCTTTTCGTCACTATATTCCTGAGGCCTACTTTCTGCTCAGACTCCCGTTCAACCGTCCCAAAGAGAGCATTTCCTATCCCGAAAACGATAAAGAAGGTCTCTTATATAGATGATGCTAATACCTCTTATAAGCATATTTCGAGCCTTCTCGATATAAGCCTTTGGGTGGCAAAAGGGGTATAAGTGTAGACTCGGTAAAATGACTCCTCACTACGATATAATTCGGTTAATATTCTGGCCCATGATCGCACCAAGCTTGCCTGGTAGCCACAGCAAGCGATCCGTCAAGGCCTTTTGCCTTGAGAAAGAAGTTGGGAGCTATAGGACGGGAGCTCTGGGTCGATGGAATTCTGAATAATGAACTGACTAAGCTCATCGCAGATGTTGGGCTTGAGCTGCTCCTGGCGTGCACCCAAATATTATTGGTTCATTATTAAGTGAATAAGGTGGATGATTGGATAACATAAACGGTTAATAAGATAAGTGGTTAATTAAAGTCAGCAGCAGTCCAATAAGGTGCGTGGTTAAATAAGACAAAAGTGTTTAATAGGTTCGGTAGTCCAATAAGGTAGATAATTATAAGATGAGTGGTCTTATATTTCTGCATTTCTAATGTTCTACCCTTAATGTCTTAGCCATCCTTTTCAGATTTTTCGTATTTCAGCTTGACCTCGTCTGCATACGCAGAGAAACAGAACTAAATATCCCTTTAAGCTCCTTAAAGGTAGCGTCAACTTCTTCTAACTCTGCTGAGTGTCCATATACTTTGTATATACCAAGTCTGGCTCATTTTACTCAATGCAGGCCTTACGCAGGCCCAACTTAGTTCAAGGCCGAGCTCCCCGCCTACTATTCAAGTTCAACAACTACCGCCCTCTTAGGCCACAAATCCTCAATGCAAACCCTCTATGTTACGGAAGCCCACCATTTTCTCGCTTAATATACCCCCAGTATCAGTTAGCCCGATGCTTCACTTCATCTCCCCGACTAGCCGATGCACCAAGCATTATTCGCGATATACTTAAGGGAATGAAACATGACAAATGGGGCTGGGTAATCTACCGTTGCACGTATAACGACGACGAAGCATGGGACCGCTTTAAGAAAATGGTCTATTACTGGTCAATGGAAGAGATCTCCGAATCCGAATCTCAGTCATTTGAGATAGCCGGTTCTATGGAGTGGACGTTTGTTGAGGATCGCAAGTTGCTAGAGGGCGCCTCGAGAGCCCAACTAAGAGCTCATTTCAACGCCTGGGCAAAGGATGCTATTAGAAAAGAGCAACCGCGCGCAGAAAACCATCATACTTATGGTATTTCCCGATATGAACATTTCATTCAGGTTGATGAGGCTGCTTTACAAAGCATCAAAGAAGCGCCGCAGCCACCAGAATTCGATTTTGGGGAGGGATATGTTAATTTTATAGATGCGACCTGGAAGCCATTGGCCGAGCATGCTGCGTATGCTGATGATCCTATCGAGGATAACGACGAAATATTTGAGCCAATCGATGGTTGTTCCGAGGAGAACGTTGGATGGATGAGAATACGAACGACTTTAATAGGCCCTGATTTCTACGTCGCTATAAGCCCTCCTCCCAATGATATATGGTATGCCTTCTATAAAAGGCCACCGGAAATGCTTGTCTGGTGAGGGCACGTTGGGGATGGGCCTCGGAAATTCCTGGATACTATAGAAATGCCAACTTAAAGTACTTGAAATTACGGCTTACTGTAGCTTAATATGGGGTTTTCAGATACCATATATTGGATTAGTAGGAAGTCTTTTTCTTGATATTAGATATATATGCGTGTGAAGAAACTATTGAAATATCGAGGCTAGTTACTATATCTTGTTTTTTGGTTATATAAGGTACTAAAATATCTAAAGCTTAGCTAAAATGTAGTTATCGCTCTAATAAATCAAAGGATAGACTAGAGGGCACTATATATATGTTGGAAAAATGAGTATTAAATAACTAAGACGGGAGCGCAGACAGCTACTATCTAGAACATGTTATAGATATAATATAGATGTAGATGTAATATGGATGTAGATGTAATATAGATGTAGATATAATGCAGTATAGAGTACGGCGATGGACTGAAGACAGATGCTGGTTATATATTCGTAGAAGTCCTACCAGACAGCCCGGCGTCATCCTCTGCTACAGCTTGAACTGGACTCAACAGCACTTTCACTGTGGCCTGTGGGAGCTTGAAGCCGTCGCCCCCTTGCAACGAGACAACGTTCAGTACCTCTATTAGATCAAGGAACATGACTAGTCGCTGAGTCCCTTGTATCGGATTCAGTCACCAACTTATCAACTGGGAGAGAGCGTATCCCGCTGGTCTGTACATACAGAAGGGATCCCGAAGCTCCCCAAAGCTGGCCTAAGCGAGGCTTTGGCTAGGCTGCTCGTGAAGTTAACATCGACTACTCTATAGCCTTCAAATAAAGAGTACTAAGATGAGTGGTAAATAAGTGAGTGGTTGAATAAAGATATTCGTACGCTTCCCATTCTTGCATTTCTGCCTTTCTGATATCCCCTTTGCATACATCCTTCTTTTCTAATATAATCTCCAGCCTCACGCCGCATTTTCCCGATACTATACCGGCTTGGTATTGTTTATTACCTGGCAGTGCCTCCGGCTACCGCCATATAGTTGGTGAACCGCTGGACAAGATGCATGAAGAGCAAAGACTGAGGCCTACGCTTGGTGAGCCACGTCGACATCCACGAGCCCAGAACACACTTTGGCCGCTCCGTATCGGCCTTTTGTGGACAAAGTTGAACCTCATGTCAAAGTTAGAAACGCTGGCAAATGAGTATTACTCCATCACTTAGAATGGTATGTACACCAGATATACTATGCTCGCGACCCCCGTGAAGCTCCTAGACGCTTAGAAGCATAATTATCTGTCAAATATGCCATTCGGCCAAAAAGGCGAGCTCGCGCTGATTGGAGGCAGAGAGACTTGTTATATTTTTGACACACCCCCCCAGCTTGATGAGGTACGAGGCAAGCTGAACTAGATATACGCAGAAAGATGATTGGTAGTGGCCGATGCCTGGCCGTATAGAGGGAACCGCTCGCTGGCCGCTGATCTGGGCCGCTCTGGGTAATAAATGAATGATAAGGGCCGTACTAGGCTGCCTACTGGGCCGCTGACTGGCTACTTATATTGGTAATTGGATGGCCGTTATGGGCCGTAGAAAATCGATAGACGTACAGAGCTAGGTTCGAACGTAGAGCCTCGGGTGTTTGGCTTGGCGTAGAGGATACAACGACCGGGCTCATAACTGTCAAATATGCCATTCGGCCAAAAAGGCGAGCTCGCGCTGATTGGAGGCAGAGAGACTTGTTATATTTTTGACATTATCCCATCTTTCTTCGGCAGGAGAGCAACGCCTTTCTTGACAAATGTGTAGGCTTAAAGGAGCTGTGCGTTCACTTGGAGTTATAACTATCTTTGTTCCTCAGATTGTTTAATAGGATCCTTTAACTGGTTTGATTAATATCTCAGGAGCCTCCACTAGTATCTTAACTTGAGAGCTATTCAACAAGTAGGTAGGTAATAGGAATTGTAGAAAACCTAACATTGCAAATCCCTGTGGCCCCTCGTACCGGACTACTCATCCATGTTAGCTTTCAGGTCTCCAAACAATTTCTGCGCAGTATCTTTTGCATCATCCTTGGTTGGGTCTTTTTTGATCTCGACATCTGCGAAGGACCACACCTTGTGGCTGTCTTTCTGTGCCTTTTGTCGAATAGTTGAATTCGCGGCATTACGGTTGAGTTGCCAATGATAACGACGATATTCTATGTCATCCTTCGTAAACGTATCTCCAACATCAAGCCTGCTTCCAATGCTCGCATCGTTATTCCCCGATTGCGTAGGGGCAGCTCGAGTGCCTGGGGTGCCATTTCCTTTGGCTAGTTTAATCATTCGACTGGACGCAGCGGTCACCCACTTCTCCAACGACTGCAAAGACTCCAACATGGCCCGAGCCATCGTAATGGTTATTCGGGTGGACTTGTCTATGAGAGTGCATGTTAGAGGTTGGCATTTTATGGATTTGGTATACTGGACATACATCGTTTGTCTAACGTAGGGGATTGTAGATAACGGGAGGGAAGATGGAAACTGTGGATGTCATTCCTGGCATTGTTTGGGCCTTTTATACACTGAAAGAAGAGTTGGGCCATTTCTCGGGCGCTTATACCATTGCTGCCTTGTCACCCCTGTAATTCATGCATTTGTTGCTCAGCCATGCCAGGCAGATGCGCTCCGCGAGTGGACGGCTTGAACACTTGGGCCTGGAAGGATGATAGCAATCCAACAACTACTCCCGTATCCAACTAACAAGGCCCCTTGCCCCTTGCCTCCTAACTGGTCGAGTGAATACTTAGGTAACATTCAGACTGCTCCATGGAGTATGTTGCTCTCTTCCTCCACAACATACTTATGCGAAGCTCACTTCGTCCAGCCCAGGGCAGTAGATCAGTTATGCTTTTGTAGAGAGTTGGCTTCGTGATAAGGTGATTTATAGCCGCCGAGGTTGTTAGGTCGAAGGTTCCAACCTAAGAACTTTAATTAATCAATTGGGGCCTGGAGTTCATTGGTGGTTGGAACTAACCTTCCAATAGTCAAGTCACATGATGTAAAATTGTCGGGTGGACCCTATAACTATTTATGATTTCCGTTCAATTGATAGCATCATGTCAACTTGTGCTGAATGTGTTGATCCACCATGGCAATTACAACATTGGCAAATATATTCCCGGGGAAGAATAAATTCCCCAGACTAAACATTCTGCATTCTACGCGCCAGTTATCATCGGCCCTAATGGATAAAGAGCGTAAGATGGTGAGAAGGCACTCCGGGTTGAGTGATGGCTAACCACCGCATCTTCAGACCAGGACCTATCAGAGGATTTTTTTCGGTTTACCCGTGGACGCTTTCTCTGCAACGAGACGGAACAACTAACGCAACGGCACGTTGAATTCAATGTGAAGGAGCTTGCAGCCACAGCCGCGGGGGCGATCGGGGCAACAAAATGCATAAATATTCAAAAATGCACCGATGGCCATTACAATAAGGCATTTCTACTCACCATGGACAACGGTAAAGAAGTCATTGGTAAAATACCCAACCCAAATGCTGGGCCGGCGCATCTTACAACTGCTAGCGAAGTTGCTACGATGGACTTCGTATGTAGCAATGCAATATATATTGCAGTCTCGATACGCTGACAGGTGACTAGATGCGCAATGTCCTTCAAACCCCGGTCCCGCAAGTTTACTCGTGGAATTCTAAGGCCAATGAGGAGAACCGGGTTGGAGCCGAATACATCATCATGGAAAAGGTCCCTGGGGTTCCTTTGGGATCAGTCTGGGAGTCACTTGAACCCCCCGACAAGCTTAAGGTGTTCTTACAGATATTTAGATACCAAAAAAGATGGACGGCAGTAAAGTTTTCTCAGTTTGGTAGTCTATACTACTCTAAGAATCTTCCGGCCGATGCATCGTCAAGGGGCAATCTTTATATCGATAAAGATGGACGGTCGGTCGATCACTTTGCAGTTGGGCCAACCGTTAGTCGAGAGTGGTTACAGGACGGAAGGCAGGAACTCCAGTGCTATAGGGGACCTTGTAAGTCGTATACCTGGTCGATGGAGAATTACTTTGCTAATAGGATATCCAACAGGGAGCTCTCTTTTAGACTATCGCATGGCAATTGGCCGTCGAGAGGGCATGGCAATAAGGACTCTAAAACAGTTCCCAAAGCAATGTGTTATGTTCTGTGGCCCGGGAGCGTATCAACCAACGCTCGAGAAGAAGCTTGCTGCGGTCAAGCTATATTCCCACATACTTCAGCACATATTACCTAGCGAAACGGGACTCACTTCAGGCCATCTGTGGCACAATGATCTCCATGCAGAGAATATATTTGTTAATCCGGATAGACCAACAGAAATTACGGGTATAATCGACTGGCAGTCGATACAGATCGCGCCCTTGACCGATCACTGCCTGGACCCTAACTTTCTGGGTTACGAAGGCCCTGATGTCGGTGATAACCCCCAACCACCAGCCCTCCGCGAAGACATTGATTCGCTTGAGCAGAACGAAAGAAGAGCAGCTATCAAACAGTTCTATGACACATCTGTTATGGTAGCATGGAGGATGCTGGTAAAGAAAAAGAACCCCGACCAACATGCAGCGATCCGATTCCAGAAATCAAAGGCCGGGCATATGCTGAACCTCTCGCAGAATCTATATGTCTTTGGCGAAGCGCATTTCCGAGCTCTAGTATTAGATCTAAGAGATGAATGGGCAGAGTCGGGAAAGGACTTTCCACTCACATTCTCGGCTACGGAAATCTCAGAGATAGAAGCAGACGTGAAGGCTGCCGATATTGGGCTAGGGGTTATGAACATGATCACTGAGAGGATGGGCGATTTATGGCCTGAGAAGTGGTTTGTTGAGCATGAGAACTATGAAGCGGCCATGGCAAAGCTACGTGATATCAAAGCGGAGCTCGTGGAGAAGGCCGTTCGCTCTCCGGAAGATAAGGAGGTGTTTGAAACGTTCTGGCCTTTTGACTGCTAGTGCTGGCACACAGTAGCAGGGATTCATCCTTGAACAGACGAGACGGTATTCGCTCCATATATGCTGTAAGATAATTAGACATGAAGAAGTTGGAGACATGAAGAAGTTGGGGCTGTAAGCTTGATGGTCAAGGTCAAAAAAGTGTTCGGACTACCAGAAATAGTTCGAGCGTTAGATTCATGGGTAAAGGAACTGAACGGGAATGAGAGTGCTCTATAACAAGGCTTTGACCTAGAGAGTGCTAAGGCTCATTAACAGTATGTGCCCTTCCAGGTATACACGATATAATTCGGTTGTTTACGTAGAGTCAGTTATTGGACACAACACGGTAGGTCTCAGCTTTGCTTCGACAGTAATATTATCTTATTAATGGTACATATAACTAGTTTACAGACGCTGGTGAAGCGAGTTGTGCATTGCTTCATGGTATTATCTATACAAAAGAGATATAAGTTAATGCAAGAGGTATAAGACAGCGAGCGTCGTATCGAAACATCCCGAAGAAATTATCGAAATCAGAAAAAGATGAGAAGAATGGAAGGGTAAAAGAGTGAAAGATCAAACCAGTTGTACAGAGATAGAAGAAGAGAAGAAGAAGAGAAGAGGAAAGAGAAGAAAAGGGCCTAGATAGTCACTTCAAGGAACCTCGATATCCCCTCGTTTCAGGGGCAGGACATCAGCAGCGATAGCATCCCTGACCCAATCCATGTCCGCAACGTCGTCAAGATGCATACGTTTACTTCCTCGTTTCAGCAGAGCCTCGACGCAGCGCCGGGCACCCTCGAGCTCTCTCCCTTTGACAGGGTCCCAGTCCCCGTCGCCGTCGGCGTAGCGATACCAGCTCCATTCGCAGCGGGCGATGCGGTGTGGAGTGCGAGCCCGGAGCTTTGCAGGGTCGCCTCTGGTGCCTGGCAGAGGATCGAACGGCAGTCGGTTCTCCATAATGGCGTAGAGCAGGACGCCAAGGGCCCAGGCATCGGTTGAACGGCCATCGTAGGGCTGGCCCATCAGAATCTCGGGGGCTGCGTAGTCTTCGCTTCCGCAGCGAGTGCGCAGCAGAGGGCTCTCCGGCGGCTGAGGGATGCGTCGCGAGAGGCCCAGGTCCGTCAGCGTGATGACGGCGCGAGGGTAGAGCCGCCAGTCGGGGATATCCTGCATCATTGCAAACGGGATATTCAACAAGACATCTAGGGAGATTTAGCATCTTATATAGAGTATATACTTTGTGCATGTGTATATAAAAACTCACTTTCCAGCTTGATATCACGGTGGACAATGTGATTTCTATGGAGATATCTGACGGCATCGACGAGCTCAGAGAAGATTCTCTCGATCAGCGGGGGATCGATACGCTTCATCCGCATGCTGGCGAATTCGAACAGGTCGCCGCCCGGACAGTAATCCAGGACCAGCAGGGCTCTCTTTGGCTCACTCCCGAACGCCTTGAGCTGGACGATAGACGGATGGTCGATCGACTTGAGTATCTCGACTTCCCGGTTGAGCGAGACCTCGACGCGCTCCTCATCCGCTCCCCCGGCCGGTCCGTACTCGACGATCTTGACGGCCACCAGGCGGCGAGCGTGCGGCTTAGCTGCTCCGTCCTCCTCCCTTGCCGCAAGGACGACCTGGCTGAAGGCTCCCTGGCCGAGCAGGCTCTGCCACCTGTATCTGCGAGGCTGCTTGGACCGGATCGACTGAACATTGTAGACGGCGCCGTCTAGTATCCCGGACGTAGACTGCTCGTGGGCAGACGGCGGAGTAGGCAGCGGCGGCGGAAGGACAGATATGCCACGCTGGGCGGCCAGGTACTCTTCCCTCTGTAGATTCGGCCTGATCCGCCCCTCTCGCGAGCCGCCTCTGTCTCTGGGCGGGGTGGCCTCGGACGCAGCGGCCTTGCGAGTGGCCGGATGCACCTGGAGGGCTGGCGGGACATACTCGCTCAGACTCCGGTTGCGGGTGTGTCTGTGGTCTCGCTTGGGAGCCGAGAGCTGCGACGGGTTGAGGGTGTCCGGAGAGGCGGGACCAGCTCCAGTCGACGCTGAAGATGCCGGCACTGCTGCTGCTGCTGCTGTCTGGGCCGGTCGAGGTCGCGTAGTCAACGGCGGTGGTAGATGCAGCTCCCGGTTGGACGCCGTCGAGGAAACACGAGACAGGGAAAAGGTGCTGGTCGAGCCCCAGGGTGGCGAGGCAAGCTGTATCGGCGACGGCAGAGGGGTTATGTCACTCAGTCCTGCCAGCTGCGGCGACGAGAAGGCAGAGCCTGGAGAGAGAGATCCGGCGCTGGAGTGCACTTCTGCCAGCGCATGGCGGATGCTGGGGATTCTCCGTGGCAGGCTCGCCGTCGACCGGCTCAGGTGAACGTGATGCTCGAAGCCGCTCCCTTGCTGCAGCAGTGACGGCTGCTGCTGCTGCTGCTGATGATGATCCTGGCCCTCAGGACGAGACTGCTGATGGTGGTACTGCTGCGGCTGGTGGTAGACAGAGGGGATGTCAGTACGCAACTGCAGCACCGGCGTCCGTGGCGTCGCCGGACTCGAGTCGACTATCGGCGCCAATGGCGTCTGCGCACCTTGCGCGGTCTCTCCAGCTGCTGGCGGACATGTCTGCAGCGCTAGATGGGGGATGAAGGCCGTGGGCGAGAGCGCAGGCGAGGTCGCGATGCCGGAGTCATGAAGGCTCAGCGGATGCGACGGCGAGTAGTCTGGGGGCTCAGCCTGCTCTGGACAACTCCGTGGCTCTACCATTGATGGATACAAGCGACGTAGAAGTCGTTGTGGGAGCGCAGCACTTGAGACAAGCACTGGCAGGACTGGCGGGCAGAGGCCTCTCTGCTCGAGGGTTGGTTTGGATGGTTCTTCTCTCGCAGGAGGATTTTTTTTTCCTTCCAGAGGGGCAGAAGTCTTTTTTTTTCCCTCCTCACATCAAGCCACACAGCCAGGCTGGGAGGCGCTAGTTGTGTGATAGGATGCTCACACCTGGACATCAGTTCGTATATATCTTACACAAAAGTCCTCTATTACTACAGCTGCGGATGATCACAAGACATGTCATCTTCATCCCCTTCGTTAGTGTATACAGAAAAGACTGCAGCTATCAATAACTCCCCTACTTTCCAACTTCTCCCTGCAGAAACAAGACAAGGATACACTGCATAAGTCTAACTGCTAGAACTGCATCTCCATCTTTCGCCTCATCTCTTTCAACCTCTTTCTCTCTTCTTTTCTTTTTTTTCTCCTTCTTTTTCTCTTTTTTGCCTCATGAAAAATATAAGTTTTTAAGCTTCGCGGCTATTTCGAACCTTAAATACTTTATTTTTCGTCTTTTTCTTCTTTTCTGTTTAATTCTTCAAGCCGTAGTGACCGCGATGTGCTGCTGTCTCTGGGTCGACGTCGAAGCCAAGTTTAAGAGCGTCAGCCTCAGTCTCGGTTTCGATGCGGAAGATCATGTCCTGGTCGTCCGCTACCTCGCCACTCTGCGGTCCAAACAGGATTCTGTATGGCTCTAGCGTCGTCTTGGGCTCTGGGTCCGCCAGCATCAAACAGCGTAGTGTTTCTTCCTATACCCTCGTCAGCCGTGTGTCTGGAGAATGAGCGCTTGGAGCCGTACATGGCACATGAGCACCGTCTTCGTCTTCTCCCGGACGAGGCTCTCCTTCACGGACTCAAAGTGTTCTGCCGTATCAAGCCCGGTCCAGCCCTGATCAGACGTCTCAACCGTACTCTGGCTGCTTGTGACAAGCTTGTAAAGCCATAGGCTCTGGCTCGTTCTCTCGTTCTTGATGCTCATGCCAGTGTCGACTCCGGTACCCTCCCACGTAATCAGGCCGTGCTCCCTCGCTCTTCTGTCAAAGTCGGCCAGGGTGCAGCTTGCTTCCAGTGCAAGCTCCTGGCTCAGCCATCTGCCGTTCAGCTTGCCAAACACTACCCGATATACCATCCTCTCCGGCGGTATCGTCCTCCGAGCGTCCACGAGCCTATCAAGCTTCGCATAAGCCTCGCTCTGCTGGCTGTCCTGGCCCTTGCTGAGCTGATCAACTTCTTCCTGCTGGACTCCAGCGTCCAGCAGCAGCTGGTCTATCAGCTCCAATGCTTTGGGGATTAGCCGTCCGTGTCTCTCCACCATCTCCTCCACAAACTCTGGGGGGAAAGGCTGTTTAGGAAAATAGGATGCCTGCGTGTCGAAGTCTTCCAGACGCGGCTCGTTATACCATTTTCTTTCTGGGGATAAACGGCCTGAAGGCAGCTTGATGTCTTCTAGCGCGGCGTCGGTCCTCCAGCCAACGAGGCCCTTGTAGAATCCGTCATGCCAGAGCCACCTGATCATGTTATCGACATTTGGCCGGTCGTCTGGCTTTGGTGGCTCAGCAAGAGATCGAGTAGTCCTCGTCAGCATCCTGTTCAACATGTAACGGAGAATTCGATCAGATGTTTTATCAAGACGGAGAAAATGCTGGGCAAGTTTCTCTATAGATAGACTGCAGGCAAGGGCAAACCAGCCGTGGGAAGCTGCATCCTCATGATCTAGCAGTACAAATGATTATCAGCTCAAAGAAAGCGATTTGATACAGCTTGGCTAACCCTGGATAAAATGTATATAGTTTTTTATATATCGAAACATACAGTCCAACCAAGGTGTCACAGTTTAACGGGAATAAGAAAACAATGCCTCTATATGTACAAAACAACCGCATATTAAACCACGTTTCCGTTTTTTAACAAAGAAGAATTACTAAAGATGAATACCGTCAACACACGCCAGAGTGGAAATGGATCCGTCATGCGCTCGGAACTGAAATATGGTAATACACGGGATGGAAGGGTAGAAAGATGATAAAAGGCGGGCGGAGTAGTGCGGGAGAGTGTGGTTTTCGGGGCCGCATGATGATCGTAATGTATCATCCATGCCGGTAATAGGCTGTGATCATGCGATAAAGTAGCAAATATAATCGTATAGATATGGGGCATATAGCATGGCGTTAGTCTTCTCCACGTCATTCAAGAAAAGAAGACTCGTCGAGATACCTAGACGATGAATACGCGTTAGAAAGGGCATTTTCCCCAATACCATGACAAGAACAGATGATCATACAGTCCAGGCACCAGCAATGCTGGCAACAACGGCTCCAGAAATCATCATGGGCCGAACTCCCCTGGTGCTCTTGAAGAGCATCCCGCTCAAGGCCCCAGCTACAATGCTGTTCGCCGCATCGTGCTTGCCTCTCACATGTCCGATTGTTGAATTCACACCATTATACACCAATGCAACGACACCGGCAGAGTTACCCAGGAAGGGCCCCCGGCGAGTAACTGAGTTGAGTACGCTGTTGAGGCGCAGCTTCGGTGCGGCCGCGGCGGGTGATCGCTTCAGCCCTTCGATAAGGCCCCAGGCTCCTCCGACTGAAAGAGCAATCAGGTATGTGGTTCCGGTGCCGTAGCTGAGGTCGTCGGACCATCCTCTCGATGGCAGGGCAGACTGAGAGCCAGGCAGTTCACTCAAGGCCGAGTCCTCCAGCGTCAGATAATCGAGTGTGTCCTGGTTTAGCCCGGCCAGAGGATGGAGTTCTGATGGGTCGGGAATAGCGGTATTAGAGAGAAAGGAGGTCACATCTGTGGCAGAGGTTGGATCGAACGCAGCGGTTCCGGCCGTCTGCTTTCGACCTGAGAGAGTGTCCCAGATAGACATGGCCGTGAAGCAGATTAAAAGGTATTAAAAACTAAACAAATGCAGTAGAGAAATATGAAAAAATTGAAGCCTCTGCGCAAGCCACGCTTCTATTGATCCGATGTACTGATAAACGTTTGATTGAAATTCTTCTCTTCTTCTGTTTTCATCGCCTTTGAAATTCGATCCAAAAAAAAAATCCGAGTCACATGATCATAGATCGGTCGATATCACGTGATCTTATCGTCGACGATTAACAAAAGATAAAAAAAAGGATCAAAATTGCGGGATGAAATTGATATTTCGTGGTGGAGGAGAAGATGGACGCTGCAATGGATGATAATGGGCTGGAAGACAAGCCACTAGCTGTGAGGAGTAAATTGAACCTGAGCCAATATATTTCCCTAGACAACGATGCGCCAAAAGTTGTGCCAGAGTCCGATTTAAGGGCCCTTACCCAGGGCCCTTTGAAATGCCTAATACTAGAGTCTGGAAATTACGAGTGAGGCATTATATACGATTGCTCCATCAGATGTATATATTGAAGGGCTGCTAATTTGCCGTTAGACAATCACTTTCTCTGTGGAATTGCCTCTTCCATACGTTGGAGGATACAGCACTCACTACATCACACCAGACCTCTGTGTGCAATGCCATCTGTGCATTTCTGGAGGCCGCATTGACGGCTAGAGATCCTGAGATCTGTCAATTTGCTCGATCTAAGGCGACTTGGCTGTCCATCTTTGAGGTATATCTTGATCGATTCGAGTATAACCCTGCAAAGCCTATGAAGCAAATACTGGCTACACTGACAAATATCCTGGCCACACACCCCGAGTCAGATACCACAAGCTCCATTCGCTCTTATTTAATCGAATCCGTGGTTAAAACTATTCTACTAGCTGAACCCTTAGCCAGGCTGAAGGCTTCGGTCGTTTCTCTTCATTTTCTTATCCGAAAGGATGCTTTCCCTGCAGTAGATTTAATATCTCGGTTACAGGAATGGCTTCGAGCCAATGGTAACTGTTGGATACCAGTTATAGGTGAGCACTCCACCAATGTTGGTCTCGATATACCCGCCTTTACAGATAGCAACCGGGGCGGAGTTTTGGCTTCTCAGGACGAGCAAGGCTTGATAACTGCACAGATATTCTGCCTTGTGCTGTTACTACACCTGCAGAATGCGAATGTAGTGACATCCTCTGGCGCCCTTCTTTCTCAGCTATGCTTCAAATTGAAAAAGGAGTCTGAAGCTGGCCGGTTCCGGTATTCAACTTCAGATAACGGAGCTCCGTTTTGGGCCGCTCCCTTGAAGTATCTGGCACTTCGGAATCTGGATAATCTTGACTCAACTATCAGCCTTGCTTTTCATCTACTATTCAGAGGCCGGCTAGCTGAGTTTCAATCCTTTCTTGATATTCTACCTCTTGAAGACCTTCTGTCAGAAAACTATAGTAATACTGGCACTACTGAGTTTGCACTTCTTATTGCTGTTCTTGAAACAGGGAAGGAGTTGGGACTTATACATGAGGATCGTAAGCATTATGATCTTCTATCTATGTTTTATTATTTTCTAACCTGGTTATAGAAGCTCCAAATTCATCATCGACTGATAAATTTCTAGTCCTGGAGAGTCAAAAGCTAAGACTTCTTTTAATCCATTCGAACGCCAAGATAAGAGTACGGGTACTCTCATTGTTGATATCTGCACCATCTACTACGAAACCATTCTCGCCTGATGCCCTACTTATCTTCAAGGAAATGATTCCATTTGTTCATGCTGAGGCGGATGCCCACGTCCGCAGTGAGCTTGTCAGTCTGATACGGAGACTCACTGTCCGACTCAGGGGTGGTTCATCCCCACGCCAACTGAAGACAGAGGTAATCGAGACTAATCAGAATTCTCAATACCTTGATGCAAAAACATTTGTATCCTGGTATATTGAGTTCCTACAATCCGAGCTTCGACTAAGCGCTTCATATCAAACGCACATTCTTGCACTGAAGGCATTAGCAACTCTACTACAATCCGGACTTGACCCAAGGATTGACTCGGCTAAACTATCAAAAATTGGAAATGACCAAAAGAACTGGCCCTTTGCAATAGACATATTTACAACTAGCCTTTTCAGGGCATTAGGGGACCTGTTAATTAATCCCTACGAAGAAATCCGGATGACCTCACTTGCAATCCTCAGATTATTCCCGCTCTCATTCATCAAGCCCCAATCCATTGCTGGGGATGAACTCGGTATAAAGGATGGCACTATTCGTCAGCCATATCACCAATTACTTGAAGCCTTTTCAAGAGCAGAGGAGATGGCTGGTCAAACAAGTAGAGCTGACCATGCCGATGGCCTTGCCCGCATCTATCACTTTCTATTTGATCTTGCTGAAAACGGGCGTGGTTGCAATGACAGAACGAGTATTTACAACTATAAGTATGATATAGTTGATTTGATACTTACCAAACTCGAAAAAGTCACATCCTTATCGGATATAGCAACGCTACGAAATACCCCTATTCATGGCCATCTATCTGCACTACGGTTTGTAAAATTGCCTTGAATACATCTTCCGGAATGAATGCTGATTAATGTGTAGATACATAATGGCAACGCCTAATTTCTATTCATTAATTTCGTCTAAAAACGACTTGGAGCCCTCTTGGAGAATTGTGCTAAAGCGAACTTTGCTTCTTTGCGAAGCAATGTGGTCTGATGTTCAAGCGGTCTTATGTGTGGACTCTCCGGAAAGGGAACACGGAGACTCCGCTGTTGACCTATTAGGCCCAAAAGATATTCTGTCATGTTGTTGGCGTGCTCTCCGAGAATCTAGGTATGTTTCCTGTATAAGCTTCTATCTGATAGAATACATATTGACTATTTTTAGTTTGCTTTTGAATGCTATCTTATCGAATACCTCATATGCACCTCTGAGGGATGGCTTAAATTATGAGGAGTATTCCAGGGTTGGTAACCTCACGTTCTCTCAGCTAGCGGAACTACGGCACCGTGGTGCATTCAGCGCAGTATCCCAGACCTTTGTCTCTTGCTGTCAGAGATGTAGTCTTTCAAAAGACAAAGCTATTGCTAGTCTCCCTGAAACTTGGTTTACGGTAAAAACTATTATCTATAATCTGTTCTCCATATATGCACTAATTCGTTCAATAGGAAATATTGAGCACTATTCACGGCCAATCGTCCAAACTTACCCGCCGGTCAGCAGGGCTCCCTGCATTGGCCCTCGGCGTAGCTTCATCTGCGAAGCCCTTATTCTTCCATGAGATTATGGAAAAGCTTCAGGGAATTGCAAAAGTTACGCCTACTTCTGTTTCAGAGCAATTGGACATGCGACTGCCGCAAGTCCATGCCATGAACTGTCTAAAGGACATATTTACTGCAACTAACTTAGCCACTGTAACAGAAGAATACCTAATGCCCGCGTTAAGTATCTCAGCTGAATGCTTAGGTTCAGAAATGTAGGTCATTCTCACTCGCCTTATCACTTTATGTTGCTGATTTGTAACAGATGGGCTATCCGTAACTGCGGACTAATGCTATTTCGATCGCTGGTTCAACGGATGTGCCGTCGAACCAATGGAGTTAGCCATGGATTTGGTGTCTCTACTGATTCCGAACCGAGGCAACTGATTCCTTTCCAAAGGTTTCCTGGGTTAATTCCGCTACTTACTGGTCTTCTTGAGAAGGGTGCTCCCAAGCCAACAAAGCCTTCCTCGGATGCTTCGTTGTCATGGGAATTATCAATCACCACTGAACGTGTCTTTCCAGCATTAGAACTGATTGGAAAAAAGTTTCCCTCGCCTGCTTCTAATGAGGATAAACGTATTCTAGAATCAATTTCATGGCAGTTCGAGAGTCCTGTATGGGGGATTCGTGACCACGCTGCAAGGACATATGCTAGCCTGGTTGATAGGGACGACATTCTTCCCACTGCATTACGGCTGTCCCAGGTATCTATACAGGCCCAGAACCAGCTTCACGGAAGTGCTCTCTGTATCAAGTATCTCCTTCGACGAATCTGGGCTGCACCAGGAGCCTACTACCAATGTAAGCTGTCGCTAAACTATTTCCATAGTATCCTTGCTAATATTCCATTAGCATTGCTTTTTGCCGCAATTTCCACAACTGAAGCAATATTCAGCAACTTAGGGCGACATGTGTCGTCGCCTTTCACCCTCAGGGAACTTGTCGAAATACTTAATGACCTCCTGCAGAGTGGAATTGCCAATGGGACTGAGGGTAAGACAATAGCGCATACCCGCTTCAATCCCTAACTTAGCTAATTATTGTACAGATATCACCATTGACCATTTTGATACCATCTCACGAGTCCTTAATCTTAATAAATATTATGGACAAATCATCTCCAACCCCCAGATGAAGTCATCAATTATCCGATCTTCTTCACTTTTCCTAGAGAGTATTACTTTTGGCTACTTAATGATAGGAGTTCTTCTCCATTCATCCCAAGAGGAATTGACTAAGTTCATCCAGGCAGTCTCAGCCGTTGATGTCAACGTTCCTGCATCTGTTTTGGAGCGTTTTCACCAGGCATTCATTTCCCACTTAAGCTCTCGAAATGACCGACTAAAGCTGTATTGCCGCATGATCACGGAGGCTCCTTCAAAGAGAGTTAGGTTAGTTGCGATATCTAATCTGTCGACAGAACTTGAATCAATACAGGAAGCTGTCGGGGGCAAGCTTGGCGAACTAAGCTTCTTAATTCCATGGTCCTCTACATTCCCTATCTCAGAAGAAGATAATGAGCCATTCTGGGATCGTGAAATGGTCGACGCCTCCATCCGCCTTCAGGGGTGCCTCCTTTCGCTAAGTATTAGACAATCTCCCAACGCTTTGATTTCGAACTCTGCAGTTGCAGCGCGCTTCAAAAGACTAGCCCAGCAATTATCGATTTCTATTCATGATGAAACGGTGAGCGAATATTACACCCTGTTGATATCAACTATACGATTCTAATCTTTCTCCAGGTGTTTACCACGAGATTTGCTGCTGTGACTTCTTTAAAATCCGTTGTCTTAGGCCTGACAGCGGCTGAGATAAATTTCTCCCAAGCGCCAATTTTGGTTGATGCAATTTTCGTGCTGTACGACATGCTTAATGATGACGATGTTGAAATCAGAGAGGCAGCCGCTCTTATTGCCTCCAAAGTGCTAGCGGATGAATCAATGGTTTTCAGGCTCCCTGCTGCCGCTGCCACTGCTATCGCAGACTTTCTTACGATCCACTACTGCGGCTCATCTCAAGTTTTTGAGGGTGGTCTCCAACGCTTCCTTGGGGCGGCTAGCCAAAAAAAATTATTCGTCCCTGCTGCTGAGGTGCTGAACAAGGCTATCAAAGAATCGACGGCATTGTTCGCAGAAGAGAAACAAAACCTCTATATTGATGATGTTAGAGAAATAAAGACATGGAGTCGACACCTTGTTCGACTTGATAATACAGCTATCAATGTCCATCTATACCAAGAATTCCACACATGGGTTATAGATGGATTAGATGCTCTGACTAAAATAGCTGGAAGTCATCCCAAGGACTCTCTCCTAGGCTGGACATCTAATGTGGATGTCTTTGTGACTGGGCTTCGCGTTCTTTATGGTGCAAAGATGCTTTTAATCACACATAGACAAGTGTCTGCTGATGTCAATATTGCAAAACTGCACAACAAGCTCCAGGCTCTTTACAACAACACATCTACTACAGAATTGAACCCAGCCTGGATATCCCTTCAGGAGAGCTTATTGACGGCAAATAGTGCGTTTTTAGCATCTAGCTAGGCATACAGGACTAGTGGACCATAGAAGCATGCGGAATCACCGTGTTGCCGCGGCGTTGACATATTGTTATCCATAGGAAGCGTCAACAGCATGAACACCCTCATACACATGTTTTCTTCTTCTGCCCTTAAGTCTTTCCCTATCTTGCTTCCTGCCATTCACTGTCACTCTTATCCATTTCATATACAAAAATTTCCAAGAAGAAGCAGCAGAAAAGCTCGAATATCTCACGCCCGGTAGGCGAACTGTACCCACCTATCCTTTGTAAAGGCTAACTGGAAGGATAGCTAAGGACGAAGCAAAAGCATTATCAACAGCTTGAGGTTTTGACCTTCCATTGAATGGTAAGCCTGCTTCAAGCTATGGTCAGGTTGAACCAGCTGACCACCTTTAATATGATGCAGAGAAATACCAGAATGCTGCAAAACTACGTGATAGTTCTCCTCCTCTTGATGACCCCCTTGATGGTGCTTGTGCTGTGGAAGGTTGGCAGGCGTATCTTGGAGGCAATCAGACATGGTATCCTTTTAGCTAGGATGCAGCATGAAGCACAGGCGGAAGAAGCAGCTCGCTGTGCCCGAGAAGCCCAACAAGCCGAGCAGATTGCTGAGCTTACCGCCATCATGACCTCGCATAGCGCATGCCGTGCCCAGCCGATTCAACAGCCTCAGCTTGCACATGTGGCTCAGGCGTAGTTAGACGGGACGGCTACTTGCGTTGGAAATTTGGATACCAACGGGTTAACTATCGAATTTGGTTTGGGGAATGGAGGAAAATAGACAGGATGTATACCCAGTGACGATGCGGAGGAAAAATACAGACATATTTGGTTTCTTTGACACTTCATTTTCCTGTTCAGGGGGATACCCGTTTATGTCCAAACAACAAACATAGAGACTTGATTTGAATAAACCCATTGAAGTATTACTTCTGCATGCAGCTTGATCAACTTGTTTGTCCCATTTACGAATTATACACACAATCAAATATTCTTCGCTTTTTATATCTTCAGAACACCATCCGATATTGAACCCAACACCTTCTATGCAGTTTTTACCCCTACAGAGGTAGCCTTCAAAGTACCTCCTATGAGTAAGTTCTATAACCTATTTTGTCTCGGGATCTCAATAGTTTAGTGAGGCTAAGCATATAGGCTATACCGCCAGCTGAAAGAAAGACAGACATGCCTGCTATTATTCCGAAACAAAGCAAGTCAAAGCCATCTCTAACAGCTCGAAGGTCACCCACAGACTGGGACTCGTGGACACCGTCGCAGCAAGGAGGGGTGCTGGCTGCCTCACTGCTCGTATTCCTATTCTTCTTCGGCCTAGGCGTCTATCTCTGGCAACGGCACCGCGAGAGAAAACAGAGAGAGAGACGCCCTTCGAGGCCGAGAAGCAGAGCTCGTCACCACCATACGAAGAAACGCCCTATATCACATATCACGTCTCCGCCACGGAAGAAACCAAGGATCGAGAGAGTCAAGTCTAGGGCTAAGGCAGAGACTCCGGACCAGATGATGCAGGGGGCTCTGGCTACGCCTGAGAGCACGACCAAAGAGCAGCTGACTGAGAACAAGGACACACCAGGCCGAGTGGAAGAGGCTGACCAGGGGAAGGACAAGTTAGTAGATGCAATACTTGACCAAGCCAACGACCGGTTGAAGAGAAGAAGGGAGAGGCGGCGAGAGGCCCGTCGCAGACCAACACAGGGTATACATCTGCTGCCAGACGAGCCATCAAAGGCTATCTCGACGAATCAGCAGCAGTATCTAGGACAGAGGAGGAGTCCACTTCATGAACGATGAGATAATACGTGCTGTATCCTTATCCATAGAGCTCGCACCTAGACTGTTGATACTACTCTATTGTAGCTGTTCCTCCTCCTATCGCGTCTATATCGCCAGTAGAAGTAATGATGTCATGGGATCGCGCGCCAAGCGCTTCTTTGGCTTGAACTTCGTTGGTTCAATAACTCCAAGAACTAACATATAAGACCTCTCTTCAGCATCGTGGAGATGTCACTATTTTGCCTATATACCTAGCATCTAACCTGCAGAATACATAAAAGACTGCATTGGAATATATCGGCGATTATTCCACGGCGACTTTGATAACACCAACTAGTACTTCTATCGCAGCTGCCTGCACGCCCGCCAAACTTCCTGCCTGCGCGGGCCCCGATAAAAAATAACTGATATAAACGACCCAAGTGTCTTCAGGATGTGGACTGATGAAGATAACAACCCGTACGGAGCGCTGGACCGCAATGAAGACCCGCTAGGGGGATCTTTTCACCCTGCCGCAATGGCCCCTCGTAAGCTTGAGACGGCCTCTTGTCTAACTCTACCAAACCGACTGGCTGACGGTGTTTTTTTTTTTTTATTTCTATAGCTGCATATGAAGAACGCCCTGCATCTCCGGCTTCGTCAAGGTCATCCACTCGCGACCCACCGGACTTTGTATCGCGAACAGACACACCTGATCTAGACGATGATGAGGACCACGGCGACCTGGACGAGTATGCCGGCCAACAGCCCTATCCGCGCAAGAAGGGGATATACGATAGCAGAATAGAGCAGATTCTCTATGAAAATCCGGAACTACCCATCCTCATCACTCGTGCTGGGAAGAACAGCGAAACTGGCGGCAGTTTTATAGTCTACACCATTAGAACGGGCGTATGCAAATTGTCCCCCTTCCTTCCAATTCATACTCCTACGTACCTTTTCTGATAGCTAGCTCTAGGATCTTGAGGTTAGACGTCGATATTCCGAGTTCAGTTCGCTCCGCACAACCCTGGTCAATCTACATCCTACTCTGATAATCCCACCCATCCCGGAAAAGCATACCATGGCAGACTATGCTGCCAAACCCACCAAAGCAAAGGAAGACACGTCGATCATCGAGTTACGGAAACGCATGTTGGCCGTATTCTTAAACCGGTGCCGGAGGATGAGTGAAATCCGTGAAGATGGTGTCTGGTGGAGATTCCTGGACCCTAACGCAAGCTGGGTAGGTGTGTTTTTCTCCGATGTTTTCCATATATACTGACCTACCTTACCTTTAGGGAGAGGTACTAAACTCCCACCCGGCAGCTTCGGTGCCCAAAAATAACCTCAAGGCTCCTCCGCTGGATCCAGCTAACCCGACACCCGCTCATAACTGGCTCCCCGTTCCTTCATCTTCTGCGAAGCTGAAATCTACAGCGGCAGAAGTCTCCTCGGCTGGGACCCCGTCATTCATGAACCGGTTTCCGCCGTCGTCCAAGACTCTAAGCGAACATGAACTGGATCCTTACTTTATTAATTTTGAAGCTTCCACCAGGGAGCTGGAGCTTCTTCTTCAAGGCAGCGTCGAGAAAGTGAACAGACGAACATTGACACATCTGACTTCACTATCAGCGGATCTCATGGAACTTGGTGCACGATACAACGGGTTTGCCCTTTCCGAGCAGTCACCAACAGTTGCCGCCGCTATCGAGAGAGTGGGCCAAGCCGCAGACAACTCGTATATCGAGACAGAAGAGCTGTCTTCCACTTTAGGGGCTACTTTCTCAGAACCAATGCGGGAAAGTGCCCAGTTTGCGGGCGTTGTCAGGGGCGTCCTTCGCTACCGGGTCTTGAAACGGATACAAGAGGAGATGACCAGAGACGAGTTGAACAAGAAAGCCGCCCTGTTAGATTCCCTTGAGCGAAGCGAGATAGAGGCCCAGCGCATCGAGGAATACCTAAGCAAAGGGAGCACTTCACCAAAAACAAGGCCGGGACGCTCCTTATCCGAAGCTTCCTCAACCAGCAACCCTGAACTAACACCAGAGTCTATCCAGACGAATGCAGAAGACACTGCGTCTATCGACTCTGACTTCCCTCCAACCCACGGTGAGCCCGTTAACCGGCCGTCTGCATCCCAGGGACTTCCCCACCGCCCTGTGGACTCAACCCCTAGCGGCCACCGCAAATCCTCAAGTGGGAACTTCGTCACCAACAAGATATTTGGCCGTATCAGCCATGCCATCCATGGCTTTGCCGACGTAGACCCAGAACGGACACGCCGAGATCAAATTGGCAAGACAAAGGAGAGTCTGCAACAGGTAAGTAGAATCCATGGATGTCGACAATTACATATAGTACCTCTAACCATTCAAACAGTTGGAGCAAGCACTAAAGGTATCCGAGCAAGACGTCAAGGACGCCAGCAGCGGTGTCCTCCGAGACCTCAAACGGTTCCAAAAGGAGAAGGAAGACGACATCCGCAGCTACATGGTATGTTCATATGACTGTTCTTTTTCTTCTATTTCACCATGAATAATACTAATCCACCCTAGGTTGCCTATGCGCGATGCCACCTTGACTGGGCCCGTAAGGGCCTGGAGACCTGGACCGAAGCGAGGGATGAAGTCGATAAGATATCTGTTCGATAGGCTCCAGAATGACCAGTTATGTCTGTTATTCTTCAATTCTAGCGTTTGTGGGTTTGGATATGTAGCATACTTATATCCTACATTCTTTAAACCATTCATCCCGACCTACCGAGGCAGCATATTTCCACAATACACTCCATATATGCTCCAACGCCCATAGCAGCTTCAGGATCAGCCAGTATAGCCACTTTGCCATGACGGGGTCACCCCCTTTATCAAATAAGGGGTCCTTCTAGCTATTCTCCCTGGTGTATATAGACAACGATACACAAGACTGACTCAACTCGTGGCCACACGTTGGCCGTCTGCTTCCTGAATGCCCACTAGACAGATGTATCTATATCTACATCTCTATGTTTTATGTATTAATATATTCATCCTACGCTTCATCTCTCTCCTCATTTATCACGTGACTAACACCGCGAGAAGGACGAAAAATATCGAAAAAAGTCGACTCTTTTCTCCCTTCGAGTTATCAAAACAGCAAAAGAAATTAAGGACAGACGAGAGAAACCCAGAAGGGCGCGAGAGAGCGATAGAGAGCGAGAGAGTCCGTCGCCTTGTCCTCCTCCAGCCTGTCTTTTCTCCCTCTTTTCCTCTTGATTTTCTCCGTTTTGCTCGGCTTCGAGGGCAGGCAAAGCCGCTTCATACAAAGATTTGCGACAAGACCTTCGCCACCACCAAAAAAAAGGTCAGGATATAGAGACAAAGGAGAGAAGACAGAAGAACCTCCATTGTATAGAGACGAGAAGATTATTCAAGACCTGTAAGGGTTCTATCATGCTTGCTGTCCCTCTACTGTGAGCCCTCTTTACAGAGGGAGGCACCTTTTTTTGCCCTTCACAGGCTGATGATAAGTTACAGGCTCTACTTAGATATTACCATCACTCTCTTAAAGGCATAGAGCCCCTTATTTTTCACTCTGATGTGAATTCTCCTTTCTCTTTGACAAAGACTACTCTGCCCTGTTTACTCCAGAGCTGCCACTGGTTAGTGGGCAGCTCACCTTTCACAACGCCTTCATCAAAGCGACGTAAGGTTGCCGCAGAGCTGCGCAAAGCTGGAGGCAACAAGGGCTTATACTTCCTCAAAACCTCACCTCCCCGAAGGCCAAAGATAGGAAAACGATACGGTCAATCTTCGTTGCCCGGCCTGCTGCAACCTGGTTTTTTTACATCGCCCTCCTCTCCCTCGCCTCCAAGACTGTCGCCCTCCCGATCCCTGCAAGCAGACTCGCAAGGAAGCGCAAACGAACAGTCATCGACAGAAGACTGGAGATCGACCACGGCCACGAGCTCTCCGACCGTTACGGACGGCGAGTCGACCCAGGACACCACCTGTTGGCAGATGTCCTCGTCCAACGGCCGGGCGGCCGGCCAGCCCGCCGCTAGTGATCCCCAGAAGGAAGATGTGTCGATGGCAGACAGCGGCTCACAGGAAAACTCTCACGCCGCTACACCGGCCATCAAGAGACCAGCTGCTGAAATGGGGTCTGACGAGCACGACACTGTGATGCAGATGGATTCGTTTACCGCCCACGAAGACAACAGCAAGTCAGGCACCGCCTTGAACAAGAAGCAAAGCGAGCGTCTGAACCGGCACCAGCGTGATGCGTCTGTGGACATGGTTGGAAAGGAGCCCGAAGCTGAATCGCTCAAGGGAAACTCGAAAAACTCTTCTGAGGCCGGCGGTTCGGGGTCTGATCACCCCTACCCTTCACCATCAACCATATCATCCTATACCGCATCAAACAGCGAGCCGGCCTATTCCTCACATTCCTCACACGACAGCCCGTCCATCGACGAACAGGTCGCCCAGGTGATGCAGTTGATGCAGCAGAGCCCCGCTGATAAGCAAAAGGGCTACATTGTCTCCGCCACCTGGCTGAAGAGAGTTCTCTCGAGGAGTTCGACTCTTCCACGGCCGGACAAGGCCGATAAGCTAGCGGCTGAAGGAGAAATCGGCCCTGTTGACAATTCAGACCTTGTTCTAGTCACCGATCCAGAGACTATTTTCAATGATGAAGCCGGCAAGCCGTTTGTTCCCATGCGCCCCGGCCTTCAGATGGGCGAGGACTACGAAATCTTGCCAGAGGAGGCTTGGAACCTAGTGATGAAATGGTATGGCCTGTCAAAGGACTCTCCTGCCATCGTTCGATATGCGCATAACACAAACACTGAAGGAGACATGGAGCACATTCAGTACGAGCTCAATCCTCCGATATTCTCTATCCTGAAACTTTCTTCAAATCCTACAGAGGCAGAAAAGTCTCAGCCTCCTGTCAGGTTCCTCGCCAGCCGACATACCCCTTTTCAGCAGTGGCTGAAAACTGCAAAGAGCCTTGCATCCATCGACATGTCAACCAAGACCCGCGTTTGGAGGATCTTGGAGGGCCTTGGTAGCTCTACCAATGTAACTCCGGCCACGTCAAGAAGTGCATCCCCTGCACCTGGGACTACAGTTAGCGCAAAGATTCCCACGTCAATCTCCCTAGGTCTTGATACTTTCGTGGCTCTCACCGAAGGCTCCCAGCGAGAGCTAGTGGACGTCAAGGACCAAACATCGAATCCAAATTACAACGGCAAGACATCTATTCACGTCATTGGACTGGGAAGCGACAATGTTATCGTCCTCGAGGAGCAAGTTGGAGGCCCAGCTGGTGGAGAATGGTTGTCTGAAACCTCAAAGTCGAGCTCCAATCTGACAGTGGGCGCGGGAGCTAAGGCAAACATCCAAAACAGACTAAAGTCCAAGAGCTCTTCAGGCAGTGGAAGAACATCACCTGCTCCCTCTATCGTTACTCGAGGAAGACGGCGTAAGGACGGCAAAGCACGAGGAGTCACAGGTCTAAGCAACCTAGGGAATACCTGCTATATGAACTCTGCACTACAGTGTGTTCGCAGCGTTGAAGAACTGTCTCATTATTTCTTGCGTAAGTTTTACCATCCCATTTTTTCTACATCTCTCTGCTAATCGTACAATAGTGGGCGAATATAAAAAGGATCTGAATCCGAATAACCCTTTGTCTCACAATGGGGAAGTTGCCAAGGCATATGCAAATCTTCTCCAACAAATATTTGACGCCCAGGGTTCAGCGTCGTTTGCTCCCCGGAATTTCAAGGTCACCATTGGGAGATATGGCCCGTCATTCTCTGGCTACGGTCAGCAAGACTCTCAAGAGTTCCTACTTTTCCTTCTGGATGGGCTGCAAGAGGATCTGAACCGGATCCAGAAGAAACCGTACATCGAGAAACCGGATTCCACGGACGAAATGGTTCATGACAAAGCTGCTCTCCAGCGCTTCGCTGACCGATGCTGGGAAATTTACAAGGCAAGGAACGACAGCGTGATTACGGATTTGTTCTCTGGGATGTACAAGTCTACTGTTGTCTGTCCGACCTGCGACAAAGTCAGTATAATCTTTGATCCGTTCAACAACCTGACTCTTCAGATACCGATTGAGAACACCTGGAGCCATAAGATCATGTTCTTTCCTCTGCACAAGCCGCCTGTGAATGTGGAAGTGGACATTGACAAGAACTCAAGCATCAAAACGGTGAAACAATACGTTGGCCAAAAGATGAACGTAGATCCGGACCGACTGGTGATGGCCGAGATATACAAGAACAAATTTTACAAGCTATTTGACCACTCTCAGAGTATTGCGGACCACCAAATCGGCGAGGGCGATACTATCGCAATGTATGAACTCGACAGCGTCCCGACCAGCTATAACCCCGACAAACCACATCGATTCCGGTTCTCATCCGAGGAGCCCACCGGCTTTGACTCACACAAAGGCGACCGAATGCTGGTCCCAATATACAACCGGAGTAGATTCCGACGCGGCTTCAACCACAATCAACGGTCATTCTTTGGAGTACCGCTCTACGTAGTGATCACACGTGATGAAGCGTATGATTACGATGCAGTTCTGCGCAGAATCCTATCACGCGTAGCCAACCTCACCACTCGTGACATACTCCGGGAGGACGATGGGTTTGGCATGATCAGGACGGCTTCTGCGGAAGATTCAGATACCGTCGTCACCAACGAGGAGGACACGCAGCCGTTCGATCAGCCGATCAAGGCCAGCTCTGTCGAAGGAGAAGATGGACTTGTGGATGTGTCCATGCGTGATGCTGATAACACTGTTTCTCAGGAGGAGGCGGCAACTGGCAAGGGTTCTGACGAGATTCCTCCCGTTCTGCGGCCCGGCAGCTTCATCCCGCCCATGCTTCGCAACCTGTTCGATATCAGGTACGTCAGCTCAGGCGATACGGAGCTCCCGGGATTCTCCACCATGAACGAGTCCCGCGATTACCCCCTAGTGCTGTCCCGCGTTCCCGAGGGCGTGAACAGCAGGGGTGGCGCAGGGCAGAAAGGAAAGGCGGGTTTCGGGCTCCCGTCGGACAACGCGAGTGCAGTTAGCAGTGAAGACGAGCTGAGCGGCCCGGCCCAGCCTGTGAATGTGATGCGCGCGCGGGCCGACGACGACGTGTCCAACAATTCCAGCTCAGCGGAGACGAAGGACGACAGCGCCTCCGAGACGGACTCTGACAGGCTGGCGGACGCAGCAAGCCTGCTGCGAGCGGGCAAGGCGGAGAAACGGAAGCAAAAGGCGCCCCAGCGAAGACTCCCTTACGTCAGGCCGGGGGACGTGATCGTGCTAGACTGGAGTGAGGAGACGTACGATGCCATCTTCGGCGAGGAATGGGGCGACGAGGACGAAGAGCCTCTGCGGGGCAAGGCGACGTGGATGAACGTTTCGGACGTGGTCGACCCAGAAGTGACGACGAAGCGCCAGCTGCGGTCCAGGAAGAAGAAACGGGGCATCACGCTGGACGAGTGTCTGGACGAGTTTGGGCGCGAGGAGATCCTGTCGGAGAACGATGCGTGGTACTGCCCTCGATGCAAGGAGCACCGGCGGGCGAGCAAGAAGTTCGAGCTGTGGAAGTCTCCGGACATCCTGGTGATGCATCTGAAGCGCTTCAGCGCGAATCGAATCTTCCGGGACAAGATTGACGCCGTGGTCGACTTCCCCCTCGAGCTGGACATGACCGGCAGGATCCAGATGCCGGGAGAGGGCGAGAGTATGATCTACGACCTGATCGCGGTGGACAACCACTACGGAGGCCTGGGCGGCGGGCACTACACTGCCTATGCCCGCAACTTTGTCGACGGCCTCTGGTATGAATTTAATGGTAAGTTTGCTGAAGTCCTTCTTTATAAGAGAAACCAAGGCTAACAGGGGTAGACTCCCACGTGACCATGAAGCGCGACCCGGCGAGCGTGGTGACAAGCGCGGCGTATCTGCTGTTCTACCGGCGACGGTCCAACGGCCCGCTGGGGGGCGATTTTTTAGCGAAGCTTACAGAGCTGGCTCACGACCGAAACAGCGACTCTGAGTCGGGGGGTGAGTCACGCTCCGGCAGCCGCCCCGCGTCCGCGTCCGGGTCGGGGGAAGGCAAGCGTCTCGGTGGGCTCTCCCGCAATGGGTCGTCGAGCGCTTTACGCGGAGCCGCAGCAACTCGCCAGTCGGGAGATGGTGGTTTGCTAACAGGAACCCAAGCGAAGAGCGGCAGTAGCAGCAGCAGCAGCGGCATCGACCGGAGCGTCCGCCTGCCTCACCTGGAGGGCATGGAGGAAGAAGAAGAAGAAGGAGGAGAAGAAGAAGGGGACGGAGAGGACGAAGGGTTCGGGGGCTCGTTCCGCGCGGGCAGCGCCATCTACGCGCAGCAGCCGAGCTGGTCGTACGACCGGCTGGCCAACCACGCGGGGGAGGACGACGAGCTGGAGGGCAACACCTTCCCGCCGCCGGGCTCGATCTACGGCGACGACGACAACGACGACGCCGCCAGCACGCAGGCGGAGCGCGGCGAGGGCGACCTGAGCGAGTTCGACCGGTGCTTCGACCTCGACGCGGCGGACGACACGGGGATGGTGTTCTCCAGCATGCTGGACGAGGACGAGCAGCACGCGCGGGGGCTGATCGAGAGCATCCCGGCCGGCGACTACGACGACAGCCCGGCCGTGGTGGAGGTGCGGGTTGGCGACGACGAGTAGCTCAGACACAGCATGGCGTTGTTCCTTAGACGTGACCTTATACCAGTAAAGTTCTACACCAGTAAAGTTCTACACCAGTAAAGTTCTACACCAGCAAAAGTTCTCAACGAAATCCATAGACTCTCATCCTTCTCTCTTCTCATCTCTATCCCATCTACATCTCATCTACATCTATCTATATCCTTCAGTGTATCTCCTCCATGGTATGTCCATATATCTGCTATGCATATCTAATATGCATATCTAGTGCTTTGTGTATCTGCTGACTACTCACCGCCTTTCTGATCGACGGTACCTGCGGCTACTTTGGGTACTTTTAGCTACTTCTGGCTACATTTAGCTACTTTGGGCTACTTGCGAGTTACTTCTTCGGGCGGGCAGAAAAAAAAAAGGGGGTAAAAACGGCACGAGAACACTGCCCGCTTTGGGCTTAGCGGGCGGCACCGGCTTGGCGTCTGGGGAAGGCTGAGTCAGCTTTTAGTCAGGAGGCGCCGCTTAGCTCAGCCACGCTTAAACGGGCGAGGGGCAGATGCCCTCTTTGGGCGGGCGGTGAGGGGTACCGCCTGGGTACCGCCCGCGTACCGTCAGGTAACGCCGTATCTTCGTGCCCAAACGAGGCGCCGCCCAGCCAACCAGCGCGCGCGCCTTGCCCATGACGCCCCACCGCGCGCCCCCTTCCGGCTAGTCGCTCAGCCCGTGCCCTGTTTTGCTGTGACGCAGAGTTTTCAGCCTGCTGAGTAAGCGCTGACATAACCTGTGAAAATTTTTTCGTCTTCGACTTTTTTCTGATCCATAAAAGGCTCAACTTCGACTTCATCTTCGACTTCACTTCATCTTCTCTTCATCTTCTTCATCTTCTACTCTCCTCTCTTCTCTGTATCACTAGACTGTCACTATAGACTGTCTCTACATCGTCACTACATCACTACATCGTCTCTACATCGTCACATAGACTGCCACCAGCAGCCATCGACCTGCTGTGGCCGACGGTGACATCCAGACCACCAGAACGTCTTCAGCATCTTCAGCGTCTTCAGCGTCTTCAGAGTCTTCAGCGTCTTCAAGAACGACTCCCGAAATGCCTGCCGTCGCCGTTGCAGACTCGACGCCCGCCCAGTCGGCCAAGGAGGCCGCCAAGTCGGTCGCCGTCCTCGACGAGCTGCTCAAGACGCTCTCCGTCTCCAAGACCGCCGACGAGGCCAAGGCGGCCGCCAGCAACATCGCCTCCCTCCTCAACGGCCCGACCGAAGAGCACGTCGTGCCCACCAAGTATGTGACACTCCTGCACGTTTGAGAGACTCTAGACTAACCGCTGCAGGGCCGTCGAGTCGCTGAAGAAGCAGCTGGCCAACAAGAAGGATGCGGCGGCGCGTGAGAAGGCGCTGGACGCCATCCTCGCCATCGCACAGCACGCCTCCGTCTCGCCCGCGATGGAGCCCTACATCCTCGCCATGCTGGGCCCCACGCTCGCGGCCGTCAGCGACAAGATGAACTCCGTCAAGGAGCTGGCCCAGCAGGCCGCTCTCGCCATCGTCAAGTCCATCAACGCCAACGCCGTCAAGGCCGCGCTCCCCGCCATCGTCAAGTCCATCCTGACGGCCCAGAAGTGGGCGGAGAAGATGACCGGCCTCGCCTGCATCGAGGCCCTCGTCGAGTCAGCTCCCACCCAGCTCGCCACCCGCGTGCCGGACCTCATCCCCGTCGTCTCGGAGTCCATGTGGGACACCAAGCCAGAGGTCAAGAAGGCCGCCTACGCCACCATGGAGAAGGTCTGCGCCCTCATCTCCAACAAGGATATCGAGCGCTTCATCCCCGAGCTCATCAAGTGTATCGCCAAGCCGGAGAACGTTCCCGAGACCGTCCACCTGCTCGGCGCCACCACCTTCGTCACCGACGTCCACGAGCCCACCCTGGCCATCATGGTGCCCCTGCTCGACCGTGGCCTCGCCGAGCGCGAGACCGCCATCAAGCGAAAGTCTGCCGTCATCGTCGACAACATGTGCAAGCTCGTCGAGGATCCCCAGATCGTCGCCGCCTTCCTGCCAAAGCTCATGCCCGCCCTCAACAAGAACTACGACACCCTCGCAGACCCCGAGGCCCGTGAGAAGACCAAACAGGGCCTCGACACCCTCATCCGTGTCGGTGCCGTCGTCGACGGAAAGATCCCCGAGGTCTCCAAGGCCGGTGACATCGAGACCGTCTCCGCCATCCTCAAGGAGATCCTCGAGCCCAAGTTCAAGGCCCAGATCGAGCCCGCTGCCGCTACCATCGAGTACATCGCCGCCATCGCCGGCCAGCTCATCGACGAGAAGGTCGTCGATGTCGCCGACTGGACCGAGAACGTGCTCGCCTACCTCACCGTCATCGTCGGCGAGGAGGACGCCCGCTCCATGGCCGAGACCCTCCGCAAGCGCGCCTCTCCCGCTGCCGCTGCCGAGACCGAGGTCGAGCCCGACGAGGAGGAGGGCGAGGACCTCTGCAACTGCACCTTCAACCTGGCCTACGGTGCCAAGATCCTGCTCAACCAGACCCATCTCCGCCTCAAGCGCGGCCAGCGGTACGGTCTGCTCGGACCCAACGGTTCCGGAAAGTCTACCCTCATGCGTGCCATCAACAACGAACAGGTCGAGGGTTTCCCCAAGAAGGACGAAGTCAAGACCGTCTTCGTCGAGCACGACCTCGACGCTGCCGACACAGAGCAGACCGTCATCGGCTGGACCGAGAAGAAGCTGCGCGATGTTGGCATCACCACCGAGCTCTCCGCCATCGAGAACCAGCTCGTCGAGTTCGGCTTCGTCCGCGAGCAGCTCGAGAGCCCCATCACCTCCCTCTCCGGTGGCTGGAAGATGAAGCTCGCCCTCGCCCGTGCCGTCTTCGAGAAGCCCGACATCCTCCTCCTCGACGAGCCCACCAACCATCTCGACGTCAAGAACGTCGCCTGGCTCGAGGAGTACCTCACCAACTCCCCCTGCACCTCCATCATCGTCTCCCACGACTCCAAGTTCTTGAACAACGTCATCCAGCACGTCATCCTCTACGACCGCTTCAAGCTCCGCCGCTACCGCGGTGACCTCAACGCCCTCGTCAAGCGCGTCCCCTCCGCCCGCTCCTACTTCGAGCTCGGCGCCTCCGAGATGGAGTTCAAGTTCCCCGAGCCCGGCTTCCTCGAGGGTGTCAAGACCAAGGCCAAGGCCATCGTCCGTGTCAACAAGATGTCCTTCCAGTACCCCGGAACCTCCAAGCCCCAGATCAGCGACATCACCTTCCAGTGCTCGCTCGGCTCCCGTATCGCCGTCATCGGCCCCAACGGTGCCGGAAAGTCTACCCTGGTCAACGTCCTGACCGGTGAACTCATCCCCACCACCGGAGAGGTCTACCAGCACGAGAACATCCGTATCGCCTACATCAAGCAGCACGCTTTCGCCCACATCGACAACCACCTCGACAAGACCCCCTCCGAGTACATCCAGTGGCGATTCGCCACCGGTGAGGACCGCGAAACCATGGACCGTGCCAACAAGATCGTCACCGACGAGGACGAGAAGGCCATGGACAAGATCTACCGCATCGACGGCTCCCAGCGTCGTGTCATCGGTATCCACTCCCGCCGTAAGTTCAAGAACTCCTACGAGTACGAGTGCTCCTTCACCCTTGGTGAGAACGTCGGCATGAAGAACGAGAAGTGGACTCCCATGATGTCCGCCGACAACGCCTGGATCCCACGTAACGAGATCCTCTCCTCTCACGCCAAGATGGTCGCCGAGGTTGACCAGAAGGAGGCTCTCGCCTCTGGTCAGTTCCGCCCCCTCGTCCGCAAGGAGATCGAAGCCCACTGCAGCTTCTTCGGCCTCGACGCCGAACTCATCTCCCACTCCCGCATGCGCGGTCTCTCCGGTGGTCAGCGTGTCAAGGTCGTCCTTGCTGCCTGCTCGTGGCAGCGTCCTCACCTGATCGTCCTTGACGAACCAACCAACTACCTCGACCGTGACTCACTCGGTGCCCTCTCCAAGGCCCTCAAGTCCTTCGAGGGTGGTGTCATCATCATCACTCACAGCAAAGAGTTCACCGAAAACCTTACCAGCGAAGTCTGGGCCGTCGTTGACGGAAAGATGACTCCTTCCGGCCACAACTGGGTTCAGGGTCAAGGTTCCGGCCCCCGACTCACCGACAAGGGCGATGACGAGGAGGACAAGTTCGATGCCATGGGCAACAAGATTACCGGTACCAAGAAGGCCAAGAAGCTCACCTCGTCCGAACTCCGAAAGAAGAAGAAGGACCGTATGGCTCGCCGCAAGAGAGGCGAGGAGGTCTTCTCCGACGAGGACGAGTAAATTCCTTCTGCTCTGCAACTACAAAATTCCAACCTGTTCGCCTACCTTGTCTTGCCTGTTTGCATATTAGAATGGTCTGGAGACGGAGATACAAAAAAGAAACCCGCCAAAAAAGGAGCGATAGAAAAGTCATGATTCCCATTTTCATTTCCTTGTTACTTGCCAAGGCCCAAGTTCAGTTTAATGCCTCATGTTCTAATGTTTGATTCTACCATTAATCAGGACTCCGTCCGGCTTGATTTCTTGTCTTTTTCTTTTTAATCTTTTCATCGGCGTCTGTTTGGATGGGATGCGGATGGGATTTTTTCATTTTCATGTCTCTTGAATGACGATTCTTAATTTCACACCACCCTTTTTCATAGAAAACAATTCAAATTTCTATATTTCATATCTTTCTTTTCGGTTTCGTATCATCTACTTTCCATATTTCCTTCCGTCTGAGATTGGTGGTCAACTGACTTGGTAGAGATAGATTGATAGATTGATAGAACTAGAAGGGAAGAGGAATAAACTGTTCTGCTTTCATTTTTAATACCATCGTCCTTTATTCTTCGTGTAAAAGATCTTTTTATAGTGGGATGTCAAAAGTTGCCTAATTAAGGTGGGGCTCAAGCATAAAAAAACCCTAAAAGGCTAAATTTTCTCTTCTTCTCACGACGAACTTGATATAAAAACGAACTACATGCATATACGTGGACTGAAGGAACTGTAGTCTATACAGGAGATACGATGGCGACAGCAACGGACTCGCCCGCGCCAGTGCCGGAGACATTTGATACCCTCTTCACACCCCGCGCAGACGGCCAACGGAGGAGCTACGACTCCCTCCATCTCACGGAAGAACAATGCAAGGCCATACTCTCCCACCCGTTCGCACAGGAGGTCTTCGGCCACGCTGAACAAGATGCAGACACACCGTCTGTGCTCCGGGGTGAAGAACTATTCACACAGCTGATATCACGCCGTATATCAGCCGTCTTATCCACGGCGTCAGCGGAGGAGTGCCGCGACCAGCACAGATCAAAATTGATACATATCGGCTACGCGGCGCTGGATTCATTCCTACAAGCGAACGTCACTGGGCCGCCGCTCTCGTTTGGTGCGGAAGTGGTTTTCCCTTCAACAGTGCGAGAGTCTCACGGTACGTTGCGCGCGGTGCGCGATAGTCTGATCCGGGATCTATCCGTCAACGGCGAGGCGGTGTACAAGCTCATTCCGAACGTGGAACTATTTGCCGTTGCCAGGGCGATTCTTACACATGAAGAGGTGGTGAAGCAGGGAGGAGAAAGCATCCTTGGTCTAACGGGTAGAATGCGTGTGAATTTCCTCCATCAGAAGATGTTGAATGAGAGTGCCGATTCGCTTCAGGCAGTTATATACGAGGACCTCGATGCTATTGGTACCTATGTCTTATCCGATGACAAGTCTAGCCTTACGAAGGAGGGGCGGACGGAAAAAGTGCGGTTCATGCTTGAGCGTGCCGTTATACACACACATCACGGCCACGATAGTAAGGCAAGAGCAGACCTTTTCCAGGCCGCTGCTACGAACGGTTTCGAGTTTGCTTTGACGGGCAAGTTAGGGAGGCGGACAAAGTTCCAAGACAGAGATATCAGCCAGCTTGTTGTCGTCGCAAAAAGTGCGGAAGATAACGCAACCGAACAACAGGAGAAAGATAAGGACTCAGATCCGAAGAATCTTAATCTCAATGACGACACCTTGCTGGAGTCTATTGCGTTTAAAAAGGATCAAGATCAAGATAGACTCAAGCAGGCGTCTGTGTCGGTACAGGATGGGTCGTCTCTGCCTGCCAGTCTGGCAAACATCGATGCTTCAGATCAGCCTCGTCTGAATCCGCTGGACTCCATCATGTTGCTGTCCCTTGCATCGGCTATCACGAACACATCTCCTGAAGATGGCTTGACCCGCGAAGAGACCATTCCTTACGCCGTGCGTGTTCTTGAAGGCGGTAGCTCAAACTGGCAGGTCTATTCGCAGGCTCTTCTCGTCCGCAGTAGGATTGAAGGGTACCGTTCACGAACTGTCGAGCGCTCAGTCCTGCAACTTCAAGCTCTAGTCGATCAAGTTATTGCAGACACCGCGAGTGACACCCCTACCCCAGCCACCGCGGAAGGGGAGAATGCAGCCAGCGAGGAGCAGCAGCAGCCGACGACCTTCTTGCCTCGACCGGAGGCATCTGAATCAGCCCCAGCGGCCGAAAGGTTGAAGTACATCTGGCTCCTCAACTTTTCTACAAGATGGCATCTAGAGTCTGAACTGGCGCAGCGATGGGTCAGTCTAGGCGCTTTGCGCACTGCTCTGGATATCTACGAGCGACTCCAGATGTGGGCAGAGGCAGCCCTCTGCTATGCCGCGACCGATCGAGAAGAAACAGCTAAGCTGATGGTCAGAAAACAACTCTACCAACGCACCAAGCCTGCCACAGGCACAAATGCAGATGACAACGACACCATGCAGGGACCTGAGCTGTCCCCACTGCCGTCAGACGCACCACGGCTTTTCTGCATATTAGGAGACATCGACCACGACGCAGCGATGTATGAACGGGCCTGGACCGTATCCAATAAACGCTATGCACGCGCTCAGCGATCCCTCGCCAGGCTGTACATGCAGGAAAAGCCACCAAACTTTGTCAAAGCAGAGCAGGCATATAAGCTCAGCCTGGCGGTGAATAGACTCAATCACGCCTCGTGGTTTGCCATGGGCTGTACACAGCTTGAGTTGGAGAAGTGGGAGGATGCCATCGACTCGTTCACGCGTACTGTCCAGCTAGAAGAGACTGATGCTGAGGCCTGGAGTAACCTTGCGGTAGCCTTGCTGAATGCTCCGCCCCGGAGCACAACGGTTCTACAAGATATTCCTCAGCCGAAGGCACTTGATGATGAAGAGGAACAGGAGAATGGCAATATCGAGGAGGGAAAGATTGACAAATACAAGCAGAAACGGGATGCTCTGGCCGCTCTTCACCGAGCAGCTAGATTCAAGCACGCTGACCACCGGATCTGGGATAATATCCTTACCGTGGGCGCTTCGATTCCTCCTCCCAGCACTCCCTTCCGTGACGTCCTGCTCGCGCAAACACGTATAATAGAAATTCGTGGCGATAAGGACGGTGAGAAATGCGTTGACATTCCCGTCCTTACAGCCCTGATAAAAACCCTAACGACGCCCCGTGAAGGGAGCAGTATATCCATCAGTTATGATCCATCTGCCATCCGGCCTGGCTCAATACATGCCAGATTACTCCGGCTGTTTGATGATAAAATAATACCGTTAATCACACACTCGCCTGAACTATGGCTACTCGTTGCGGAATTGGAGAAATGGCGAGGACGCCCTTCGCAAGCTCTCGCCGCACATGAAAAGGCATGGCGTGCCACCATTGCCTCATGTTCGCAGGGAGCATACCAGATGGGTGAAGAGCCTAAATGGAACGAAATAGTCAAGGCCACCGAGACGCTCGTTAGGAAAGGCTATGCCGTTTACGGTGGGATGGACAAGGAGGCTGAAGACGGCACGAAGCAAGGCGAAGACAGCGGAGAGCTGGTTGCTAGGGATTGGAGGTTCAAGTCCCGAAGTGCCGTTAGAGGAATCCTTGGTAAGGGAAAGCAATTTTGGGATGGAAACGAAGGTTGGATGAGACTTGATGCCTTGTTGAAGGAAGTCAGTGGCTCTTAACCGGTAACTGTCTTCCATAACCATTGACTACTGCATATATCTAGAGAACAGCATGCAAAAAAGAAAAAAAGCAACAAACGAAGAAAACTACTTCCTATACCACATGCGCGTTGTGCGCTGATTCTTGATCTTCTTCTGCAACTGCAGAACTCCATACAAAAACGCCTCTGCTGTCGGCGGACAACCAGGCACATACACATCAACAGGGAGCAACCTATCCACTCCTCTAACTACACTATAGCTATAATGATAATACCCGCCTCCATTCGCACAACTGCCCATACTAATCACCCATTTCGGATCTGGCATCTGATCGTACAACAACCTGATGGCAGGACCCATCTTGTTCGTCACCGTGCCAGAAACAATAAGCACATCTGCCTGTCGCGGCGAAGCGCGGTAAAAGATACCCATGCGATCGAGATCGTACCGTGGCATCGAAACAGCCATCATCTCCACGCCACAGCATGCCAGGCCGAAGGTCAAGGGCCAGAGAGATCCCTGACGAGCCCAGTTGGCAATCTGGTCGAATTTAGTCCTGTTCGTTCTCGTCAGCCTGATGCACAGCTAACTACGTACATTTGGCTAGAGGAGTGTGGAGGCTTACAAGACATGTCGAAGGGGCACAGGTTCTTCTCCCTGGCTAGGTAATGGAACTTCCAGCCGTTTTGGCCTTGGTACCATGGCCTTTGAGCCCATATCATTTGTGCGCCTATCAAGGGGTGGGTTTGATGCCGTGGCCGTGGCCATCGAAGCAGTCTTCACAAGTGCCAGGGAGATGCACAGCGGACGACAAACCTGGATACGGCGTCCGGCATATCGATAGAGGGCTGTATTGAAGCATTCTCGAGGAGAAGCCGTCAGTAAATGGTAGACATAGGCATGTAATGGTACGAACAGGTAGTAGTACTCGCCTTTCACCCTGACCGTAGTAGTCACTCCTATAGTAGATCCAGCCATCATCAGTCTATAGTTTCAATAAAGTGTAGCAAAGCACCTCCAGCGCCATCAAAGATGTTCACAGAATGTTTTTTCTCTCCCATCAGACTCGGTTTGTATCCGGTTGGCACATCTCGCAACGTTTACCATATATAGTAATTTCTGCGTATTCACGGCGTGTCGGGGGATATCGGAACCGACACGACGGTTTCTGGCCAGCAGATTTTATATTGAGCCATCGGGCAAACGCTGCAAGTAGCATCCGACCAAACTGTTATATATTGTTTATTACATCTTCCCCAGATTTGCTACTTGGGTTCTGATAAACAGTGCGGAGCCGTCTTGGCTATATTTAGACAGACCATCGAAGATGAAGATATTACAAAAGCAATAGCTAGTGCATGGTCAAGCATCAGAGGACATAATGCCACTAATGCATCATTTGGCTAATGAAAAGGAAGTGAAAAAAGAGACCCAAGTTTATTTAATATCCCGAAGCTCAATATTGTTAATTATCGCCAAAGTCTTCATCTTTCTTCCCTCTCCAGAGCAGAAAACATAGCGTTACTACCGCTTTAATCCCGGCAGCTAGCCACAGTGAAGCGGACAAGCCGCCTACTTTCGACAAGCCACCCGAAAGCATAGCACCAGAGAAGGCAGCTAGCAAAGTCAAAAGCCGCCGAGTGCGAAAGTCAGTCAGCTTCCACCGTGGACGAAGGCTAAAGAGCTTCTTGTCCATGAGCAAGTCACATAGGAGCGTTGTCAAGACTATCGTAGGTATCTCATCTATACCGAGTAAACGCGAAGTGACGATTTGACCGGCAGCTTGGAAGGCCAGGATGGTGATGGGTAACACCTGGATCCAGTGAACCCCGTGGGTAGAGGCCTCGATGCTTGAGTCCACAACTCCCGTCTGTACAAGAATGCTGGATATTAGGATTGCACAAGTCTGAAGTGCAAATGATGCCACTAATGTTGCCCGTCGAAGCGGACGCAGGAACTCAGAGGCATATTTAAAGAAGAGTACTCCGATGGCAAATGTTCCGATGGCAAGCAGTGACTTGGCCCATCTGTTCGGAGGAGTTGGAGGCTGACCAGAGACTCCTAGGGCAAGGAACACAACGTTTCCTATAATCATTGTTTTATGTCAGAGACGCGGATATTGTGGACCGCATAGTACCAAGAGAGGAAAATAGGCTTACCTGTCTGCATATTTGCAAAACTGCCCCAAGCATTGAAAGCAGCGCTATCAATAACACCAGAGATAAATGCACACGCCATCAGAAGTATTTCTGTGCCTGATGGGTTTATATCCCTCTTGAAATGCTGTACGAGACCTCCTTCTGGCTTTGACGAACGCTCGTTGACGTCATCCATCCATCCAGTGACCATCGTCAAGGACGAGTTCCCAGAGGGGATCGGACCAGGCCGTACTCTAGAAGATGGAGACTGGAGGCCCCGTTCAACATCCTCATCATTATACACCTTCTCGTTTATCTTGGCTGCGGCTGGATTCATGGTGGTCTCTGGGAGTATAGCAGTGGTGTCAAACCTCACTGACGGCTCGGGAGTTGTTATTTTTGACATATTTTTCTAAAAGGGAAAAGCAAAGAGTGCCAGTATTGATGTGCAAAGGATATCCGAGGGGGGAAGGAAGATTGTTAAGCGGTTCTCAGTCCGTGGCAGGTTTTGAGGTTTTGATATATCTATGTTCCAAGAACGATCCCCCATTAACCAAGGCACCAGGGGGTCCCACTTATATATATCAATATTGACATGCTCAAGCGAGCCAGCCTTGGAGGAGTCATCCATGATTAACGACAAAGAACAAGAATACGAAGAAGACGAAGAAAGAAGCTCCTTCCTAGACTCAGCCGATCGATCTGAAACTCGCCAACTCTTCAAACGGAAAGAAACAAGGACGAGCCAACGGAGCGGAACGGCGGGCCAACTAACATAGCTCCTGAATGGGCCAAGCAGTGCTTGAGTTGCAGCCACGCGGATTAAGGGGGCTATATTATTATGAGGGTTCTCGGGCTGTCATCTCTTGTCCTGTGGCTGACTGGTCTGGGTATGATGAAGGCCTGGACTCATAAGCAAGAAAACAGGAAGCTGGCTGAGTCCCTTCTTTCTCAAAGAGGTGGTCATAGGTGTGCCATGCCAGGACGAGAGTTGCAAAGCATTGTAGGAGACTGCAAGAGCTGACGGAAGGGTATAAGGTTCACCTTGGCTCCCGATCCCATAATCAACTCCCGACAATTGAAATCTTTAGTGATATGGATTAGACTCAACAAGAATTTGATTACCAACGCCTAGCATTGGAGGACGAGATCTCAGCCCAACTGATAAGCAGATCAACATCCGCCAAGCGCTGGGCGAAAACGCGAGGAAAAGCCACCACAGTCGGATTAAGATTAAGATGCCTAGCCCTCTCAGGACTTGGGTTCGGTGCGTGGTGCGGAGGGGGGGAAACGACAGGTTCAGTGGCTGAGATCGTGCGATAACTAGAAGGGCATGAAAGGGACCCATGACTCGGGAACGAGTGAAAATCATTCCAACACCACCCGTAGCTGAAGCTTGTACTCCTTAAACCACGTTGGTTTGAGATTTGTCCTGGCGGTGTAACTTGCATCTCAACTTTAGATGTGAGCGCGAAAACGACAGCTTTGTTGGCCTGCCAATGAAAGCGACTCGGGGCCTCGAGGGGCCAAGGGCCAAGAAGGCATGGAGGGCGGTGGGAGGGAGGACGGGGGGCTTTTCCGCCAAGGGTTGCACCAAGGGATCTATGGCGTTTCCTCCGCTGAAACGGGTGGCCTGGTCGGAAGCTGTAAATAGAAGTTTTTCAATGGGATGAATGGCATCTGAGGGATGAAACCTGATGACTGACGAACCCACGTCCACGTATGCTATTGTGAGAGTGAGCTGGAAATGGCAACACGAAGGAATATAAACACGAAGGAGGGGAGTAATAGCGGATCGTATACATGATAACAGTAACGATCATTAATCATAATAACAATATATACATCAGTTGGGCGAGGAGGTCTTAGGATTAAACGGTGCGACATTCCGGGATGAAGACTCTCTATGTTAGCCAGCTATCATCGGTCTCTCCTTAGTCACTGTCGCTCCCATCAGAGGATGATGACGAGGAGCCATGGCCCCTCTTCTTCTCCTTTTTGTGTTTCTTGTCCTTCTTGTGTTTCTTGTCGCCCTTGTGCTTTTTCTTATGGCTATGTTGACGGTCAGCAAAGTTGGCATTGCAACAGGCTCTCAAAAAACATAGCATAAGGAAAGAGAGTCATAAGAAATTTCGCCAAGTTAAATAAAAAAGTGGTAGCTTACTCCTTAATGGCATGTCCGGCGACGTTAGCTCCAACAGCACCGATAACAGCGCCACCAATGGTGCCCAATGCACCCCCACCAAGCTTGTTACCCATAAATCCCCCTCCAGCAGCTCCGATCAGCGCAGTCCCCAGTCCTCTCTCGCCCTCGGGGCCTCCTGGCCCTCCTGGACCGCCTGGGCCCTGAGGGTATGCAGGCGCCCCTTGCATACCGCCATGCTGTGGTGGACCACCGCCGTAGTACGCATTACTCTCACCTTGATAAGGCTGCTGTCCAGCTGGAGGATACCCGCCGCCATACTGCTGCTGGTCCCTGTTTTCATAATGCTGAGGAGGGGCATTATAGCCATGCTGTTGCTGTAGATACTCTCCCTTTAGCGGGGTATCAATATGGCAGCATTTTCCCAGAACAATATCTTACCTGCTGTTGAGGAGCTTGGTCGTAGTAACCACCTTGCTGAGGAGGGCCTTGGTACTGGCCTCCATATGGCTGCTGTTGCTGCTGCTGTTGATGCTGGTCCTGGCCTTGATGGTATTGTCCTTGCTGTTGACCGTAGTTATCATATCCGCCGCCCTGAGAGGGTCCTCCGTAGTATCCGGACATGGTTTATAGAAGTGATGGAAAGTAAATCAGTAGTTAATATAGCGCGTGATAGAGTGGCTTCCACAGTCCTCTATCAAAACACATAAGAGAGAGAGATGGGGAGGGATAGTTAAATATACGAATGAATACGGAGATGTTGAAGTAGTTTTTATGTTGCCTTGCTTGTGATCCCGTGACTGCCGTTTCGGGCGGGGAAGGGAGCTAGTCCCCTTTAAACTATCACGTGGAGTAAGTTATGCCAAGCTTTTTCAGCCGCAGTTTTAATCTCCATCAGGAAATATCAACGTTCTCTACATAGTATGGGATAAAGGGAGAGGGATTATTCAATCATTGAATTAGGCTAAACCAAACAGAAAAAGAGACTAGATCTTGGACATGAGAAGCAAGGGTCCTAAGTCCAAGTCCAGCGCGTACCTTCTCAAATGTGAAATAGTAGGAAAATAAGCAAGAATAAAAACACTCAGCAAGGTCGTGATATTCATTCAGGTACAGGCAGAGACAAAAAAAAGTAAACAAACAAGAGTCATCAACTGAACCATCCATCATCACCAGTCCTGGCCCCGGTCTTTCATCAGGATCTCAATGGCTTGATCCTGCGGTACAGGGTTCTGATTCAGGTCTTTGATGCAGTCCGTAAGCCCATCAGCAGCGGCGTCGACATCTTCCGCCGACCAGCCTGTACAGGCCATGACCATGCGTCTATAATTCTCCCCTAGAACGACATTCTTGCTCTTCAGCGCCTCGACCTCGGCCAGGATCGAGGCAGTCTGCTCCTTGTAGCACTTCAAACGTGTTTTCAACTGTTCGGCAGGGGGTAGCGAGTAGATAAATCTTCCTTGTTTCACAGAGATGACTTTCATACGGCTGCTACCAGGACCATCTGGAAAAAGATCATCAATAATCTTCTTATCATACTTAGCTCTATCCTTGCCGGCCATCGTCTCGCTAGTTTTGTCGCCATTCTTCGTCTGACGCAGATGCTCGATAAGAGCCTCTGATGACAGTGTCAGATTTTTAATCTGTCTTTGCAGCTCTATCCGTTCTCGGGTCTTATTTTTAATTTCGTCGAGCTGGTTTTGCTCGATTTGTCTAGCCTTGGCGCTTTCTCTGATCTTGGAGTGCCACTGATTGAACTCTTGTTGTTTCTCACTGAAACTGCTTGCTAATTCTTTATCAAAAGAGCTTATCGATGCCTCGATGGCTGTATTTATTTGGGAGACAGTTGCTATCATGTGTTAGCCAAGACATAGGTCCCAAAACGTTTTGAAAAGGAGAAGGGCGCATACATTCGAGAATTTCCTTCTTTGTTCTTGCTAGCTGGTCCATATATGCGTCACTCCCAGTGCCAACCTGGAGTCCCTGACTGTTTCCATTAACCATATCAACGCCCACGCCGTAGTCGGCAGGACGGAGACCAGTATTATTAGGAATATGAGGGTCTGCGCCAACTTCAAGAAGCTGCGGAACAAGTACAGTCCTTGCTCTACCTGCTAAATTCAGAGCAGTGTCTCCTTGGTCATCCTGAATATTTACCATCTCTGACATGAACCTGCCCAGGCTGATTATTTCAAATTTGGGAGATTCAGGGAACGAACTTGTCCCGTTCGTTGTCCCACCATGGCGCACTATATACTCCAAGAGGGACTCAAGGTAGTGTTTCGCGGCTACATGCCCTCCGCCGCCAGTTGCCGCCATCATGGAGATGTGATGTAATATCGTGCGTCCGTGGAGATCAATTATCTCTATAGTCGAGCCAAGTAGGTTTAACAGCTTAGGAAAGCTGCGATAGTCAAGGTTGTTCCTGGTCCCAACGGCTTTCTGTAGCGCTGTTTCACCTGCGGCGTTCAACCGGAATATATTTACACCTTTGGATATTAGGGCGTTTAGCAGCGGTAGCCGCGCAAGCATCGCGGCCCAGTGCAGAGCGCTGTTCAGGAATTCATCGAGCGGTGTTTCAAGGTCTTCACTTGTGAGGGTGAGGAAAGCAGGGTGGTTTTCAAAATTTTTCATGCGCTTATCCAAAAATAACGTCATGATCAGTTTCATTTTCTGGAATCTCTCTGGTGTGGTTGCTGCTGGAAGGGCAGGTATGCCATGTCTGGGGTCGTCGGGTATCCTATTGCTTGTGGATTCGCCTTGGTAGAATGAATCGTTGGGTTCAGTAGGTGTCGGCTCGGCCATGGAACTTGTAGGCTGTGTATTGTTGTTACCAAAGGGCCTTTGGTGTGTGGTTGAAGAGGAACGCATCCGTTTGCGGGGAGGTTCTAGGTTTTCATCGTGAGTATACTCCGCAAAACTGCGTTGACTGTTCTGGAGGTTACTACCAAAACCACTGTCTGATACAACGGTTTGCATGCTTTGCTGGCTTGCTGATGGGTAGTAGGTATCCTGGCTGCTCATCTGAGAAGACTTTCTTGTCATGCTTGGTTGTCGCCCATCACTCCCTTTCATAGAAGAGTCAAATCTAGCCTTGCTGATTGCGTTTACTGCCGTAGCTGCGGTGCGGGATATACTCTGGAAATAGGTTCCACTAGCCTGTGGGCCACTTCCTTGTCCATCCAGCCCCTGCGCAAATCGTTTCCTCTGAACGGCCAAGGCTTGTTCCTTTGTAGGTGTGTCTAGTTGTCCCTGTCCTGCCGCGCTGACGCCGTCCTGACCCATGTCATATTCCAACAACGGCCGCAGTAGATCTTCAACCTGATAGCGTCTGCAAAGCTCCAGGCCACGCTGATAACTCACCCATGTGCCCTGATACTTGCCATAACCGCCCTGAACCTTTTCGTGATCACCGGCAGCGACCTCTTTTTCAAGTGTTTTCGTTCTCCGTGCTTTTGCTACACCTGCCACCTTGAGAATCTGTGTAGCATTCAACCATGAATCTGAGCGACGACGCATCATGGCCACCCCATTTACCTCCATTTCGTATACTGAAACGTTTGAATAGACAGCCTACACGCGTGTGCGATTAGCTTGATTAAAATTTCAAAAATTGGATAGAATTCAAAAGAGCAGACGAACGGTATAAATTTGTGGTTTATATCCATCCTGATAAGGCATCGGCCGATATCCATTCCCATCGTTGTAACCACCATACCCCCCCCTGGACATGGAGTTGTTCATGCCGTTTGTCGAAAAGCTAGCGGATACGTTTGAGTGTTGGGACGCCCTGGGCGGAGGAGATCCAGCGGGAGTAGATGCATGGGATTGAGAAGCATGGAACGAGTCGTGCCTGGACTGAGAAAAAGAGGTACCGTTCGGCGGACCTGTATTAGAGTTTCTCGAGAACGACATCGAAGCCTGCAACGTTTTCCCCGTTATACTAGCGGGCTTGAGTCAAATCAAGGGACCGAGGCCAGATTCCTTCCGGTAGTAATATCAGTCGGTACCGGTTAAAGAGGTGTCAGGGGGAAATTAAATAAGCTATAATTCGAATCAGCAATCCATAAAGATAGACATATCATCGCGCAGAGCCTTTTGTTGCCATACTTGCAGCGGGACGTCCCTATCAATTCATTCCAACCGAATGGCGGGCTTTTCTTTCTGGCGTCGCGACCCTGGCAGAGTTGGGAGCGGTTCGCGTGGTCACGTTACCCGCGCCTCTTTACTCAAGTCGAAGTTGAAGTTGTAGAGGCAAAGTCGTAGAGGAAGAGAAATGGATATAGAAATCGAGAGTCTCGACTACATGCTATCCAGAGACACAGTCAGTGAACAGCGAGTGAAGAAGTTCTTCGAGTTCCTCTTTTCCTTTTTCCCTTTTCGTCTTTTTTCCCACTTTCGCGTCTAAGCGCGCTTATGATGACTAAGCGCGATATTCGAACTTCGTCTGTTCTTTTTTGTATGGGAAAAGCAGCAAGCAGACAAGAGAAAAGAAAGGGGAAAGACTTAAGAGAAAGGCAAAGAGAAGGATATATACGAGGAGGTTGGGGATAGGAGAACACCAACTATCGGCTTGTATACCGACTGGATAGCTTTTTCTTTCCCAATTCAACGTCATGACGAGCCCCGTCCAATGGAGGATGCATTATCGAGCTCTGCTTCGAGAGGCCAGCTATCTCCCCGATCCCGTCGCCAACAGATACATGACCGAGTATGTCATATCGAGATTCCGAAAATTCACCTCCCCAATGGAGCAAAAGACAATGGATGCTGCCAAAATTGCACGGCTTCAGACCCGTATCAGGAAGCACCTCAAGCTCTTCCAGCTCGCAAACCAGGGATATCCAAAGTCGCTTGAGCGTGTCCTACTCATGTCTTACGGCCGAATTGGACGACGGAAACGAATTTTACTACAGCAACTCCTACACTCTGATGGCAATGGGCCTGGCTCGAAGGGTATGCTGTTTTCAGACCAATGGAAACCGTCAGAGCTACTCCTTGCGCTGCTACAGAGCCAAAGCGAGAACCATCACATCGGTGCCCAAAAAGTTAAAAGGCCGGTGAGGACAGGCGACTTGGAGCCTCGCATACCAGAGGTTAACGCCCTTTCGAAGCCACTAGCAGATATAAGGAAAATACATATACGGCAGAAATGGTACGCCCTTGTGCTCGACAAAGCCTTCCCTCCCCTCCCCCGGAACGACTGGGAAACTCTGCAGCGCCTTGTAGCTGGAAGTGAGCCGTGGACCCCTCCAATGAGAAGGAAAGGCCCCCGACAAACCTCCCCTCCAGACTCCGTGAGTCAGCCTCAGGAAGGCTACCTCAGTACCGAATTTCTCATCGCGGGCGCTAAAAAGGACCCTACCTTTGCGCAATACGTCCGAGGTCGGCCACATCATATCACTAGACGCCTTATGCGCCATATGTGGGAGCGTGTCTGCGCCCTGACACCGCTTATCCAATGGGACTCCAGCAAACATAAATGGCTGTTTTCATGGGGTACACAACGGGTTACTGCACCGATTTATCGCCAGGTAGATCCTGTGAAGGGGATGGCTTTGTTTGAGGGGGTTCACCAGAAGACTGGGAGAGCCACTATGCCACGAAGACAATACACGAAGCAGGGAGAAGGAGATGCGAAGTCAAAAGAAGATAGCGGTAAACATGTTGAAGAACCCCCTTCAGCAAGAACAACTGAGAATTATGCTCTCGCACAGGCCGTTAATTCTTAATACCCCATTATCATACAAGAAGTAAAGCTATTGATGTCGCAGCTTATGGAGGAAAGCTACATTCCCTCTACCTTTCTCTTCAGCATACCACAGAAGCTCTCAAAAATCACCGAATCAAACCCTTTTACCCACCGCACGGTAATGTCAGCATTCTCGGGGCTCAGCCGCCTTACCTGGATGATAAACCCAAACACTACATCCTCAGTATTGGACTGAGTACCTGCATTGTTGAATCCATCTTTAGCAGCATCCTGCTGTTGTCTTTTCCTCCTTGCCTGCCGAGACCAGGCATTTTCCGTAGTGAAACCTAGCCCGCTTGACTTTTTGTTGTCCCATTCCCAGGGAATCCGAAATGATTTGATTTCTGTATCAATCGCTTCGATCAATAAGTCAATTGATTTACACGGCATGCTAAAATGGAATTCCGACGGGAAGGGTAGGTATCGCTTTGGTATATTAGATATACTCCGAGCAACTCCCTATATGTGCATCAGGCCATATTAGCACAGTAAACTTAAGCTTTTATGTATGCATATTGCCTACCATCGTGGGCCGCACATCCTTCCACGACCAGGCTATAGCCCAGCGCTTGGTCTTGTCCCCCTGAATAAACTCGGTGACCGCCCAATTCTTGTTACCGAGCCGCTGGAGCTCCTCGATAAGCGAAAGAAGGCTGCTCCGTTTGCCTAGCATAGAGGTATACCACTTAACAGCTTCTCGCAAACGTAGGCTCTCCTCGATCATCTTGTTCACGAATGCAACTTCTCCGCCGGGCGTAATCATTTCTGTCTCCGCCCCAGTACAAACCTGCAATCAACTTAGTTTGTATGTATCCCACGGTATATGTTCAATATGATCAGCATACGGAAAGCGGCTCATGCTGTTTCTCCTCTGCCAACTGTAACATCTCCTCCCGTGATTCGTAGAACGGGGGGTTGCACATAGTGAAGTCGAGCCTTGTATGATAAATGTTAAAGATAAATTTTGAAACAACAAAGCTGTTCAGCTTACAGCTTCAAAGGGATCCTGCCATCAAGGGGAATCAATGGGCCATCTGGCGTAGATTCCACCACCTGGATACGTGACTGTAGGTTGTTCCTCAGCACATTCTCCCTGGCATAGATTAGATTCTTCTCGTCGATATCTAGATTCTATTTAGCATCCGTGCTCTATATGATACTTCTCAATATACCTGTCGCCACGAATTTCCATCGTGTTCTCCGTGCTGCTCCGAGAAGAGGGTAGATGCAGCTTGACCCCGTTCCGCTGCCAGTCGTTAATATCAATATCGGCTCCAACACTGTGCACGAAGGGCAGAAGGGGGTATTTTATTCGTACATGTCGAGCCCGACAACATCCCTATCAGGATCAAATCGGTCAAAGTAGTCATCATTGGTACAGTCTATCAAATCCTGCAACCAAAGTATGTAGTTGAGCCTGCACCAAAGCCCATCTATCAGACTTGAGTAATCGTCGAGCGGATCACAAACAACATACCGATTAGGGACCTGACAACGGACATTAGCAGGATCTCAAGATCAGTACAGGTAAAAAACAGGAGAGCTCTTACGGGCGGACACAGCCTGTCACCAGGAAGCTCAACCTCCAAGCCAAAATCGCGACGAAGAAGGCTGATCGTCAACTGCCTGTGGTATCACCCGTCACTACAGGCGCATCGGGACTAAACCTCATGGTAGACAATACCTGACAGCATCCGGGTTGCTGAAATCGAGCTGCCCCTTTGCATTCAAGCTGGTACGAGACGGCTGTCAGCGATCATGCAGCCACATCCAGAAGAGGAGAGTCATACAACTCCTTGAAGGCCGGGTCTTGCAAGGCCAGGGCTGAAAAGTCGACCTTTTGCCGATAGATGTTCCCTGCAGAGTCCATCGTAGGTTGGCTTATTTTTTGCAAGTCTTGAGATGCAAGGGTCGTTTGTATCACAGGTTGCATTTATGAAACGACCTTATGCACCCGGGCTGAAAAACTAGTGTGTGAATAACAAACGGACGGTCAGCTTGAAGAAGTAAACATGTCTTGCTTCCATGCGGGTTGTTACATGGTATGTGGAAGGCTCACTTGGGATTTGCCCTGCAGCGTGTTTGTCCCATAGTTATATACAATCATCGCTACTTTGCATATACATACTAATACGCTACACTAGATATACGATAGTCAAACAGGAGACTGGCCAAGTCAGCCCATGCATATAACATCAAGGTAATCACAAAAGAAGAGGCTGCAAGTCCTTCAAGACATCCGCAGTCTTGACAATCTCAGCAAACTCCTCCAGCGTCGCGACGGAGACGCCGTGAACCGTATCTGCATCGAACCGTCCACTTGCAAACGACGCAGTAGCATCTTCGACCAGGATCACTCGCCCGCCCAGCTTGCCGTCTGGGGCGTTTGTCACACCTAGATTGGCCGCCATGCGGGTGGTGGTAGAAACGCAGTGTTCCGCCGTCAGGCCCAGGATGAGCAGCTGTCTCACGCCCTTCCCCCTCAGCGTCTTCTCCAGGTCAGTCCCGACCAGCGCTGAGTTGACGTTCTTCCAGATGACCAGCTCGCCCGCGGTGGGCTCGGTGAACGGGTAGAAGGCTGGTCCACCGTCTGGGTGGTCCGGGTGCAAGACGCTCTTCACGTTGGTCGACGAGTGCCCGACATGTACGATCTCGATGTGCGGGCTCTTGGTGTGGGCAGCACGAAAGGCATTGACGAGTGCGGTCACATTTTCCTTGTACTGCGGGTTGGATCTTTTGCCCCAGTACGCCTCGTTGTCGAAGGCTGCGTGATTGTCGATGACGAGGAGGACGGTAGGCAGAGAGAGGTCCAGTGCTGCCATCTTTGTTGCCATCTTTGGTCTATCTATGTAATATCTAATGTCTTATATGTTTATCCCTATGACTCTAATAACTAGTTCACTAATGCTGATATCCAGTTAATTTGTCAGCAGGTGGTTATACGAGTATTCTACAGACACTCGGAAGCATACGATAGTACAGACACTGTCGTAGATGAGTTCTGCTCTTTCTCCAGCCATACTGTTGCGTTGGTCGACAAGCACACATGGACAAACAAGATGATTCCATGGATCCATATGCCGGGCGAGCGGACCGGAATGGCCTACCAATGAGTACTATGGTACATATCTGCAAGATCTCGATCAGGCTCGATTGGCATAACTTTAAGTGGCGTTAATGATACATAATAGTGCTCAGCGTCTATATACGCCCTAAAAGTAAATACGTGGAAGATGTACCGTATACACAGACAGCTTGAATGTAATATCCTGCGGGACCACGATTTATATTCCGATTCTTAGGCTAGCAGATGTATATTAAAAGCACAAAAAAAGGCGAAACGCTATGGGTGGAGAAGAATATTAAAAAAGAAAAGGAATGCATTATACTCCGTGAAATTTGCAGGCTCATTATTGGGTATCAAATCGACCGAGGAAGGGAAAAAAGAAAAGAGACATAGGAAAAAGACAAATCCTCTAGGTGGAAACATATACCCGTGCAAATAACTAGGAGGCCAAGGTCGAATGAAATCGGAAGTAATGAAAAATAAATAACCAGGGTCGTCTGCGTATGTGAATCTTCGTTAGCCGGTCATGTTCAAGATACACTATCGTGTTTATGTGGGTGAAGGTGAAGCGAGACATCTCGTGGCGAAGTCTATGTATGCGAACATGCAGGGAAGTCGGTAATATGTACAGACTAGGGAATATAATATGAGTTGAAGGGAATCGAGGATGCATACCAAATTGCCTGCATGATGCAAGTACCTTTTCGTTCCCCCCGTATACCCCTGCCCGCAAGACCAAAAAGAAAAGGTGGCGTTCAAAAGTAAACATGTTTTCTCTACTTGGTATAGCAAGGGTTGCATTTCATCAACCCGCACAACTTGCAGCGCCAGATGCCGATGAAAGGGCCGCCGTTGCATATCGAGCAGCGCCATGTCAAGATGCTTCCGTTGCTGGTCTGCACGATCCCCCACTGGTGAGGACATCGGGGGTTGGCCATCGTGACGTAGGTGGTTGCTGGAAAAAGAAAAGAGAAAAAAAGCAAAAGCCTGACGGAGCTGAAGCTCTCTTGATTCGGTAGAAGAAGCTGTGGTGCGTTTAACCAGCCAGAGCCCTTATATAGGGGCGCGCAGGCGAGTGTTTGGGTCGCCGGGGGGCCTGAGGTGTTGCAAAAAATTATAAGGGCTAAGCAAGGCCAAGCAGTAGGGGCGTTCCAGCACGACGGGTCGCCTAGTGGGAGACTATTTTATGGCCGTATAGAAAAAAAGGCGAGGGAAAAAGAGAGATCCCAGTCGAAGAGGTGGAAAAGTTGGATAGGTAGGATGTGTCTTTTCTTAGGGAGGAAGAGTGTTGTTTTGATAGCAAAGAGAAAAGAGAGAGAAGGAATCAAGGCTAGGCGTGAGAATTGGTCAGTTTTATACAGCCCAGCATGGAGCACTTTCAAGTCACAAACTCGACTCGCGCACCTTTGCCTGTTCCTCTTGTAACCTTTATATGTCGCAGCAGTGAGGGCCAGATCTCTTAGACAGATGGTGAAGAATAGAACGTAACAACGGAGAAGCCAACGAGTGAATTGTATGCTGATAGAGGAAGAAGGGAGAAACAACCTGGGCTGTTCAATCGGTATATATATACCCCAAGGTGGATTTTTTTTTTCCCTTTCCATCGGAAGAAGCAAAGCTGAGTTCCCCTGGGGGGGCCGTCCCGGAACCCCATCTTGCCCTTCTGGTGACCAGAGCTTGAGGAGAGCTATGGTGAAGGCTGTCTGGTCTTTGTCTCGGGTTTTCTTTTTTCTTCCTATTCTTCCCTTTTGAGTAATTCTCTTCTTTTCTTTTTTTCCCTTCTCTTTTTCGTTTTTTTTTTTCCTTTCGCACATTCAATTTTTCTTCTCGTCTGGCATGTTTGATTGGCGAAGGTGTCGAGAGGGTTCCAGCATCGTTTCGTCCCCATGGCTGTTGCAGATGGTAATTAGCGAGTCAGGATGGTTGATACATTGGTGTTGTAAGGGGCGCATATATGCCTACGCCGTATAGATGCAGGGCGACAGGTCGAGTAGTCGAGCTGGGAACTAGCAAAGCTCCACGTAACTCCCTACTTCCGGGCACAAGAGGGACCATATATGTCGTCTCCCGCACGCCTCTCTTTATATCTGATTGCAGACAAACGGAGGATTGCCGTGAAGATCCCAAGAACCAAACTACTGGTGCTCTCAAAAGCCATATCCTGGTCCTTTTTTTCTTCTTCTCTCATCCTCTGACTGGCGCAGCTCATCACCTTCTCTCGTATACCCCGTAACTCTCTTCATCCAGAGAAGAGAAGTCGACGGTCTGTCAGTCGCTGGAGGAAGCAAGGCAGACGAGCTAACGTCCACCGCCAAGTGTGCCTGTATGCGGACAGCCAGACTGGAGATGGTCCGCGGAGCACGATATCGGACAGAAAGAGATGCCAGTGCGGACCAGCCGGATCCATGATATCTGTTCTTTTTTCTTTTTCTCTCTTTTTTTTTTCTGTTTTCAAGCCCAACAGCTACAGACTTCCAAATCCACAAACAGACGGCTAACCAGCCCAATCACCATGCAAGGGAGTGCTCCCTGGGCGGTGACCCGGGAGTATGCATACATGGCAACCTCCCTACTATGTATGTATACATATGTATGTATATGCACTCCGTAACTAGACTCTAAACATCCCTGGCGGAAATCCATCCCGCCATACCGGCGCCCATCTTCCTGGCCTTCTTAGCCCTGGTTCCGGCGTACGTCAGTCGTGATTTCTGGGTATTTTTAGCTTCAACCTGGCTTTCAAATAATTGGCCCTGCAACGGCTGAGAGAACGCAGAGATGGATGGGTTGTCGGCGCAGGGACTCAGGCCCCCCCCCTCTGGAGATCCTCCTCCTGGCCTGCGTATCTGTACGACTTCGAGGGTCCCGTTGTGAAGTTCGTTGCATTATCTGGTTGAGGACAGCCAGCGAACAAGCAAATATGACGTATCACGAAAATCCGATCTTCAAGGTCGTGTTCCTTAGCTATCTCAATCTATATCTGGCGCGTCTGCTGCTTTGTTCTACTGTCTGCTTCATCACCCTCTCGTCCTGTTTGATATAGCCCTACTGATGCCAGGAGACACGCCACCATACGGGTGGTAGGAATAAATGATACCAGGGAACGGTACTATATACAAGCACCTATAGGGCTTGTTATTTCACTTTGGCATCCGCTCTTCAGGCCCTTTTCGTAGCCAGCTTGCCGCTCTCGAGCCGCCGGGCATGGCTGAAGGGACAGTCTAGATTTGTCGATCTCGATGTGCCCTAATATTTATGCTGAACCACATGACAACGATTACTCCCGTGCAAGGCGCTGCAGGGAAAAAGAAGAAAAGATACGGTCTGACCTTTGACATCGCGTTCTCGTAGGAACTAACGAGTGGGCTCCGGCAGCAGAAGAAACGTTGGTGGAAGTGGGCATGCACTATTATGATGTAACTGTGTACGTGCTTCCTAGTTACAATCCCCTTTTTGCTTGAAAATAAAGATCTATATATATATTGAAAATTACATATATATAGCACCGAACAACTAGTTAGATATAGATAAATAAGGGATGACGGGGACACCCAAAGCCCGATCTGCAGCTTGCCGCATCACACTGGCACAGTCGATTCTGCATGTAAACGTTTTCCGTTTGCTGTTAGCGCCCACCCCCATGCGAGTGTTGCCCCACGACCACACGGCGTTCTCCGTATATCATTCTAATTATCATGCCCTGAGACGACGGATGGGAGAAGCCCACACGATCGGCAGAGCTTGTTTGTCCGCAGTCCCTTCCCTCGATAAAAGCAGAGTCCAAGTGGGAAAAAAAAAGTTGAAAATAAAAAAAGGAAAGTAGAGGATGTAGTTGCTGGTGGGAACAAACAATAATTTAATCCGGTACTGAGAAACCTAAAAGCATAGTCAACCGAACGACGCCGTCCGGCCAATCGAGGCAATGGTGACGATGAGGATATACGATCCTACTGCAGTGTTTGAGAAGTGTCATCATTGTCCGGGCCAAGGGGATGGGGGGAGGATAGAAAAGGAATGGAGATATCGGAGCTCTTCCTCTTGCTCTCGATCTTGCATGGTCCTCATGCCCTATAGCCACGGGATGGCAGCTGTAACGGTATTTACTCCCTCACACGCGAGCGAGTAGTTGAAAGGGAGAAGAAAAAAAAGAAAGAAGACAAGGGGGAAAAAGCGGGAGGCAGGCTGCCAAAGAGAGGCAAAGTATAAAGGTGGGACGGAACAGGGAAAAACGGGACTATGGTCGGTGAGGGCGTATTCTGGCACACGAGTTGGGGCGGAGGAAAGGCACAGTAGCCCATAGCATTGAGGGTGATGCAGCCGTGGGACATGTAATGGAAATCTAGCCAGGATATATTCCCCCACACGCTGCTGATACCCGAATTGGTGAAGATCTTGTACCTCTAGGAATGGTCGAAATGGGACATGTTTGCATCTTGACTGCAGTTCTTTGTTTTGCTTTTCTTTTTTCATTCTCTTCGCTCTTCATGTGGTGGCTAGTTGTCATAAGAAATGTTGATGATAGCTGTCATTGATTGCCCTAATGAGGTTGATTCGTAAAACATATACAGATTCGTACTCCAACATACCATGTCGTGCCGCGTACCGCCAATTTGATGTAATATGTATGCATCTGTAGACTTGGGTCAAGTGTGATGAAGCAGGCTTTTGATTCTTTATTTTATGTTTTTTTTATTTTTTTTTTTTTCTTGAGATGAGGAAAGGGAGCAAGGGGGAGTTCCGATACGGGTTGCGTGAAGGCTGCCTTTGCATTTAGCCGTGCAACTGGAAGAGGGCAGAAATACTAAAGGAAAGAAGTCAGTGAGAATCCAGCAGAAGCATGTTAGGCAGATGTTGAAGACGAGGGTCAAGGCGTAAAAGTTGTGTAAATGGAAATCAAGATGAGCGAACCTTTCTCCGTTGTGATGCCTTCTGATGCTTTCAGATAAGAGAGCCGAAAGATCGAGCACAACTAGTTTTTTCATGAGCTTCACCTTTTCCACTGGAAGAGGGAACGAGTTCGTCACGACGACATAATCGATACTGGGGCAATTCTCCATCTGCTCCATGGAATCGTCTCCAAAGATGCCATGAGTTGCAATGCAGTACACCTTTTTTGCACCGCCCTTTTTAACAACCGTTTCTGCAGCTGCAATCCAGCTAGATGCCCTATCAATCATATCATCAACGATGAAGACCGTTTTATCCTTGACATCGCCAACAAGGGTAATCATCCTCTCCTGTCCGAATCGCCGCACACATCCGTCTTCCTCATCGGAGGATGCGGCGGCATCGAAAGAGCCACCTAGCGCATGGCCAGGTTGGTAGCTAGACAGGTTTGATATTGCAGACATGGTCATTGGGTCAGGAATGGATCCTTCATATCCATCAGCTCCATTGTTAGAAGCGGACGCAGAAGTAGGCGATGTTTCGGGGGATGGATAATCATCGTCAACAAGATGTCCTTGAACCAAGCGGCCAGTGATAACCTCGCGTGCCCGCTCATCGGTATACTCGGAGGAGAATCCATCGGCGAGAGTGGAGGGGCCTAGCATGCTATCTGGGTGTGGTGTTCTATATGAATCTGACTCTTGTGCCGCGTTGCTAGCAGAAGTGTCGGAGGTACTGTTACGAGGTGTGAGGATACCACTTTCAGTAGCTGTATTGGCAATTGAGCGACGGATGTTCGTATTCGATGTACGGTCAAACTTCTGTTCTCCGTCGTGGCTAGTAGTGAAGCCTTGCTCAACAGAGTCGAAGAAGATGGCGCTATCAGTCATTGTTCCAACTTTTGCTTGCCGTTGTCGTCTCCTATCAGTAGTAACAATGCCAAAGTTGAGTTTTAAGGCATCAGCCAAAGAAGTAACCCTCTTACTTCCACCAGCGTTTTTGGTAACGACGACTGCTTCATTCCATTGCGGGACGTTCATCCGAATCCAGCGAGCAATCAAGGGTTCCGCGAAGAGGTTATCGACAGGCTTGCCGAAGAAACCTTGCATTTGGGATGCCTGGATGGGGGTTTCTAGTCAGTTAATCCGGTCTTGAGTGGTTATCTTGCTTAACACCAATTAGGCGGGTTATTTATCCATACATGTAGGTCCACAGTGACAACATGGTCAACTCCGGCGACAGAAAGTAGATTGGCAAGCATCCGAGCTGTAATCGCCCCTCTATGGCTTTTCTTCTTTGATTGCCGCGAATATGGGAAGTATCTTTTTTTTATTATTTTCCGGGTCAGTAAATTCAGAATGTACAGGCGCATGGTGAGTGACCTACGGCATAACAGCTTTGAAAATAGTTAGCCTGGAGTGCTCTAACAGTCAATCACCCTTCAACTGGGATACAGACCTGTTATGGATTTCGCCGAACCACCCTTGCAGGCTGATATCATGATCAACAGCTCCATCACGCTGTCATTGATCTTCCTACTTCCGCTCTGGACGATATAAACATCCTGATTCCGAACAGAGGCCCCGATATTGACGCTGGTTTCGCCATTGCTGAATTTTCGTAGCTCACACGGCGCCGGTAGGGTCCCTAGTCTATCACATATGGCCTCAGTCAGGGTGGGATGCGAGGTCCCAGAGAAGACTAGAACGCCTCTCATGGTAGGGGTTTGGAGGTTTAGACAAAGATCGTATTGAGTTCCAATAGCATCAACGAGAGATATTGCGAGTGTATATCAAAGCTGCCTTCCATGGGGTTTTCTCTTCTCTCAACGTTTTTCTTCTGCTTCTTTTCCCTCTTTTCGCTCTTCGAGGCGGTCGAAAGGTTTGAAGTGCCTTTAGAGTTTATCCTTGCGCCGCAGCTTTTTTTTTTCTTCTTAGTGTAGAACATGTGACCTGCGCTGACGTAGGCGACTTAACGAGCTTGGTTTCTTTCTTTTTTGCCCTTCAGGACATATATATATATATATATGCAAGTCCTGGCGTTCTGTTGATCATGTCCGCTGAGTTCCCTGCTATTCAGCCGGGTGGTTCCCTCATTGTTGCGTGGCAGGTGAGGGACAAGCGTGTGCTGGTCGTCGGTGGTGGTGAGGTTCGTTTTTCTCTTCCCAATTCCCGCAGGGCTACGGCGGCTGTCTAGAAAAATAACAAAAATCTTAAAAAGATATTATTAATGATAACAAATATGCTCTCTAGGTAGCTGCTGGCCGGATTGTGCATGCACTAAATGCGGACGCCAAGGTCACTGTCGTCTGTCCAAAGTCGTGCCTGAACGACGAAGTGGCATTTCGCGTGGCGGAACAGCAGGTCGGCCATGTCGATCGAAAGTTCCAAACGGAAGACTTAGTCGGCATCGACATGGTCTTTGTGGCTGTCGATGATCCCGAGGCTTCTACTCAGATTTGGAAGCTGTGCAGGGAACAGCGCATTCCTGCAAACATTGCGGATGTGCCATCAGAATGTGACTTCTACTTTGGCAGCGTGCACCGCGATGGGCCACTGCAGGTGATGGTCAGCACTAACGGAAATGGACCTAAACTAGCCAGCATCATAAGGAAGAAGATCGCAGCAAGTCTTCCTGACAATACCGGTGCAGCCATCCAGAACGTAGGACTGCTGCGCAAGAAACTGAGAGTAGCTGCTCCAACTCCCAATGAAGGGCCAAAGAGGATGAGTTGGTTCGTACATGTCAAGAATAAATTATTACAGCCTGACTTTGAAGCTGTATTTCGCTTGATACTGACTCCCTTTCCTACATAGGATATCTCGAATCTGTGAATCCTGGAGCTTAGATGAACTCGTTAACATGACTGAAGATGACATGGAAAACTTGCTTCAGCATTATAATTCTGGAAATATCCCGACCTTTGAACAGGTCCGGCTGAAGCAAGGCGACAGCGTTGCCCCTTTTGATGGGAGCATGGGCTGGAGCTCATGAGAGGAGCTTTACATAGGAACCACCTAGAGGACATATTCACCGTAATTGGTCTGTGTAAATCATGCAATGCCGTAATATATTGCCCAGCTTGATCCATTTTAGAAGTGTTCTCTATAATGCGGTCCTTGGCCCCCTGAGCTTCAAGTCCAAAGTTAGTGCAGGTTAATCAATATTTATTCTAGCTTGCTTCACTTTCTGGTGCGCGGTTGTTGTCTTTATTCAAAACTTTTTTTGTCAAGCCTAATGCAAATGCGATGAACGTGTGGTTAGCCTTTTTCGTCTTATTTCTGCATATCTTAAGCCTACTATATAGTGCAGTTAGTGAAATTACTTAGTACTAGTATGTTCTTGCACTGTGATCAGATAAGATAAAAATGCCAAGGCTCGGGCCGAGTATCCAATAAAATGGCCCGTGCACTAACTTTATAGAGTCAAGCGCGTGGAAGAACCTTAAACGCGTACCTTGGATGATATAGTTATACACGTAACTCAACTCAAATAAATACAAAATGATATAGATATTGTGCTAACGACCACCCGAGCAATCTAACATGTCTATAGGCATTTGTTACAGCCTTGACTTCGTACTGGCTGGTAATGTTCTTGGCCCTATGGGGTTTGGCCTTAATTGCTACCTGTGTTGCCGACCAAATAATGTGCATACCATTACAAACTGCTGCCCGCTAATGATTTCGTGGGCTTACCAGCCGTATCAAGAGGATATATAACAAAGCGCGACAGATATTGCACCAAGTGAAGCGGTATCACCTAACTTCTCGGGCACATAAGCTAAAGAACAGCTCAAGGTGATGGAGGAATGAAGGTGAAGGAAGTTTTCGGCTCTAATTGCTTTTTATTTCCAGAGTACATGAACCAAAGAGCTGAAATATTAGACAGAAAGTGTGAAGAAGTTAAAAGCGGATATCAACTGGAGGGGCAGAAAATTGCAAAAGCCGTCTAGAAAAGCCAGGAACACGAATATACGATACAAATGTAAGATTAAGAAATTGTCCAAGACTGAGCTTATCGTCCCACACTTTGTCTTCGACCGTTAAAGTAGCCTTGTGAAATAGATCCTCGCGGGCTTGTGGGTGGCTCTGTAGGGGTTTGAGGGGACATGCCAAGTCGGCACTCTCCAACTCTGCGTAGAAAAGCTTGGATAGCCAGTCGAATTTCAACATTGAGGTCGCGGGAAAGGAGGTCAACTGTGATTGGATAGAAAGTTTCAATGTGCTTCTCGAAGGATTCTAATGGGAAGCCGGTATATCCTTCGACAACATCAACTACAACGGGGCGCCAAGCAGAAATGTTCCTTTGCTGCGACTCTTCGTCTAGTTGAACGTATCTCCGTATAATGTCCGCACACAAGCTGTAGTTTTGTTAGCAAACACTTTCTTAAATCATCACATTGCCAGGATGGTGACTTACGGTATTAGAGCATCCTCGGTTTCGGAACGGCTCTTTTTTCGCTCCTCGCGGTCGTCATGGTACATACGGAAGAGAATATTGATGTACGTAGCTGCACTACCACTCTCTTGGTTGAGAAGATTTGGCGGTTGCTTCATGAAACCTTGCTTCCACAACTTGAGCCTCAGGTCCTTGGCCCCATTGAACTTCTTGGCAAATTGATAACTTTTCTTTAGCAGTGCCATCAGCCGCAGTAGCTCCTTACTAGGGATTTGAGAATAAACAGCGTCATTAGAAAATAGCTCATTCACGGTCTCAATCATTAATATCTGAAGGACGCAATTAATGATGATACGGTTGAAAAATCGTCGCCGTGCAGCAGTGACGACGGTGGGAGGTTGCTGTAAATCAGGCTGAGGGCGGTAATCTTCAAGCTCGGATGAGGCTGCTGGGAGCTGCCCTTGCTGGGAATCCTCACTATCCTCACTTGGCCGTGCTGATTCTTGTCCCCTATCTGGTTTAGCCGAAGGGGACCCGGGATCAGCATGAGAAGTGGCTTCTTCAATGTTTCTGCGTTCTGATGGAATACCAGGGACGGCTGTCGCAGCAGTAAATAGTTCATAAGCAGTGGTCCTTTCAAATAACTCCACGAATGCCCCAACTATTTTCTCCCAGTGCTCTGGGGTAAATTTATTAACATTTTGCAATATTAGTTGTTGGAGGCAATTGCTTCCAATCCTGGCTATGGTATCATTCTCTTGGCATATGCATAACGTTAGAAGCCCTAGGAATCTATCCAACATATATTCCAGGGAGTCAAAATAATGCGTGAACAGGGTGATCATGTTTCGTAGGGCTTGGATCATGGTGGTTGATAACCAAACTGACAATTCCTCGTGGTTTGGAACCTTCGACATTTCGGACTTGGATTGCAAGACGACAAAGATAGGATAGAGTAGCTGGCGCCATAACACATCCCAGAATGCCGGCGGAAAATCTCCACCATACCTGATAAGCGTTTCAAAAAGGTACGTGAGAGCTCTGTTACACTGTTAGCTACGTAGCATTATGAAGGAAAGCAAAATTAAAATACCTCGATCGAACCTCAAGGTCATCACCAGTCATAAGGACGTCTTGGAATGCGATTAAAAGCGGATACCAGAACTGTTCCTCGGGAGATTGGCCGATGGGCGCCTGTACAATAACCTCACCCTGGGAGGAGCCAGAGTTTGTGCGGCGGTGGGAGAGCGGACATTCTGGCGTCTTTAGCATTTTGGGAATTGTAGACTTGAGTGTCTCGATTGCCTGGAGGGATTTCTTTTGAAATTTAAGGTTCTTTGAAAATTCAGTAAGGCAAACCACCAAATCAGCGAAAGCCCCCTGAGAGACAACAACGCCAAAACGGGTTTTGTAAATTTGCGTCACATGCTCGAACGCCATGTTTACAATTCCCTCTATCAAGAAAACTTAGCACAAGATGGAAAGATAGGGTTCATTCGTAGCGAATGGTACTTAACTTACCATATGGTTCTGATGCTGCAACCGAGAACACTCTGAACATTGTTTTCCAGCCTGAGCGAATGTTATCCCCACGGGCCTGGATCATCTGTATCAGGCATCGAAGAACCATGTCTTTGACGTTTACAGCAGTGCTATTGGCCATGACATGTTCAAAAGGTTTCAAAAAATCTTTTTGGAATTTAAAGCCAGGGAGCTCCTCGATCTCCATAAACCGCATTGACAGCTGCCTTAGAGAGTCAAGGGCGAAAAACACAACAGCCGTATTAGCATTACATCCAACATGGTTGAAATGTTCACCGAGAACTTCCCAGATTTTGCTCCATTCAATTCGAACTCGGGTCATGTTGTAGTAGCTTATCTCCACTAATTTTTGAAGACTGTATGTTCGAGGAGATTCGCTCTGGCCAGAGGATTGGATCTCCTGCCAGCTTACAGCATTAAGTGCACGAACGAAATCAACAAGGGCCTCCTGCTTGAGATTAGCGGTATTTGTAAATATCATATCCACACCCCTGACCATTTCAGCCGAACGACTCTCAATAGCAACATCGCGTCGGAAAGATGCTAGCCCATTACCAGAGCGCGGGCGGGGCTTCTTTGGCACTTGAAGTGACTTTTGAGATCGTGAGTCAGTGGGTGGCGTTGCTCGGGATACATCAGGCAACGAGCCTTCATCCACGCCGTCTGTAAGAAGCTGGAAACGATCGAGTTGGCTGATGCATGTTAAGATCTCCCTCCAGGAGCTCTGCAGGTGGTCACCTTCTGTAATGGCGACATCTAACAGGACTTTAAGGGCCTCCACATTCTTCGCGGCCATTTCGCGCAAGTTGCCCAAATTTGTGAACTTGGCTAGGGCGGTAACAAAAGCAACCCTTGGGGTCTCGAGGTCGAACATGCACGATATACGAATAGCTAATCTTATTCCATCCATACACAAGCGAATAGTTTCTCGATTTTGGGTATCTTGGACTTGTGCTGAAAGGCCGGAGAGGAATGACATCCAAGTCACGTTGAACATGGACCCAACATGTCGTACTGACGTGGCAGGGATAAAGCGAGATAATGCTTCCTTCATGGCTGATTTCCGCTGTGCTCGAATTAGGCTTCTATATAACTGCTCGGTCTTGCTAGATATTTCCTCCGACGCTTGTGAGTACTTTTCTCCTTGGATGTCTCTGCCCACAGTCGCCAATGCCTGACCGGCCCTAGACGCGAGCCCTGGCTGGGGAGCAGGTAAATGGCCCAAGTTTGCAGCATTCTCACGTTCAGTTCGAAGAACAATCTCATTATTCAAAATCTCATCATAGATGCCACTGAGATACTCAACTGGCAAATCAGCGTTGTCGTTGATCCCCTTGTTGTTCTTAATAAAATCATCTTTGGTCATACGGCGGCCTTTCATTTTAGTGCTATGCAGATCTGTATTCAGGAGGATTACCGAATAAGCGAGAACATAAGCTGCATCCGCGGAGGCGAATGCGTTGGGGTTTTGGGTCACATATCGCTGAGCAAACTTGAGCATAAACCGATCAATTTTTTGGGATTCTCCAGGTAACCTAAAACTTTGCAGAAAATCCCGAAGAGCATCTGGGAACCGGCGTTTAGTGAAATCCATGCAATCAACAAAAGCGTGCATAACGGCAATGTTTTCGGCATCGCCCTCCCCAAGATACTCCCCAAGGGTTGCCTTATCTAGTCGGTCATTTCTGAAGATAAAGTGAGCAATATCCGTTGGCGAATCGGACGGGATAAATCCTTCAGAGAGCAGGATCTTCATTCCACGCTTAGGTTTGAAGTTGAACGTCCGAATCGCGTTCGTTAATGCAATTTTCCGTTGCTTAACCTTTTCAATCTCATTAGGGTCATCCTCGGGCACTGGGGAAGATGCGCCTGTATCGGGGTCTGCGCTTTCGACGCGGGGTGACGGAATAGTAGCACCTTGGCTAGTGTCCATAGAGTCTCTAGAGACATCGACTGAGCTACGCGACATCAGGCCCCGGCCTAAAGGTTTTGTCTCGCTGTTTTGTGAAGACCATATGTCAAGCGAGCGAAGGATCTCTACAAGACATTCAAGGGCATTTTGTTTCATGGCGTACTCCGGGGGGAAATTTTGGTTATTAGTAGGCGGAGTGGGTTGGTCAATCTTAGCAATGGTGAGAGAAGGAGGGAGGGTGCCACGGTTATGCCAGTCATTGGGAGTAGAGGGGTTTTTAGAGTGTTGTTGCTCATATTGCTGTTGCTGGGATACAGTAACAGTAACAGGCATACTTGACATGCGAGAAAGTTGCTCAATGATTCTGTTTTTACAAAGTTAGCAAGAGTCGTTATACAGTAGGTTTCGACTTTACTCAAAGCCACCGACATACCCTTGAAACAAATTCTCCAGTGCCGTACGGTCACAGTCATAATTAAGATATATCTCAACCAAAGCCCTCGGGTCGCCAGAGAGTCGTTCTAAAATATGCATGAAGCTTTGTTTCTGGAATATCGGAGAATTACGCTTCTCAAGAATGGCTAGGTATATTTCCTTGAAGAAAACCTCCAGTTCTTTCTGCAGCTAGGGTTCAGCAAGCCTGGATAAAAGGAAAAGGGAAATAATATGAGTTCTAACCTTCAACATCACCCTCATGTGCTTTAGCATCAGCCAGAATATTTCACAGCAGACGTCAAAGACACGGGGGACAGAGCTAGCACCATTCCTGCTCAGGCTGAGACAAAGGTGCGGCTTTATGGCCTGTAACAGGGTCATGCTTTCATCGGTGTTTGAACCATGCCTAATAGTTGCGATGGGCGATGTGAATACAGCAATATGGTTATTTAAAAGATGCTGCATTAGATGTAGAGAGAGTAGTTTGGATCTCATATTTTGAGCCTTAAGATCCTGCTGCTGCTCATGGGTGAGTACTTTATGGCTCAATTTGCATAAAGCCCTGAAAACCAAGAATGCATCTTTGATGTATATTTCATCTTCTTCATCGGCAGCTGGATCAAGATCCTCACCAGGCCTCGATGTTTTTCTTACCACTTTGGCCCTTGTGACCATGGTTGGCGCACTGTCATTAACCATTGTTTCATCCTTGTTGGTTTCAAAGCTCTGCAGTGTCAGTTTCTCCGTTGGCTCTTTGGCGACCGGTTGGTCTGTCACGGTTGAAGATCCGATATCAGAACTCCCTTCGACCTCGTGGACGGCGCTGTCGTCAGAAGGGTTAGCGGGCAAATCACCTGTGGAGCCATTGCGGTTTTCACGGGTCTCGGCCTCCTGGATGCGAACTTCCTTAAGATCTAGCCTGGTACGCACACGGTCATAGACAGTGCCTATCATCTGTGTCAACGAGCCCTGTGCTATCTGCTGGTTCTGGGCAGACTTGGAGTAGATGAAGATGTTATATATTTGTCGAACGGCCTTCAGCAAGCCAGCTCCGTGCACGACAATCTTATCATTGAGCACAGCCGCCAGCAGTGACTTAATGATTTGTTGCTGAATCTCTATGGCAGTATGCTCGTTCTCGAAGCAGTCACATATCGTCTCGATTGCGCGCTCAATTAGCGGAGGTTGGTCTGCGGACTCGTTTCCATCCGGAACAGAGGGGAAGGCAAAGTAAGAGTAGGTGATCAACTTGCCGATACAGTCCAAGGCGGTGACCTGTAGCGGAATGCTGTCGGTCTTGCTAGCCAGCTGCAAGGGCAAGAAGATCGATTCGGGGTCGATGGGCTGCTGTTCGGACTGCTTGATGTTGGTCTGGGCCTGCTTGACGGCCTCATCCAGCTCCTTGCTCTTCCGAGCTTCCTTTGAGGATGCAATAGCGTCCAAGGCCGTGATAACGAACACGGCTGAGCTGAGGGGAGTAGACCGCGGTTGGCCTGACTGTGTTGCCGTTGTGGACCGCGAGTCGGACCGCGCCCTCGATTGCTCTATTACGACTGCAGGAGCCTGATCTGAACCTCTTTCCTTGGCATTGTCCTCTCCTTCGCCAGCATCGGCATCCCGGACATCTGTCTCTGTAGCGTCATCATCTTGTTCTTCCTCGTCCTCCGGCTCCGGCTGAGTAGCTCCGTCCTCGACCGTATCCTCCCGTAGCTCCGAGTCTGCTACTGCTGATTCTTCTTCTTCTGCTACTGTGGTGGTATCTGGCTCAGCATGAGTATCTGTCTGCTGAGCCTCGAGGAAATGTGCATCGGAATCGGCCATTGAGGGAGAGGATGCCTAAATGGCAGGATATATATATATCCTAACAGACAAGGGCCTGGTCCGCACTAGACGACGCTGAGAACCATAAGCGCAAGGAACGACAAACGAGTGAGAGACTTGAGGCGAAGGCAGCGTCAACGCAGGTTCCGGGGATCGCAGGGAAAAGCTGCTTGTAGGTCGCTTTTTTATGTAGTTCGTTGAATGCTTTTCTTCTATATTATTTCCCATCTGGCCTTTCTCAGGCTGTCTTCCCCCATATATTACCTAAGCATGTTTATGTCAGTACTTAGTCATATTTTCTGCTTAGTCATTTATACACTCTATGACTTTGTCCCTCACCGTAGCCACTAGTCCAGATGCATCCATCATTACTAAGCTATCGGCCGTGTTTGGTGGGAAAAGCCACGTGACCGTGTCCCCCGAACCAAAAAAGATCCGCCCTGGGAAAGCTCAACAAAATCATCAAGTTTCATGAGAGGAAGAAGATAAATCAGCAAAACGACATCCGCACAACCATCGCCCGTCAGCCTCTTGCCCCCTCTCCTGGGTCTCCCGTCAGTCTTTGTCTTGCGGATTCAATTGCCCTTTGATTTCTTCCCTAATCACAGATATCAACAATGGCCTCTACTGCCGTTCTATCGCGGCGGTTGCTATTCTCCAAAACCGCAAAGCATGGACTTAGGGAGTCGCGGAATGTGCTTCGTCTTTCAGATGCGCTCAGGTATGATTGTCAATGGAGTGTGGGAGCTCTGTCTCTGTTGATTCCGACTGACATTGTCCTCTCTAGGTCCCAAGTGCCGGCCTACGCCTCGCTGGCTAGATACTATGCTTCCAAATGTACGTCTAACGGCTTTCATTATTGACAGCGAGATGGATAATCGTTAACTGTGAAATAGCTTACCCTCCTCACACCATCATCAGCATGCCTGCCTTGTCGCCTACCATGACTGCTGGAAACATTGGAGCTTGGAATAAGAAGGCTGGCGACACCCTCTCCCCGGGAGACGTACTAGTGGAAATTGAAACCGACAAGGCCCAGATGGACTTTGAGTTCCAGGAGGAGGGTGTTTTGGCAAAGATCTTGAAGGATGCTGGTGAGAAAGATGTTGCTGTTGGTAACGTAAGTCTAGAGAAACAACACCTATATATATACGGGATATATGCTAATTTGATGATGGGGATAGCCAATTGCCGTCATGGTCGAAGAAGGCGAAGATATCACCCCATTCGAATCATTCAGCCTTGAGGATGCTGGCGGTGATAAGACTCCTGCTGCTGATAAGTCGCCCAAGGACGCCCCCAAGTCGGAGGAGGCTGAGGCCAAGTCCGCCCCGTCTCCAGCCGTGGAAGAGAACAAGCCAGATGCCCAGGAAGCAGACACAACTGGCGAGAGACTGCAGCCCAGTATCGACAGAGAGCCACTAGTTAGCCCGGCTGCCAAGGCTCTCGCTCTGGAAAAGGGTGTTGCTATCAAAGACGTCAAGGGAACCGGCCCTGCTGGCCGTGTCACTAAGGAGGATGTCGAGAAACACCAGCCAGCCGCTGGCGCCGTCGGTGCCGCTGGTCCAGCATACGAAGACGTCCCGGCCTCTTCAATGCGCAAGGTCATCGCCAACAGACTTGCTCAGTCCGTCCGCGAGAACCCACATTACTTCGTCTCCTCCACCCTATCCGTCACCCGACTTCTCAAGCTTCGCCAGGCTTTGAACGAATCCGCTGACGGCCGGTACAAACTCTCTGTAAACGACTTCCTCATCAAGGCCTGCGCTGTCGCCCTCAAGCGGGTTCCTACCGTTAACTCCCGATGGATTGAGCAAAACGGCCAAGTGATGATCCGCGAGCATAAGACCGTCGACATCAGTGTTGCCGTTGCCACCCCAACCGGCCTCATCACTCCCATCGTGAAGGGCGTCGAGGGACTCGGACTGTCCAACATCTCCAGCCAGGTCAAGGATCTTGGCAAGCGTGCAAAGGAGAATAAGCTCAAGCCTGAGGAATACAATGGCGGCACTTTTACTATTAGCAACATGGGTATGAACCCTGCTATTGAGCGCTTCACCGCCGTTATCAACCCTCCCCAGTCCGCCATCCTCGCTGTGGGTACTACCCGCAAGGTGGCTGTTCGCTCCGAGCTTGAAGAAGGCACGGAAGTCGAGTGGGACGACCAGATCGTGGTCACCGGAAGCTTCGACCACAAGGTCATCGATGGCGCCGTTGGAGGCGAATTCATGCGCGAGCTCAAGAGAGTCGTCGAGAACCCTCTCGAGCTCCTCCTCTAAACCAATATCGACTCCCCAACCCTACCTTATCACTCTCCACCACTCCAGAAATCCCTTCCCTCTTCCGCTCGAACTGATTTCCAATTAGACTTGACCTTGTATTTCATATAGCAGATTTACGGCTCAGAAAGGGAATCCACCACATGAGCACCGTTTAAAATAGTGTATTAAAACATGTACTTCCCCTACCCGCTGTTTTTTTCCTTCGACATGTTCTATCTTACTCTATCACGTCCCTTTTCTCAAGAATCTTTTTTCTATTTCCCTCTCTCATGTGTTATATACTCGTCCTTTTAAGCGAATATTCCATGGTGGATCTCTCCTTTTTATGTCTATCAGTCCTAATTGTATACAAATTCGTTTCATCAGTAGGCTGCTCCGGATCTGTGCCATATTGATAGACCAGCCTACCATCATCCCCTTGGCAAGCGACCAGAGAAAGCCTCCCACTACGACTCTATCCTTCTATACCCTTCTTACCAGCCCCCTATAATACCAGATCCCTACATATATCAAGCACCACATGTGAAAATTTGCCTCTTTTTTTTGTGCCTTGGAAGTTCGATCTTGCTACTATGACGTAATAGCGGCATCTAGAAGCAAAAGCTCTTTCTTCCCCCCATCAAGAGTTATAGTATAAAAAGAGTACATCTTGCTTCAGCTCTTCTCTTGCTTTTTATCTTCTCTCTCCCTCAGCTGTGATACATAGATAACTCTCTGTATTATAGCATCCTCTCACAATCGGAGACTACAAGTGATAATTGTCAGTCGATCCTTACCAGCCATCATGTCGTACGCTCAAGCCGCTGCTCAAAACGCCAACCAGAGCCCACAGGAAGTGAGTATCATTTCCACTTATTATACCTAGTATGACCACACTGCTAACTGAATACACTCAATTGTAGGCGTAAGTAGAAGATTATCTATAGCCGGACATGAGAGAAAACTAACCAGCGCTCTCGGTAGACGAGCTCCTCAGCCTCCCAAGGTGAAGAGAGAGGACAACAGCACCTCTTCCCTCGTGGATGTCGACTCTCCACATGTCTCCACTGTCCCATCGGACTTTGACTCGCAGGAGATAAAGACCAAGACTCAAGCTGCGCGAATCGAGCTCGAGAAGGAACAAGAAGAACTAAAGAAGAAGTATAAAGAAGGCAAAGAGAAAGCGAAAGAGACGGCTAAGGATGTCAGTGAGCGTGCTCAAGAGGCTGCCGCAGGAGGCTACGACAAGTTCGACCGCAACAAGTCCAACCCCGTCGTTATTGGAAACATGGTTCTTCTCACAGCCGCCAGTGCCGGTCTGGCGTACGGCGCTTACCAGAAGCATCTCCGTGGAGCCTTGACTTGGGAATTGATTGCCGCGTGGACCGGTGGCATCGGTGCTCTAGGTCTCTTTGACTACTATGTCAGCAGGTGTGTACCTTTTTTTCTTTCAATCTTTTTTGTTCTTTCCTTGGGCCGGCCAACTAACGTTGGTGGAAACAGGTGGTTCTTCCAAAACAAATACCCCCCAAAATAAACGCTCAAAGCAGGTGGAGTTAGTAGTTACGCTTTAGTGTGTTTCTCTTATTCATTGGGTCTGCGTATTTTTTTCTTTCGACTATGCTAGGTTTTGCTTCTTTGCCAATGAATGGTGGACAGCTGATGAATTAATGTATGTACAGTAGTTAGAAGAAGTCTCAAGCTTCTTGTCCATGCTAAAATATTTTGCCCATGTCAGTTAAAGCTGTCAAGGCTGAGATTTAAACTCATACCGTTCAGAAGATATTGTGTTCCCACACTTCCATCAGAGAATACCCCAAAGATATTGAAAAAATTTCCTCTTTGCTTATTTGCAGCTCTCCAGTGTTGAAGGAAACCTTCATCCACGAGAAACACAACAGAAGGGGCCATACCATACTAACTCCAATAAAAATAATAATATACGGTCAGGCTGCTGTTCCTGGAATGCGGACTAACACCCGGTAGATCAACACACTGCGTGATCTACGTAATACCATAACGAGGTCCGCGAAATGACCTGCAACATATACCAAAGTCAGGTGGCACATTTAGGAAACGGAACTAGCCCGAGTCCAAATCCACCAGAGGTGCATTTAGGCCAAACAATCAGCTGTGTAAAGTGCAAAGAACAGAGACGAAGGGTATGAGAATTACGACCCTCGATGTTGTCATAAACTTGTTGTATTTCCAGAATTATGCTGGCATCCAAGATATTCCAAGGAGGCGAATGCTGCTTTGGCCGTTATTTGTCGCTGCCAACATTGGGTTATAATTTCACCACATAGGATGTCTCTCACATCAGGGAATTGTTTGCTCATGTATAACTTTTCAACCTCGTCACTAGGTGTATCCTTATAAGGATACACTCCGGTCATAATAAAGTAAATCAAAGACCCAAGGCTGAAGATATCGTCCTCAACGGTGGGAGGAATACCCCAGTCCATGACTGGCCATCTAAATCTCGTTCCAGCAGCAGCAGTTGGCTCCGCACCAGAGACAGATACGCCGCCGAAATCCGATATTTTTAGGTCCAAGTTATCATCCAGTAGGAAATTCCTAGGAGAAATATCGCAGTGGAGTATATCGTGGGAATGAAGGAGATCTACTCCTTCTGCGGCCTGTTTACCCCATCGAAGACGAAGCGCATCAGATATCTTCCCCTGGTTTTGGTGCATATATTCCTTCAGGTTGCCCCGAGGCATGTACTCCATCCTGATGCAACACGTCTTAGGGTCCCAGCTTAATAGTTTCGGTATACATGGCTGGTCACCAAGCATCTCATAGACCTGAGCTTCAAGGCGCATGTTCCCACAATGTTCCCGAAAGGAACGAGGATCCGGGTCTGGTATTGGCGTTTTAATCACTTCTCCAGAGGGAGGGCGTTCGATATATGCTGTGCCGCCAATACCTATGAGTACCCCCTTGGACACATAGATATTATCCGCCTTTGTATCTGTCGGTGGTTTGAAATAGTCGTCTGGAAGATCTGGATTCAGTTCTCGTTCCCATAAGCCAGGGATAATAAAAATTGTTGTTTCTAGGTTGACCATGGCTGCCAGACCAGCGCAGACCTTCGATATCAATCTTCTCTAAGGCTTCAACCGGCTATTAAGCAGAAATTGGAAGAAGAGATTGGTTGGTAGATTGAAAGTTGATCTCGAATAAGAATACGTTATTCGCTCCCATCATCTCCTTGGGTCGTAGTTCAGGGGAGGGTCACGTGTTTTCTATTTTTTCAACATCAGAAGGAGTGGGTTATAAAGAGGTATTGCAGGTACTTTGTATGACTCAGATTAAATACACCAATATGAATCGACGGTACTATGTAATAGATGCGGAAGGAATTTCTGTGACGGCCACTTTCAGAGTCCGTTTCTAATAGCGACGTGTATACTTTCTTTGGAAATCTAACACGTATAAGAGGGTATCATTAATCAGGGCGCATTCATGCAAACGACTGAGATTATATGGAGATTTCATGGCCCCATACAAATCAAGGTGAAAGAATCAGCACCCTCTCATACAAATCCATGCCTGAAGATGCCCGTGCAAAGCAACTGGAAATAATTCCACAATACCCTACAGGGTGTGCTCTACTAGCCAATCCCGAAGAGTATGAATCTCAGCGCGGATAAGTTCATTGTCATATCGAGTCATCGTTCAGATCGTACTAATTACAAACGAAACCTCACGTCATATACCAAAACTAATTCATGGCTTCATATTTAGCAATTTCTTCCACATTGCCACCCATGAGTCGTGCATTCTCCGAAATCAGCAGTCTTCTTGCAAGACAAACCAGTGGCTCCCTCAGCCCCGCAGTCATATTTGGCAATTAAAAGTGCGTTTAAAAAGCTATCACGGTGGCTAGAGGCGGTTAAATGGCACACCCCGTCGGTACAGGAGTAGTAGCATCTTCCATCTTTATCGGTAGCGGTAGAGCAGGCGGTGTCACAAGCATTGACAGTGGCGAAGAAGGCCAATGCAAATATAACGATTGATTTGACCATCGTGACTATGAAGGATATTATTCCATTATTAGTTCATGTAGAGAAATGCCTGTCCAGCTGTACGCTATAGGAATCAAGGGTTTGGCGCGCAGTAGATCAAGTGGGAGGGCTATCAATGGTTACCATACCGGTAGGCTGGGCGGGTAATCTGCTTATTGATGTTATTGAGAGGAAGTTTGAGAAGGACTTGGGTATTCTGAAGTCTCGTCGAAGCTTGAAGATGAATAAGGGGAAGACGCAGCCCTTTTATAGACAAACATGTACAGCAAGGCGGGAGCGCATACAAGCCACTTCTCTGATCGACAAGGGAAGTATATGTATGTACAAAGCTATGGCATTTAGTATCAGCCATTCTTTCACTTGGCTATACATAGTTGATCCTCTTTCGGCAAGATTGGCAAAAGAGAGCGTACTTTCGTGATACCCTTCGCCAGCCACCAGCCGCCATCGGCCATCCAACCCACAATTATAGACTGAAGATTATCCATGATGTTTAAGTTGAGAGGTCATCTAAGAGATTCAGCCATTGGCATTTGTACATATATCCCACGGAGTTGGGTTCTTAATGAAGCTAGCGGGCATTGTATCTATGAATGAAGGCTAGTAGAATTATTCGCCTCTAGAGACCTCCTGGGGATTGACTCGCTGGGTTAATTCAGTGAGAAGAAAGAGCTATTAGCTTGTTCGTGAAGCAATGTTATGCTTTGGAAGGTAGCTTAATTCTGGTACCTCAACCTTCTAGGAGGACAAATGAGAATTTCGCCATGCATCAGGTGTTTTTATGGGACGGAATCTAGTTACCTCGTAAATGTTAAACACAGAGGTTAGTTATTGAAATCTCGGGTGTAATTAAAGATCTCTCGGCTCCATCATTTCCAACGTTAGCGAAATATACATGCCTCTTCTGAAAAAGCCTCCTTAATCAAACATATACTACTAAGCCTTGTACAGATTTTTCTGCTTTTTTCTGATGAGCCTGCATCACCGCTGTCTCGAGAAGGACCGTATACCGATCGTTTGAGAAGATAAGATATCCCCAACTGTCACGTATCTATCATGCTGGAAACCCCTGGGGAAAATAACATCAATAGTTGGTCATGGCCGCCATTTCAGTCCAGTTTTGAGCGGCTTCTCCATATATTTCTCTGTTTTCGTATCATCGAAGGAGCTCTCTGTGTTGTCGACAATCGAGCTGATACTTGGAGGCTCAAAGTGAAGCCAAGAAAACGTTGGGGAAGCGCGCCTAAAACTGTGTATTTACCGCTAAACCTGGAATAACGCGATCTTGTTGGTCAGTTTCTGTCGTTCGGTCAGTAATATTGAACCAGGTTTGCGGAACATATCCAGGCAGAAATACAAACAAAGGGAGTTTGAGAAATTTATATCAAATACATCTCAGTGGCAGTTATGATACATTAACTACTACGAAGCCAGCACTGGTATCTAGACACACCACTCGACCAAGGATACGGCTTCGTTTATACCATCACTATGTGTGTCCCACGCCATGTTGCCCAGTCGGCTTCTCAGCTCTTCCTGCTAGACAAAGAATCGTTTCAATATAAGGCTTTTCTTGCCATGGCAGATGTGCCTCATCCTGACAGGGCTATTCTAGGTGCATTCATCAACAATGCGGCTGATCCTGAAGAAGCTGCTCGGTTTCTTCTCCGTACAACCTCTGTGGAGGACGGCCCCGAACAACCCTCTCAAAAGGCCGTGTTGCAGTTCTTATCTGACTGGAAAGCTCTCATCAATAAATGTAAGTGTGCATAACGTTCTCGATAAGTTTAAGCATTTTTTAACTCTAGGTTTAGTTCGACCAATACCAGCAACTTCTCTCTCCAGTGAGGTGAAGAAGTTAATTTATGATCGAGATGGAGGACAGTGCTGCCTCACCCAGACTCCTTTCAAGACATACTTGGATGAAGGGTTAGAATACGCCCATATAGTTCCACCAAGTGTGTTTACAAGTCCAGACTTGTCAGAAGGGGTGCGTATTCCATTACCGTCTTGATGAGCAAGCTAACAGACGTGCCAGACCCCTCTGTTTGAAATGTTGAGCTGCTTTTTACCCACGGAACAATTGGATGCCCTTCGCTTTGGAGACAGCAGGAAGCTAGATAAACTTGACAACGTCTGGCTACTGGCTGCACCAGCGTGGAATGCTTTTCGGAAAGGAGAGGCTTACCTTTACATACAGAGTTGGGATAAGAAATCAGACCCTAGTCTAAAGCAGGCTGTGAGTATAATCTACGCGATAATTCGGAGAAAGAAGCTAAATTTCCAAAGTATGGCACCTTTGACGGTAGCTATGTACCTCTACACCGCGGTAGCTTTACATTCCATAGGAGCACTATTCAAATTGAAAACAGAACACCCCAATCAACTCCAATTCCTAATAAAGATTTTCTTGCCATTCACACATATTTCTCGAAGCCATTGGCGTGGATGGAAGCACAAGATTATATGCGCACGTCACTTAACAGCGTTTCAAGTGAGTAAAAAGGTCCTCCATTATGTACCATTTCTAATTCGAAGTAGGAAGAGCACCATCTACTACCTCTTCAACTTCACCTTTGTTCTCAGTCTTCCGGAGACTTTGGACATTCCTCCCGTCTTTCTTTCGAACATCCGTCTACGATATTTTAGCCCGGATTGGTTTACGAATGTACGGCCCTTCGCTTTCTATGACCGTATATAAATTGCCCTTTGGCTTGTACCTTCGCAGAGGATCGCCATACTTTGCACCAAAATACCATGTTGAAGCACACACTCTACAGATGGTAGAACAATTAACTCAAATTCCGGCACCAAGGGCAATTGATGTCGTGGCAACCCCTCAGCGTTCATATTTGCTCATGACCTGTGTTCCGGGGCGCCCCATCGGTCAATTAATGAATACAATGACCGACGAACAAGTGGAGCAAGTTGTAACAGACTTGAAAGGATATATTTCTGAACTTCGGAGGATACCCAGGAATATATCATCGGAATATAGTATCTGCAATTCCCAGGGCGGCGGTTTCTTAGATTGGCGAATTCCCGATAGTCAGCGTGAAGAGTTACGGTTCAGGTCTGAAGCTGACTTCAACAAGTACTTAACTGATCCTTTTTGGGAAGAAATTCGAACTCGTGCCGCCAAATCGCATGATATCCCTCATGATATCGTTTTTACCCATGGTGACCTCAACCCAAGGAATATATTAGCAGAGAATGGCAGAATTACGGGTATTGTTGACTGGGAGAATGCAGGATGGTTCCCGGAATACTGGGAATACACGAAGATGCACTACACTGTTCGAAGCTTACAACGGTGGCTTGTTGATATTGTTGATGGCGTATTTTCAGGCTATCGGGAAGAGTTGTGGGTGGAAAATATGCTTTCGGATCTTTTGGGCCCATTCTAATTTCCTTAAAGCCCTTACATTTGGAACATACATAAACCTAGGGACACAATATATCTTATTGGCCACCATAGAGTACTTGAAATATATATATCTTCTACCACTGCCACTAGGTACTTACCAGGTATAAGGATATATATCTTACCCTAAGGAATAACCCTAATCCCTAAGGTGCAGCGATATTTTAGAGAGAGAGAGAGAGAGTATTGGTCTTTGGGCTACGGTATAGAATAGAGTGTATGCTCTATAATGTAAGGGGCTTTACTAATTAGGTTAGGCCCATAAAAGGGTGGCAATTAATTTGCAAACGGTGGCATTTCAGTAATTAGGCATTTAATTAAAATATCATAAGAGTGCCCATTCGCTACATAACGAGCTACCGCAGATTCTCAAAAACGTCCAATACTCTAGTCTCCGGAGTTTTCAACCTTCGCAGGGCGAGAACCGTACTCCACGTGGGGTTTGAGGTCGCTAGCACGCACCAGCAGGTCGTCTTCAATGCCAGGTACACCTTTATCGAGAGCAATTATGCCATTATTCTCCAGAGCAATGATAGCATCTTTGACCCAGATGCGGCAATCAAACTGCTCGCCAGTGTTAGGGGAAGGATGAGGCCCAGCCGCGACCCCGTTCAAGATATCTTTGCAGGTTTGCCAGTTGCTATCGTTGACGGCGCCGATTTTACGAGCTAACACAAGGCTCAGAGAGTACGGAACATTGTTGGAAGGCCTTTGGTCAAGCATCCAGCCGCCTTCGCGGTTTGTCGCATGCCAGAGGTGGCCAAGTGGGGTGTTCGTAGGAATGAAGATTCCCCAGTGGAAGCCGGGGTTAGCACCGCGACTGCTAAGAATCACATAGATCGAGTAGTTTTCGTACTGCCTTGCGATCTCTTCGCGAGACATGGATCGGGAGGCCATGTTGTCGTGACGTAGGGAAGAAAAGTTCTTGGGTCGATAGTCTGATAATATTTAATGTCAAAGGAGTATTCGCAGAAGAAGCAGATGCCCAAGAAATATATTACCGGTCTCTCTTGATTCGGATGGATAAAAACGTTCAAGAATTTGATGATGAAGTGTCGGAGTGAAAAGAAACAAACAAGGTCCAGAGGCAGGAGGCCATTTTATAACTCGAGAATTCCGTTGGAAGGACCAGGTTACTAAATGGTGTGATACGCCGCAAGAGGCTTTCCATCCTAGCATTCAAGGGAAGGAGAAGATGAGGGGGTAAGCTTGAAAAGGCCAATGGGAGCGGTATTATGTAGGGTGACTAGGCAGCAACTGAGAAGAGGCTCTTCCATCCTGGCTCTTGCGTCCAGCCCCCATGAGAGACGACGAAGGGTCAGAACTCGAAATGGCCAATGGTGGTTGGTGTTATGCAAGGTGACTAGGCTGCAATCGATCTCAGACTGCACTGCACATGTATTAACCCGTTCATCTGGCAGAACCAACAGATTCATGCCGTTTCCTTCCAGTCAAAAGCCAGTTCTATGAGTAGAAAGACAAAGCACTGATTGATACATATCAGATCAAAATTACTACAGACATAAGCGAGGCTGGATGTCATCCCTTCTCCGTGACTGGTGGATGGTCAATCCTGGTATATCTTCTGCTGGGTATTAATTTGCTATATCCGTAGTTAGTTATAATAGTAACTCTTCAACTGGTGATATCTAGAATTCCTTGTTTTCTCCCTTGTACATATAGAGGACATGTGTACGTAGGTCAACGAGCGTAGAACATGGATGGCGAGAAGCGACGTTTCATATAAGCACTCGCCCCTCAGTTTAGCGCCAGCTGATTTGTAAACATAAAACGGATAATCCCGCAGGTTTGTCAGGCCATTTGTTTCTTTTCCCTCTTTTTTTCGCTAACTAGCCGCTGGCTGGTGTATCAAACTGGGGACAGACTGGGTGGTGTGAGAGATGTTCTTGTTGTGGAGCCGCCTTTTGAAATTTTTGTTCCTCCAGGTGACGAGGACGGCAGTTAAGTTAAATGGTTAGTGAGCAAGGAAGCCAAAAAGGGTCGTCTCAGGTGTTTAAAGCTTCTAGATTTCCCCCAGAAGAACGCAAAACTCAAAAGACGAAGTTGCTCTCTTTATCTTCGTGTCTGGCAAAGCAAGCTCTGAGAGTTGAAATCATATATAAGAGAGTCTGGCCTTTCTTGTGTGTTTGTTGATAGTTTAAAGCGCGGACGTCGTCGGTCGAGGAAGTTCAAGTCAACGTATAGAAGGGCCAAAGATGGCATCCGGGGAGTCAGGCCGTCGTCAGTCGGTCTATAAGATATTCGGTGAGCCGGTGAGTTGTTTCAATGTCTCTTTTGCTGTATCGTGTCGTCTCTCTGTCTCTGCCTGCTCTTGTCACTTGCCCACCACCGTTGCTATTTGTCTGGTTTGATACCTGCAAAGAAAGCCCACTTCGTTCTCTCCGCTGTAACCTCGATTGCCCATGACACGGAGCTTGCCATCGCCCCTCTATCTTCGCCTCTCCCTCTCCCCCTCCCTCTCTGCCTCTCTTTCTCTGCACTTCAACGTCTTCTTCCTTTCGACCGTTGAAAAGCACGCTGCGGATTTCCTAATCGGGCAACCCCTGGCGAGCACATGACTTCACGGGATGGCCCGACGTGGACTCTGCTTTTTCCGAGATTCTCCGACGTCAGAAAAGGCGAAGAGGAAAATAAGATGGAGGAAAGCTGTTGCAAATATCATGATATGACGGTATATATAGTCAAGCCACTATTCCCCAGCACGCAAACATGCAAAAGACGGAGCTGGCATGGTATAAAATGGGGGGTGGCCCCTTTCTTACGTCTCTACACACCCGGAGGGAGACAAGAGATACATGCAAAGAAAGGAGAATACCCTCACTCTGGACGACTAAGCGAATGAACAAGCTACCTGTTTTGTGAATGAAGCAGCCTTAAAGGGAGCTTATATGAAGCCTGTTGTTCTATACCATTCCCTCATCTACATCTTCCTATTCTGCCTTTGATACTGTCTACACAGGATACTGCTTGGCTGTGCATTTTGTTCCAAAGAGAGCCCCCTGAATAATGACACCCCCTTCCGATAAATCCTATACATACTATCCGTGCCCTACAGAGTCTCCTGCTATGTATGGCGGATCTCGTACTCTGGAGCGGACAGCTAACAGCCAGCAGAACGATGATGCAAAGATATGTGTAGTTATGGTTGGGCTTCCAGCCCGGGGGAAGAGTCTCATCGCAGGCAAAGGTATTGTCTACCCTCCTCCCCCTCCCCCCTCCTTTTTTTTAAAATAAATAAAAAAAAAATACCCGACTAACTAGGTTAACAGCTCTACGTTATCTTTCATGGATCGGGATTCCAGCAAAGATCTTTAATGTTGGGCAGTATCGCCGGCAGGACACGCCCCAACCTACGGCTGCATTCTTCGACACATCTAATCCGGATGGCGAAAGGCTACGCCGGGCTGCGGCAGAAGCTGCAGTGACAGACATGCTTCGCTGGTTCTCAACTACAGGAGGACAGGTGGCAATACTTGACGCAACCAATTCTACCAAGGCTCGCCGCAAGTGGATCCGCGACGTGTGCCAGGCGGCTGGGATCGAGCCGCTCTTCGTTGAATCGAAATGCGACGACCGAGAACTCATCATGAACAATATTCGCGAAGTGAAAACCACCTCTCCAGACTACATCGGACAGGACCCAGAAATCGCCGCACAGGACTTTATGGAGCGGATCAACAACTATGAAAAAGTATACCAGACCATAGAGGAAGATGAGGATGTGTCCTACATCCAGCTCATCAATGTAGGGACGTCCGTTGTCATCAACAATATTAAAGACTATCTGTCTAGCAGATTGGTTTACTACACCATCAACCTTCACATCAAACCTCGATCAATCTGGCTATCTCGGGTGAGTTTTCTTCACCGATATATTTAACATGGCTTACCCTTTGTTAACAACAGACTAACAATTGATAACAGCACGGAGAGTCTGAGTTTAATCTCTCGGGACAGATAGGTGGTGACGCTAACCTGTCCAGTCGAGGCGAGTTGTATGCGCGAGCTTTACCTTCCCTCCTCAAGGAGTCTGGAGTCCCGCCTGGCACTAAGATAGTTATCTGGACCTCAACGCTTAAACGCACGATCCAGACAGCTCGTTTCCTGCAGGCAGAAACAGGCTATGACAAGCTCGAGTGGAAGGCCCTTGACGAGCTCGACTCTGGCGTTTGTGATGGCCTGACCTACGAGGAAATCGCCGAACGGTACCCAGAGGACTTCAAAGCCCGCGACGACGATAAATACAACTACCGCTATCGAGGCGGTGAATCATACCGTGATGTTGTCATCCGTCTGGAGCCAATCATTATGGAGCTCGAACGAAGTGAAAACGTGCTCATAGTCACGCACCAGGCCGTTCTGCGATGCATATACTCATATTTCCTGAACATGTCGCAGGAACAGAGCCCCTGGATGGAAGTTCCCCTTCATACGCTGATCAAGCTTACCCCTCGAGCCTATGGGACCGAGGAGAAGAGATTCAAAGCCAACATCCCCGCCGTATCGACGTGGCGTGGGAAAGGCTCGTCCGCAAAACACCAGGAGCCGCAGTGTCCTCCGCCTGTAGCTAAATAGGTTCTCTCTTGCGCTCTCTCCTCTTTTACTCGGTTCTGTTCTTGATTTCTAAACTCTTCTGTGCAATGAAATAGAGGTATTATACGAAATGGCGTCAGATTGGAGGCGAAAGGGTCTAGGAACTCGGGGAGCATGGGGCATCTTGATCTCGAACGGGGTGGAATAGATGGCCCCTTTATTCATGGGATATTAAAAAAGAAAGAATGTTATATATCTTCTTATCTGCCTCTCTCCCTTTATGTTAACTATTTGATACAACATATATCTACCTTAGAATGGACGCACCAGCCTTTCACCTAGCCTTTTATACTCTATTAAACAAATACATCAATGTCCCTTTTAACGGCTTTTTGTATTGATCGACGTTTAGTTAATTACTGACTAAGCTTGCTGGTCCAATCAAAGTCAGATGACAAGCTGCAGCATGACATCTTGAAGGTCGAGCGAAGCTTCCAGGGCGAGAGTGAGCAAGCAAGCAAGAGAACGAGACACAACCCACCCACCAGGCCTCATGGACATAGCAGCGTGGTCCAAGAGCGTCGGTGATAGCATCGATCGATCTTCTCCCTTCCAGCCATGCTGACTGCATTCACAGCTCGACCCCTCGTCGAGTTTCGGCCTCGCGACAAGTCAAAGATAGAATCCATCCTGACATACGGAGACAGGTTGCTGGTCGGACTGAATACAGGGTCGCTACGAATATACAGGGTTAATGAAGTGAATGATGACGAAGAGGAAGCCCGGACTGGCGATGACGCGGACGTGCAGGACGGCAGCGGTGGTGGAGGTGGTGCAGTACAGCCAACTACCACGACCAAACCGACAGATCTACTACGAGAGCTAGAGAAGTTCTCACGGTACAAGATCGAGCAGCTAGCGATAATCAAGGAGGCGAATATTCTACTCTCCCTGTCAAATGGCCATGTGTCGATACATGATTTGCAGTCCTACGAGCTGCACGAGCAGTTGACTCGCACAAAGGGAGCTACCACCTTTGCCGTCACCTCGAACATCGAGAAGGATCAGGACACTGGAGTCCCTTCGATTGTGTCTCGACTTGCCGTTGCGGTGAAGAGGAAGCTTATGCTCTGGACATGGCAAGATATGGAGCTTGAAGACGATGCTACGGAGATCACCCTCGTGAGCGGTATAAAGACGATAACTTGGGCAAACGGTACCAAGCTACTAGCCGGGCTTAGCTCCAGTTACGTCCTTGTTGACGTTGTGAGTAAAGAGGTCACGGATATCGTGGGGCCTGGAAGCATTGGAGGAGCCGGGGGTTCGGATACAGGGCGTCTGGGGGGAGTAGGTGCCGGTATGAGCTACATTGGTATGGGCGGATCAACGCCCAAACCGCTTGCTACGAGATTATGTGAAGGCCAGATGCTACTTGCAAAGGATGTCAATACCCACTTCATCGACACGGATGGAAACGCCCTAAAGCGTCGTCAGATTCCTTGGACCGTAGCTCCTGAAGCTGTTGGGTACTCATACCCTTACCTATTGGCACTTCAGGATGCATCCAAGGGTATACTGGAGGTGCGAAATCCGGAAACATTGTCTCTTCTTCAATCGGTGTCCCTCCCATCGGCTACCATGATTCACATTCCACAGCCAAACATCAGCCTTGCACATGCAGGAAAGGGTTTCCTTGTGGGTAGCGGGCGTGCCATCTGGAGGATGAGTGCTCTCGATTATGACTCTCAAATAGATGGTTTGGTTGACCAAGGCCACCTCGATGAAGCAATAAGCCTTCTTGGGATGCTCGAAGACGCCCTTCTAAATGACAAGGAAGGTAGATTGCGGGAGATCAAGCTACGCAAGGCCCAGGCGTTATTCAGTAAGCAAAAATATCGCAAATCGCTGGACCTATTCACAGAGGTTTCCGCGCCTCCAGAAATTGTCATCCGTTTGTTCCCTAAACTTATTGCTGGTGAGCTATCCTCTATTGAAGAAGATACGTCACAGGAAAACTCAGAAGGTTCGGAGGAAAACCCTTTGCAACCAGAAAATGGCACCAGCATCAACAGTACCGAACCAACAACGCCGGACGACAAGCCAAAGGTCAAGAATGGAACCTACGCACCCTCTGTAACCTCGTTTCTAAGAGGAAGACCAGATGATTCTAGTGAAACGGGGAGCATGCGTGGTAAACCAGCAGATATGAAAGAGCCTGACAAGCGACTTGGTATGTATTCTAACCCGTTTTCTCTTCGAAATAGGATATGGCACTAACTCTCATGGCTAGAAGGGAAGGATTTGAAGGCGGCCGTTTACGAACTTCAAGGGTTCTTAGCTGATATTCGCCGGAGGCTTTCTAGATTTATTAGCCCCGACGGCACACTTAAAGGGCCCTCAATCAATGTTGATAAATCAGATGAAGCTACCCAATCTATGCTGAAAACCCTAGGTATTTCTTCAGAAGACCTAGAAAACGTTGATATGGGCCAGAAGCTACGTGAAACAGCTACTTTGGTAGACACTACTCTATTCAGAGCACTCATGTTCGCGACTCCAACGTTAGCTGGCTCGCTATTCCGCATCGACAACTTCTGTGATCCTGAAGTAGTGATGGAGAAACTAGAACAGACCGCTCGTTACGGTGACCTGATTGACTTCTTGTTTGGCAAACGACTTCATCGATCTGCCCTAGAGCAACTCAAGAAGTTTGGACAAAAGGATGCCGGAGAGGAAATCTCGGCTGACTTACAAGGGCCTAAACGCACAGTTGCCTATTTGCAAAACTTACCTCCGGATATGATCGACTTGATCCTGGAATTCGCTGAATGGCCGTTACGAAGTGACCCTGAGCTGGGAATGGAGGTCTTTCTCGCGGATACGGAGAATGCAGAGACCTTACCGCGTGAGCGGGTTCTGGGGTTCCTTAACGGCATCGATGCGAAGCTTGCGATTAAGTATTCAGAACACGTCATTAACGAACTTAATGACCTGACGCCAGATATACATTTCCGGCTGTTGACATTGTACCTCGAACGGATATTGGAGAGCAAGCAGTCAAAAGACGTTTTCTCGAGCGAGGAAGAGCGGGAGGAGTGCAAGAGCAAGCTTCTGAAGGTGCTGGAGACGAGCGAGCAGTATTCGCCTGCGAAAATGCTAGACCGACTCCCAAGGGACGGTGAGTTAATCTATGTTCTTTTACTTTGAATTATTTGTGCAGACAGCAACTAAGAAGTATCGAACGACTAGATCCAGAGTTCTTTGAGCCAAGAGCAGTCACATTGAGCAAGATGGGACAACACAGACAAGCACTGGAGATATACGTATTCAAGCTGAATAATGCCGCAAAAGCCGAGGAGTAAGTAACTAGGCAAATGGATGACGAACTTTATTTATATTGAATTTAATACTGACGGCTTTTGGGTTGAAAGGTACTGCAATCGAGTCCATTTGTATGATGATACATATACCAAACAACGCGCAACCCCGTACGGAAGTTCTCCCACACCTGAGGACGAGGAGAACCGTCCATCTATTTACCACACGCTTCTTTCCTTGTACTTGTCACCACCGCATGGCCAAGAACCACGATATGGCCCTGCGATCGAGATCCTCGCACGACACGGCTCCCGATTGCCAGCCAGCTCAACTCTAAGCCTTATCCCCAGTACATTACCAATCCATGACCTAGAGTTCTACTTCCGCAGTCGAATCCGTGCAGCAAACTCTATTCTAAACCAAGGACGCATTATTTCCTCATTGCATAAAATTCAAAGTATGGAAACAGAGGCTTCTCTGCGACTAGGTGATGAGGTGGGCGGCAACAACAAGGGCAGAAACCGGTTTATCACCGTTAGCGAGGATCGGGTATGTAGTCATTGTCATAAGCGGTTGGGTGGGAGTGTTATCAGCGTGTTTCCAAAGTAAGTTTATCTCCCCTAACCGTTTAAAATCCGTATAAACGCCGGTTGCTAACAACGTTACCATAGCAATATGGTCGTTCATCTGGGCTGCGCCAATAGGTTGAGCTCTGCAGCATGACAAGTGGTATAGAAGTGTGATTCCAGCCCACTCGGCATATGGTATCTCGGTAGCGTCGTTTATTCCTCCCATCTCTCTTGTATATATCACATTGTTATTGGATACCCCTGCCCGCGTCATAGTAAACATAATAACAAAGCTATCTGTACGCTGTCCGAAATGGACACATCATTCATCTTCGTCATTGACCACTTCTTCGCCATAATTATCTTCTTCCTTTTTGTCATCCGTTGTACCGCTTCCTTGCTCGCGCAGCTTATCGTCCTCCATTTTCTCGGTAAGAAAGGCGTTCACATCGGCCTGCAGGGAGACGATAGAGGTCCGAAGCTCTGCTAAATATGCTGTTCTTTCTGCAAGGCTATATTCGCCAAATGGAGGTATAGAGGCGGAGAGCCGTTGTGAGAAGAGGTGTGCGGGCGGTGCGGTCGTCTCTTCAGATGTGCGGGGGGACTGATAAACGGCCTTGAGAACGACTTGCTTCTCCGGTCTCGAGTTGGACTGCGATGCCATGATATATAGACAGCGAGTATATCTTTCTAGTAATTTGAAAGTTTCTCCTTATTTTCTCTCCTGTGTTTTACGTCGATTAAATGTTCAACAGTTTATGAAAAAAGAACCAACGCGGTTAATATCACGTGATTTTACCGCCAAGCCCTCCCTGAAAAGGAAATATGTTTCTCTCCTTCAACTTCGACTTCAGCTTCGACTTGATATTGAATGTATACAGTGTTTTCCCTTTATATAAGATGAAGAAATGCAGGAAAACATGTGCTTAGTTTATATGAATTATAATATAGTAATGGCTAACCTCATACGGAGTACATGTAGCAAAAAAGACGATACTTTGGCCTTATCGAGATCCTCGTTATGTGGAGGCTGAGTTCCCTCTGGCACAGCCTCAGCCTCAGGGAGGCCGCATAACGCTACATGCAGGGAGATTAAGACTGTTATATTACAGGGATGTCTGTGTTTGTGCAGGGGGAGAGCCTCGCTGCCTTAAAATCCCCCGGGCGTCATCCTTCTGCCATCTTATCTCATCGATTTCTTTTACCTTAGGGCTGTGACGTTGGAAAGGGTAACTAATGTGTCCAGTCATTCAGTTGCCCTTGTCCCTATTACTAGACTAATCCCAGCTGGGAGAATTACAGCAGGCCGCCTAGGTCCGTCCCGGCGGGACGCCCATCAAACGATCCAATGGATCCAGCATCAGCTTTTGGCACCGTAACTGGTGCCATGCAAACAGTGCAGATTATTGGCAGCACCGTTCAAGGCCTGCGAGCCTTGCAGGGCAAATATGCCGATGCGGATATGACCATTCACTCGCTTATTGTCCAAGCTGCCACGATCAAGTCAGCCATCACACAGCTTCAAGAATGGGCAACTTATAATTCTAGTAGGGCCGAGCATCCTGACTATCTAGATGGGTTGGATATCGCCATAGATGGCTGCAAGACAAGCATGGAATGCCTCTTTGCGCAGGTCTCAAAAGTAACGAGCGTACTTGATGGCAGAGAGATGCCTGACCTGCGTGTCACTGCGAGGATGCGAGCTGTTTGGAACGATCATCTGATGCGGGACTATCAGCAGCGGCTCCAGTCCCAAGTCCTAGCATTGAATTTTCTGTTGCAAGTTTGCCAATGGTGCGTCTGAAGACACTATCTCGTTATATTTATTTTGAAATACAAACAAACCTAGGATATTGACATGAACACCTTCCTAGTCGCACAGTTACAGAGCAAGTTGAGCTACTACGGAGGGAAGAGAATAGACGGCTACTGAAAAAAGTTGCCGACGATACCGAGACGCTGCGAAGTTCAGTTAGGCAACTAGGTAACTCATCTACTCGAAGTATTACCCAGTCGACAATCAGTGAGACTACTTTAGATGTCGATGATATAATTGTGAATGCAGCCGCGTATAGGAGGGCTCTGGCACATAACCGTGCCATATTAAACCGTGCTTCCGCAGAGGAATCAATTCCCCCCGCAACAAATCAGCCCCAAAGCCCAATGTCCACAACTACCGACGAGGGCTATGCAAGCGGTACCGTTCGGTCCCAATCATTTAGGGGAAGTAACACTCTTTCGTATCCAAGTACGTTTCTTGAGCCAATGGACAACAATACACCGGAAACATTACAGCCACAGGGACAGGGGGATATCGGGAGAAGTGCTTCGCTGGCTGTATCACAAACTTCAGCGAACCCTACACAACCTATAATTCGAAGATGGCAATCAAACCCTATACCGCTTCACAAGTCAGGCTCAAAGAGGGAAAAGTTTCGCAAAGTTCTTGGAAGATTAGATACTTCAAGTCGACGAAGCTTGAAAAAAACATCACCACTGCTAGGTCCGCAATCATTTAATTCGTTCTCTCCGATACCAGAGCAAGAAACGGCCCCAAGAGTTAACCGAAGCCGTTCGAATACCAGTATCGACATCTCATCACCAGATAGTGCCACTATTCCTCCCATTATAAAGGCTGCACAAGCTGGGTCACTGGTACAGGTCGAAATGCAAATCGGTGGAGGAGCCGATATCAATTGTTACCATGAACTCACTGGAAGAACGGCGTTAGCTGTTGCCGCACATTGTGGTAAGGAGGAAGTGGTAGATTACTTACTACAGAAAGGGGCAAAATTTGATACGCAGGGAATAGACGGCTCAACACCTCTCCATTTGGCAGCATCTAGAGGGCATACCGGCGCTATTCAAGTTCTTCTATCGGTAGTCGAGAACATTGACGTAAAGGATTCCCTGGGTCGAACCCCATTCTGGGTAGCTGCTGAAGGCGGCCATATTGACTCGACAAGGATGCTCCTTGGGGCAGGATGCAAGATAACGGCTCGAGCCAAAGGGCAAATGACTGCCTTACACAAGGCTGCAATCCGAGGTGACGGGGAAATGGCAGCATTCCTTCTTCAATCTGGAGCTGATATTGAAGCCAAGGATGCTAATATGAAGTCGGCTTTTCACCATGCGTGCGAGAATTGTCAATATACCCTCTGTCGCTCTCTATTTCAATACAAAGCGGACATTGAGGCCGTCGAAATCAATAGAAGAACACCACTAATTTGTGCAGCAATCGCTGGCGATGTGCGCACGGTGGAGTTTTTAATTGGGAAGAAAGCCTCCATACTGGCCACGGATGAAAGTGGCATGAATGCTCTGCATGCAGCGGCGGCTAACGGCCATGTCGAAGTCGTTCAGCTTCTATTGGAAAAGAAAGTTTCCATAAAGTCAACGAATAAACTAGGAATGACACCTCTACACCTTGCAGTCATGTCTAGACAGTTTGCGGTGGTAGAATTTCTCCTCCGTAAAGGGGCGCCTACTGAGCTCAAGAGTTCAGGAGGGTTCACTCCGCTTCATTATGCCTGCGATCTGGTAGATATTGAAATTTTTCAGCATCTTATCGGTTGTGGGGCATGCGTCGAGGCGCAGGGGGAAGGACAGCAACGACCCATTCACATTGCGGTAGCTCGAAACTCCCTAGAATTGGTCGAATTGCTCTGCCAAAAGGGAGCAGTGGTTGATTCCGCAGATTCGTCTGGTACTCGGGCCCTCTGCATTGCCTGTCGCAATGGCAATGCCTCAATAGTTGAGCGCCTGTTAGAACAAGGTGCAGCTACGTTCTGTCCAACTTCCTGGAATGGCACGCGAGAGGAGCACTCTCCACTGGCTATAGCATCCAGAACGGGTGATGCGCAGATAGTAACCATTCTTCTTGATAAAGGTGCCTCTGTGGAGCAGTACGATGGAATGGGCTGGAACCCTCTCTTGTATGCAGCGCACCACGGACATGCAGAAGTTTTGCAGTTGCTACTCTTAAAGAGTAGTATACTCACGAAGATTAAGCTAGGACAAATGTTTTCACAGACTGGGTTTCACCCTCAACTTCCCATCCAACCAGAAAGAGCCCAGATGATCCAAAGGCTTGTATTTGAGAACCCACAGCCTACGTTACATAGCCATCACATCAGAGGATCTCGTATGACAGAGAACGTTAGCACCTCCAGTGGTGATAACAGACATACCCTACCAGTGATGCAGGCGTTCTATCACAATCCTCCCTCCACAGCAACCCCACCAATACCATCATTTCCGCAGGCTGTTACTGAGCTTCCTGCGTTACCACGCATTATGCTCCCTCGCAGCGAGTTCAGCGAGTCGGATGAGTTGAGTAGTCAAGGCATACAGCAGCGTCAGGCCACCCCAGAGATATCTGCTCGCCCTGGTTTATTCGAAGCCCCGCAGAATACTGCTATGGAGAGTGATGATGGGTCGACTAGGACTCAAACCCCTACAGAAGATAATTTATCAGCCACCACCCATCCAGACAACCAAGATAATAGTAACACACGATCTTATGCCAACCCGGGGGATATAGGAGCCACTCTACTAAGCCAAACAAGTACGCCACTCTCAATATTTGAGCACCCTCAACCGACTTCTACGTCGCATGACCTGCCACTACGGCATCGAAACCATCAGTTGGCTGAAATCTCTCCCTGTAACTCCTTATATGGAAACGCACCCACTACTACAGTGTCAAATGCCCCAAGGCAACCTGCAGAAGAGCAGATACTAAACAATCGGGAGAACAACAGAGAAGACCTAGACAATGACGACTCCGATAGTGATTCTGCTGCGTCAGTGTACACTGCACCAGAAGTTCCAACCCCTGAGCTTCCAGAGTTGCCGCATACAGTAATGGAAGCAACCATTTATGAGCTTGATGGAACAAGCATATCCGTGTAGAACGATCCCATTGGTAAGAATCTTGGACAGTATATAACTTGAAGCATTGAGATGAATGGTATAAACATATTTTGGTCGGCTGTTGTATCTTCTTTTGAGTAGTCCATGATATCCCAAATCACTGGATATTCATAGGCATATCTACCATCACATTATCATTGTCGATATATCAAATTGGACTTGTATTTTGACTTGATTTCTTTTTATATGACGAAGGCCAAGTGAAGAGCCGCTTATATAAGCATATATCAGTCTTGAACGACGAAAGAAGAAGAATCAATGAAATAACAAGGAGAAAAAGAGAAAAGATGGAGTGAAAAAAGCGGAAAAGTCGAAAGATGAGCTTCTCGGATATGAGACTGCGATCCTCCAGGTTGCCCAAGCTGACGATGCTCCAGCGGTCCTACTGAAACATCCCCCTCAAGACGAAGAGAATACAAACCACTAGGAGACGACCACCTGGAGGGCGGAAGTCGGACAGAAGACGGACAGCATCATGAAGCCAGTGAGCTCTCCTCAGCGCCAACAGGACCGCCCTGCTCCTCTGCCGCCGACTCCCTCCTCGGAGACACAGGCGCGACGTGCCAGCTCGTCCAGCAGCGGTGCCTCTTCCACAACCTCGAACCAGACAACCCTCAACGTCTCAAAGCGATCTCTCTATGGCCTGAACCACCAGCCGCCGCAGCAGTCTACCTCTGCCGGCCAGCCGTCTCATTCCCCCTCGACGGGTGCCGGCAGCGTCAATGGCAGCAACACCTCGCTGTCTGGTGCGCTGCGGCCCCAAAACGAGCCTGTCCAGCGGCGGGCATCGCCTCTGGCCCCATCAGCATCGTCTGACACTCGAGGTTTCCGTTCACGCCACCATTCTCAGGGCTTCTTTGAGCCATCTCTGCCCACAGCCTCTCAGAACTCGGCCGTCTCTGCCTCGAGAATCGCTGCCCAGGCCGCGATGCAGCACCAGACCGAGCAGCAGCAGCAGCAGCAGCACATACGAAACAGATCGCAGACAATACCACCGCAACAGGAGAGTGGGATCGCGGCACGGAGAGGTGCCAGGGAGTCGCCTCCTCCGATACAGGTAAACGCCCTCAGACCTCAGATGTCTGTGCCTGGCCAGCTGAACTATCAGAACGGCTCGGTTGGAGGTCGCGCAGCGGCAGCTACAACTGCTGCGAATGTCGCCTTTCCCAGAACTCCCACGCCCCAGAGTGTCCTGCCAACGATGTCCACCACCATAACTGGAGGAGTGACTGACCGCGCTGAGCCTGGCCAGAAGCAGAAGAGTGAAAAGTCCAAGATGAAGCTGTTCTCCAAGCCAAAACATATTGGCATGTCTAGAGATAAAGAAGACAAAAAGGACAAGACCATGCCATCACCAAGCAAACTAGCCTCTAGGATAGTTAATGCGTCGACGGCCAGTCTGAATGACGGCGGCGGCGGCGGCGGCAATAACAATAATAACAACAATAACAATCTATCGACAAACAATCTATCTCTTTACTCTCTGGCAAACTCCTCCGCTACTACTGTTGTGCCTATTGAGCGCCATTCTCTAGATGAAGACAGAGGCAAAGAAAAGGAGAAACACAGACATCACTTTCTCTCACGGCAGAAGCTTAAGCTAAAGGACAAGGACGACCACTTCCACCTCCCTCTATCCTCTGCTAACAGCAACTCACGTCCTCTGGATCCCAGTGCACCTCAGTCTCTCTACTCCTTTGCACCTTCGTCTCCGGCGGTTTCAACCTTTGGAAAATCTATGAGCGGCCTTGACCTGAGACACGGCGGTCGAGCTTTGAGAGAGAAGAAAAAGGAGGAAAAAGCATCTGCTGCCGCCGCCGCCGCTGCTGCTCAACAGGACGCGATGATGCGAGAAGGGGAACACCAGGCGGACTGGTCTGGTGCTGCGTCGGTTACGGGTTCTACGGTGAACTTTGGCGGGCCATCTTCTTCCCTGGGGAGTGCTCAGGGGGGTATCCTGCCGGGCAACAATGCTGCTATCCAGGAGATTCTGCAGGGGTTTGGTCTTCAGAATATGACTCCCGATGACGCCTGGGACTTCCTCAAGGCAAAACTACTCGTCTTGTTTGAAGGCGAGGACGTTCGAATCGCGTTGGAGGACCTCAACAAGCTCGTCAGAGTGCACATACAGTGCTGTGTCCAGAAACACATGCCTCATGAAGTCGTTGAAGACCTTCGTGACCTGCTGCAGACCGGGTTTGCCTCTCTCAACTACTCCATCTTCAAGGTGCCAGAGGAGAATATCATTCCACACCTCGTCAACGTATGGATCTTCGCCTTTGGAACGATCTTGCCCTTCATCCAGGCCACCTTCTTACCGCTTGATCTCGAGTTCAAGGGCCACGGCTCGATCATGAATGTTCGTGAAGCAAAGGAATTCTGGGGAGCCAAACCTGGCTCTGGGGATACCTCTGCCTCCATTGGTGACGAACTCGACGTCCGCAAGATAGTCCTCACCTCGTTCCGCGACAACGTCATCTTAACCCGATACGAAGTCTTGAAAGCGGCCTTCTCCCGTCTTAGCCTAGAGAAGATGAATGCCAATATCAACGGGCCGCCTACTGCGACCTTGCACGGCACCGCAGCCAGTGCCAGTCGGCCAAGCACATCTGCAGGCTACGAAACCGGAGTTGGAAGCTATAACTCACAGCCGCCTCACCTTAACGCCGGCAGCTTCTCTTCTGAGTCCGCAATCGCGTCTCTCTCCCGAGCTCGCGCGATATCCAACACGTCTTCTAACCCGGAACACACTTACCCGTCGTCTTACTCCTCTTACTCTCCATCTCAGCCTTCTATCCTAGCTCAGACCCACCACTCAACTAACCATCCGGCACCACCACAACCACCACCTCTGGATCCATCCCACATCACCGAGACGGCTGGGCGTATGCTTCAGTGTATCTGCGTGCTGGCCAGTGTCCAAAGCGATGACGAGGCGCAGCAAAAGATTGAAGAGCTGAGCAAAGCCCTCAAGCACAACTGGTTAGGCCGTGGCAGAACAGGCCGCAACCGTCGAGGCTTCGTCGGAACCAAGATTCGTCCACCTCCACCCCCTCGTAAGGAAAGCAGCGAGCAAGCTGAGCACTAAGTCCACTGACAAGGCTTTCAGAAGCGCGGACCGGGCCGGTTGGTATATTTACTGGTTTACTTTGCCTTGTGCAGGCTTACTCCCACTGCTTTTCCTTTTTCATGTTTCTTTCTCGTGGCCACGACCGTGACGAAAACGTCGATGCTCCATATCTCTCTGTACTGTATTGCATTGCATTTATCGGGATTTTCTGCTTGATGCGTTGATTTTTCTTTTCTTTTTCTTTTTAAACTCCCTTTTACACGGCTGGCGTGGGTTGTTCCAATTCTTCTCCTGAAGAGACTGAAGAATCGTCCCAGGAAACTTTCTCTTCCGTGTACATATACCCCTTTTTTCCCTCTTACTTGCTACTTTGGTCGGAGCAGGCCTACAAATGAATGAACGAATCGTTTTACTTGACTTTCTTGATTCCAGTACAGAGATATATATCCCGTCTTGCCCCAAAGACTTCATCCGTTCGTCAACATGAGATACATCAACAACCAACTAACCACATCAACAGATCAACACATCAGCCCAGCATATGAGGCCATTTCGAATCAGTCAAGACCTCTAAGAGTTCCATGGGCACCAAACGATGTTGATAGCAGCCGCGCCACGCTCAGCGGCACCGCCCTTCTGACCCCCGTTAGAGCCAGAATAGCACTTGCTGACAATGCTCTTTGCAAGAGTCACGCAAGCAGCCTCGGTCTTGAACACGCCGATGTGTCCAATATGTCCCTCTGCGCCGTTGGCACCCTTCCACGGACGCCAGTTGGTCGTGGTCTGTCTCCAGTTGTTCTTGCAGTATGTTCCGATGGCAGTGTCGAGACGGGCCTTGGTAAGACAGCTTCCGCTGGCCTTGTCGGAGAAACAGCCAGCGCCCATGACGGCGTCGACGAAGATGCTCATGAGAGCAGCGAGGATGAAGGTGGTGAAACGCATGGTGTCTGTCTAGATGCTTCTAATGGTGTCTCTGTTAGGATCAATATAATATATATATATATCAGGCTTTGATGAAGATCTTACATTGCTTTGAAACAGTCTATGGAGAAGATCAGGCTGGTGGATGAAGATATTTCAAGATGATACGAAGCGAAGAGGCAGCTCGTCCTGGCCTTTATATCTTGTTTCTCTCTTATTCCCATCCCTCATGCTGCCTTTGCCTATTTTTCCGTCGACCCAATTTTGAGCTCAACGCTTCTCATCCCACCTCTGTACCACCTGTATACAGTGTATGAAGTGCCCTATACGCTCCTTTCTAGCGAACAGCCAGCCACGGCGCAATGGTAATAAGCCATAGCTTGCTGGACGAGAGTGAGTGGTGGTATTGATTCTACCAGGCATTTTCTCCCCTCTTCCCGTGCGTTTTTGGCTTCAAAATTAAGCAAACGGGCCATCCCGTCGCAGATCACTGAAATATCAGTCAAAGAAGACCAGATGCTATTGGTGGCTTTTCTTTTTCTGCGGACGGCGATTGTCTAGACACAGCTTTGGGCGGAAGGATGTAGCCAGTGACAGGATATGAGGTAGCTAGGCAGTACACTATCTACCAGGAGAGAGGAAGATGACAAAATAAAGAGTCCAGTCTAATTGCTAGTTAGATATAAAAAGGAAAGAAACAGCGACTTGGTCAGCGCGGCGGGATAAACAGCCCCCTATCCAACAGCCCATGGCGCCGCCTCCTTACTCGGTGCCGAGCTCGTATCTTTATTCGTTCACGTATACTGCCTCTCTCTCCGAACCGCTGGATGATATAGGTGAAAATCGCCTCCGAGGGCTCGCCGCCAAGATAAAGAGGTATCAAGCCATGGGTGCGTACGAGCTCTGCTCGATCCGGATTGCACAGCTGCTCAAACAGAGCAGTCATTAGGGCCGAAAAGTCTGCATGGAAGCAGAGGTCGACGAACTGCAGCGAGACGCTCAGGGGTGCTTGGTACGCGAGAACCCTGCAGTTTGTGAAGATGAAGTTGCTCATGCCACTGTGTAGGGCCGAAGACGCTTTGAGCACCGAGTCATCGAACAGGTAGGCAAAACAGGTGAAGTATCTAAGCTGCTTGTACCAGTCCAACTGGTTTTGGAGTAGCAGTTGTTCAAGGCTGTCGCACAGTGTTGAACCTGGGTCGTGTGAGGGATGGCGCTGGAGGTCTCGTAGAACGCGGACGAGGATATGTAGACAGTCCTGGAAGAGGGAGACGGGGAAGAACTGAGAGTCGACGAGGCGGCATCGGCGGACAACAGCGGTCAGGTTAATGTCTATCGTGTATCTACCTAGGGATTGGGCTGTAGCCGGCCGGCGAGGGCAGTCACGCAGATGGGGGATATGGTGTATCACCGTGCTGTAATCGAGAGAGCCTGGGATGCGGGATCCGTCGAGGCATATGTTGAAGCAGACAGTTCTCCCGCGAGGGAACAGCCTGAGGGTCATGCTCACTGCCTGAAGAGTCCAGTTTTTTGTACAGGATGGCTTTGCCTCTGGCCACCCAGACAGAAATCAGGGGTATTATATAGCCCATACTCCAAACCCATTTGACTGACATCCTGTCCTTGCGATCAAAGAAGGGTAGCTGCAACAGTGATATAATTGACACAATGGGATGGTCAAGGCCGGTTGGTTGCAGCACTCAGACAGAGAGCAAACACAACAGAACAAGCCCCCTAGCTGTGCCTTCTAAAAGACCGTTTGTTTGCTATCCATCAAGCATCTGTTTGCTATCACATCCCTACTGTGTGTGATAAGCAACAGAGAAAAAGCAGAACCTATGCAAGCATCCTAGCCGTTGACAGTCCGTAATATCCCAACCTTCCGCTATACGGTCAGCCAGTGAGCTTGTCATCTTCCCCTTTTCTATGAAGGTAACGGGGCGAAAGCAACTTGAAAGTAAACGTTAAGTGGCACAGGGCTACATCTGTCGGTTCTGAACCATTACCAGGTCGTAGTATAACTAGTGGTCAGTATGAGGCACTATCAAGCCAGCCATTCAGTTTCAACGAGACCAAGTCTCCCTGATGAAAAGGCCTATCGCTGTGAATTCACGGATCTTCCATGCCCCGAGGGATCGTATCAGCATGGTTACCTGCAGCGCTTACTATGGAGTTGGAGGATGGTGGCACCATCCTCCTTCAGCAGTGGTGGCATGCGCGGAACGAGCAGCACGGGTAGGCCGCATGATACGACGGTGGCGGCGAAGCTCATCATCGAGGGCGGTGGTGGTATGCCCACGCTCATTGCGGGCCCGACGCTCGACACGCAGCGCCATCAGACGGCGCAAACGACGGTTGACAGGGGATATTTTCCGAATCAAACATGTTGAGGATGGCGAGGGCTAGTCTCTTTGCCTTGCTCCAGCCTAACATTAGATGGTAGTCCAGTTATACACACCAGCTATTATTCCTTGCCCCTTGACATGATGGAGTGCGGCATTATGTGAGCAACCTCAAGAGCTCCAAAGGAGTTTCAAGACTGGGCCAAGAGCTTGTCTTCGCCATTTTTGCAGTCAGTACCATCTCTCTTGTACCTTGTCTCCGCTTCATGCAAATCGAACAAGGGTGTGATCACACAGTGGCAGTGATCATGGGCCGCCAGGCAGTCTCGTCGAGGGTAGATAATCTTGGTTGAGTCTCCACTACGGCCGGGGACGCGGCAGAGACGGCTGCTGGAGCAGTCTGCGGCATCTTCGTTCCGTCTGCCTTCACTATTCATATTAGACCTGATGGAGTATTAAATAAGAACTATGGGAACATGCAGATAGAACTAACAGGAAGGGATAGAATGGACAAAGAAAGAGAAAGAAAAGGAATGCATACACGTTAAAAGTAAGGAACCATCAGGCACCAGAGGCAAGACATGGGCCTAGAAGCGCTGAGATAACGTCGCTAGCCAGGCAGCAAACGATCCAGCAGGGACTTCGAGATCCCCTTCTCAAGGGCTAGTTCTTTAGTTAGGTCTTGAATCTGTTCTTTTAACTCCTTGATCTCGGACTCTAGGGTCCTCCTGATCTCCCTCTGATAGCGTTACTATAGTGAAAATTCTTGTCGTGCCTTTAGTAGCCTGCCTCGTTCATCGGCTATGGGACGGAGCCCCCGCTGAAGTTCTTCATGTAATCGTGCATTTTTAGTAGTAAGGGCCTCCAGAGCTTCCAAAGGCGCCACACCCTTCCTGGGGCGTTTAAGGGCAAACATACATGAAAGAAGTTCTGGAACAAGTGAGCTGCAAACACGGCCACGGCGGCTGGCTCACAGTGCTCGATCAGCCGGTTAAAATTGGGGCTTGCATGATTCGCTTAATCGGAGCTGAGAGGCCGTCGATATCTAAAAGAGCAACCAAAAGCTACAGTTAACTCATCTGGTCAACCAGAATGGAATGAAAAAAACAGCCATACCTGAAGGCCATATATATCATTCTTGTCACAGCTCATCTCTATCAGTTGTGTTAAATACCAGAACCGCGCTCACTAAGTGGGTTACAGGCCTCTTATTCGCGTCCTTGTGGAAGAGTATTGTTCTTTTGTCCTTCGACTATTGTCCCCTTGAAAGTAGTTTATACGGGCATATACTCGTAGCTATAGGATCTGTTTGGGGGAGCTATTTCAATCCCGATGTTTCCCTCGGGTTTAAGATATCACACCGCAGACTTGATGTTGGCTCAGTTTAGGGAGTAGTCAGGGGCTTCTTAAGTGCAACCGTTGGTTATTCATTACATCGCGCTGCTCACGGTGAAGTGAAAATTCCTTGTCATTAGTGCGGCTTAAAAGTAAGTTTGCTACCGTTAATGCTTATGTGGAAGATATAAATAGAACAGACGTTATGTAGATAGCTGGTGAATGATTATTGAAGTGACATGAAATAGGATACCTAGCGGGCATTAACCACAACTAACTAGGGTGAGATGTTCATTCGCTAAAGCCACCCTAACTGGCTCAGACCTTCAAAGTCCCACTTGGGATCCCTACCTTTTCCTCGATGTCTTTGACCACGAGGTTCATTGGCATAACCATCGCACTGCCATCTGCAACATCACCCCCAAACAACAGGCCAATCACTTGACCAGACATGTTCAGCACCCAAGAACCTGAGTCCCCAGGTTTGGCGAAAGGTGCAGGACCGCTTGAAATTTCGAATCCACGGTGATGCAGGCCGGCAGGAAGGCCCGGTATCCGTATCGCAATTGATGTGAGGCCACTTATTGTCCCGACTGTGACACCCGTTGTGCGGCCCTTTTTTATCACGGCAGACTGGGAATTAGGTATTGGATCTATTCTGGTAATAAATTGGGATTCCCGCTGCAAAGTTGGGGCGGACTGTTCAAGGTCTCCAGTGTAATTGAGCGAATCGCGACCATTTCTAATATGAAGGATGGCCCAATCTAGTAAAATAAAGGGAGAAGCAAGCCCAGAATCTAGAGCTGCATTTCTAAACCCTGAAGCCGCGACGATAGCTCCGATGTTTGGATTAAAGGACCTAACCTCACTCAACTGTCGATCCCTGATTGCAAGATCATTTCTCACTATCACTTGCCGAGTCGCTGTCAATGATTCAATACCTTCTGGGGGGATTCCAATCTCTCGGTTAGCGTATTGGAATGCAGCCTGCACATCAGACCCTGATGGAGACTGGCATGGGATCTCGAGATCTTTTGATCCATCTCGCTGGATAACTTGAAGAAAATTAGCGTTGCACCATAAAATAGATTAACAGTTTTGTTGGTAACAGATGAATCTTTTCTTTGCTTAGAAAAAGATATCACTTACCCGAGTCAATTTCGCCATCCGGGCCTTCTCGGATGATATGATAACATGTAACTCCAAGAAACTGTTCGCAGCCGTTTGAATCCGTGAATTGGAGGTAGCCACCCAGTGTCCCTGCCATTGCCGGTGTATCTGTCCGCCCGATGCTCATTCCCATCGAATTGTAGCTGTTTGTAAAAGGCCATCCAAGGCTGGGGCTCTCCGAACTTGAAGAAGTGCGAGAAAATAATCCCCAAAGCAAGTCTGCTCTCACGATTTCAACCTGGAGATTAAATTGATCCATCGCACTATCGATATCAAAAGCCACACGATCTCGCGCAGTTATTGCTAAGGCCCTCGAGGAGATGAACGCTTTGATCACCACGGTGTTGATGGCGACATCCTCCCAGTAACCTCTCTTTTGAAGCACCACCACGCTCCAGTTCACTTCAAGGGCAGTGAGCCGGCGGATGATGAGAGTTTTCATGCCTTCCCATTCTTGGACTAACTGGCTCGAAGTGTCAGGTGCAAAGCTTTTCATGCCCCCTAGGGCTCGGTGGTCAATCATTTCGATTCTACCAGAGAAACCTAGTTGGTCCGCGGCAGAGAGCATGTCATCTAGGGCCTTCACCCAGTTGTCATTAGATGAAGTATAGAGAGAGATGTACAGAGTATTGTCGGCGGGAGTTGGGACATGGCCTCTGGAGTACCGTTGTACTACCATTATACGGTGGTAGTTTAGTTCGTATCTCGCGAGCTGGATAAATGCGAGGTTCATGAGACCCTCTGTGAGCTGTGCAGATATCCCCGTGGAGGGCATCATGTCGACAGGCCAGGAAGGGAGAAGCCCTGGACCTCCCATGCGAAAGTCATCCTGGCTATCAATCCTAGAACCAGCCGAATCCCAGGAGTCTTCCCCTGAAGAACCTCCCTGTCGCCTGCTGCGGATGCTTCGGGTGGGCGGCGGGGTTGGAAACATCTTCAAAGTAGTATATTTCGAGACACGGTGGTAGAGGGTAGATCAAGCGGATGAGGGATATGACAGAGATGAGGTGGTAAGAAGTGGGTTTTAAACAGATTCAAAATGAGTCACGTTGAAATCGTTCGGTGACTGGTTCTTGGGTCCATCCGTTGACCAGATATAAACCTGGAAGGGGACAATTGTTGCTCTACCATCATGTGTTGCGTGTTGTACTAAGTCTATGATGTAAACGATGTATAGAATAAGGTGGATCCCTTCAACTAACTTCTCACCTATGTTATGTATAGTAAAGATGAGGCTGAAGTGTGGAGCCAGAAAAGCTTGGCGGGACAAGTGAAAACTAACTTTGGCTCTAGTCCCAGAATAGTAATCAGTCAGTGACGACAAAAAGGAGGTACCAAAGCCTTCTACGGAGTATAAATATTCTATATCTTCCTCTCAGGTATTTTCCCGATGCTGCCTCTTTAGACATGATTCCTTTGCCCCGTACTACTTCTAACTGAACTGTTTTTCCTTACCTTTAACCTTCACATTCCAAAATTTACTGTTAATATATATAGCTAGTTAACTAGTCACTGCCGCTAATCAGCGCGGGCTCGCCTTTTTGACCGAATGGCAGATTTTGGCATTTACCTACTACCACATCCTGCCCTACAATCTGTGTGTAAGTTTTAGTCACTGCTCATCTTTGATGTGCTAGCTCACATAGATGAACCCCGAATAGCAGTCACTTAACACAATATGGGAAACTCCGTTCGCGCCCATGAAATCGAGACCGTCCTCAAACTGTGTGCTGAAAAACGGCAAAGAAACTACGAGGTTATTACTGGACTAGCCATTCTTTTCGAACAGGACGACACAGGTGCAGCTGAAGAATATGTTCATTTTAAATCTCTATTAAAGACATTCGGAGTAAATGACATTGAGCAATGCGTCATCCTTGCAGGAACTCGCTCCCCAGGACATGTCGTCGCCAGGAATCTTCATATGTACATCTCCGCTGGCATTGACCGTTGTTCTAAAGGAAACTCCAGGCGATACCTCGCAATCGTCCACTACGCGGGGCATGGGTTTTATGATCCAGCGGATGACAATCTTTACTTCACATCCGGGCATAAGGAGCCATATCACTTTTCCTCTGACACTCTTACAAACTGCATCGCCAAGTTTTACGAAGGAACATGGCCTCCGTTTGATGTCGTTTTGTCAAATATAACCAGTCTCTCTGCCACCAATCAGCGCGGGCTCGCCTTTTTGGCCGAATGGCAGATTCTGACACGTTTTTATCATTGACTCCTGTTTTGCAGGAGGAGTGTCATTACGAGGTTCGCTAAAGCAAGGAGAAACGGTGGAGCTGCTAGCTGGTGTGGACGACGAAACTACTGCATTTTCAAGAACTACAGTAGGCCGTCGACGAACCTTTACATCGAAACTGGCGGATCAAGTGGCATTAGCGTCTGCAAGGATGCTATCTATTGATTTCATTGAGCTGCTTCAGCGAACTTATGATGCTTCAGTGGCCAAGAAACCAGTCCATAAGTTCTTAGCTGGCAATATCCCAATCAGGTTGCCGTTTGCCTCAGGTAAAAAGGCGTCTCTTCCTCAATCACCAACCATTCAACTATCTATGATAACTGGAGAATATACCGTCGTGATCGCATGCCACATTGTCGATGATCCGAGTTCGACAGCCGTAAAGCGGCTAGTTAAATCGATTGAGGATATTCACAGCTTAATAGGGGTCACCGTCGACCAAGTATACCGTTGCCGATCTAGCGGCCTTGTTCTTCGAGTGCCCCATAGTATTCTCCTATCACTAGAAACCCTACCCGGAATTAAGGTGATGTTTGAATATGTGGAGAGCTCTGAATCCGAATCACCAGCATCCCCTTCCAGCCTTCCAAAGCACCCGTTCTTGCCACCAGCATCTCCTTCGCTCAGAAATCAAGAGAACATGCCACCAGGAGGGTTGTCTCAACTAAGCCCTGCAAACAAGGAAGAGTTTTGAACCTCATCATTTTAAAAACCTTCTCTCTATTTCCGTTCCTTCCCTCTCCTCTTTTCTTCGGTGTTTGGTGCCTTGGGGTTCACAGGATAAAAATACGTTGGCAACTGTATGATTAAAGGGATAACTAAAAAACTACTACTTGTTTCTTCTGTTTGAACGAATATATAGCGGCAAACCAAAGTAAATTCATTCATAATTAGAAGCTGATGGAGGACATATTTTCCCTCAGCGTTAGGTGGATTGCAGGATCATGGTCTACCCGTAACACAGCATAACTCGGGATATATTCTCCTTTAACAGGATATCAAAAGTTGAGCTTTGGTGTTTCGTGGTTGTTACGTTGAAAAAAGAAAAGCGCGAGGATGATGTCAGCAAGTTGGGCGGTGAAGACGGGCAGAAAGAAGAAAGTTGACAGCTTGCAGGAAGAAGAAGAGCTTCAGACCAGGTATAATCATTTAGTTATTATATGATATCCAGACGATAGGCATCAGTATATGTCTATCTACAACCCATACCTTTGGTGTCTTCATTGTGCGGAGTTGACAATATTCGCTCTCTCGTGTCCACACTTGGCCTTATACGCATGAAATAGATCAGCATGGTACGTCTTCCAAACTCCTTCTGATGATAATTCCCTAGCTAACCACTGTGTTTCAGAATTCTCTTTTTAATGCTGCGCTGAAACAATCAGCTGCGGTCCGCCGCGACCTTGACGCCTTCGCGGAAGCTCCAACCAGCGGCCCTGCGGCTCTACAAGGTACGATATCACCTTGAACACCGGACGTGACTTTTCGATTAATCATAGTGTCATAACAGGACAGATATCGGCATCTCTCACCTCCTTTTCACGGACCATAGACGACTACTCGTCACTGTCCAAGAAGGAGCTCATACCTGCAAAACAAGAGAAAGCCTTTGAGCGGGTAAAGAACTTTAGAACTGAGCTAGCAGACTATAGGTTGCAGTTTGACCGGTTGCGCAAGGAGAGAGAAGAAGCTGTATGTGTACCAACTATTATACTTCAGATGATGTATGTCTTGAGCTGACGGGATGAAATAGCAAGTTACTGCAAACAGAAACGAACTACTCGGCCGTCGGCCCCATCACGCTGCCACGCCTGAGAACCCATACGCCCAATCTAGCCTGCCTGCTCAACCCTCAGCATTTGCCAGCCCGCATCGCCAACATGGACTTAGCTTTGGCACATCACCCTCGGACTACAATCGAGAAACACACGCTCTACGAGAACAGTCTTTTCTGGCCAACACGAACAACCAGATAGATGAGTTCCTCGACAGAGGCCGAGCTGTCTTGGCAGACCTCGGCCAGCAGCGTGAAATGCTAAAGGGGACGCAACGGAGACTGTACAGTGTCGCCAATACTCTGGGCGTGAGCGGCGATACGATACGGATGATCGAGAGGAGGGCTAAACAAGATAAATGGATATTCTGGGCGGGGCTTGCCATCTTCATCTTGTTCTGCTGGGCAGTCCTCCATTTCCTTCGATGATATAGCCCCTTGGCTTTTTTTTTTTCAATCAAATCAACGCCATGGGGTGCGGGCAGGCCTGAAGTGGTGGGATGAATTAATTGGTTACCAGTCCGGTTCGATGCCTGCCCTCGACTATACACCTTCTACATCACTTTTAAGCAGCTAAGCCCCAGGCGAGAATCTGCTACGGGAGCCAAAACCATCTTCCCGCGGGCTAGGCGACAGACTACGCCTCGATCGTGCTATCACTGGACTGAAAGCCATCCTTTGGCTACAACAGCTAATGGTAAAGAGGCAAACCTTTTAGTATTCCTGCCGCGACCAAATCGTGGACTATACAATGCCGATACTTGGATAACACATATAAGCCTGTACCCTTTCGTTATATGAAGAGGCTACTGCCTTTACACAGGAAGACTACTATTCTACTCCATATCTCAGTATTATTCAACTGCCATTAATCTCACGCTCTCCATGAAGAGTCACCTATAGATGTATACATATTTTACTTCTACTCCGCACCAAGGTTTATGTTTCCAAGAGTGGCCATGCCTGTACTCTGCGCCCAACGTGACGGTTGGTCAAGAAGAAAGGGGCAGCAGAACATTATCCTTCCCGTTAATCTAGTTATTCATGACACTGTCAAGGGACAAACATCAAGGACGAGAATAGTTCTTGCATGAGCTGGCCAGGCTGAGGCCAATGAAGCCGAGCGAAGAAACCTGCCGGGCGTCTGTCCCGTTGCAAGACGCTTAAATCCTCGTATTTGACCGGGGCTATGCTGTCTGGTTCACCAATAAGACGCTTCAAGGCCAGCATATCAGAGGGTCCTTTTCGACCAGAAGCAGAGAAACGGTGCGACTTGTCGATGTCGAGTTGATCTTGCAATATAAATACGATGTCTAGCCGCGTTTCGTGCGACATCCTTGCTGATGGAGCTCTCAAATACACACACATATATCTCGACTCCAGCGCCTTTCGAGACAGCTAGCAGCATTGAGTCACTTTGCTAAGGGCTCAGATGAGATGATTACCGATGCCCGGCCATCTGGTTGAATGCCCTTTATATTCTGATGATCCGCCACACGAGATCAGGACGTGAGCTATGGGTGTCGCTGTTCTTATACGCGCTGTGCATCCTCCTGCTGGTCGAGAATAGCACTGCCGCACCAGCCTCGCCAGCCAGGATCGAGCTGGAGCCCCGTGGAATCTTAGGCCCTAACGAGACGGCCGCAGAGGACGATTCCATTCTCTGTGTCTACCCGATAAGCGGACAGTACGGCTTTCTATCGCGACTGTTGTACTACGGCTCCCTCGTCTTTGCCATCGTCGGACGAACCCAGAAATGGCTTGTCCTTGGAGCGTTGGCCTCTGCCCTGGCCTTTGCCGGCTCGACTTCGATCCATATGCTGACGCTCGTCACCTCCAAGGCGCCGGCCTTTGACCTCGACATCCTCGCCGCCTGGTCGATCTTAACTACGGGATGTCTGGCCTTTGCGGCACTGATCCACTGGTCATCATCCGTCCGGAACTCGGACTCTCGAGTAGTGCTGATTCTGTGGGGTGCACTGGTAGGAGTAGGCTGTGTGACGGGAAGGGCGTTGCTGCTGGATGTCAACTCCCAGGCGGAACCAGCCTGCAGGTCCACGAACGGGACGCTGTTGACGACGCAGTCTGAGCTGGGAAGCGGCATGTTTAACTGCACCTACAAGTGTTTCGGGGCCCGGACACCGCTTCGAGCTCCATCCGAGATCACGGTGATGCCGGCAAACGTGTTTGTCGGGACGTATTCCACCCTAACGGTGGCATTGATGGGCCCAATCCTTGCAGCCGCTCACAAGTCCCTCTCGGTGAACTTCTCCGTTCACTCGCCCTCCGATCTATGTGCACACTGGGTCCTGGGCTACCTGAACCATTCCCTAAACTCCCGGCTGTCACAGCACATCTACAACGCCGCCTGCTCGACCTGGTATGGCGGGTACATCCTCTTGCTGCAGTATACGCGCAGAGCGAAGTTCAGGTCATACCTGAGGCGCCGGGTAGCCATCATGGTCATCTGTCCGCTGCTCGTCATCGATCTACTCCTGGACATTCTGACGCCCTTTATCTTCTTCGCAAACATCGTGGTCAACGAGATCAACTTGATGACCAACAGGTTTCCCGTCGAGGAAGGAATTCGTTCAATCGGCCAGTGGTCGCCCATGGTTTCTGCAGCCCTGGTCATCGTGGCCTCCATCGTCAACCAACTGACGAAACGGCACCGGACGTTGAAGGAGAAGAAAAAGGCAGCCCAGTCAACCGATCCTCACTCTGGACTCCCGGTCTGGTCTCGAGCCCAGACATGTGAATCGCAGGCCTCGGTTAGTCCGCTGGTGCGCCATGAATGCCGTCACGGATACCAGATCGATCGGAAATCGGACCATCAGGAGGACGGGGTTGTCGAGAGAGACCTCAGTCGCCAGGAGACCCTGTACACCGAGCTTGAACACTACCCCAAGCAGTCCCCCAGGGCATACATACGGCCCTAGACCTGTATCTACAACACACCGCCCCGTTACCCACTACCTCGTTACCCCAGTTACCTCCTATACATAGTATATACATAATAGTTAAAGCCTAGAACATGAAATGAGTAATATCGACACCCCCTAAACGACCAGCATCTTCCCTGCTGTCTGATGGTTGATATCTAGTGGTTATATGGGGGGGGGTCCGGGTGGTGTTATAACCCGGGTTACTACGTACGTTATGCCAAGCCGCAGTGTAACCGATTATGTAAGCAGTTATAGCTTTATTGCGTATTACCGCCACTCAGGCCTCTTAGCCCAGCTCTGCTCTACTCTGCTCTACTCTCTCTACTCCCCCCCCCTGTACCCCTGTATATTTCGTACATACAATGGGCTAATGCGGCCAAATAAGTGAACAGATAGGTATTTACCTTACTATATACCGCATACCCTATTTCCGACCTTTATATTACCCCCTTTCCTCGTCCAGAATGGACCGTGCAGACGGCAGCATGAGTGCCCTGGACCGGCAGTCCAATATCAACGTTGCCCTGTTCGAGAACCAGGAGCGTACGCTCCTATATACCCAAAAGAACCGGCCTAAGAATACGCAGATCGCGTACAGTGCCCGGCAGGAGGAGTGGAGAGTATATACTTCCCTTTCTTACTACTATCTCCCGTCTCTTATCCCCCCGGCCTGGCTCCCTATCAGGCTGATATATATATATCCTTATATCCCACTGCCGCATGTCTACAGGCTGACTGTACGGTATATCGATCGATTCCAATCCCAATAGGCATGGTGCCAAAGGGTTGGATTTGCGGACGGAGAGATTGTGTCCGAGCCGAAACTAAATATGTTCTTGCAGGAGGAGGTTATGTACAGAGAAATCAGGCCATCTCGATATAAGAAGAGCCGTACGAATATAGAGGGGGAGTCCGTTAAACAGACGCTATCAGAGGCATCGATCAAGGCGTACATTGCCGCTCTGGTGGACCTCTGGGGCGTACAGGTCAGCATGAGGACAAATACCCATGCATCCCCCAGGGGTGCACTGGTAAAGGGCCTGATTCGTACACGCAGACAGCAGGAGTCAAAGAGGAAGAGGGAGCAGTACGAGGACCGTGGCCTCAACTCCCTTCAGGATGGATATACCTCTGCTGAATTCGTACGGCTCATCCGATTCTGCTGGTCCTCTGGGTACAACGTTTCTGGCCAGCTGGAGCCGTTCCTCCGTACGGCGGCCGACCTTCTCCTTGCTCATACCCTTCTCCTCCGTGGTGAGGTACGGCGTAAGGTTCAAATGGCCGACCTCTTTACCCTGACTCTGGATAATGAGGGCCCAACTCCCTGCCATGCCATGGTTGTACTTATAGATAATGGCAAGACGAACCAGGATGGCCGCCGCGAGTACGGCACTGCTGTACGGCATAAGACCCGCCTTCTCTGTACGATGGCCAGTATTGGCTTCTACTTCTTTATGCGCTGGAATATTATGGGGGAGACACCACCCAACTTCCAGCGCCGGGAGCTCTGGTACGACCTTCTTGTCATCAAGGGCCAGAGTAATGTCAAGCCAATTGCGTACGAGACCCAGCTGCAGTGGTCAAACCGTGTGTACAAGGGGATCGGCCTTGGGATAAAGAAGAAGACCCATGCTGGACGGTCCCAGGGGGCCAAGTTTGCTGAGTTGGCAGGAGTAAATGAGGGCCAGATTCGAAGGGCTGGACGGTGGAATTCTGACTCTCTTACAACTTCCTATCTTACTAATATTCCCAGGAAGTTCGTACGTGCAATGGCAGGCTTCCAGCCGGTAGAAACAGGGGCGTACTATCTGCCGCGTACAAAGATTGAGCCGCCTGCATCCCTCAAGCAGGCACTCTGGCCTTGGGTCGATGAGTGGCTGCTCTGGCAGGCCTCGTACACCGGCTCTGGCTCTGAGGACGTACAGCTGCCTCCAGAGTCAGTGAGGTTCGATAGTGGGAAGGTGGACCACGGGGATCTTGCCTCGCAGGGGTTCCTCTATCTGCTTGACTATCTTCGTACAGTCATTCTGCAGGACTCTGTTCTATTTATGCAGGAGTTCCCCGGCCATCCAATATGGAGCCACTCCCTCTTTGCACGGGATGACTACCTCTGCTTCTCCCAGCTTGTACGAGACTCCCTGATAGATGTGGAGGAGCCGCAGGATGTCCAGCTTCGCCGTACGGTTCCTGCCATTGCCACGCGGCTGCAGACCATTGAGCAGTCCATTGTGCAGACTCTTAAGGTATCAGAGGAGCGGAATGTTGGATTCCTACAGACAATTGATAGGAATATCAAGGATATAGTGGACGGTACAGTGTCTTTCACCGTACGAGCCAATGCTCCAGGCTCGCCTCTGTCCGCTGCGGCCACTGCCACCGCCACTGCCGCCTCCACTCCATATGCCACTCCTAGGTGTATGCATGGAGCCATTCCCCATCCTTCCTTGTCCCCTTCCTGCTCCCCTCACCCCCCCTCTTCCTCTGCTGTAGCAGCCGCTCCCCATACTGGCCCCCCGCCCCTTTCTATGGGCTTCTCTCAATCCCGTACGATTGGGACCGTTATGGATCTCTGGCGAGAGTGGGCTGAGGGCCTTGGTGGCCGGCCGTCGGTACGGAGCATGGAGGAGGCATATGGGCCTAGATGGCGCCGCCACCGTCCTGGGGAGAGCATGATGTTCTCCCGCAGGAAGGTAGTGGTTGATGAGATCGTACGGAGGCAGCGCGTACAGAAGAAGAGCCTGTCCGTTGTTATTGAGGAGCTGGAGACAGTACGGGTAAAGCATGGCTTCTCATTAAATACCTTGGTCAAGCACCTCAAGGAGATAAGGAAGCTAGCCTAAGGGAGTCAGTATAGGATATCTAATATAGAATATAGAATATGGATTAGTGTACGCTACTCTGTTCCTTACCGATATATATTTTTAAATAGGATTGGCCTCTGGCCTTGATAGATATACGTAGTAATAAAAAAATACTCTTTTCTTATACTTATACTCTATATATTAAGGTGTTGCTTGTACGTTGTTACTAGAAGAAAGGCTTCCTAATCGGGTTAGGCTGTACACGCTCTCGCTACACGTTGATATCAGCTTTGGCCTCACCTCCTCCCTCTTTTCTCCTTCTCTTCCTTCTCCTCCTTAGCCTATTCCACGTACACGTCCGGTAAGTCATCCCTTTTGGACACTATTCTATCCTCTCTGTACTCGTTTCATCGTCCAGAGCCGAGCTGCAGCCTATCCTGCCATCTAGGCCACGTCTGGGAGTCCTTGTACTGATATCCGGCCTGGGAATATGTGTACAGAATAGAATATCAGGTATGTTATGCCCTCCCCCTCCCCCCTCCCCTCTCCCCCCTCCCCCTTATCTGCCCTCTGCCCTCTGTACGATGCAGCAGGCATAGATATAGAGAGGGAAAGGGGGGAATAAATACTATTTGTACAGCCATAGGCCATAGTATACTAACTAGGTGGGTATAGGATAGATTCCAATCAATTAGTACCCCTATACTCTTTCTCTCCTCTTTTTTTTCCTCTTTTGAGATGTAAGTACGGCCTATTATCTATAATATCCTATCTATCCGTCCATAATATAGCATATATTAGTAAGGATATACTAATAAAAGATGGGATAATAGGCCTTTTAACAACAACACTGCTGGGGACGGGATGTAAGTTATATATCTAGCACCCTCCCCCACCCTACTCCGCCCCTATCCCTATCTAATACTGTACAATGCACGGCACGGGTATACTGACATGGATATAGGGCCCTTGTGCTGTACGACCGCCAGATCGCCCGGATGACGGACACGCCTGGTATCCTCAGGGTCGGTGGCCAGGAGCTTGCCCCGTACGTCCACAATGACTTGGGCCGTGCGGTATTGTCCCTCCCGGGACTCCATGTGCGCTATGTGCCGTACAGCATAGATGCACGGCAAATACTATCGCATCGGGCCTCGTACATTAACGGCCTGCTGGTCCAATCCAGAGGGAGGCCTGAGGTGCATGCCTGTACCGACTGTCGGGGACGTACAGGTCTCAGGCCTTTCACAGAGTGCGTCCGGCTCCCCGGCCACTTCGGCGGAGCATGTGGTAACTGCAAGTGGCGCGATCGTGCCTCCCACTGCTCCGTACGGGACGAGATACAGCAGGCACGTACGGAGGTCATAGTCCTGGACGATGACTCTGGGGATGACCGCCAGGTCATTGACCTAACGGGCGATGGGCCGGTACGACGGCCAAGGGCCAGGATAACTGGAGGAGGAAATGGGTCTTCGGCCAGCAGGGCCATTGTGCTTCTTTAAATGGGTAAGGACATGATTTCATTGATATCTTTGGACTGAGTGACTGCGTTCCATTTGGATTTGGGGCTTTTGCCCTACTGCACCCATCCCAGCCGTACGGGCCCTGTGTACGGCACCCTGGGCATGGCCTGCACCTCTCCGTGGTGCCTGGGACGAGTAGTCGAGCTTCAATGTACGCCCTCAGCCTGCATCTTGCAGTGCAATGATGGATGGGCAGGGAGCATGTACAAGAAGAGCTCGATGAAACTAAGCAGGCCAGGCCTTATATAATGATTACATGTACGTTGATTGATTGGATGAGCTTACTTGTACTAAAATTAACCTGAGGCATAACTTGCTGCTCGCCAAGCGGCCATATAACCCGGTTATATGGGGGGGCGCAGGCGTACGGCAGGCAGTTGTAACCGGGTTATATGGTGGGCAAGTTATAACCTGCGCTAACTTACACCTTCTATACCAACTTTTATATAAGCGCAATAAAAAGACTAAGAAACGCCGAAGTCGCCGGTTGGGCCCGGAGTCACGTGATTTGCCGTCCGAGAGAAGAAAAAAAACATCAACTTCAGCTTTTTTATCAACTTCAACTTCATCTTCGCAAGACAGCAAGACAACCAGCAAGTCACTCTTCACTCTCTCTCTCCCTTTCAAAACCACGGACACCTTTCGTTCAATTTCATTCACCATGTTCGCCGCACGCCGCACCGCCAGTCTCTTCCAGAGACGAGCCTTCTCTGCCACTGCTTCCCAGGTAGGGCGCTCTCCCAACGCTTCCGGGGAGCTTCGGTAGAGCTGTGCTCCTTCGGTGTCAGGTCAATTGCTAACGTATGGCTGCATAAAACAGGCTTCCAAGGTCTCTGTTCTCGGTGCTGCCGGTGGAATTGGTCAACCTCTGTCTCTTCTGATGAAGTTGAACCCTCGTGTCTCTCACCTCGCTCTCTACGACATCCGCGGTGGACCTGGTATGTAGCTCTGAAACAGGTGTCCTTCAGTCATTTGCTGTCGACGATGAACGATTCAATCGGGGACAAACAGGCGTACTGACGACTCAATTGCAGGTGTCGCCGCTGATCTGAGCCACATCAACACCAACAGTGTTGTCACTGGCCACGAGCCCACCCCATCCGGCCTCCACGAGGCTCTCCAGGGATCTGACATTGTTCTCATCCCCGCTGGTGTTCCCCGCAAGCCTGGAATGACCCGTGACGGTATGATATGCTCGATTTCCCTTCCATCAAGGGACGAGAATGGTCGGCTGACCTGATAGCTAGACCTCTTCTCCACCAACGCATCCATTGTCCGTGACTTGGCCAAGGCTGCCGCTGATTCTTGCCCCAACGCCAACATCCTTGTCATCTCTAACCCCGTAAGTACTCACTCTTTGGCTGTAGCGATCGAATTCCCACTCTGATATGGTGCTAGGTCAACTCTACTGTCCCAATTGTTGCCGAGGTGTTCAAGAGCAAGAACGTCTACAACCCCAAGCGTATCTTCGGTGTCACCACCCTTGATGTCCTCCGTGCCTCCCGCTTCGTCTCTGAGATCAAGAAGACCGACCCAGCTGACGAGAAGGTCCCTGTCGTCGGTGGTCACTCCGGTGTCACCATCATCCCACTGATCTCCCAGTCCAACCACCCAGACATTGCAGGCGAGACCCTCGACAACCTCACCAACCGCATCCAGTTCGGTGGTGACGAGGTTGTCAAGGCCAAGGCTGGTGCTGGATCTGCCACCCTCTCCATGGCCCAGGCCGGTGCCCGTTTCGCCGACAGCCTTCTCAAGGCCACCCAGGGCGTCAAGGATGTCATCGAGCCCACTTTCGTCGACAGCCCCATCTACAAGGACCAGGGTATTGAGTTCGTTGCCTCCAACGTCCGCCTCGGCCCCAACGGCGTCGAGGAGATCTTCCCCATCGGCAAGATCTCCGAGTACGAGCAGAAGCTCCTCGATAACTGCCTTGTCGAATTGAAGAAGAACATCCAGAAGGGTATGTTAATATCACATATTCCGAATCTTTATCTAGACCATGGCTAACACAACTTCTTTCCTCCAGGTGTCGACTTCGTCAAGGCCAACCCTTAGATTTTCTCTCGATGAAGTCCCCGTCCAATCGCGTCACTTTAGTATCCTTACCTCCAACCAATGCCCTGTACTATGTTCTCTCATTCTCGATCCTGTCTACGACCTCCCAAGGGTTTCTAATTTATGTGGCGTATTGAACGTTAGCGGTCTGCCAGATCTAAGTTTTTCCAGCTTGTACTTTAACAATTCATGATCTATATCTCGTTACTTCGGTATTAGCTGCTAAGCGTACTCTTGTAGAAATATACTTGAATGCCCTCTAGCATCTATATAGATATGTATGCATGTATGTAAATGATTTCAATTCCATTACCACATCTCACCCATTACATTAATTACATTAGTCCGCTATCAATTGAAATGGAAACAATGCCACAGGACTGAGAAGCCTTCCTTTGCTCGCACACCTTCCAATTGCAAGCCATAACTAACGAAAACAAGAGAAACTATAACAGCAAGGTAAACCGAAGGAAGCGTTTCTTTTAATGACATATCTTGTCTAGAATCTCTCGTCGAAGGTATGACGGAAGAAAGGGGTAAGAGTGGAGTTAAGATGTCGAGTTGAGTGTTAGCCCAGGATAGATGATTATTGAAGATTTTTATCATTGAAGCTGGCGCAAGACAAGGGAGGAGATTTTCGAGCCGTCATCCTTATGCCACGTTGGAAGAGAGAGAGAGAGAAAAAGACAGTAAGTAGATTCGTGGTGAATTAAGGAAAAGGAAAGGGATTGAAAATCGCACCGTGGGGAATCTGCACCGGAACCAGAACCAGAACCAAAGTTAGAACCAGAATTGTCGTAACCTAAGAGAAAATAGGAGGAGGTTGAAACTAGTAATGACACTGGTGAAGAGAAGGAAATAGATAAAGAGACGAAGATATGAAAAGGAGATGAGAAATTAAGATAGATGACGGAGGCTTAAGTGTAGCTTCTCATAGCATCCATGTAGCCTGTTCCACCCTTGAGATCCTGCTCGAACGTCTCTGCTACGTCCAGGACGCGCATGATATGTTCCATTGATAGCGGAACCTTTTCGTTTATGGCTAGAGCCTGTGCCGTGCGCACCGAGTTTTTAATCTATATCATGGTTAGCATTGGGTTTAGTCATAATATATATATCAAGGCAGAGATATGAAGGACTAACCTGTCGGCCGTTGAGGTTATGTCTAGCAAGAGCATCGTAATCTTTGTCAGAGAACTTGACGACTTCCAGCCCGTCCTTGGTCTGGACACGATCAAGGAACATTTTCCAAACAGATCGTTTGGCCTTGGTGGTCAAATCTCCGTATCGCAGAGCAACGTGTATACGAGACTGGAAAGCATCGTCAAAGGTCTCAACACGGTTGGTGGTGAGGAAGAGGATACCCTGGAAATATTCTAGCAGACGCAGGAAGATGCTAACAAGAGCGTTACGGTGGATATCTTGGATCGTGCGCTTTTCAAGGAAGACATCTGCCTCGTCTAGCAGGAGGACAGCACCCCATGAGTGAGCAATGTCCAGGATCTTGTTCAGCTCGCCCTCGAGGGTACGGGAATCAGTTCCTAGCTCGCCAGCGCTAACCATGTAGAGAGGTCTCTTAAGCAGTTCAGCAATACCTTCTGCTGTGAGCGTTTTACCCGTTCCGGGTGGGCCATGGAGAACGGCCACCAGGCCTCTGCCTTTGCCCTGGATGACATCGTCTATATTTTCGGCGGCATGGAAGGTGTGAGATTCGACTAGCGCTTTGACGATGGATTTCTGGTTTGCTGGGAGGACAAGGGAGTCGAACGCGCCGGAGTTCCAGTCTATGTCTGTGATGCCCGAGACAGTGAATTCAAGCCATAGCTTTTCACTGAATGCGAATCCCAGAACGACAGGCGAGGCAATAAGGAGTTCTTCCTGGGTGAATTCGTATTCGACCGTTTGTTCGTCGTTGAGCTTAGCAATGTCCTCCTTGGGGATCTCGTTGCCGTTCTCATCACATTCCATCGCAACGACATGCGTCTTTCCTTCTTTATCCTGGACGATTTTCAGTCTGGTCTTTGGCTTGAAGCTCTCTCCGCTGGCGTCGCCGCCCTCGGAACCGGAGTCAGACCCGCAGCAGCTGTCGTCGCTATCGTCGCCCCCGTCTGCCTCCATGGTCAGATCGGGTTCCTTGGGCTTGACGGTGCTGATGGCATAGTTGGGGTTGATCCGACGATGCAGAGCAGGATCTACCATGATACGGCCATTGATGTTGACCTTGATGACGCTCCGTTTGCGCTTGACAAACGCCATGCCCTTGTGGAACCTGTAGTTCATGCCCTGGAGGGCAACAAACTTCTTCCCTCGTTCTATGAGCTGTTCCCGCAGCGCTTCAGGGTCACGGTGATACTTGAGCGGGTAGCAAGCCAGACTGGAGATCTTGCGAGGTCCCTTGAAATGATCTACTTCGGCCGACATGGTGCCCATGCCAAAGGACTTGCCGTCGTACTCTAGGTAGCGACCTTCGATGGAGTACCACTGGCCGCGCATGAAGGAGGACTCCTTGGAGGCGTATTCGATCTTGAAGGCGCGTGGCTCATCCGGGGTGCCGTACGTCTGCGTGTATGCAATCGTGTTTGGCTTGAACAGGGCCCATAGGAGATCGTAGGTGATGGTATTGTTATCTAGGAGCGGGTAGAGGGCGTTCTTGGTTTCGGCATAATCTTTGTCGGGGTACTTGACGAGAATCTTGAGGTGAGCGGCCTTGGTAGCCG